CAGCCCCCGCTGGTGTAGTCCCAGCGCCCCGCCATCACGGCCCATCACTCTGGGTGCGCCGCCCGCGGCGCCTTGATGAAACCTCCGGTAACGGTGACGAGCCGGCTCTGCTACCTGGGTTAATATCAAGAACCCGCGCTTGCCTGGCCCTGTGTCCCCCCTGCCGGCCGGGTTTCTTTTGCAAAAGGACGAGAGCTCATTATGATACGTGTATGCTTTTGGTACCTGGGCTGCTCTGGGTGAGATGAGTACCGTAGCTCTCCCCTGTCTCCTCCCCTGGCGATCGTATTTTGCTGCTGCATCCATTGACCAGACCACGTCCCCATCATCGGTAGTTGTGATTCCTCCCGAAACCCCCCATAGATGGAGCTAGGCACATTCTCACATCTGCGACAAAGCCGTCTCGGCGAATTTCGCGGGTCTGTTGGGTGCAGCCCTCAGTCCAGACAGCCTCGAACAGAAGTTGTATACACTATCACACGCACTATCCTGTGGTTTGCTCAGAGGCGCGTCCAGACGTGCCCACCCAGAGCACTCCAAGAAAAGAAACGTTTCGAGTAAAAAACTCCGGGCCAGAATGTCTGCATAGTATCATCGTACCTTTGAGTTTAGTACCCATAATTTTGCATGATGTCAGCCGGGCTACTGGCTGGGCTGCGTCAGAAAAGGGGAGTGACTCTGGTCCAAGTCTCCATCAAAGAGAGCATGTACTCTCATCCCGGCCCTTGTTATCGTGCCATGGTAAGATGGTAAGGTGCACGCTTGTTGAACATGGGGCCGAGAAGCTGTTGGGGTGTGCGTTGTTGCAGCCCCGGCACATGAGTTACCACTCCATGTCTGCACTTGTCCGGTAGCATCCGCCGTTCCTCCGAGATCCCTTGAGTGATCTAAGCATTCCGATTGACTAGCCACCTCACAGCCATGCTCAACTCACCACGCTATTAGCACTCATCAAACTCCCGGGCACTGGGATCATGACAGTCGGCACGATGCAATGATCAGCTTGCTGCCCAGCCCAGGTCCTTGCATCCGCCCTTGGCCACTAGGCCAATGCTATGCCCCATCGGGTGCTGTCCACGAGTCAAAAAAGACGCGGTCAAGCTGTCAGTGACTACCGTGACCCCGGGTTATCATGCGAGATCTTGGTTTGGTTAAATGAATGTCGATTGTTTCCTTCTCCAGCTTGCCTGTTCTAGCCCTGCCCTCCTAGCGACCGAGAGCATTCACTAGCGTCCAGATGCCGGCCCATGTGCCTGCAAGCCCTGGGAGCCCTAGGTTTCTTTTGATAAAATGAGCCGGGGGGCTGCTGTGTAAGTGTACTGGCTCCGGGATGCAGAAGGCACTTTTCCTGTCACTATTCCATCAAAGTTGACGCTATTTTCCTTGCATCATCGCACTGGAAGTATGGCCTCGTCCACCATCATGGGCACGTGTCTATTGGACGTGGCTGAAGCTCGGTTTCCACGTGTGTGGTCTCCCGAGATGGGCATTTGGAGGCATTCGGGTTGGAACATGGGATTTGCCCGTCTCGAGGTGTGTAAGCTACTGACTAAGACGGGCACGGCCACATTCCAGGCTCGGTGCCACCCAAGCATCAACTCCCGCCGTTGATAATTGCTGCTCCACATCCACATGGCTGGTGTGTCAGACCGCATCGCCATCCAAGATCCACGATACATGGACCGGGCACTTAGCCATCCCTACAATGCCATGGATGACACCAAACCAAAAGGTTGTCGATTACCATAAGACACGAATCTCAACCAAGTTGCAAGGCAGTGACTTGACGCGTGGGGCGGGGGTATGCTCCGGCCGCCAGAGACCTGTTTCGTTTGGGCCTCATCGAGGGCCACCCTTCAAGTCGGATGGATGTCCAATATCCGCAAAGTAGCAAGTTAGCGCGGCTAGGAGATCTCAAGTGCCATCCGGTCAAATCACTGCCCGGCAAGTGCCTTGATCGATCGTTGCCCGAATTCGACAGTTGTTGAGTGAGATAATCCCTGACAGCCAACCCTGGTCATCCTCGTTGCGGCGGACACCAAGGGTACGTAGCGTGAGTACGTATTCTGCCCAGTGTTGATGGGCTTGTGCCCACGAGGCCGTCTGGGTATAATCTACGAGTTACTTCTGTACGCAACCACTACCCGGGCTGTGATGCCGAATGCTGTCACCGGCCGGATCGCGGCACCCTTCTGTCATTGCCATTCAATACACTAAGAATCAAGCCAGGCCGGGTGCCAGCACGCCGGGAAAGACTGAAGGCTGCCACTCAAAAGGTTAGTAAAATGACAGTTGAGGGGCCGAGTCAAGGTGGGTCTCCTGAAAAGCTCGGGGAAAACGCCGTCTGGCGCCACATGTTTGTGATGGCGGTTCCTTATCGTTTCTTTTCTGCTCCCAGAAACAGAAAAGGAGTCCCTGTTTCCAAGAAGATATAAAAAGAACTCCTGCGACAGGAGTTGCCCAAGTTACCTTAGGCATATTACCTAAGGCAGGGCGACCAGCATCAGACGCACGCTAGGTGCTGTCTCCGGAGCCGAGCCCACCTCCATGGGTTTTTGGGACCATGGGTGGTGTACTATGTAGGCACGGTACCATAGTCGGTAAGCTACCAGGGCTACTACAGCAGTAAGTCGTAAAGTTGCATTACAATACCTGCCTTGCCTGGGTTTCCCGCCTGGAATTAAGTTGAAGGCATGCATGTACTTCGTACCTTTGCCGACCGGCTCTGGCGAGTCAAGTGCTGACTGCCCCAAGTTCGTCCGTTGCATCGACGATGCTGCAGAGCATGCGACGGCCTGATCTTCGGTACGTTTCAAGCTATTTTCTGTCTCCCTCTAATGATCTATCGTCTGTCCCAATTGCTCGCATTGCCATGCTGTGTCGGGCAAGGGTCCAAGGCCATTCCCCTTTCATAATGCATGTTCTTATTGAATCGATCTGGGTACACACGTTGGCCCAATGCAGCACCCAAAATGGCTCGTGGTCTGAGCCATGCTTGTCATTGAACCTTGCAGTCAAGCTTCTAGTCTACGCCATCAACAAATGTCCGAGTTTGCGCAACCTGCTCAAACAGGTACCTAAGTACCTATCTTCCACCAGTATCCAATGAGATGCCGAGCAAAGCTGCCAAAAGTCTGTACCTATCGGCCCCGGGCGGTCGACTTAGCAGTGGTGGTAGCACATCCAACACGACTTGCCTCTCGACTCGACAGGTCACAGTCTTCGAGGCCCTACAGCACGCGGAGCCTGGAAATGGCGTGGGCTTCATCTCGGCCTAGAAGGCGTATCGTGTCCATCCCGGGAGCTTGGCTCTTCTTCACGGGGCCGAGTCGCTGGTCGACCTAACGCTTGCTAAAAGCTACCGTCTCGACTAATGAGTACCCAGCGCTAAAACCCACCTACTATGTAGATGGCACTCGAGACTCCCACTCGGCGTGGGTGTTGCATACTGGGTATGCTCCCGGATCCATACCAATACAGCTAGCCATGTTATCGGAACCTACAACTTTCCGCGCACTTACGGACTGCTCTAGCCTGACAAGACACAGTTAACGTACGTATGTTTCATTGTCCCATCTGCCTCGCTGAGTGTGCATGACACCGCCGCGTGCATGAAAGTAGGTACCTGTGTACGCCTCCGACCACCATCTGTCAAACGTTCGTAATTAGCACCGGGGAATCCACACAAACTGCAGACAGCCCTGTGGCATCGAGTGTTGCTGCCGTGATATCCCAGTTGCCTGCACCGCACGGCTGGGATGATGGCAGATGGTCTTCGTCAAGCAGCAGATAGTATCTGACCCAATACAAAAGAGATCATATGCAGTAGAAATGTGATGCCCGCCTACATGCAGTACGTATCATCGAAGGAGCGGGTAGAAGTCGGTTTAGCTGCGGCAGAGGGCCTTATTTTGAGTAGTAGCCGATTCGCCATCCTCGACCGGCTCGCTTTCCTCCCTCCCCAAGGATACACGCAGGGGTCAAGGGTTTCCTAGTCCCTAGTCCAAGGTAACAACCAGGACGGCCCACCTCCGCCTCGAAACACGTTAGCGATTTTGGCCCATGAACATCACTCACAGCCCTGTTCGGTTTTTCCCTCTTGTCATTTGCAGGGGTGCAGGGGGGGCTCCTAGGAGGATTCACCCCTCCAGATTATATTTCCGATTCTGCTTAGGCGCACGGAGAGCCCCGGTAGTGGACCAGGGAAGCTGTGTAGATGGATAACCACTATGGACATCCGCGAGCCGACTTAGATCGCAGTTCACTTACTCTCTCCTCAAATCATAGCCTCTGCCGTACTTCCTTCCACTCTGTCACCAAGAGTCGCCTTGCCACGGACCTACCAACCTGATATCCTGTTGCCGAATCCGCCAACTCGGTAACACCCCCTAGAGCTTTCAGGCTTTGATATCTAGGTCTTCGGTTCGACAATCCTCTGTCTGGCTTCCTGATTAGGCAATACCATCCTCCAGGCGTTTCCAACCTGGACCAAGCATGACCACCAACTAAGGAGAGCCGCAAACGATAGATGCTTAACTGCCTCTTCTCCCGGCACACTGTTACCAGATTCGGCGTACAGCATTGACCTGTACTGTGCGAAACGCTTCCCTCGGTCAGTGGAGTAGAGTGTGGTGAGTTGGAGGATTTCCAACAGTATTGGAGTTGCACAGCGCTGCCGCACTCACGGGCGCTGGCCAGCAGGATCTACAGGAGTACAGTTCTGAGGTTTGTCTGAACCGGATCGGACTGAGGTAGCATCAGCACGAGGGTAGTCCTCGGCCGCGTGCTGGCTATTGTTGCATACTTGCCGTCTCAAGTATCCCGTTGTGGGGAGACAGTTCCGAGTCCTGCTCAAATACTAGGCCCTTCCCAAAGAGATACCTGCAACATTGTTCTGCATGTTCCTTGACCGGAGGCTTCCTAGTATCCAATCCATTGGGGAGCCTGTGGAGAGCCTACCCAATCAAGTGGAAGACTATTGGAGTCTCAAGTTCTCCACGATGGCAACATCGTCGCACAATCCATTTCCTCGATCACCGAACCCATCCACCAGGTCATACGACTCTTCCTCTGTGTCGTCGGCGACTTCGCCAAAACCTTCGTCACAGTATATGGGCAGTTTGATGGGTACCAGCACGAGGACAAGCACTGTCCACGCCCCCCAGCCCATTGGCATACCCCCTCTGCCGTCCGCCAGTCAACCAGCTTTTCAACCTTACACGCCAATGACGGGAAATTCTCTAATGGGCCGGGATTCTTTACCTTCAAGCGAGTCAGTAGTCGGCACACCTGGACTCTCAAACGCTCAACTATCTGCCAACGTGCAGGCACAGAAGCGGGCGTATCGACAAAGGAGGAAAGATCCTAGTTGTGATGCCTGTCGCGAGAGGAAAGTCAAGTGCGATGCCACAGAAACAACCAGCTGTTCGGAATGTTCCAGCCGCAATGTCAAGTGTCAGTTCACCAAGGAGACAAACAGGCGGATGTCCTCCATCAAACAGGTTCAGGATCTGGAGAAACAAATCGAGCGTGTGCGTAGGGAGAACAGCAGTCTACGCCGCATGCTGAACGAGCGGGATGGGCCAATGGATATCGACACAGACACAGTCGACCAAACCCTCGTTCCAATACCAGATATCGGCTCTGACCCCAAGCGTAGAAGACGCGCCGCGCCACACCACGATCTTGGACGAGAAAGAGCGAATTTCCGAAACTTGTCGAAAGGACTCTTCAAACCCCCTATACCGCACCGACAATCGCCCCAGACCGTCTTGTTCGACCCTCCGTTACCGCAGTTACCGCCAAAAGCGGCTGTGACAGCGTTATTGCATTCATACTACGGGGCAGTCCACATCATGATGCCGTTACTCCATTGGCCAACACTACAGCGTGAAGTTGAAGACCTGTACCATCCTGGGGGCTTACAGCGGGCTCCAGTAACGTGGCTTTCGATGTTCTTTGCAGTACTCGCTATGGGCAGCTTATTTAGTACTGATCCACATCCAGAGCGGACTTACAGAGCAACGGAATTCTTGGAAATCTCGCGAGGTCTCACCGACCCGTGGAACAATTATTTTGTCCTCGACAACGTTCGAGCTACCTTCTTGACAGCTCTGACCTTGACCGAGTTGAATCTGAAATCCGCAGCCTGGACTTGGCTGGGAAGGGCTGTCCGGGCCGCCCAAGATATCAGCCTGCACCTGGAAACAACAACGCGCTCGAGGGTAGACGCTGACATGCGACGGAGAGTGTGGTGGGCAATATACATTGTGGACCGTGTCATGGCTTTGGAATTGGGACGCCCTTCGTTGATACACGACTCTGACTGCGATGTTTCCCTTCCCGAACCCATTGACGACCATTTTTTGCAACACGAGGGCCCAATGCACCCCCTGAACGTGGAGCCACTTACGCATTCACTCCATGTTATTATAAACGTCGTGCGCTCGATTCCCGCCCTTACGCAAGCCTTCTCGTTCCCGGCGATTGCTCCGACACGACTGTCGACCTTCGATGCGCACTTTGCAGCCTGCCAACGGGCTTTCCCGGCTGCCTGCGACCCGTCGAGCAACCTACCGATCCCCCCTCACATGCTGATGCCTTTGGCCTATCTTCTGAGTACCAGGCTTCTATTGCACAGGCATAATTTGGGGCCAAACTGCTCCCCAGAAGTGAGGACGGTAGCAATAGAGCAATGTACACACACGGCGCTTGAGACAGCCGCTTTAATAGGCCGTACAAGTGCTTCTTTGGCGGACACAGCAACGTCGCTCTTGACGATCCATATTTTCCGGTCAGCATTGTTTTTGGTCTTGACGGGACACAACGAATATGCAGCCACCTGCGTCCGTGCTCTAAAATCGATAGACGCTCGGCGCGATGTTGCAATTTCATGCGGTCGTTTCTTGGCTTTCTTCATCCAAGCTGTGTCAAGCAGACGCTCCGAGTTGACTGCTTACTATTCACGACCAATTCCTGGGCAGGGCTACCAACAGCAGTCTTCTTCAGCTCAGGCAGTACAGGAGCGCATTCTGACCGACGAAATACTACTCGCTTACGTAACCGCCGACCTGCAAGCCGGAAGCGAGACGAGTTGGGTCTGGGCTGGGGGAGAGCAAGACCACATCGCCCCGGGTGCCCCGGCCGGCGGCGGCTTGAATCGCGTCGAAAACCGAACCGGCCTCGCCCCCGACGAGCAGCAAGACTGGGGAGGCTGGGACCGGCTGGACGGCCTTCTCCGAACTCCCGTGGGCTCTTGGAGTGCGGCTCCTACATATACCCCGTCTGCCCTTCCGCCGACGCTGCCGCCTATCAAGATGGAGCAAGGGCCGTCTGTGCCGCGGAGTGGCAATATGGGCCCAGACAGCAGCGGCAACAATAGCCCGGCACCCGGCGGCCCGAAACGCAGCACGGAGCGGATCAGCATCGCGAATATAATATAAGCCGAATCTAATGCGATCGGGGCCTCGTTTGTTCAGCCAGCACCGTATATACACGAGAACAAAAGGTGGTGGTTGTTCGTGGATCTTTTTCTTGCAGTGAAAAGATTCTGCTTACACCACACCTTTTGCAACCTGTCATTTTTTCTTAATTTGAATTTCAAGAGAGCAACAAGGGATGGAGGCAATATGACGCATTTACAACCGAATGAGTCCTGTATCATAATTCATCTCCGGCGGCAAAAAACAAGAATCTTGATGTTACTAGACATCTATACAGACTCTATTTCCTTACGCGTTCTACGTTTTCCCTCTTGTTTGCATCCCGTCAAGATTCCCCACGTTGAAACGACGATTCAGCTCTGTTTTACGAACCGATACCATTCTTCTTGCTGCGCTACTTCCCGCTTATTTTTTTGCCTTGGGTTTTCTGGACGAGCGAATTGAATTTCTCCTGCATAACGAAGCTGCGAAGATCTGAATTTCTGTGTCTCAAGCTATCTATTTAAACCATGACTTTATGCGCAACAAAGAAGTCATTATGTATCCCTCAATACTTGGCGGATAGTACTAATACAGCGGTTGTGGACTGAGGCTCTATTCTCGTTCATTTGTTTATTTCCTTGCATCCGACCACGAGGGTCTAATTTCTAAATTCCCGCGAGGCGACGTGTAGGCGGGAAAGCGAGGCGTCGTTGGCTGTTTCTGGCACTTGGGAAAAAATGTTCTCATGGTTCTCACGAAGACATGACAACCGGACTGGTGTTTCTGGTGGTGGGGCCGTGATAGACCGGGTTCTAATCCAGGCTGGTTAGCATAGCGAATTCATAGTTCGCCAGACGGGGCGAATGAATCAATTGAGTCCAGTACCTTTTTTGGCGCGCTACAAGGCTCTTCTTGCTCGCGACTTTCAGCCGCCAAACACCTGAAACACCTAACTACTTTACAGTTCGCACCTGATAAGCCTCTATTCCGATAATTACTAGACTAGAGAGACGGATCCGCACGTCGCTCCTAATACGCGTATTTCCCACCCCGGCTTGTCCAGGTTGCCACGGACCTGGAGTTGATGCGGCCGAACCCAGCCGGATTCCGTGCGTTTTCAAGGTCCAGGTCCATTTCCGCTTGCATTTTGGCAGGCTCGGCTGCTAATGCCGCCCGGGATCTAAAATCTCACTATTGAAATATTTCTCCGCCATGGGCCACGGTGCCCCCCTGCTCAGGCCAACCGTTGACAGCGCAGGGGTAACCAAGATTGGGATAAATTAATTTAAAAACCAGGCGTCTCGTCTCGGGGCCGATCTGGTACCGTGATTCCACTCAGAAGTCTAAAATGTCCCATGTCGTACGAGCAAGTGCGGCTCTGGACTCTGGAGTCTGGATGCCGGATGGTTCGTTTCGCTGACGTTTCCCCCCTGCGGGTGGGGACTTGAGTTCCTGAGGGATATCTACATGGTACAAAGTGAGTGAGGGATCTGGACTTCACTAAACGCGATCTGGCATCACAGCGGGGGATTGAGGACGCGTCTATGCTTGGCGAGTCTGCTTTAGGTTCTTCATAGGGAATTCTTGCGAGGGATTTGGTCAGTGGGCTCAGAGGAAACGAACTAAGCAACTCAGCTAAACCACTCCACACGGGACATACCACTATGGCTTACAGGCCCAATGGGAAAAGTCACTTCAAGCCCAATCACCTGTCGGGATACTGCCAGTGTACTACGGTATAGTACGGACGAGGCAGTTGAAACACTTGTGTGAAACCTTGGGCATGACTTGCATCTCCGATAGGGAATTGTTGATATCTCGTGTCGGACAACTTCTTGATTGATAGGCATCTAGATAGCGCAAAGGCTATTCAGTAACCCTGCTGGCTGGATTGCTCGGTCTTATTAGATTCTGCAAGAAAATGACCCGCAAACCTGTCATTCTTGAACTTTTTGTCACTCAAATCTCTCTTATTGTGTCTCTGTCTTCCCTATAGGCGATGGACTCGGCAACCACATCCCCAAGCCAAGCGCTACAAAGTTATTAACAGATAGAATGCGTCTTTCCGAACTTGCCCTGGATAGAGTGCTTCTCCTTCTGTAGGCATGTCTTAGCAGTGTGATCTGATACTACGGGTGCGAAGAAATATGGCAAGAGAACTTACGCGGTATCTAGGGTGGTTGTGCTTCGCCTGCGAACTGTTGATAGCGTGGTTGCGCAAGAATTCTTCTTGCTTCTTGATCGACTCCTTGTCCATGCTCTCCAGAAGCTCGGAGCAGAGCTTGACGTCACAGATGAGAGCATCGCAGCGGTTCTTGGTGAAGTCCTCACGAACGACCACGCGGAGCATCTTTAGGCCTTCGGTATGGGGGGCCATGGTGTATGCGGGAACAACCCAGCCACGAGCCCGAAGTTTGTGTGCCAGCGCAAATTCGTCGAAACCACGGTTCTCATCGGGCTTGAGGCGGAAGGCAACAAGGGGCAGTCCTTCACCGGACTTCTTGCTCATGATGATGAAGCCTAGGGCCTCGAGAGATTCCGAGAGGTAGTCAGCTGTGCGGGTCAGATTACTCATGATGGCCCGGTACCCCTTCTTGCCAAGGCGGATCAGCTGGTAGTATTGGCCAATGACTTGGCTGGCACCCTTGGAGAAGTTCAGGGTGAAGGAAGATTGGTCAGCTCCCAGGTAGTTGATATTGAAAACAAGCTCCTGTGGAAGGAACTCTGCGGCGCGCCAGACTACCCAACCGACACCCGGGTAAACTAGACCGTACTTCCAATTGTTAAGTCCTGTGCACAATCGTAGGCAAAGTAGAACGTACCTTGTGCCCAGACACATTGATGGATACAACGTTCTGGAGTCGGAAGTCCCACTCAAGATCAGGAACAACGAACGGCGCAACGAAGCCACCTAAAATGACGCATCAGTTCCAGTACATGATAGAGATCTGAGATAAAACTGACCGCTAGCGGCGTCAACATGAATAGGTGTATCCATGCCCTTCTTGACCAGTAGGTCATTGACGGCCTTGACGTCCTCGTACTCGCCTGTGTAAGTCGTTCCTACCAAGAGTCAGTATCCAAATCGAGCTTCATTCTCCGTTGACGTAACAGCGTCACAGAAGACGTGTCTCAGTGGCACGTAGTACCCCTGGAAAGACTCCCAAGATGCTTGGCGGGCGGATTCAAGTGTTACCTACCCAAGATCACGCAAATGCCGATGGTGTTCTCATCGACCAGGTCAACAGTCTCCTGGGGGTCGATGACGTATCGATCGGGGGTGCAGTAGACCAGCTTCTCGTCAATCTCGAAGTATCGGGTAGCCTTCTCCCAGCAGACCTGAACGGCCGAGGACATGACGATGTTGGGATTCTCCGTGGATTTACCCTCGGCCTTTCTCTTGTTCTTCCAGCGCCTCTTCATGGCCAGAACACCCAGCATGATGGCCTCGGAACTGCCGATGCAAGAAGTGCCGACTGCGCCCTCATTGCTGCCGTTGTGAGTGGGCGCGTTGAACAGACGTCCAATCATGGATACACAACGGTTCTGGATGTCCGCAGACTGTGGATACTCTTCATAATCAATGAAGTTCTTGGAGAAGCTCTCGGCCATGAGCTTCTCAGCTTCCTCTTCCTGATGGAAAGTTAGATACGATCAGACACCCATGTGCGTATCGCTTACCATGTACGTCGTGACGAACGAAGCCAAACTGTAAGGAAGACCAGCGTGTCAGCTCATGAGCACAGGCTAGGAATAGAACCCTCATCATTGCGGGTTCAAGCGACCTACTTCAACATGGGGTTCCCGTCCAAGCTGAGCTCGTCCTTGATCATTCTGTACGCGACCTCCTTGGGCATCTCACCGTCGGGCATCTCATGCCTGGGGAGGTCCTCGGCGGCGAACTTGGAGCCATAGACACTAGTAGTGAACGAGTCCTGCTCGTTGCTGAGCTGAAGTGAGATCTTCTTTACGGCCTCGGGAAGAGTGCCGAGCTCATTGTCCTTCGGAATAGCGGCAAGATGGACCATCTTGGCGGTGGTCGAGCGAGGTGGTTTAACAACAACTAAGCTAAGTGGGTTTCGAAAGAGGAGAGGCGAGGTGATATCCGCTGAGAATGCCTTGGATTTCAAGGCGATCCCAAGCGACCTTCACCGCCGGTAGCTTCAAGCTTAGATAGAGAGAGGTACGGGGTGAAAGGGGGGATGCGGGGTACTATGCAGTAAGCGCCGTGGGAGAAGTTGACAGGAACAAAGAATGGCTTGGGGGTGGTTCGACGTCAGGTCTTGGCAGATTTATAGAAGACCAATTGGCCTCAGCTTGTTTGAAGGACTGCCTAGGTAGCAGATCGAGATGGCTAGAGAGGTTCCTGAGCTAGAAGTCTGGCTCATCGGAGGCCTGAGCAAGCCAAGCGGCATGTTTCTGATCCCAATCATGGTGTCTGCTACGCAAATAGCTTCCGGAGCTACACCCCACTTGGCCAGCGCGGCCCTGAGTGAGCGCCCCTTGGCCGGATCCAACTTATTCACCCTCTTCGATCCCGCCCCGGCCCAGTGTTGACGCACACATCGTGCGTGGGATACGTGTTTTAGGGGGCATCTGGGGGGTGCCACCGCCATTCCACCGTTGCGGGCCATGCAGCCGGCAAGAAAGCTTGGCCACGGGATTGCGCCCACGACACAGCGCTAGCAGGGGTGAGGCCTCAAAGTTGCGGGTATATCCAATCACTAAAGCACGCCAGCTCGCACGATGTTGGTATCTCCTCTCGGTGCAGGATTTCGATAATGCGTAGACTTAGGGCATGAAGATGGCAGGCCCGCGTTAGTTGTGGCGTCTGTTTCAAGCTCCTCAATTACCTGCTTGGGGTTGCATTTCTCCCGTACTCTCATCCGGGAGTTGCGTGTCTGGGAGGCAGTTTTGGATTGGATGACATCATCGTACGCTCGACGAGCGGACGCCCTTCTGGGTAGCAGCTGGGCTCCCGCGCTGTTACAACTCACGACGGCGTAGCTGTGATAAGCAATGAGTTTCTACTCAATCAAGCAGTTTAGATACAATTTGTGGAGCGCCAGGCGACCTCGTATGTGTTACAACTCAGCATGTCCAGTCGGTGAAGATCCGGCACTCTTGCTTGGCCCCTGGGCTGTCTGTCCGTAGGTGGGGTGAGATCGACCCGCGCAGGCCGAAAGCGAAGAATACCACATACTCGCTACCAAGCTAGCCCAATACCACCCTGGGAGACGCTTCAGCTCTGGAAATCCGTGCTAAGCCTTCTCCCTGTGTCTGCTCATTTGCTACAATTTCCGGATTGTGCCGAGACTCCGATTTTAGCTTGAGGTCACACAGACATATGGAAAATTGGGCGTGATATATGGGATACCATGTACATTCTAGATTTATCTAAGTGTGTCCAAAGTGAAGCCTGCCGCTACTGCCGTTCAATCATCGTCGTCGTGAGTGCCCGTCAGAGGCCCAGCCAGACCCTGCATTCGTCGCCCCAGAAGATCATCAGAGCTGTTTAGCTTGACTAAGCTCTTGGTCTTCTGACCAAACTTGGCCTTGCCGTTGATCCTCCTCCTGGTGGAATCTCCTGGTTTCTGGTTCTCCGCAGGTGAATCCTGTGGTGGTGTGCCTCTGCCCGTGCTCTCATCACTGGTTGTCCGACCCCTTGCTCTCGTCATGTTGATTTCTAAGGGCTTGTCCTCATCACCACTCGAGTCTACGCGGCGGTGGTGCCGGCTGGCTCTCTGGTCAAACTGTTGTCTTTCACGCAGCTCTGCGGCATTGAGCAGGTCTACGGCCCACATCGCACAGCGGTCGATGAGCTTCCATGCTGGCGGGTAGATGGTAGGGAATTGTGTGAACCCATGGCTGATGCCAGGTATGAGTACCACCTCTGCGACGTTCTTCTCATCAAAGTCCGAGACCTCATCCAAAGCGCCAAGGCCTTGAGAAGTCTGTTGAGAATGGTATGCCTGCTTGACCTTGCGCAGTCGCCCGGCAAAGATGACCGTATCGTCAACGAGAGGGTCACGTTCGCCAGTGAGGAAGTGGGTTTTGGGGAACCGCTGCAGGAGGATATCAGGCGCCAAAATAGGCGACAACAGATAGTCTTGTGAGAAATCAGGTCGGTTATGCGGTCCAACATAGAGGATGATCATGGCTCTCATCATTTCCGGCGTCAGCACACGATCGTTGAAGTACGAGATCATGGAAGCCATGGCAAGGCGAGTGCGGAGTGGCTTAGACTTGTGCGAAGCCGATTTGCTGTCTCTTCTCTTGGACGCTTGCGCTGCCTCTTGAGGTTTCGACCAAGTCTGGGGATGAGCGTGTGAGAATTCGGGATGGGGGCTGCGCATGCCCTCAGGATCCGTGCTGACAGCTTCTTCGGACGTTTTCGACCCTGCAAGGTTTTGCGCCTGCGGATCTTCCTCGTCATCAGATTCGTGTGGTGTCCCGACGAGATCAGTGTACTGGGTACTCTTGCGTCGCAAGTAGTCCTTGTTCGTGACGCGCATCCTTCTATCCTTGACCAGCGCCATCTGCTCGTCAGACATCCAGTTGCCAATGTTCATATCCAACCCGGGGTATAGAAGGACAAGACCGTCAGGCACCGGAAGCTCTCCTGGAGAGAGGCTTGGGCGCCTGCTGCCAATATCACTTTCAATCACCATCAAAGTCAAGGCCGTTGCAAGGTTACCTCCTGCACTGTCTCCAGTGAGCACGATCTTTGGGATATGTCGGCCGGACATGCCAACACACCTGCCCCTGCTCTTGATAATCGTGGTGTACACGTCGAAGCATTCGTTCAACGCATATGGATACGGGTACTCCGGTGCTTTCTTGTAGTCCAAGCTCAGAACTGGTAGACCTGTCTTTCCCGCCCATGCAAACAGCTTATCGTCGTTGGTTCTCGGGTCCATGGCAACGAACCCGCCGCCGGGAATGTCGAGGATCATCTTGTTGATGTGTTCCAGATCAGCAATAGGCCCATCATAGTATAGCCACCCGGAGACTGGCTCCTTATAATCGCTCGTGCTCGGTCGGGGTATGCGAATGGCTCGGGGCGGCCAGCGAGTAAACCGCGGTCGCATCAAGTTCTGGAAGAACTGTAGATATGGCGTCGTTCCCTTGTCCCAACTTACACGCAGGTGTTCCACGGTGAGCATCCCTCTTACCTTCCGGACCTTCTCATCAGCCCGCTCCGCAGCGACTAGATAAAATATTGAGAACACGAAGCTCGCCAGGTCCCGTAGCCATTTCTGCTTGATCTTCATAGCGGTCCAGAACCCAGCATCCAGAGCAGTTAACACCCAAGTCGCTCGAAAGTATGCCTTTTCGTACATGTTCGACATCGGTTCGGGGCTGGCCAGTCCTACTAACGTACTGAAGTTCCTGGCTGCGTATTGGTACATCATCGTGAAGAGCACGGTTTGCCAGGCCGTCAGCCTTTTGGTCGACAACTTGGACAGTAGCCGAACGAAAGGTGGTCCATGTCGATTGCCTCTGTCGATTGTCAGTCAGCCAATGCAAGCGGACAACAGCCTCTGCCAGAGAGCTAGGCATACTTCAAAAGGTAGAAGGACCAAAAGGCTAGCACAGAGAGTACCTGGAATCTCCGCGACTTGACCGATGGCCTACCCAATACGTGGTCGAGCATATTGATATCTGGGAGTGTACTTCCATAGGGATGCCAGAATGAGAACAGGCCAGAAGCAAGAGTGGCAGATCAGCCGTTCCGGAGCCTCCGTCGAGAACCAGAGGAAGGGTTCGTGAGGTCAAGAATGATGGATGAGCAGTGGCTGGTGGGAGCAATGGAGGTCACGGGTCTGCAGCATGGCCTGCAGGTATGCCGAGTCAGGTACAGGGATATTGGATAGTTACAGCATCAGACGGAACAGCAGGGGGACAGAGGGCCAAGGGTAGCTGTGCTTCATTCAACGCAGAATGCGAGTCGCAAAGGCCGAGGAAATGGGGAGAGACGACCGGCTATCCTGGACAGCGATGGTCCGAGAGTCTGGAGCCGCATCATGCCACCGAAGGCTCTGGCCGCGTGGGTGAGAGGCCGTCACGGTCATGCGAAATGGAGAGCCGTGAATGGCTGCTTTGGCTAAACTTGGTTCTGACGTTTGCGTCGAGCTGACATGTGAAAGTTGGCATCCCACCTGACGCATCCCAGTGGCTTGGAATGGGGCCCCCGCCAGCCCGCTTCTAGCAGACGGCCGGGGGGCGGGCGTCTGACATAATGTAAGACAGCACTATTCGCATCGAGAGTTGTGCACGGCCAGGAGCTTCGTACATCTGAATTTATGCAAGCGGATTTAGCAATCTGTCAGTCCCCGTTGTGGTGAGACGACGTGAGTTTTTGCAATCAGAGACTTGGAGTTACTGCATTGGTTATCAACTATAACTACGCAGCATACTCGGTAGGTACTTGTTCTATGAGCGGCTTTAATCTCGCGAACACTAGGAGCCCCAACTCCAGGGTCGAGGCCACCAGACGTAGCGCCACTGCGGTTGCCATGCAGAGCGCGCCCTTTGCAAGCCAGCAACACTATGCCTCGAAACCAACACAGCGATGACTCCCATCAATGAGTAAACTCGCCATTTAACAAGACCGATTCTTATGATACTTGCCTGATCCAGTCAAAAATTCGCGACGACGAGCTGCCATTGGCCGGGCGATCCCATGTTCCTGACTGTTTTACGGTCCTAGTCACCGATGGCTGCCGACCTCGGCGGCGGCCTCCTTTATCGATAGCGCTAGCGGGTAAATCAGACGATCATTTTTAAAAGACTTCCATAATCTGGTAGCCAGTCCTCTCTACCCGACCTGGCGCGGAAGATTGCAGCGTCATTTTGTGTCTTTGCGTTTCCAACCCTCCCGCGATGGCCTTCCGACTCCCGATTCGACGACTGGCGACCTCTGGCCGACGATGCCTCTCGTCAGAGGCGGCTGCAGCCACCTCCAACCTCCCACGGGCTGCCCAGTCGGCCATCGCCAGAGATGCCGCCCTGCCGAATCCGGATCCCGCTGAGGACTCCCCGAGTGCGGCCATGGTGAAGGAGCACCAGAGATACATGCTGGCAACATACGCCCGGCCGCCGCCTGTGTTTGTCCAAGGCGAAGGCTCCTACCTGTGGGACCTCGAGAACCGCAAGTACTTGGACTTCACGTCCGGCATTGCTGTCAATGGACTTGGCCATTCCGATCCAGGTATGGCCAGGCTCATCGCCGACCAGGCCAAGACCCTATTGCACGCTTCGAACCTTTACTACAACCCTTGGACCGGCGCCCTTTCCAAGCTCCTTGTCGAGAAGACCCTCGAGTCCGGCGCCATGCACGATGCCGAGACAGTTTTCGTATGCAACTCGGGTTCGGAAGCGAACGAAGCGGCGATCAAATTCTCTCGCAAGGTTGGCAAGGTGTTGGACCCATCGGGGGCCAAGCATGAGTTTGTCTCTTTCCACGGCTCCTTCCATGGCCGAACCATGGGAAGCTTGTCGGCCACACCGAATCCGAAATACCAGGAGCCCTTTGCGCCGATGCTGCCAGGCTTCAAGTACGGAACATACAACGACGTTGCTGGCATCAACGAGCTGGTCACGGATAAGACATGCGGTGTCATCATTGAGCCCATCCAGGGAGAGGGAGGTGTCAACGTTGCGACCGACGAGTTCCTGATCGCATTGGCCAGGCGGTGCCGAGAAGTCGGTGCCGTGCTCATCTACGATGAGATCCAGTGCGGCATGTCCCGAACTGGTAGCTTCTGGGCTCACGGTCATCTACCTAAGGAGGCCCATCCCGATGTTATCACCACTGCAAAGGCTCTTGGCAACGGATTCCCCATCGGCGCCACCGTCGTAAACAACACTGTGAGCGAGAAGATCAAGATTGGTGACCACGGGACCACTTTCGGCGGCAACCCGATGGCATGCCGACTGGCACACTATGTGGTGTCTCGATTGACAGATCCCGCTCTGCAGAAGGGTGTTGTCGAGAAATCGGAGGTCTTGAGGAACCGATTTGCTCAACTCCGAGAACGATTTCCAGACCTTATCAGCGAAGTCCGCGGCAAGGGTCTAATCCTGGGTCTGCAGCTCACGCAAGACCCTACGGCGATCATCAAGGCAGCCCGCGAGAGAGGCTTGCTGATCATCTCCGCCGGTACCAATACCTTGCGATTCGTGCCACCCCTCACTATCAGCGCAGAAGAGCTAGAAAGTGGCCTGGATATTCTGGAGGAAGCCATTGCATCGACGCTGTAAAGCTGGGGTAGATGGATATCCTTCCGGGTACAGTTCTCGCACGAAATGGCGTTATGGGCGTTCAAAATTTCAGTCATTGGACGCTGTTCTGTAGAGCAAGACCACTGTTTTCAGCGAGAAAGCGATGCCTTGCTTGCCTTGTTTTTAGGTCAATAGAAGATACCTTGGATCAGCAATAGCGATCTACATTCACCAGCTTATTTCACTTTGGTCGAACAGTGATTGCTTTCATTCACCACATCTCAGCTGCTACCCACTCCTCACACCACTGGCTCGCGGCAGGGTGTGCCTTTTCCCCTGCCCTATTGGGCATCTTACCATCTGTCCTTGCACAATTTTGCAGGAATCATAAATTGACCAACCTCCGTTGCGCCTATCAGTGCGTCTTTTCTGTGATTAACGCCATCCGCTCCACCACATCGACTGCACCATGTGCAAATCATACATCATGCGCTACCCCTGCGGCCACTCCGGTCAGGGACTTCAGCTCTGCGAACGCGCGACACCAACCGCAACTGCCTGCGAGAGACCCAAATCCACCATTCAGGTCAAGGATGTCGAAGGCCGCTGTGGAACCGATCAATGCAGCTTCGCGTCAAAGGGCCGAGGTTGGAAATGCTGCACTTGTGGATGCAGTGGCAACCTGACAGGCTCTTGTGCTGAACACGATGTCGTGGGCCAGAAGTGCCTGCACGTCTGTTGCAAAGACTGTGTGTCTAAAGTCGCTGCGCTCAAGGATGATGAAGCGAGCGATCAGAAAGTTACCACCAGTCAGGAAGTCGGTGGTTCGTCCGCAAAGTGGTTGATTCTTGTCCCCGAAGTTCGGCAGGCAACACGGGAGTACTAAGCATGCTGATCCTGTGACGAGGACCTCCAGTACGGGTCATGAAACACCACGGCATGAGTGGTAAACGAATTGGTATCACGTAAAGGAGCTGCCTGAGCTAAGAAGAATCTACGAAACAGTACTGCCCAATCACCCAGGGCACATCCACCATACCTCTCTTGTTCGTACGCCATGATTTCCAACAGTGACCTGTGCCCCATTGGTAAACTCTAGTCCATCATGGACACTATGCTTTCCCAGCAGCCTGAGCAGCGAATGTGGCAGCTTCACCAGCATCCTGACCATAGGTCAAATGAGGCGCCAAGATCAGATCACCTCCCTGGCAGATGTTGTCGCCCTGGTGGCAGATGACCTTGGTTTTGGCGATGCCCTGGACGGCCTTACCATTATCTGGGTACCCAAGGTTAGTCGAGGAACCCATTATGCTCTCTCAGTGTTCTCGCTTACCTGGATCACCAAAAATGACGGCGCCAGCCACCTTGCTTGCAGTGGCAGCAGGCAGCTGCGCTGCCGCGTTATGAACCAGCTGCCCTCCTTGCGAGTAGCCGGCCATGATCACCGACGTGCTGGGGCAATCTGTCATAGCCTGCTGCACGAGTTGTGCCCTGAGTTCTCATCAGTATACTCGTACCTCAATGCTCCACATAATCGGTTGTCCTATATCTTCACTCCACTCTTGCTCCACCTTGCTTACATCTTTTTGCTCCCGCCTGCGTCGCCGCCCGCCAAGAACCCTGGGATATCAGCAGGATAGTCGACACCCTGAACTGCCAAGTCGCCGCCCACTTTAGTCGATAGCGCCTGGAAGAAGGGTGGGCCTGCGACGACTCCTACGTTCCCAGGTTCCGTTGTCCCCCGCGCGAAGATCACGGTCGTCCCCTTGCACGCTCCGCCCAGGCCGTTCTGCGTTGTTCCGGCGAGGCTCTGGCGTTTGTCGAAAGGCGCAGCGAGAGAGCCCCCAGCCGCGAGGACCATCAGAAGCGTCGTGGTGAAGGAAGGCATTTGGAAAGACAAGAAAATAGAGTTAAAAGTAGGTAATGGATGAATGAAGGAGAAAGCAGTCTATACTTCCGGATGAACGCCAGAGGTGTCTTCTATTGCAGTCATGGGACGACGAGCATTCATATCTACTTTCAGCACTTGAAGGCTTGGTGTACTTTCGGATGCATCCGGTCCCGCAGCTAATACGGCATCTCTACTCGAAACGGTCAATAGGAGTCCGCAAGGAAATCCAGAAGAGGCAAGCTTGGCGAATTTAGTGCAATGATCCCTGTGCAGATTGAAGATGGTAGGATGTTGGGAATCAGAGAAGGCCCACAGTTTAGACCAACGTCTGAATTGCTTCACGGAGGTTCCCGGGCCTCGGGCACACGCTCACAATGAATGTAAGCTGCATGCTGTGGTATGATGAACGCATTATACAATCTGGCTACCACGCAAGTCACAAATCAAAGGTGGGCTGCCCCAATGATGCGATTGGTCTCCTTGGCAGGTATCTGAAACGCGCACGAGGTATGGCTTAGCTTACGTTGAAACGACTCTTCGCGAGGACTTCCCAAACAAATCAACAATTTCAGATACTGATTGCCAATCCCTTGCATCACCATAGCGCATTGTCTCACAAGCCGTCTAGTCTGTGTCGTGGCTCGTGGGTCTTTCCGCAAACGGCAATTATCGTTAGACGCGAGCGCAGACCTGAATGCCGCGAGTCGGTAACTCAGCATATTATGGCTGGCATACCAACAGAGCCAGGTGGTACTAAAGTAACACTCAATGCTGGAACAGAGGGGAGGCTGAAAGTCTTTGTGTCTGTGTGTTTCTCTTTCAAGCATACTCCGCTACCGACTATCGCAATAGCCATTGAATGGTGATCCTTGATGTTGAGATTTCGTGCAAACACCATCGATATGAAAACCCCTCAAACAGGCGAGCTGAGCCCTCGCTCTATCGGTTTCAGCTATAATGTCTCTGGAATTCCAACGATTTCGCTTTCGGTGGACGAACACAATGAAGAGACTAAGACTACCTACACCAGACCCGGTAGCAGCTACACAAAGCAAATTGACAGTAGTCAAGTGTCCTCTTTGTAGAGCTCAGCAATAAAGTGGCAGACCGATTTCCCTTAGACGAGAAAATTTCTTGCAACCTCTTGCCAGGCATTACAAGCGGCACGCGCTAGGCTAAACAAATTGCCAATAAGATGCAACGCAGAAGAGGACCAGGCCCAGAGAGAGTGGAGGAGAACGACTTGTGGCTACCATTCTGGAAACATATGTCCGCAGAACAACTAAGAGAACGGAGAGGCATGTTTGACGGGTGGATGGCACAATGGCGACAAGGTCTTTCGGATGATGCAGAGGGCCGAGAAATGGAACAAGCGCTGGAGGAACAGGTGGAAGCAATGAGAAATTCCATCAACAACAGGCTGGCCGAGCTGGAGAGGGATGGCAGTAGGAGGAGACAACAGACTCGGCCTGGGCGCCCGCCCAAGAGAGCGAGGTCCTCCCCTGCCGATGACCTACCTCCGCCGAAAAAGACGAAGGTTCCAACAGGCTCAAAGACGGCGCCGGTAGACATAACCAGCGATGGAGACTCGGGTGATGATGGAGAGGATACGGACAAGCAGCCGCCGCCTGCTGTAAAGACGACGAAAACAGCTAGAGCTCCGATCAGCAAGCGTGTGCCTAACGCTACAGGCCCTCGATCTGTGCCTGCGCCCCATCCACTGGCAAGACCTGTTCGTCGCGGAATGCCTTCAAATGGAAGGCAGCCGCGCGTGTCTGTCGAAGAGTCGTCGAGCGACGAGTCCAGCGACGAATCAGACGACCTGGATGATATCGAAGCAATTGAACCCTACAACATGAAGGCGCTCAGGGCACCGGCCCCTCCGAGAGCGCACATGCCTCAGTCTTCAACAGGGCGTCGACCCGCTCATGGAACCGTCAAAAAGAGAAGATTTATCTATAGCGACCAGGAGACGACCGACGAAGAGCTCAGTGACGAAGATACCGATGACGAAGATATGAATGACGTAACTGGCGAGGACTCGGAGGACTCTGAGTCGGCGCCGCCTCAGAGGAGTTTTATCCCAGGGGCCGTTCGTATGAAGCCTTCTGCGACTCGAGCAGTGCCAAACGTTGCTCATAAGCCTGTTCGGGGACCTATACGTAGAAAGTGATCGAATGGAATGTCTCTGTGGCTGTTGCAGTCTAGTACGCGAGGACTTTCCGCAGAGGTCTTGATTCTTGCAGCGTTCTGGGATTGCCACGATACTCAACGGGGTTTGAGCGCTCAAGTGCGGCCTTAACTCAGACCTTGGCTCCCATCAGTTCAATTTATCTGGCGAAGCAGTCAATTTCCTATGTTTGGTTGGAGACACGTATAATAATACACTACTCCACGAAACCTTCTTGAGTGAAACGACTTGTTTTTGTCCTATCCTTTTGTCTTTCGATAGAGGGACGATTGGATACGTGGACTGCATTACAAATGCTGAGTAGTGCATCCAATACAAGCTTGGCCTAGCTCCTTCCAATATCAGTTGGTAATAAAAATCCAAACGAAGATACGTCAAATGGATGGCAGTTGTAAAAACACCACTCGTAAAGTTCTCCCTCGGGCGGCCGGGGATCTGAGGGTGCGTAAGATATAGAATTGCGGTTACGTTGGTCCATTATCCCAGTGTATTCCTTATGTGACGTCCCAAAATTCTCATTTCGACGCTAAATTCGACACCCAAACTCCCTTACTTTACTTAATCCTCTTTGTTTTGTTAACCCGTTTAGTAGTTGCAACACTTGTAGTTATCCCCTCCAGGACATTGGCCTACAGATAGGTTAGTTCCCGTTCGCACAACGCGAGATGTGCAACGCAGGGTGGTCTCAACAGCGAAGTCGATGAAATCTTCGAAATAATACTGACCACTGATCCAGCTGCCAGGGCAGCCATTGGAAGTCCAAGTGCAATAAGAGCTGTTGTCCTTGCAAGGCTCCACATGGCAACACTTGACATCTTCTTTATCGAAAGGACAACCGCCATTGATGTATTTCCCGCCTTTCGAGGTACAGGAGGACTTCGTGACACAGACACCCTCGCTCAGGTACAGACCGGTTGCTTTGCCTCCCTCGCCAGGGCCACTGCAGTGGCCGTTGACGGCGGCAAGTGCCGCCAAGGGAAAGAAGCATATGAGATATTGGATGGGCCTCATGTCGAATGTCGACGGATGCTAGATTACAGTTGTGAATAGTTCCTGTTGTCTTAGACAATTCCTGGCGAGAAATCTGGCGGTTCGGGTGGCTCAGCAGGCAGCAAAGGATCTTTATATAGATCAGCCTTTTCAGCTGGTCTTGGCGAGGTATCGATGACTATGACGAGCACCAGAAACTTACCTCCTCGTCAATAAGCAATGTAACCAAACGGCGAATAGCGAGAGTAAGGCGGGCATAAAAGTAAACCGAGTCCACGCGACAAAATGAGTGTATAGAGTGTTGGAAAGTCGAGAGATTCGTGGAGATTGCTTGAAAAGAACACTTGGAGGGACGTGAATATTTGCTGCTGAACTTCGATGCGACCCCCCTGACCTCCGATTTAACCAGTCATAGTGCATTCTGGATCTTTACCCCAGCTTTGGGAAGCCAATGGGAGGAGCGCTTCACTCAGCCGCACTTTGCACATCGTGAACCCTGTCACAAATTATGGTCGAAACAAGTGTCGCAATAATGATTTTTTTTAATACAACTGCACCCAGGCGTATACAATACAAGAGAAAGTCAGTTCGACGGCTGCCGAAGTACTTTTTGCGCTGGTCTCGCCAAATCATTGTACATAGTCTACTGGACTAGGCCGTCGTGGAAGGCCCAAGGTCGCACGTGGAAGGGCACCGGGTACAGTAACCGTATGCATTCGGGGATCTGCAACGCTAATGTCTCGAGTCATATGAGCAGTGCAGAGCAGAGCAATGACTACCAGCATTGGATTCGATAGCTATTGTCGCAAACTTGATTAACACTCCATATTTGACGAACAGAGGAAAGAGTAGACACACATCATTGGAAATAATCTACCGTTATTGACGTTGAGATAAGCTCAATGATGGTGGCATGACGAAAGCGTACCTGGAAGATTTGGGATGTCTTCTATCTCCATTACCTCTGCGCATACTGCTTTTGATAGCACAACATTTCGAGGAGAAGCTTTGGAAACATATCTCCTACTCCCACACGCTCCAAATGCTTTCTGCGCCGCCAATCCGTTGTGGTGATTGATTTACCCTGGATCACTATGTGGCACACTCGGTCTCTTTTGCAAACCACAATGCGTCTCGTTCGCAATCGAATTGCCACCAGCAGCCGGCAATTTTATCAGTATCGTTGTCATAGGCAACATGAATGAGGAACTGACGCCAGCTCCCCAAGTATGACATCCCCCACTTCTGAAAATTGTCCTCCTTCAAGGGGAAAAAGCACAATGTATTTTCGCAAAATAACCACAGGGGCAATGACAATGTCGTCACATAACCAAATGAGATGGTAACACCAGCATCTGCCCCAATCTCCTGTGCATGATGACGTGCGGGGTGCTTGATAGCTCCATGGATCTGTATTTTCAGTCCAGTATTACCGTGGTAACTTCCCACCAACGCCTGTGGCGAAATAGATTTGATTGGCGGCTGGCAGGATATTTCGCACTTCAACTGTTCGAATATTCTTTTCCAACTCCCAGTGAGATGCCTGGTGTGCCCCACAAGTTCTATTTCAATATTGTTGAAGTTCAGCTCCAGCTCGCAAAGTGTTGACGTTAAGACTTTTGCGACACTATCAACAGTCTCGCCACACCAAGACGAGTTACCTAGTATGATAACCGCGTCTCCTGAATCTGGTAATATGTGTATTGAGGAGCTAGAGCCATTTCCAGTGCCGCTGTGGTAGAATATATTCATTGGCGCTTGGTTGCTCGGCTTTCGTGGTAGAGCAAAGGCTTCATGTAAAGCCGTGTTCGGTGGCACATTGTCGATATCGAAAATATCATCGAAAATGAAATATCCCTTGCACAAAAACCAGCCCAGACAGTAAGATACATCTCCTCCAAAGTCCACAGGAATAGGGCACCAAGGGTGTAGTACCTTATCCATCTCATTTAGAGTCGAGTCAGTGGGGAGACCTTGAGACCTACCAGATGAAGCCCGATGGGCTTGAATTATAGCTGAGGCCCATCTAGTCATATCTTTTGCGGATGACTGGATCCCCATTGAGCTATCGAAGGGGAAACGGTACGCAGTATTAGGTACGTCCCGCTCAATATACATGCCATCTGCATTAGCTGTATACGTTTTCACATGCTGGCTTGTATTACCTTCAACGCATGAGCCGACTAGACTTGTTGATGAGAGGTTTAAAGGGCGAAAAATCCTAGCTGTGACAAAATCGGCAAAACTCATTCCCGAGACCACCTCAATCACTCGTGCCACAAGTGCGTACGGCAATCCATTATAGCTCCATGATCTCCTAAACTCTGTGGGATCCGGGTGCATTGCTATCATTGTAGTGATTAATGTCTCCGGATCAGAGAACCATGGAACGCCGTTGGGGCCGCAGTATAATGTTGGCTGATCTTGCAACCCAGTCCTATGACTGAGGACGTCAAGAAGATTGATCTGTGCAAGTGGACTGGTGTCTTCCACCTGCTTGAGCTCTGGCAGGACCGAAGCCAATGGTTGGTCTATGTCTATGCGATTAGTCCCGCCATGGATTCGAACCAGCGCCTCGTGCTTAACACCTTTGGTACTTACCCCATTGTATCATTCCTTCAAAGACAAGGATACCACACGCAGCCGCTGTAAAACCTTTCGTAACAGAGGCAATAGGGTAGACAGTATCACAATCCGCTCTTGTTCCGCCTGCGATGTCGCTAAACCCAAACCCTTCTTGCAAGACGCTCTGACCCTCGCATAATACAGATACGGATAGCCCTGGGCAATTCCCTAGCTGCATCAGGCGCTCTATGGTTTCCCTTTGAATGGCGAGAGAAGCCTTGAACCGCTCTATGCGCCCTTTCTTGAAAGTGTCTGCGCCCACGCTCATGGCAATGTATGTGTCTGCTGGGTTTTGTACTACGTCAAGTTGATGGCGCAGGTTGAATGTGAAGCTCTGTCTTGCTTACTGTTCGCGGTCTGCAATACTTGAAACCTTTTGCTCGATGACGCGAAGTTGAGGCTCTCATTCTACGGCGCCAAATTCCGGGAACAGTCTTGCAGGGTTGTACCCGTGATGATTTGGGGCGTGGATATCAATGCAACCATCAAAAGTACTTTGCATGACACTACTGGCGGGTGCAATGCGGCTGAATTTCTTTACAGCTCGACATTTCACCGAACGGGCTTCGGTCCTTGGCTGTCACACAGTAGCTGCATACTGTGCCACAATCCGGCAAATAGGAACTCTTCTTGAGGAATCATGTTGGAAATATGTGAGTTAGCTGCAGCCGGCCGCACCTTTCCATCGGGCGCTCTCTGTATTACATGACATGCGTCATGTGGGCACAGCCTTCTTCTGATAAGCACCAGAACATGGAAGGCTATTAATTCCCCACTCATGGCAGCAATGTGATCCACGTTCTCGCTTTCTTTCAATCTCCAAAATAAATCAGTCAAATCTCATTGTCAGCGAGAAATCCCTTAGTCATGCCTCAGATAATGCCAACGATGCCTCTTCTTGCACGTGCCGTGCACAATGGTGTAGCAACGCCGGCCAACTCGAAAGAACCTAGCGGCTCCACAACCACGCATATGTCGGATACCACCAAAAACAACTCGAAGGTTGCTCGCAAGCGGTTTCCCATTATGCAGTCCAACAGTAACTTCGGGGCACGCTAAATGAATTCAATGTTCATGGGTGAGGTGACATCGGCCCTCACTTTATTGACGCAGAACGACTGATGTTGCGACTTTAGAGTTTCAGATCATGGTAGCTTCAGTGTGGCACATTAGGTCCGTGTTATAGAAATCATTATAAGTGGAAGTGTTTCCATTATCTTTCGTAGTGTGGGACCATATTGTCAAAGTCTGAGTAATTCAACTTTTGTTCCTCCTTGGCTTGCGCTTTCCCAACGTGTTCAGTGTAGAGAAGGTAAGCTTCAGCTCTGAGGTTTGACCTTTTGGGATCATCGCCTTCGCCTTGAAAGCAGCTCAAATAGTAAAGTGATCTTGCAAGACAATTCTTCGCTTCTGACAGCTTTCGCCACATGTCGACAGCCTGTTCCATGACGGATCTATTATAATTCAGCCTTCAAGCCGGTTCAAATCGTTCACGTACTCACAATGCTTTCGTGTAGTCTTGCTTTGCTTTCAGAATCGTCGCATAGTGATGTAAAGCGGCAGCAGTATCCCGGCTGCAACCGGCAACATTTGTCTGAATATCAAGAGCTTTGAGCAATAGCTCCTCTGCTTCCTCCAGTTGCATCTGATGCTTTTTGATCCTTCCTAGTGTCGCATAGCAGCTATGACTGTTAGTTGCATTACAAGCGAAGATATCTTCGTTTTGAACTCACTCTGCAACCATGGGGCTACCGAGGCCATAGACTTGTATTATCAACTCTGTGGACTTCATGGCGGCCTCCCATGCTTGGTCGAACTTCCCCAATGCAATATATGCCGATGACATGATACCTAGATTAGAAGCTTGGCTGTTTTGATAGACGGAAACATCATGCAAATTTGCAAATTGTTCGTCCAAAAGTTGACCGGTCTCTTGCAAAATCTCAAGAGTTTTCTGAGATTGATTTAAGCTCACATAAGCCGAGGCTTCGTTTCGCATGATGTAAATCAGTTCTGTGTCAACCAAAGCCAAAGACTGTCGCATCTTCACGGCCGCTGTGAATTTGTGTACTGCAAGATTGAAGTGGCCCATTGCCATGTGGATTTTCCCTTGTGAGTTAGATATGTCCGACAAAACCTTCGTCAACTCTACATTCAATTCACTCTGTGAAGGGGATGTTGCTGGATCGGCCCCAAGCACCTGAATACCAGTTTCAGCAACCTGTTCCGCTTTGCGAAGTAATGGCGATGCCCCTGCTAGCAATCCACGTTCACAGATGTACCTGTGCATATTAGCAAGTATCAAGGAGGACGACGGCGAAAATAACGCCTTGCAGTATCAAGACGACCTTACCAGGCGGCTCGCTCCAACAATCCCGCCAATTGCAGGTACACTGTATGTTGATATATAGTTGACGCAGAAAACAGTTCGGAAAGGCGTGATACGTGTGTAATTCCCTCACTACAACTACTCCAGGCGTACACAAGTCTGTCTGTGTCATCGTATGCAGGAAAGAACTCATCCACTATAGCCACAGCTGAAGAAAAAATCTCTGATTGGTCTTCAGGTGATAGCCTGGCCAGTACTGATCCTTGGACAAGCCTATGCATAGAATAGGTATTATCCATGACACCTTTTGAAAGCAAAGAATGAGTCAACAGTTTCAGAACGTTCTCATGCGTGCTAATCCCCACGTTAGACTTCAGCAAGTTAAGGAACCTAGGGTTCGCGCGTGTTGAAGGAGGGGGGCTTTATTGTATTTGGTGGGGACCACGCACCCGGAAGTATGACCAACCGTTTCGGGAGAACTTGCTTGTGGTATAGGCACCGATGTGATAAGGTGATACTGTATCAGATCGGGGTCAAAGTGTGCTAATAGTCGTACTAGCCTCAGAGCGGACGGTGTCAACGACGAGATGGCGTGTTCCCAGAGACGAGATGTGCTAATATGGTGGAAATAATCGGGTTGACTTAGTTTGTTGAGCTCAGAGTTCTCGTCAAGGAACGCAGTCTGCGTGGAACAGAGGTTGCTTGCTTCTTCAACGGATACGTGAAGGGCGCGTGTATATCGAATGACCTGTGAAAGAGCCAGCGGAAGCCCTCCACACGCTGCATGTATTTTCATGGTGTATTCTTGATTTCGAGTATTCCCTACCGACCTTGCTGAACTATTCAAGTTGTTGGATAGAAATAAATGAGATTGTTCTTGTGTGAAGCATTTCAGATGCAAGTGCGTGGTAATCGGTGGCTGGAAGAGGGTTTGATCTCTCGTAGTGATGAGAATAGAGCCGCGGCCGCCTGTAGGCACATAGTCTTGGCAAATAGCCATAGACTCCACATTATCCAGTACGAGCAGCCAACGATGTTCTGCCGATTGTCAGCTCGATAGAACGCTCTGAGAGATGCCCCTGTGATAAAACCATACTTGTATTTCTAAACCATTTCTTCATAGGTTCTTGCAATAGGCCGAGCGAAATAGGCATATTCCCATCAGTTACACCAACTTCCTTGGCAACCTCTTCAAAATCCTGAGCGAGCTTGATCGCGGTCTCTGCTTGGACCCAAAACACAGCGCTGAAGTCTTCAAGATGATCGTATATGAAACGAAGTGCCAACTGAGACTTCCCGACGCCACCTTCCCCGATAATGCTCATCAAGGGGAGTGTCGTTCCACTTGGCGTTACTAGAGACCTCTCGAGCTGGGATAATTCATCTTGCCGGCCGAAGAACATGGTGTTTGGAGCAAATGGGATCCTCCTGAAAGATACCGATCCAGCAGACATGGTGGCTGGCTTGCCTATTGACGCCAACCCTGATAAAATCTGCTCGTGGCCGCGATTTATCAGCTGTTGGGAAAGTAGATGGAGACCAACGTTGATTTCCGTGTTGATCCACTCAGTGTTTTCTTGTATGCTGTGCAGCAGATGGGCGAATTCGCGCTGCAGCTTATTTTTTCTTTTAATCCACGGCACATTGATTTGCACTATGTTGACTTTGTTCGTGTTAGACAGGTCTGATCAGATACACAGCGATTTTCTCAAGGAAGGGCCTACCAATAGGATGTCGGGTAAGGAAGATACATGCTTGCAAACAGAATTGAATTAGGTCATGATACAAGCCACAGAATGCTTTCTCTATCCGCTGTGATATGACAAACAGATTTACGAAACTTTGGACTCGTGGCAAGTGTTTGGAAAGATATTCAAGTATACCCAGAATATTCTCAAGGTAGCCTTGATGTCGAAGGGCAACCTAGCTGACCATAAGCATTTGTATCTTGCCCTGTTGACGGCTGGACTTTAGGTTGTGCTCAGCCATCCTTGAGCATGACGTTGCCTGGGAGAAACATACTTCAAGTACCGCATACAGTGAACCCCATATCAGTGAAGCAATCTCCGGGTTGGACTGAACATAGATGCTAACCGAATTCGCGAAAAATTTCAACTGCTGGAGGAATGGGTCGATCCTTGCTAATAGTCTTGGTATTGCCCTTTTCCGGTACGCAGATGAGAGACTGGTGACTTCTATTAAGAGTTTCTCAAGGCTCCCGATATTCTGGAGTTTCTGATATTGTGGCGGCGAAAGGATCCTTTCAAAGCCTTCTACGGCCTGCGTCCAGACGTTTCGAAGGCGTGACTCTGCAGTTTCCGCCTCGGCGGGGTCATTCGTGTCGGGCGCTTGGGCCATCTGATAAACGCGGGTGGACGGGCAAGCCAAACAAAACGCTACAGACAGTGTAGTTTGGCAACGCTAGGCTGAGAGTACTTGCAACACTTATGTTGAAACAACTGTATATCATAGTAAAGTCCAAAGCATAGCGGACCCAGCAATGGTCGAGGACGGCATTTTGCCCGTACTCCAGATATTGGACGGCCATGCCCGCCGCATTGTCAATATGAGTGCCCCCTGCGAACATGGCTGGGGGCCTGGACGCCACATTTTGCGTGGAACACGCAGCAAGATTCCTTTGGCGGTACTTTGCGAGCCTTGCATCAGTGTCCAGAGCGGCGGGGCTGCAATTCATTGATTGGATCGCGGAACTTCAAAAGCATGCAACCTCCGCCCCACCCAGTGTCTGAGATTGCCAATGCAAACTAATCACGGTGAGACCTTCATGGATCAACACTGTGCTGTCCCTCGTGTGTCGAAGGATAACATTTCAAACGACTACCAAGCCCTGTAGACTCACCGCTGTCAGATTCTTTGGTTCTGTTGACTTCATCTCGATTTCACTGCCCACAAGCCCTGCCACAACCATGGCAAATATCGACGAGCGTAAACTCCTCCCGGCGCATGTCAAGCCAAGCAGCTATGAGATTTGTTTAGAGCCCAACTTTGATGCACGGACGTTCTCTGGCCGCGTCAAGATTCTGTATGTCGATCTGTACTCAACACGCAGAAGTCACTACTTATTACCCACGCAGGTGCCATGTACTCTCACCGACGAGGCAGGTTCAGTTGAATGGCAAGAATATTGTTATAGAAAAAGCCGTCATTGAACAGGAAGGCACTGAATTGGGTCTGCAAGAACCTGTGAGGTAGGACAGGCCTCCACAAACTGTTGGCTGTTGATTGATTCCTGATTGATCAGCTACAATGACCTCGAAGAAACGATTGAGATCACTACAACTGAAGAGCTTTGTTCTGGAAGCGAAGTCCATTTGACTTTGGAGTACTCGGGGCAGTTTAACGAAAAATGCGTTGGCTTTTATCAGTCTAGCTATACGGACAATGATGGTTTGAAGCATCCAATTGCTGCGACAGCTATGGAACCGACCTATGCGAGACAGGTAAGCAGATTTGGATCATAAGTTCAAAGTGGCGATGCAAGTTCACTGAATGCTACTATTAGGCCTTTCCTTGTTTCGATGAGCCTGCACTGAAAGCCAAATTCACGATTTCCGCCCTCGTCGACGATTCATTTGAGTGCTTCTCAAACATGCCCGTGAAGCAAGCTGAAAGCGTTTCAGGTTCACTCAAGCGGGTAGTTTTTCATGAAACACCGCTCATGTCAACCTATGTAAGTCCTGAAATAGCACCATGATGACGAGACTAATGAGTTTTTTTTTTGAAGCTGGTAGCCCTTCTTGCGGGACATTTGGCGAAGACCCAGTCAAACGATGCTCGGATACCCATCACATTGATCTCTCCCATTGGTCGTGAAGATGAGACGAAATTTTCATTGGATCTTGCTTGCAAAGGGCTGCACTTCTTTGAACAATTATTCGGATTATACCCACTCCCAAAACTAGACTTAGCCGCTGTGCCCGACTTCGCAAGCGGTGCACAAGAGAATTGGGGGCTTATCCTTTTCCGCGCTCAGAACCTGCTGGTTGATCCGGAAGACAGCGCATTGGACAGCAGAAAGAATACCGCTAGGACTATTTTGCATGAGATTTCTCACATGTGGTTTGGCAATCTGGTCACTATGAAATACTGGGATGGACTCTGGCTCAAAGAAGGATTTGCTAATCTGATGGCATGGATTGCCACAGACAAATTCTTTCCCTCTTGGACTATTTGGGATCACTACGTCGCCAACGACCTTCAGGCCGCCTTGGAGCTCGACGGACTTCGAAGCACACATGCCGTGGAACAGGTTGTGAAGAATCCAACAGAGGCCAAACAGATTTACGATGAGATCTCGTACAATAAAGGCTGCTGCGTTCTGAAGATGATTAGCCATGAAATGGGCGAAGAGAGCTTTACGCAAGGCGTCAAAAACTATATCGATGCATTCCAATATGGCAGCACAGAGTCAGATGATCTCTGGTCCTCGTTAGAAGAGGTTACTGATCTTCCGATCAAGGACAATATGCATGTCTGGACCAAAAAATCTGGGTTTCCGGTCGTTAAAGTCAACAAGCGGGTTGATGAAGCCTCCAAAAAGACATTCCTGTGGCTGACTCAACATCGATTTGTTGCGAGCGAGATGACTGCAGGAACGGATTCTGTAGGAAGCAGTCACACAAACTACCCCCTTCGCATTACTATCAAGTCTGAGTCTGGCCTCGACACATACGACATGTCGGAACAAGAACTCGAAGTACCGATATCAGAGGAGACGTGGTTTAAACTCAACGCGAACCATGACGGTTTCTACGTTACGTCATACTCTTCAGAGCTTCTGGTGAGCCTTATAGACGCCGCTGCAAAGAATAAACTGAGTCTACGTGACAATGTAGGCATGTCATGCGATCTGCAGCGATTGGTTGCTTCCGGGGTCAACCGGACCAGTGATCTTCTGAACCTAATCATCGGTTTTCGACATTCCAGCGACTATCTCGTCTGGGAAACACTGGACAGAAATCTGCGCGCTGTTCAATCCGCATTCAAGTTTCGAGGGCCAAAAATTACGGACGGCCTCCAGAGACTGTCATTAGAAGTCTTCGGAACCAAAGCCCATGAACTCGGCTGGGATGTGGAGGGAGACGACGACACTACAACTGCTTTCAAAGCGTCCATGTTCAGTTCTGCAGGCCTTGCTGGCAACGAGAAGTAAGGATTTATTCGCTCAATAATGCTTTAAATATTAATCAAGATTAGGGTTGTATCTGCGGCCCGTGAGTTACTCGATGCTCGAGTAAATGGCAATGATCGAAGTATACCCGCTTCGTTGAAATGGGAGGTATTCGGCATTGTAGCGGCGCACGGTGGGAGGGAGGAGCTACAGCAATTGTTCAATATCTGGAAAACGTCTCAAAGCGAGGATGAGAGATTCTACGCCCTTGAATGCATGGGACGGACTTCGACACCGGAATTGGTTCAGTGGGTTTTGGGGTTTTCGTTCACCGACGATGTCAAAGGACAAGATGTAAGGCCATGAAACAAACGTTAGTTGCAATCGCTAATACATAGCCAGCTATTCGTTATGTTGTGGCTAATCAACTCATCGCCCACAGGCGCTATTGAGTTCTGGCAGTGGGCAAAGCAGAACTGGGATAAGCTTGTGGAAAGGGTGACTGAGCAGCACCTTGGATACATCCTAGAACTGTTGATCGATGGCCTCGGTACCAGGGAACAAATAGCAGATGTGGAGAATTTCTTCGATGGACGCGACACTGCTGCTTATAGCATGACTCTTGCAGGAAGATTGGAACACATGAAGACTCGATGTAGCTGGTCCGAGCGTGACGAAGAGGATATAACAAATTGGCTGGTCAACCATGGATTTACAGATAGATCGCACCAGAGCAGCACATTGCAAGGATAGGGATATTAGACAAGCGATCTTGTCGCCTAACCACACAAGCTTCCTTTCTTTCTACAGCACGATCATCCATCAATATAATGAGTTAGGAAAACAAGATTGGTTACGACCAGTAGTCAGTAAGGTGAGCGATCCCTAGCCTTCCAAGAAGCTTTAGAACCAAAAAACTAGAATCCCTATATGGCTGTATGTCTGATATAGATGCATTTTATAATCAGCGAAGTAGTAAAGAGCCTACTGTCGCGGTCGTGCTTTCCAATGCTTCTCCGTCCATGATACCATGAACATAGCTGTCTCCAATTAACTTAAATACTGGGTATGAGGACGAATCATTCTCCCTTGAATCTGCTTCGGAGTTATCAACTCGGTGCAGCACGAAGGGAACCTTTGAGCCGCTAATCACGTATACGTCGTCGCCAGGCAAGATAGGATCCGGTCCGAGCCCGAGATAGCCGTTCTGTGTAACAAAGAACTTCCTGTTCCTTGTCGCTCGGACGACCGAGGCCTGGTAGCCCTCCAAATCCACAATGCCTGTATGGTTGTTGAGAGCCTCGTCGTACCCGAATTGAAGAACTGTTCTCCATAGCTCGTACATTTGTCTGTCTTCTGGCTTTGTGCGCCTCATCTCGTACTTCAGGGAGCCTTCGATTTCGACAATCATGTCTCCGCAAAGTGTCCGCCAGTAGGCATCTGCCCATGTTCCGCCGCATTTATAGATCTGCCTGTCATCATCAGGCATGCTTGCGAGAGCCAAGACATCGCGACAGGTTGTGGAGGTCGAGTCACCTATGTTCTCAGAGTTCATTAGTGGGCCGACAGCAGCTATCGAATCAACGAGGACTCCCTCGACCTTCAGTATTGATCCCGGAAGCCGATCAGCCACGAGTTCACAGTTCTTCGTGGCGTTGTAGTGGTGGTACATGGCCGTTCGCTCGATGTCCCACTGCCAAACATCTTTCTTCGACTGCTGGCCCCAATCTGCTACCCAAGAAGGAAAATCTGCATTTCTTGTTGCGTCTCCAGCTAAGACAGACAAACTCGATACAGAGCCGATTAGATTCATGGTGACATCTTCGTAGACCTCGCGGGCGCTTCTTCTGTAATCTGGTCTTATCGAGCCAATATCTCGTGGTGAGCTGACCAGCCCTAAAACTCCGTATACTTTGTCTCTGCTATCCGTTGCTTCTCGATGGAAGTTCTGCCGTAATATCCAAAGAAGGTCAAGTTGCGTACCGATTGATCGATGCATACGTATCATTTCGAGCGTTCTGGCTTTGAAACTGAACGCAGAAATCACGTCTTTTACCTCGCCCGAGAAATTTGTACATTGTTCCAGGCAGCACGAGTTGGCATGATTCTCAAACAGCATCCCTGCCTGGGCGATGACGTCCCATGGACAATTCATAGACCCGTATACCACGGTAGCGGACGGAGGCAAGACGATCTCTTGAACTATCCAAATCCGAGTCCAGTATGCCAAGCTCACGATGCTGTAGAACTCTCTGAACCCAGAATTGAAGCAGTCAGATACGTCCCACAACGATGCCCTGCGTTCAACAAAGCATGGCAGCTCGTTAACATGTCGGTCGCTCGAGAGGATGTAAAACATAGAAAACGCAAGCAGAACCTCGTAATTATCCAAGTCGACGCCGTCTGGGTCGCGAGTAAAATCTCCAGCCTCCAGAAATTTTCGAAGTTGGTCATGGCCCTCTTTAAGGGTTTGCCTGTCACCCTTGGGTTCTTCTCCTTTCCTCTCACCGAGCCACATAAGTACCTCCTGACAACCTTCATATATCTCGCCCATAATCGATACTTGCTGGGAGAGTTCATCTAGCAATGACTGGTTGATGCACAAAGCATCGATCCAGATGACTCTCGTATCAGTTGGTAGTCGCAAGCGTCGTAAAGCAGCGTGGAGGTTCGTTGTAACCGGAACTTCGCAGCCATGAAGAAGAATGAGCTTGGTGGTCTCTGGACTGCCCCACACGTAAGAGAGAGCCTGGTACTCTGGCGTGTCGTCTAGTGAGGCAACGTGTAATTCGCACGATACTTGATCGTCCCACACGCCCGGGAGTAGATGTAGCAGCCTAATTTGGCGACTGTGAATATCAAGGCTCCTGTACTGGTAGCACGGAACATCCATTCTTGCAAGAGAAAGGCAAAGAAGTACGCGTGGCCGCTATCACCGGCCAGGATATTTCCATGGGCTCCTTACGTCGCGGGTGAAACCATGAAACTTTCATTTCAGCTGAGTGATGCTCTCGACGTTAGCTTAAGAGGCAGGAACGGGAAAGCAACGGATAAACTCAGCTTCCGATTCCAAGAGCGTTTTAGCCTCTCTTTGATTCTACATCAACAAATACCTTATGTTGCTAACCTTAGGAAGCAGACTATTGTACCTTGCCTTAGCCAAGTAACGCGCAGTCTCTGCTCAAGGTCAAGACCCACTAAAAAGGTTGCAATGGCAGGTACACTCATATGGAAGTAACTCTTGTCCCCAGTTGATGCTATTAAGTATGCCCAGTTTTACCTCTTCTTTAATAGCACACGTTGCGTTCGAGTTTCTCCAGCGCCAGAGCTCTGAGGGGTCTATCTGTCGTCGCGATGACTGCAGGAATGAGATGAAAGCTTGGCGAATCTTGGCGTCCCGTGCGGCCCCTCGCTGACATTCACTGGAACTGCTGAGGCAATCGCTACCAAGACTACATGGCACAGTTCAATTCAATTGATGGGGTTTCATGTATCGATCAAATCGATACCCACTCGTCTTAGCTTGGATCTGACCGACCAATCCCTCCAACACTTGAACCCTCGAGGCCACGATTGTGCTTTGCTGTCCGTACTCATTGGTGTGGATCATGAGGAATTGCTTATTAGGCCAGGTTATATCCACTGAGCCTTCGGACTTGCCGTGGTCTATTTTTCGTTGATATTGGTTGTCCAGGCTTATCATCTCTATCAAGCATAGTGCCTAGCCGTATCACACTTGTAGAACAAGCTTCATCTCTTGTCTATCCCCGCATTGTCTCTTGCGAGGCTTGTTTTAGCTCTTATTCAATAGCCTCGTCTCAGCTGGAGAGTTCAAGCGGCAACCTTGGCTCTCCTGAGGAAAATCTCCTTTGTCGAATCCGGCATTGAGTCAAGCCCTACATCAATGTTAGGATAACGTTCCGTCACTCCGTCCGGCATCTTAATATCGTATCCTAAGAGTATCCGGGCCAAGACAATCTTGATCTCGTTGGCAGCGAAGAAACGACCGGGACTATGTCATGTCTGTGAGCGATTCCCCAAGACGAACCCTTAGGAAGAGTAATCGAACATAAGGGCTTACCATGAGTGACGTCCATATCCTAAGTGCATGAAATCCTTCGTGGTGGTAACGAACTGGTACTGTTCTTTGTTTTTGTACAGCAAAGGATCCATAGTAAGCCCGTTGCGCAGATTCACGAAACGGTGGGCATCGAATGTCTATCATGTGCATGAGCAGCTGCCTCGAAAGAAGCCAGCATATTCAAAAGAAGGATTGCTCACTTCTGGATTAGTATAAAGCTCAGGATCTGCGGCAATCTCTCCGTATGGAGCTTCAATCATGGAACCAGGTGACAGATGCGTGCCATCGCTCAGCGTTACTGGTTGATTAACATAGCGCACGAATCGGACTGCAATATTTGTCAGCACGTAGTGTTCCCATTTGACGCTTTGGGTCGGATCATACCCAGATTTCCAGGGTTAATCCTTTGCGACTCCTTCATAGTGCTGTCGAGCAGTTTCATTTGAAAAAGCGCTCGGGTAGTGAAGATGTCATTATTTGCAGCGAGCACGGTCCGGATTTCATCTCGAAGCTCTTGTACAAGTTCGGGCCGGACGGCAAGATCGTATAAACTGCATAGTTGGGTCAATTCTTGCGCTGCGCGCGAACTTCATTGACAAGACACTTACATCATGGTGGTCGTGAATGTGGTGGTATGGATCGCTGCAAGGCTCAAGTTCAATTGGACAAGGGACAGTTCGTCGTCGCTAATATTGAAGTCCGCTCCCTTGTTCATCATCCACTGTAGCACGTCATCCGGTAATTCCTCGCCATCTTCCATCAACTGCCGTCTTGCTGCAATAACAGGCGCTAACCACGTTCTAGCCTTTTTCTTCTGTTCATTAAAAGTTCGAATCTCAGTAATAAAGTGCTGGCCTATAGGGCGCAACCATGGCTTCCACTCCTTTAATTTGTTCATTGAACCAATCACATTTACCGTGTAGTTGATAGCAGGATTGATCCAGTCATCCGACTGGCACAGATCAGGGCCTAGGAATATATTGCCAGAAATGATCGCAACAATACGAAGAAGCTTTTGGTAAACAACGACAGGGGTCCATTCCTCACAAGATCCCAGTTCACTAAGTACCGTTTTGGCGCTTGCTTCATTTAAGCGATAATTGATACGGTCTGTCACAAATTAACATTAACCAAGAACAGTACGTAAGTAAATTCCAATACACACTGAGAGAGCGGGTTAGGTCGCCGCGAACAACATGGGCTAGGAAATCGGTATGGACCTGGTTGCCTCCGATACCTGTATACTTGGCAACCATGACCTACACTCATTAAATTAACCTCGTCCACTTCAAAACAACGTCTGAACGTACCTTCTCAAAAGCCTTGGTAAGGTTGAAGTGACTGTCGGGCATGTGTCTCGTTTCGTGTATCAGGTGACGAGGCAGAATGATCCTATCGCCTAACTCATCATTAAATACATGTTCTAGTAGGGAGCCTTGGCTGAATTCGCATGGTAAAATGACATCTCACCATCAGTGCCTGTCACTCTCCAGGCTCTATTTTTGAACTCCCTATAACCATTCTTATAAATTTCCCGAGCATTTTCGATGAAAGCCCGTCTGCGTTTATCCGTATTGCCTAGCTCCCTCCCTACTAGGGGTATCTTGTTTGTTGACTCGCGAAGAAGCCTCAGACTGTATAAGATGAAGATGCTGGCGAGAAGCGGCACGACGAAACTCTGAACGAGGCCCCTTTCGATGAGGAGATACGCAAATCGGTCCATATTAGCCGTGGTTAACAGGACAGTACTTGTGATGAATTTTAAGAAAATTCTCTTAAGGACAGAGATGGAATTCGTAAGCAAATATACTAATGGCAACCATCAGAGAATAAAGAAATGAAACAGCCATCAAATTGTAAGCCGGTAGCAAAATTGGAACAAGCTGCTTCAAGCGATGATATAATCGCCCGAGCCGTTATCGCACCTTCCATGATTACGGAGCCAATAAGGTTCATCTATCTGTTCTCAGATGATCACAAACCTTCGGCATGGTACGTTACATGTTAAACAAGGACCGCTTATACACACTGTGTTGCAGATTTAGAAACTGGACCCTTCCTTGCAACGATGGCGCTATCATGCAGGGGTCGACAGGGTCAGTGTGATCGCTGTCGATCCTGTCAAACCAACGTGACCCATCACCGACATTTTCAATATCACGATACCGGGTGAAATGAAAATTTAAGATACCATCCAGTTCTGTTCAGACCAATGGCGGGAAAACATCTAGCACTCATGTTAAGTTGCCGGCTTGTGATTGTCACCAACAGCCGGCGGAATGCAACGACTGTCGGAGTGAATATTTTGTGCTGCGCCTTTTCCCACCAGGATGAAACCAGCCTTCTGAATGGTCTCGAGCCGCCTCCACCACGATGGATTTTGACTTCGCGGCTCCCTTAACCAAAAATCCCTACAAGTGTGAACTTTATTTTTGAAAAATTGATGCATAGATCTCGAGATAAGGTTTCTGACAATGTAACCCTCATTGTGGGCTAGGAAAGGATGGCGTGGCCTCGGTAGATCCCATTAGACGACATCTGCCAATAAGGTGACGCTGAAGTTGGTCGTTATTTCCATTGCCAAGACCGTGTGACATCTGGCGACAGGCAGCCCATCGCAATTGAAACCGTAAATTTCTCAGCAAGACAAGTCTCAAGGCTGGCATATGCGGCTGCCAGTACTTTAGAGCGCAATCCACATCGCTGTCAGAAATGGTACACCTATCAAACACGAGGGGGCTTAACTGCCGTTAAACCTTAGATTCTTGGAACGGGTCTACACAGACGGACCAGCTCCCATACATAGAACATAATAGCACTGACCAGGTCCTTATTTGTGTGGCCACAAAGGTAATAGCGGGGGAAATAGGTACCAACTTAGGAATACTATATAGTAGGCAGTTCCTTTATTTGATTGGACATGCTGAATCACTTGGTTTGTGTAGACCCGTTCCAAGTATCCGAATTTTAACGGTAGTTACAGTCGGGAGAGAAAAGTCTAAATCTCAGCCGGGATGTAACCAAGGATGGAGCCGCCCGCTGCTAGCGTCGAAAGGTTATCTGGACGCGCACAGTGTCTACAGTACGCGGCAACTACACAGTAATATAGATCCGCCAAGTGTATCGCCAAACCTCCATATGCAATTCGAACAAATCAAAACATCGCCGCCGTACCGTGGTACTACGAAAACGCTGTATCAATACTCCGTGTACCATTCCGCAATTACTGTAAAAGCTTAAAGTCGACGAGGCATTAAATCTAAAAGGGATGAAGTGCAATAGCGCTCCTTTATGTTTCCCCTAAGGATCTAATTACACGGTTGGGTAAACATCCATACGGCTTATACTCCCTATATCACGTTCAACGGATACCTCGTTAATATAACCAACGCGGCGGTATAATCATACCGTCCAAAGTAGATGTTTAAGGTCCCACACAAGTCGTTTTCCCGGGTGTACTTTCGTCTTAAATCAATGGATTTGAGGAGGTTCCGGGAGGTATTATATAGATTTAAATATGTCATTACATTTTAAGTAAGGTCTCTGTCTTTTGCAGGGAGCTTTCGAGGTATACGAAGGCGTAGCGATGAGACGTTATTAATTCGTATTTTCTTACATCGTATCGTGTTTTGATAATACCAAGAAGGATCTCAAGGTGCTATACATTAATTTACAAATCTCTCACCTCAACTGAGGATAGAGTTTCTTTTCACGATCCATCATCGACAAGGGCTTCAGAAATGAGCTGAATTGCTTCGAAACGCGTGTTGTAGGACGGTGAAATTGAGTCCTAAAGGCAGCCACGCGTCTCGTACGGATTTGGAATGGTGGCTTGGCGGCGGACTTATATTAGTTGCCACGTACTGTATCTTTATAACTAGTCATGATGAAAGCATATTGAGCCTAGTTCAAGGTATTTATGGAAGCAAGAACTTGGCAAAGGCAGATTTCAAGAATTGGGTTTCGGTAGTTGCGCAATAGCGGGACACAGATAATGGCTTAACAGTGATGCATGGCTTCAGTTGGCATATTGTCTTTGTGTCGTCATATCTTAGCTACGCTAACTACGCACAGCATTGAGTTTACCATGAAACAGCGCGAACGTAGACTTTGAGTAGAGGCGAGGCTGGGTGAAGAATAGCGGAATGCCCGTGAGTTTTCTTCAGTGCATTATGTCATGATAGGGTCCGACGGTGGCATCGTAGGAGTGGAAACTGGAGAAGCATAAATCCGGTCGCCCTTAAGTTACACTGAAAGTTTTCCCACATCCCTAAGGTCTAGGGCAATGTGAGACAAGGCATCGCAACCTGCGGTCAAGTACTTTCCCGTCGTGCAATTGCCGTTCTACTTGACATGCTCGAATCACTTGAAACAATATCGTGGTAGATAAGATTACAGTTTTACTAAGAATTCTCACGATCCGCCATTGGTGCAGCTCGGTGTGGAATATTATGTATTGATCGACGTGGCCTGATACCATGTTACCAAGCAATCAAACTCGAGATATGTAGCAGCATAGACGTCCATTGACCGTGATGACAGATTGCTACATCTTTGTGATTCTGGCCAAGACCTTACTGCATTGTCGATTGACATTGCACTAGTAGCTAAATCCACAGGCAAAGCATCAGGTCATGCCCTGCTGCATGGACCCCATCTATGTCTCATCACCCGTCCGGCTTGAGAAGCGGGAATTAACCAATGCGCCCTGGAACCTAAACTTTTGATCCCCACCTGTGTACGGCAGTTACCCATTGATCTATTTGACTTACAATTTTGCTCTGGAATCAAAATGATACCACTTTAAAGTCAAGTTGCTTCCCGCCCAGGTTGTTGCAGCTGGGCAAAACGCACATTATCATCGCAGGCTTACAATCCGAAAGAGATGTCCCTACTATCTCTCCTGCGGGACTTACATCCATCTCAAATTGGAGTGCTGCTTCCGCCTGTCTTGTTTGTCTATGTCATTCTTGCTTGGATCATCCAGGGAAAAAGCTCTAATACCGTCCCTGGAACTGATACGTGGTCAAAGTGGGCTAAGCTTTGCTTCCTGGCGGTAAAACAAACACCGAACATTGCCGCAGAGTGTTACGTCAAGGTAGCAAAATTCACTATCTCTTCCTTACGTGAGAATATGGCCCCTAATACCAAGATGTAGTATAGCAAAAATGGCAAGACATACGCAATTCCGAACCTACTCACGATGCCGGACGGACCGGACTACGTTGTTCCCAAAGAGGAGCTGGCGCGCTACCTTGCTCATGAAGATGTATTGGACCTCTCACCAGTCCTCTTCGATAACTTTCAGCCCGACCACTGTTTTGTCTATCCAGTCCATAAGAACCAATATCACCCCCCTTTGATGCGCAAACTGGCACGTGATGTCTTCGGTATGGTAGAAGATATGATGGAAGAGGTGCAGCATCAGGGCACGGCTGTGCTAGGTATGGAGACATCCTGGACTCAACGTTCGGTATTTGTCTCTATAGAGCGCCTCACTGCTGGAGCTGCTTCAGCAATGGTGGTCGGGAAAGAACTAGGTGAGTGAAGGACTACCAAGAACATGTGCGGCAGGCTGACCAGCGAAGCTCGCGATAAAAATTATATAGACAACCTGATTCGCTGGAGTAATGCGATGTTCCTGGCTGGAACTATCACACGAGTCTTTCCCGGGCTTCTACGACCGTAAGAGGGATAAGAACGATCTATCCTAGACACTGGGAGCTGACGAAGTTTCCAGGATCGTGGGGTTCCTCGCGATATTTCCCAGCCGTTACTACTTCAGTAAATTTGCTGCATGTCTACAGCCGAAGATGAACGAAAAGCTCGTAGAATTACAAAAGGCTCGCGAGGCAGGTGGTGAGACAGATGCTGCAGCTGTACGTCCTGGAAACCTTTGAAAACTAGCTTACAAGGCATATCTGTAGTCCATACTGATCTGAGAGGAAGGCAAATGTTCTCGAGGGCCATCTCATTGAAGCGCTGTCACGAAACGACCCCCGAGAGCTTCACCCGGGACTTTTAGCCTACCGCATCATCTTTTTCTCAACCTCAGCCTTCCAAACCATGTCGGCCGCGGCGACGCACCTGATGTTTGACCTATATAGCGCCGACCCATCCTTAGGCGTTGTTGAAACCCTACGGTCCGAGATTGAGGCTGCACTCCGATTGACCGACGGCAGATGGACCGCTCAAGCCCTTAGTGCCATGCCGAGGCTCGAGAGCACCATTCGCGAGAGTATGAGATTATCCGCCTTCAGCACGAGAGGCTGTTCAAGGAAGGTTATCAGCCGCAATGGGTACACGACGTCCAAGGGTGAATATATCCCATACGGAGGAACTGTCTCAATACCGCAGTGGTCGATACACCACGACGATACAGTTTACGAGGAGGCGCTATCTTTCAGGCCGTTCCGCTTCTATGACGAGAAGGAGAATACTTGCGTCAGCCTTGCAACGACGTCGGAGAACTTTTTGTCTTTTGGACATGGGAAACGAGTTTGGTGAGTTCATAATCTCCACCGAGGCTGGAATCATGTGCTGACATTCCGTACCAGCCCCGGGAGATTATACGCAGCCGTGACGCTCAAGCTAGTGCTGGCATTTGTAGTCATGAATTACGACGTCATGCCGCTTGCCGAGCGTCCCACTGGCCACTGGTTGGGCACGAATCATGGCCCACCGCTGAAGGCTACATTGACTGTTAGGAGGCGAATCACGGTGTAACTTTTCGGGAGGAGAACTCGTAGGATCTTCCATTCGCAGCAAATTAGCATCTTTAGTTAAATTAAATCAGAATATCAGGGAGGTTTGCAATGCAGCTGATTCGTGCAAACCTATATCTTTCAGACGGGTTACATCGTAGTCTATAGATAATAATAAAAAAATTTCTTGTCTTCCTCCGAGTAACTGCCCTCTTAGTAGAAATAAGTGCCGTCGTGAACTCGCTCTATAAGATCAGTGGTCACGAAGCAGCTTGTAGCTGCCGTTCGTCGGCAGCTGGCAGCGGGCAGTATACGCCTCGCATTGACCTTTGGTGACCAATGTCTCGGGCTTATGTACACCTGAGGCCGAGGGGCCAGTTATCCGCGGCGTGCCCCACTTTATTCGTGATTATGCAGTCGGTCACCAGCGCAAGCTGGAAAGTCGTCAGCTGAAGGAGCCACAGAGCCTTCCATATCCTGTCTATCTTGCTCGTCATTCGAATTGTAGCATCACATTCCAGGAGAACTAACGCAAGAGTCAATCAGCACTCGTCTTATCCTAAGATTGTTCGTACAGCTAAAAGGTCGAGCATTGCCCGATATGTCGACGGCAGGACCCTGGCAATCCCTTCCATATAGGACCGCCAAAGCTGGGTGGAGTGAGGACGTCGGAGGCTCGCACAGCCCTGAACGTGGACGGCCACTTGAACATGGGGAGTTCCTGGTACGTTGCGCAACGCTCCTCATGGTTCTGGACGGCGTCGCCGTAGCGACAAAGACTGAAGCAGCAGCGGTTGAGCCACTCCAGCAATGGTTTTTGGCACACGACACCAGCGCATCAATCGGAGGGGATGAAGGGCCTGCCTTACCCTTGAAGGTATGGCAGAAAGACATTGGAGACCGCTTTCGGCAAGAATATGAGTGGCACGTACTGGCCAGCTTGAGTCTGGCCGTGGCATTTCTCCATGACAAAACTCGGCAAAAGAACGAGGCTTCTCAAGAGGTGTCCAAGGAAGAGCTCGATGATGTCTGGCAAATTGTAAGAGATTGCTTGGTCTTCTCACCGGAGCGACAGCTCTTCACTGCCTCGCGCAGCGCACAGGGATTCCTGTCTGTCCCATTGTGCAGTCTGCAAAAAGAGGGCAACATTGATCTGCTTTATCGCCTGCACATATGGCTGCCTGACGGGAAACGCGGAAACCCAGATTTCGCAATACACTCCCATCAGTGTTTCGCTCAAAGCTGGATTCTGGCTGGGCAAGGCAAAGACAACACTTACGACGTCACCCCCGAGGAAATCCCTGGGGAAGCTACCCACGCCGAGTTCGCGCTCGTTTGGAGTGACGTCAATGGCAGCAATGTCGGGAAGTCATATAAGACGCACCAGAAGTTTTCCAGGATTGAGAATACGAGGAAATTGGTGTGCACCAAGGTGAAGTCGTCTAGCACTCATACAGCGGGTATGTCCTACACAATACCAGAGGCAGCCTACCATACTACGACCGTGTCGCCCAAAGGGATGCACGCGACATTATTCGTCTTTGACTCTCGAAGGGGATTCAAGCAAGATGCGGGAATTCTGGGCCCAAAATACGAAGAATTCTCTTCTCAGAGCCGAGATCCCGACACAGCGATTCCATCCATGCTTGCCAGGAAGATCGACGTTGTACGCAAATGGGAAAGGCTCATTCGCCGAGGACGTATGTTAGCTGAGGGCTCAGACTTGGACGGCGCCTTGTCAGCCTTCGACGAGGCTCTGAAAGAAGTGGAGGCATACGACTACTTTCCAAATGCTCCCCAGTACAAGCACCAGACGCAGGGCGATCGAGCGAAGATATATCTTCGTTTCGGCAAATATAAAGACGCGGAAAACATCCTTCGGTCAACCGTTCAGGAAATGGCCCCCAGCGTTGAGCGCGTTGAACTCGAGGGAGAGCTAGCCCTCCTGTATGGTGGCATGAAACAGCTCGACGACTACAAGCAAGCTTGTAAGGATGCATACGACACTGCAAGACGGCTGAATGTCGACCATCTCATGTGCCGGACAGTCGGAGCCCTGGGATTAGTGAACTATTTACTCTATTTGCGTGATCGAAATGAAAGTATACTGGAGCTTGCTATATTCCAACTTCAAGAGCGTGTCTACTTGGCACTGAAACTCAAGGAACAGGCCTCTAAGCTCCTCGACCCTGTTACAAAGAACAGCGAGGTCAAGTCTGCTCTCACAAGAGCATCGATTGGCTATGGCCGTTTGTCGCTGTGTTATGAAGCACGTCAAGATGTTCCAAATGCTACCGCAGCGAGCTTGGACTCATTGAAAATGGCCATCGAGTCAGGAAGCGCCTCTGTGATAGCCATGTCACGCTACTTCTACGGTCGAGCCCTGTTACAAGCGAATCAATCAGGAGACGCGCTAAGACAGTTTAATCCACCAAAGACATGTACCCCGGCTATGGCGTTGTGTATGGAACCTTCGGATGAGAACCGTGAATACTTAAAACAAATCGTCGAAGCTGGTGCGGACATGGATCTTGTTGATGAGCAGGGCTACACAGCTCTGGACTATGCAGTCTACAATGGAAACCTGGAAATGGTGACCCTACTCCTCGAAGCACTACGCCGCAATTTTGGATCTGCCGACTTTGTTCAAGCGCGTGTAGATCGCTTACACCACGAGGCTAAAGTCCGGAGAGGATACAGGGAGATTTTCCAGGAGAAGCTCCGACCAATTCTACTCGAGGCTCAAAGTCGAGGAGGCGGGGTGGCCCGAACAGTCTCCGGTCTGCGTCGGACCTATGCAAATGCCCTTGGCGCTCAAGACAGAAGCTCGCTCTTCGATAAACTCAGATACGTCAAGTACACGGACTTCGTGGCACTAGGTCGGCTACCCCATTCAGAAGACGTCGAAATCATTCAAGAGTACGATGCAGATGTTGCGCAGGGTGTGACGCAAGATCAGCGTGATGACGACTTTGTAATTTTCATATCATATCGCTGGATTTACATGGACGTGATAAGAATGATCCAGTCACCTGATAACCCTTCTGATAATAGACAATATTTGAGGATGATCAGGGCAGTAAATGAGTTTCTACTACAGAATCCTTCGATTAGCAGGGATAGAGTCGGAATATGGATTGTAAGTCATGAAATACCTCTCCACCTCCTCATGGTCACGAAAGCTAGTTTACTTAAATCTCTCCTTAGGACAGTGCATGTATCAATCAGAAAAACCCGGGGCCTGGGGTGTCAGCATTACCTATTCTCCTCGCCCAGTGTGATGTTGTGATCAGTCTCGTAGACAGAGACTATTACAATCGCGCATGGTGTTGCATCGAAGTTGCAATGGTTCAGCAGCTTAGCAGATCATACAAATTGCACCATTGGTACGAGCATAAGGACAGCACCGAAGGGCAAAACGGAGAGAAACTTGAACGTGGACCGATAGATAAGATAATCAACATGACAGAGAAGCAGCTGACATACGAGTCTGACCGGCCAAAGGTACTCTTTCTTGAGAGGCAGAGCAGGTTGCTCGGGCGAGATGTTGATTTACAGTATTGATGGCTTCGACAGCAGGAGGCCTGTAAATGGAACCCGTTGATGACAAGTGTATGCTTCTTCGAGATAGTGCTAGGGTCAGTCTGAGGAATGAAGGAAGCAGACCAAAATAACGAAAGACAACATGCATGACGATCTAGATCTAATGCTGTTAGAATCACTATCTACTATTACCTGTACCGCAATTTTCATATGCCGAGAAAGACGAATACGTTGTTCACATATATTTCGATTGGGTTTGCCTGACTGGTACCGGACAACGACGAGAAATCGAAATCCCTTGGGCGCCCATCCACGGAATCTTCTCGTGATTATGCCCGAAGCCATCTTGAAGATCTTCAATCAGTTTGAAGAAATCATGTTGATAATTGTCATTTATTTGTCGAATTCATCAAAAATTATCAAGAGCTTGGCCTTTGTTACTGAGAGGACTGTGACCTCCATGGAAAGAACACTTGGAAGGATATCTCGATCGTCACTGTATAGCCTAGTCTACTCAAGATTTTCTGTTGTAAACTTGCAGCAGATTTTCGCGTCGCGCAGACCTCTACGCTTTTGATTGATGCACGCCAAGGTTATGATTCAGCTACTCATTTTGCGGATTCAAGTTGCGAGATTTCATTTTGAGAGACCTGAATAAATGCATGTGTCACCAATATTATGCCTATCACCGTATCACTTGCTGTGTGACTGGTTCGAATTATTGAGTGGCTGAATGCAGGTGTACCCGAAAATAGATTATACGTGTACTAAGATATAGATATATAGTTGTCCATATATTTTGTTTCCCACTTACTATTTCCCCGCACTACGCTCCGGTCAATATATCCTCCGACGCCTTCTCAGCCAACATCATTGTCGGACAAACGGGGAAAGCCCCAGGAACGATCGGGAACACGCTGGCGTCGACGACCCGCAGGTTTTTGACGCCGTGGACCCGGAACTTGGAGTCCAGCACGGCCATGCGATCGTCCGCGGCGCCAATGGCACACGTGCTCGTCGGGTGGTGGCTGTGGGCCTGCAACTTCAACCTCTCCTTAATGTCAGCATCAGAGCAGTTTTGGTTCTTTCCGGGACACGGGTGCAGCTCGTCGAAGGGGCCGATGCCCGCCGGCGCGCTCGCGAAGGCCTGGCGCAGCGTCTTGACTGCGTCGGCCATCTCCGTCAGGTCTTGGTCAGCGCCGTGCTCGAAGAAGCGGTTGTTAACGTCGGGCGTGTCGCGCGGGTCGGCGCTGCGCAAGCGCACGTAGCCTGCCTGCGACTTGGGCCGCATGTGCACGAACGCGCACTCGTACTGCGCTGGGCCGTAGTTGTGCGGGAACCCGGGCCAGAAGCCCTCAAAGCTGAATGAAGTGCACCAGCTGTAGATGTTGCGATCCTTGGTCGGCGCGGAGGGCGTACGTAGCATCACCGAGACTGGCGGTGCTCCTCCGCCTTGCAGCGGCCGGGCAGCCAGGCCAAGGACGTAGCCCTCGTAATTATCGGCCAAGTTCTCCCCGACACCAGGGAGGTCCTTGACCAGGGGAATATTGAACTTTTTGAGTTCGTCCGCTGGGCCGATACCGCTGAGCTTTAGGATCTGTGGAGAGTTGAAGGCACCCCCGGCGATGATGACCTCCTTGTTCGCGAAGACTTGTTGGACAGTTCCCTTGGCATCAGCCTTGTAACGCGGGTCTGCACTGTACTGAGATTTTCCTCTCAGCAGTTCGACCCCAATAGCCGTTGGATTCTTGGCGTCATTATTAAAGAGCACTTTGGTGACGAGGCTGTCCAGCTGAATAGTCAGGGGGTACTTGGCTGCATCAGCCAAGGTCGCCTTGAGATAGGTGTTGGTACCAGAGCGGAGGCCCTGCTTGTCGGCGTGCGATGCTAAACTGAAAACTCCAGTGTCCTGGTCACGGTTTGGATTAAGGGCGTTCATATCCTTAGCCGCGAGCTCGGGTAGCTTTGCTGGATCGCCTCCCGTCACCTTCACAATCTGTTCCCCCATTGCCTTGAAGTCATTTGTGCCATTGGTCCATGATGTATCGCCAATCGTTGTAGCCACCCAGCCATCAAAGCCGTGGCCCGGTGTTCCGGCTGGCAGATATTGGTTCTTCTCCATTTTGACGAAGTACTTGCGCATATTCTCTGCTGCCCAGCTCTTGTCGCCGGTCTTGTTGACGATAATGTTCCAGTCGTCATCTGCGGGTAATGCGCATACACCTGCATTGTCTGCACTCAGTTTGGTTAGTAACCGTTCGCGATACATATCTCGAGATAGGTGGCTTTCAAGAGGCCTCCTGTCACATATCAGGCACCACTGGATGGATTCTTTGAGACTATGTTCTGGCCAGAGATCACTTACGCATTGCACATCCACCCAAGGTCCCGGCTCGAGGATACCAAATTCCCAGCTGTGTAGCACCAGCCGGCGGCTTCAGACCAATGTAAAAGGAACCATCAGTCTTCCTCCATACCATGTGTTCGTATTTGAGTTCGCGCTCTGGGTCCTCAGAGTGCTTGGCCCAGAAGTCCCACCGCGTCGACTCATCACTCGCTGCCGGATTAAAGTTGTTGATGATGGAGATATTCGGGTTGTTCGCCTGGTCGTCTCCAGCTTCTAAGAGGATGACGGTGTGGCCGGCACGAGCCAAATTGGCTGCGAGCGGCGCACCTCCTGGTCCAGACCCTACGATGACATAGTCGTACTTCGAGGTGGTATTCTGTGCGGCTACTCCAGTAGCAGCCAGGAAAAGGGCTGCGGCAAGTCTTCCAAGCATTTTCAGATTGACTGGGCGCGCCCTGAAGTACTAGATGTGATGCCACCGAAGGGGTACAAAGGCCCATTATCCAGCGTGGCGAGCACCTTTTATTATACCAGGCGGTTAATCAATTGGTCCCATCCCAGTGGAACCTTCCGTTCGGAACATCTCGACCAGCCTTGATTGATAGCTCTTAGTGCGGAGATAACAGCTTGGTGCTGAGATTTAGAAATGGTTTGAATACTGCAGCGAGATGGTTGCATAGCAGGCTTGCCCATCTGGGTATGTTGCCGCTCCGGAGAGGCTTGGCATCTACGTTCATGGCTAAAACGGCTCACAAGGGGGGCAAAGCAACGCTGACCTGCGCTTATCGTAAGCGATCCTGGGAGAAGCGTAGCACCAATATATTATATGCATGCCGCTGTGCAACTATTTCTCGGCAAATATATAATGGCCGGCCAATTTGCAAATCAAGTTGTGGCTTTGGGGAAATTGAAGGCTAAAACCAGTAAGCAGTACCATTGGCCTTTGCCGCTTCAGTTCCGCCCTGAATGACAAGCTGAGGCTGAATTCGGATATCATATCACAGACCTATAATGTACGAATCGGCCGCCGGGCATTTTGCGAGAGCCGCCAAACCGTTAGTGGAAATACTGAGGGCTAGCATCTAGAACTCCACATGTAGGTTTGCCTATCCTTTAAAATGTACATTACAACTTGGCTCCGTCAGGTAAGTACAAGTAAAAGAATCCCTGGCTCTTGCCGCTCTCTCGTGCCTATTCATAGTCCGTGCCAATTGGAGGGTCCCCAGGCTCGTTCATTGGCCATCCGAGGCGAGTCTTCATTGAATGCCCATGAGACCCGTGAGGGGTAAAGGAGATCCAGTTTATGGAGTCCCCAAAAACAACTTCATTAACTCCCAAATACTCGGAGATGGTGCCTGCATGAGGGTAATGTAACGTCGGGGTTCTGGACTGTGGTGCGGCCCGTTTATGCGACGAGCGGGATCTATTGGTTGCAAATGAGGACTGGAAGGACCATGGAATAGACTTCGGCAGAGCCATTTATTACATCAGCGATGCTGTGGTCAGACCCAATGCTGGCAGATGATTCCATACTCTTTCGGCAGCATATTTAAAGTTCAAATCAACGCTACACTACTCACGTCTGGCCAAGAGAAAGCCATCACATAGGGCCGTATATCTCCAAGAGAATATCGATATCTCTTCCGCTCTCCTGGATTTGAATTGAAATTCGTTCATCTTGAAGGCTATTCCTTAGAGCAGACGATTCATCTATCAGTGCCATCTTGGTGCACCCGCCTGATCTTGCGATACGGACTGACAGTCTGGTAGTAATTAAAACACTAAATACCCCTAAAATCAATCTTGACGTGGGAGAAATTGAAGGCTTGTTCATTCGGACCAAGACACAATGAAGTAAGAATATTTTCTGTAGGAATAAAGCAACAATTTGTCAGTCTGGGACAGCGATGTATCGCGTTCGAATCTCAACCAGTAAATGCCGCAGCGAATTCCGTCGCTCAACCCTTGTAAACCAAGCCCTTTATAACAAAGGCTGCTGCTAAGGTTTAGTCCCCGGAGCATAGTTGTGGTTCTAATTATCGTTAGAGTTGGTCAATGTATCAAGTGCATGCTTACATACCACAGTGCCGGTCAGAACGTTAGCGTTCGAGGTAGTGCCATAGAGATGTCCAGCCTGAACCCCACCGGAGATCGTGGAGTTCCTATAATCTACACTTCCGCTCTGAATTACCCCGATTGACTTTTTCTCCCAGTTAGCAGGGCTCAATATCAGTGATCAGAACAACCTACCTGAGCATTAATCCCGCCGACCCCCGAGGTACCTGCCGGTCGTGGCTTATCGCTGTTGGCAACCCACTCTCGCAACTTCGCCGCTACGTTCTTGTAGTCAGTCTCATCCTCGTCTTCGAACCTGCACATGTCCATATGATTCTTCGAAATTGGAAGAGCGTCGGTGCCGAGCCAGCTTGCCGACTCCTTCGGCACGATGAAGCCAATGTCTTTCCCAAACTTCTTCAATTTACGTTCCTCGAAGAAGCACGCAACTTCTAGATAGGGCATTTCTTTCGTGCGGTCTCTCTCCTTCAGATATTTTGCAAATGCGTCGTTGATGGCTACGATCTTCACAGAGTGTTTCTTCAGGGTTTCCAAATTATCAGTCTGCGTGTCCGTGAAGTACTCCAAGAGCCGCGCCGCCAGACGACCATACTTGGCGAAGTCCGAGCCTTGGAATGGCGTCCCGAGGAAGAGGGTACCGATGGTGTGGTTGGAAATCTCCTTGGCTGCTTCTGAGTCATGGGCTCGAGAGAGCGCGTTCGCGACGACCAGACCTCCGAGGCTGTGTGACACGAAGATGATAGGGCGGTCCTTCTACGTCGAGACATCAACTAAGCATAACCAGTCTTCGTGCTCCAGTTTGAAATGGTGGCTTACCGAACTAGTCTCATCTCTCAACCCAACCAAAGCTTGAAACAATGATTTTGAATGGTCATCAACTGTCAATTCGGGCGCAACGGTCTTACCGCCCGAAGGATAGAAATGTGTTATACTGGAATTGTACCCAAAAGACATTATTCTGGCAGTAGGACAATCCTTTGGAAGAAGTGTTTGTGGCCAGAATTTTTTACTGTATTTGTCTTTCCATGTCCCTGTTTGCTTTACGTTAGGCCCGGCCCATTAGAAATGCGGGAATAATATCTACTTCTCTTAGGGGTGACTTACAAGTGTCGAACCTGTCCCCGTTCAGTCCGTGGACAAAGACGATGCTATGTTGCTTGTTAGCATGGGGAGGCCATCGAAAAACCTTGGTGGCTGTTACATAGCCACGAATTGAAGTGGTGGCATACTCAACTTTTGCCTTCTCCTTTGGGTCGAAGAGGGCATCTCCCAAGCCCCACCTGGCAGGAGTTTTAGTTGCATTTTCCTGGCCCATTTTGTCTTTTCAAGAATCCGGCGTAAGTATCAAATATCTGCAATGATTCGATGTGTAACTTCCAAGCCACAGCGCGGTAGCCTTGGCCTTTTAAATCATGTGAAGGTAGCATCCGCTCTTTAGGTAAAGGTCTCCACTCGGCATCATTTCATGCACGATACAGCCTCGCGAAGTTGAAGCTACCGATCATCATTCCCCCCCTCCCGCTTTGCATGCTAGTAAAATCTTCATGCAGTTTTCTAAGTGCAACATCAAATGTCGTTGAGGTCAATAATTAAAGTTCTAATACCATATAGAATGATATCGTTAGTATAGTATTATACAGGATCAAGCTTTTGAACCGATCACTCATCCTCATGGAGTAGCTTCACATAAGATACCTTCTGTTATTGTCGTAGAATTCCTGCGGGGCTTGCCGACAGCCGTGCAAGTCCCCCTTAGTGTAGCAACCCTCAGCGGACGGCAAGGGCTGAGTCAGATCGGCTGATCAGCTGAAATCGTTAATTGACCTCTTAGATTCGATTGCTGCTGATGACAAATCAAACTAGATCTTCGGTTGTGTAGAGCAGGTTCGGTAGCCGACCAAGAACGCGCAGCGAGCCTGCTTCTCATGTAACCTTTGAGCACTTCAAGAGCATGCATTCGCCAATCATGGCTGGTCTGATAGTCTTCGATATCTGCACCAGGGGGGACTATCTGCATTGTGCTATCAACATGGACGTGTTTTACGTAAAAGCAAAACCCTTTGCGTGTGCAACCACAGCCGTGAGGCTGGATTTGGGGGCCAATCCGTCATTCCAGGCAAAGATTTGGGGCTTATCCTTGTTGAGAAGGCTGGAGCCTGCCACGGCTTGGTCCGCGTACAGCCTTAGATGATAAGTAGGTGGTAATACCAAGCCATGGATCACAAGGTCTGATTCGGCCGCGCTTTAAGTTTGAATTCATGAATCACTCACTTGCGCTTGCAAATACACGCAAGGTCGAAAAATATCAGCACTCATTCCCTCTCTCGATTGATATGATGCAACCCCACCGATGGCGGAAAAGCCACCTAGCCCGCCTCCCACCCCATCGAAATCTGCTGGAGATGCGGGCAACCAGCCAGGGGTCGATTTTCGCGGGGCCAATATTAACGGCGGTGTAGCGACAGGGAATGTTTCTGGGTATAACACCATAACTGGTGTGGTCTTGCGATCATTTCTCTACTTGTGCCTCGGCTAACCGCATCAGGAACAATTAACCTGACAATTGAATCAGCCAACAATCTCACTCAGACAATTGAGAATTTCACGGCCAGAGTAGCAACGGCCCGTCAGAGACTGAAGGCGATTGCGGATAAGATTGGCACGACCTCGGCCGTCTTGAGCAATATCAGTGCCCTGGTCAAGAGGCAAGCTAGCCGAGAAGGCATCAAGATCACGCCAGATGGCGAGAGGAGTGCGCCGAGTAAAGATAAGCCCGATGGCCGTAATAGATTGAACAATAGCGAAGGGGAGGATGAATCTGGCGTTTTGAAAATGGGCTGCTTCAAAAGTCTGAAGGAAGCCAGTGAAGGCGTGAGGGCGGCTTTTGAACGGATAGGCCACAAACTTCAACATGCTAGTAACGAGATCCAGAACGAAGTGCGCCGTGGGGGGAGTGAGAAAATCAACTTATCTAAAGAGGCTCAAGGAAGATTTTCCTTGAGAGATACAGATATTGATGTCATGGAGAAGGAAATTGAGTCCCACAAACTGGAAATGCAATTGAGCTTTACCGTCTTCCAAGCTGTTTTGTAAGTTGTGCCGGCTGTTCCTTATACCGACGTGAGAGAATGCTTACTGACAAGGACATAGGAATGATGAGAGGAATGACACTGTAAAACGGATCATGTTGGAGATCTTCAAAGAACTAAGAGCCACAGTAGCAAGTTTTATGGAGGCGTCAGAAAGTGATTCAAATCGCGTGGGCACAGGCAATAATCCGGACTCTCGCAGCATACCTCGTGACCCGTTGGATACGTCAAGGACACCTTTGAACATGCGACCTCGCATCTTCCCGAATGCGCCACAGCTGGCATCTGTTTATATGGGATGGACGTTCATAAAAGGTCACCCATCCCCTTTCGAGGTTGGGCTTGGATTTTCTCGGCGGTCTTGGAGATTTTCAATCCCATTCAGGATGCCCTTCTCAACTGAGGAGCTCTTTCTAAAGGTTTTAGCTCAAACCACGCAGCGAGCAAAGCGTGATCGGGCACTACGGGACGATATTAAAAAAATGTTAAGATCCAAAACCCAGAGGAGGCTCGTTGATAACTTGCTGCTGCATCAGAATTTCTTGTTACAAAGAGACCACCCACAGATAGAGTGGACATTGACTGGCTTGGAGTGTCACACACGGAACGGAAGAAAGCCTCCAAAAGGCACGAAAGCAATCGATGTCATCTTAAAGACTCAGTGGATTCTCGGATTTGAGCCATGGCGTCCTCTCTGGGGAGGTCGGGGTGGGCGACCGCGCGGTCCTTTTGGTCCTGACGGTGGTCTTCCTGGTGGAAGTGGTTATGCGTTCTATGGAGACCCTGGCTACGCCAGCCGTGCAGGTGTCCCTGCGACAGGTAACGTCTTCGGTTACAGCAGACGCGAGCACGCTGGCCCTGAACGCGGAAATCCGATTGGGGGTGTCCAAATTACCGGAGACGGGGCGAATGGGATACCCAGTGTTCGAGTAGGTCACTACCATGCCCGCTCTGCTCGAAAACGACCGAAAGCTGCAAGCGACAGGGTATCGACGATATTTCACGATCCGCTGTCGTTCTTCTTCGGAAAGAGAAAAAAGAGAAGAGACAAGGGCAAGGCTACGCCAAAAGAGAAGAGTGACAACAGTCGCTCGAAGCATTCTAGGCATGCTAGAAAAGGTCGGCATGCTCACATAGAGGTTCGCCGTCCGGGGAGCTACCGCAGAAGCAGGAGCCAGGAAGGTTTTCCGCGGTCGCCTTCACCGGGTCCAGTTCCGGGCTTGGGTCCTCGCCCAGGTCCAGGTTCAGGTCCAGGTCCAGGTATACATATACTGCCCCGCCCACCTGCCTTCGGATCTGCCGCTTCTACTTATCCCATCAGAAGCAATATGCCTCCTCACCCCCCTCAACCTCCGCCTCCTCCACCACGCCCACGACCGCACGCTCACACAGATGCTGTGCCACGAGATGATGGCATGACGCCTGAAGACGAAAAGTTGGTCGTCGAGGAGCTGTTCGCAGAATGGGAAGAATTGGAGGACGAGAAAGGAAAAAAGAAGAGTAGGAGGGCGGCAAAACCTCCCTTGAGCGCCGGGATGTCCCACATCCTCGGCGGGAGCTCTGCGGATGTTGATCCGGATGCAGGACTTACTCGACGATTGATGAGACCAGTGGAGCAGGAGAGCCATATAAGAGAGAAGATGGAGAAGTCGAAGGAAAAGATAGAGAAGGAAAGGAAGAAGATGGAATTCGAGTTGAGAAGCAGTAGAACACAAACGCGGGAAGGTTTGCCGCGGGGATACAGAGGAGAAGAGTCCAGGGAAAGTGAGGGATACAGCAGCTGGAGCGACTTGGCGATAGAAGTAGAACCTCGCCACAGGACACGGCACAACGTGTCTCACATAGAGCATCTTCCGAGACCGCCACCAATGATGTCGGGCGGTTCGGGTCCGGCAGCAGAGTATCACGATAATATCGGGGGCGGCGCTCATAGGGAGGCAAGAATTATCGACGTCTCACGGAGAGTGGGAGACCGAAGGTCTAAGAAATCCCATAGGGTTGTAGAGCGTAGACCCCATTCTTCTGAGGACAAGCGCTAGCCTTCCTTAGGGTAATGCTAAGGGCTTTTGGTGGTAGCATGGGGGAGCCGCTTGAGCGTGCGACATGCAATGCGTATAGTTAGGATTCTCTACGCATCTATTAGCCACCTCCAGACACTCCACTCCGTCGGCTGTAGTAAGATGCCAATGGGGGGAGATGCTACAGCTCAAATGCGAGCACTTCCTTTACCCGACTCTCAGGCGAACCTTGCACCAACCGTGATATCATTCCTGCGAACGAATTCAACCCATTGATAATTAGCCACAGAATGGTCTGTTTTATAGTCCCCTTGCTAGCTCTCTCTCTTACATCCTCCAAGGACCATTGGTCACACAGTTCTAGAAAGCGCTTGGGGTCATCCGTGATGACGCCGTCTACTTCGTTGTGAATGCTAGCTGCCATCCATTCCTCCTCATTGTCAGACCAGGAAAACACCAGGCGATTGTGTTCTTTGGCCTGGTTTCTAAAGCGTGAACCGCTAGGCGTGGCAAAGGAATAATTGTATAAGTTAAAGTTGAGGTTAGGGAAGGGTAACATGGCGGAGGCGTAAGCGGGTAAGTAGGCGATGAGTGTGATTGGGAAATCTGGGAGAAATCTTATACATGCTGCCACCCATTCGGCCTGTAGTGAAAATTAGAAACAGCTTATGATGTTAAGACTGGGGAATCCTACGTTCCAAGGGCCGAGCACAATCCGCTGATGCCAGGGTGGCTCCGACGGGATGGAGGCAAGAAGTGTCACCAGATGGCTCAACATGTCGGTTGAATTATCGTGCATCTATCACGATATATTTGTCAGTAGAAACATTAAATATCGCGTCTAGGCGCTTTTCATCACTGCACTCGCGTGATGTGACATACTTTGAGGTCGAGGAGAAGCCATATATGCGCCTGTGCAGGCTGGGCAAGGTATTCGAGCAGGTCAACTAAGCGAGCTACTGGCTGTTTTGGCTCGCGCAACGTACGTAGCTTGCTCAATTGTGCCCAGTCGCATGCTGAAACCCTCTCGGCCAAGCCGTAGCACCGCTTCAATGTGGCATCCTGTAAAGCGGCGAGGTAATTGTTAGCCAACACGCTTTGGAAACCCTATCGCCCAGATGTTGGAGTTTACAAACATGAGACAAGACTATGACTCCGTCCTTGGATAAATGCAGATCGGCTTCGATAGCATGGGCGCCGACTTCGACAGCACCCCGAAATGCCGCCATCGTGTTCTCCGGGAAAACAGCGTTATAGCCACGGTGGCCTATGGCTTGTGGCATTCGCCCTCGCTCCGTAGCCCTGTGGCCAGCAAATGGCGCCGCTGTTGAAGACGATGGTCAGTGACATGATTCAATTCTGCCATCAAGCAGTACACGTGGGTCCTTTGACTGCTGGCGGGTGGTCGTAGCACTCACCCGCTAAGCTGATAGCCATCGAGTCTTGATCGTCAGGCAAACAAAAAGTATAGGGGCTGTGGGTTGAGTTCGTGCGACGTATGCTAGCTGTTGTGGGCGTTGATGTGGTAGTCGTGACTCGCAGTGAACAGCAAACGCAACTGGAGGTTGCCTGAGGGTGGGCGGCTGCTTCAGTAGGCTAGGTCCCGTAACACCTGGTTCAATTAAAGAAAGGGACACCCCGCGATCTGGGGCAAGATCGCCCAGTATATGATATGTACTGAAGTACCTAGGTTCCTTTGGTCGCATATGATACGCCACCTTTCAACCCGGCTAAGGGAGACCCTTGTCCACCACTGCCAACAACGTACCTATGTAGACATGTGGGAAGGGCAACCAGGGGTGTGCTGCCATGAGCCACCAACACAGGTTCGCCAGCATACTGTACATGGGTACTCGCGTATCTGCGGGAGTAATTAACGGGTTGGGAGTTGACTAAAATACCATGCATATGCAGTTGGTGCCAGTAGATATGCACAGTATTGGCCGTGGTACGTGGTTGTACACAGTGCCCAGCTTACTGCATCCAACCAGCCAACTTCATGTTCCCTCTGAACCAAACCTTCGCAATATTAAGCCTCTTGGTACTCTACCACCGCATGTTCTCCGTAAACCCTGCACTGAAACGCTGGGTAGATGGTTTGGCGTTTGTTCAAACTGCTTGGGGAATTGCCATGTTCTTCACACGTGTCTTCGGCTGTACACCAATATACAGATTTTGGACACCATCGGTCCCAGGAAACTGTACCAGTGTAAAGATGCTTCTGGTTGTCCCCGAAGCGATTAGTTCGTTAATCGATTTTGTCACGGTTGGCATAGCGGTTTGGTTGGTCCGGAAGTTGCAGATTTCGTACACGAACAAATGGCGACTAAGCTTTCTCTTCGCGCTTGGCGGCCTGTGAGTAATAAAGTATTCCCAATCCGTTGACAACTGCTTGTTATAATGCTCATTTGTTGAGCAGGAATCGTCGGCTTCATCAAGATAAGCGATGCCTACGACTCTGTCGGTAGCAGTGGTCTTGATGCCGTTTGGGATGTTATCCAAATGGCCGCAAGCCTCATCTGCTGCTGTATGCCTGTTACCAAAGCTCTGTTGCCCAAATCAGACCTATTCATATCCCTGAGATCCATATTCAAACGAAGTACCGAATGGATATCTACAAACAAAAAGTCATTCGGGTCATCCACAGAGCAAAAGAGGAGCAGAGAGCGGGATCCATCAAAGCAGCCATGGCGGTCACTCGATGGGACCAGCAGCCATGAGCTGGGTTGGACAATCGAATCCGGCAACTATGTTCGCGAACCATTAAGAGATGAATCCGCAACCCGTAACGCTTTTTATTATCCTCCTCACCCTGACGGTATCAGGGTTCAAAAGACGGTTGAAGTAGTTTGAGTTCTATAGAGCTCAATACACAGACCTCAGCGCGTGGTAAGGTGTAGGTGTTCAGCTCAGCCTCTCGCTCAAGACTAGCCTTGAAGACTTTGATAGTCATAAAGCTGAATCATCCCGATATATAGTTTGTATGTATTATTATTGTATCCCCGCATACCATGTCTGTCTACTTGTTTTAGGCATACTGTACTATAGAGGTACCACCGATGCATTGATATAATGACCGGTAAATCAGCTTTGATGGACCGAGTTATGAAACACACATCCAATGCGTCTCAGACCATATGTGTTACGCACTGGTTGGTAGTTGTTGTGGTGGGGATGAGGGGTGGTCCACCCCTCCTGTAAATAGCAAACGCAACGGTTGTGGAGATGTCACGGCACCACAGGTGGGATCGAGGCTGTGCTGCAAATCCTGTAGTATTGCAAAAAAATCTAAACCTGGGAGAGGAAGGAAAGAAGAGCTCCTTCCACAGCTGTGGCGTTTGCTATGCACAAGTGTGGTGGACCACACCCCTCGTCCCCCACCACAGTAGCTACCAACCAGTCCGTAACGGTTGGCTTTGTTGGCGGTGAAGTAGCTGGCTCATTATACTCTTACTTCATCTGTGGATAGTCCAGACGGTGCTCAGCTTCTCATGTCAAACATACCCTGAACGGAAGTGGCTACAATATCTCAGAAACATGAACCCGATGACGTATTAACTGCGAAACAGATACTCGATTTTATTGGGTATCAAAACTGGACTGAGTCTATTTACCAACACCATTGCGTCTCCGCCCGCCCGACTTGGACCTGTCCGTGTGGGCCTTGAGGATATTCCTCGTCTGCACCAGACTCCTCCTGTTCTTCTGCTTGGCCTTGCCGAGGGTCATGAAGAAGTTCTTCTTCCGAGCCTTCTCCTTGTTCGTGGTGGACTTGCCCTCGGCCTCCTTCTTGGACTTCCGGATGGCCTGGGTCGACTTGTGCTCCTCGCGCTCCGGCTTCCCTTCCTTGGCCATGGCCACACGCTCTTCCTTGGTGGTCTTGCGCAGTTTGGCCGGCGCTTCGATCTGCTCGGCCGTCAGGCCTTCGTCAATGTGCCGTGCTTGGGCGTCCTGCTTGCGCTTGCTACCACCCATGGCCTTGTCGACCTGGGCCTCCATCCGCAGCTCGCGCAGTTTCGCTAGGTCAGCCGGCGTGAGAATTGTGGTAGTAGCCAGCTTGGAGAGTGCCAGAGCCTCTTCCTCGGCGTTTTCCTTGTCTTCGTCTTCAGAAGCATCATCATCGTCTCGCTTCTGTTTCTTGGCCACTGGTTCGTCCTCGTCTTCAGAATCACTGACGCGTATCCACTCGCCTGAGCTGCTGCTGGCATCAGAAGCAACCTCCCAGCCGTCATCCTCCTCCTCCTCTTCATCCTCTTGATCCTCGTCATCCCCGTCCTCGGGGAGTCCCTTGGCAACACGTTTCCGTTTCTTCTCCTCTTCTTTCCACTTGGCCAGCAGCTCGAGGCCTTCGATGCCGCCAACCTGCTCCTCGCCGAATCTCCTCTGCTTCTGTTCACCACTCTTCAGACCCATCGTGGCATTCTTTCCACGGTCCTTCCTTGCCAACATCTCTGCGCCCTTCTCGCGGTAGAGCGATAGCAACCCTCTTGCCGCCATGGAAACACCTTTGTCCTTGCTCTTTCTGTACTGCACAAGATCTTGAAGAAGAGTGTCTCCCATGGCTAGCGGCTGTCTACTACATATCTCCCTGATTGCGTTCAGACCAGCCGAGCAGACTTCAGCTGCGGCGGCTTCTGACACAAACTCGTTCGCAATCCTCTCGATCAGCGGCTCAAGCACATCCGGTGGGACTAGCTCGTGCGTCGCTTGCGCCAGGGAGGCCAAGAACGACGTTGCGGATTGCTGTCGTGGGGTGAGATGCTTGATGAACCAAGAGTAGAGCGCAATGACGGTCAACTTGTGCAGACCAACTAGGCGCGTGACCAGCTGCAAGATTTGCAGCTTGGACTCGAGAGAGAGCTTGGTCTTGGAGTTCTGAAGGTGCTTCTGGAATAGGGACTCGGCGAACCCTTGGGGATCATGCAGCAAGTGCAAGGCCGAGAAGTTGAGGGGCGACGGGGCGTGTTTCTTGCGCTCCTGCCTCTTCACCTTGTCCACGGCCTTCTCGAGTGCCTTTGTCTTCTTCTTGGTCTTCTTGTTGATGCCAATCTGGTGCTTGACTTTCTTGATGTCGATGTTTTCGTCCTCGCTGCTGTCGTCCTCCATCTCCTCGCGCTCCTTGTCGCCGCCGAGAAAGAAGCGCACTGCACCAACGACAACCTTCTCGTTATCGGACAGGCAGGCCTCCCTCATGACATCGACCGGCTTCGCGTCGGTCCAGAGCTGGCGCCTCCACATCTCACGCGTTACCTTGACGGCCCACAGTGCTTTCGGCGAGGATCGATCGGAGGTGACCAGGTTGTACAGCACAGTCTGCATGGTTCGGTTCAGCTTGTGGTTGACGTGCTTGGTGTTGGCTTGTCGGAGGTCGCTGACGATCTTGGAGAAGAGCAGGGTGCGCAGCGACTTGGAGGGAGTCGTGGTCAGGATGGGGAAGAGCGTCGTCATCAGGTAGCTCGAATCGATCATGTCCTTCCTCTTCAAGAGCACGAGGGAGCTGACGACCTTCTCGCGGAGCTCGGGCTCGAGAATGGCATGATGCTTGACCAAGATCTCCTTCAACTCGTCGGCAAAGCCAGCCGTGTGCTCGGGATAGAGCTCGGCCACGTGGGCCAGGAGATCGATCTGCTCGCGGAAGGAGATGAGCACGCCGGAGTCCTGGGCGACGGGCGAGGCCATGAACTGGTCCAGCGACGAGCCGTACTGCTGGAGGTGGGCCAGAAACTCCTGCTCGTAGGCTTGCGGGTCGCGGCGGATCTTGTACTGCAGACCGGCCAGATCGGCCTCGACCTTCTCGAGCGCAGCGACTTTCCTCTTGCCCATCTTCGCTGGCAATCGGCCTCTTTTGTTTGTGGCGGGTGGTCGGTGTCGGTGGTGATGGATGGATCCCGGCTGCGACTTTGGAGGGCTGGAAACTTTCCAAAATTCTGATCTTATCGCTTATCGTTATCGTTACCTAGCGCTGGAACTTGGTGGGGTGGGGGTGGCTCAACAGGGTCCCTTTCAATTCTGTCCAGTAGTTCCGATGGTCTAGCCCAACTTGAATTGTGGGACCAGCTATAGTCCTACCTACTGGGTCCTACCTACTGGGTCCTACCTACTGGGTCCTACCTACTGGGTCCTACCTACTGGGTCCTACCTACTGGGTCCTACCTACTGGGTCCTACCTACTGGGTCCTACCTACTGGGCTACTTGTTGCACTTTCAGGTTTGGGTAGGAAGTCATTGCGGTTTTATCCGAGCTAGACGAACTTATCATTACACTTCGCCCCTCATTGAGCCACATGAGGCAATGCAGGGCCTGAATAGCCAGACTTTCACATTGTGCGATGTTGTAAGCCATACCCGAAACCCCCATGAAAAATTGGCCCTTACCAGCCCCAAGGTGTGTTCCTCAACGTCCTTCTAACTGACGGTGCAATAACCTTGAATCCCCCGGTACTGAGTTGTTCATTGTCCTCCTCCAGCACTTGTGTTGACTGCGCGCTTGGCTCCTCTAACTTTTCATCACGACCAGCTCCTCCCTCACCACTCCCACTTGCTGCCTCGTCCTGTACAGTTGTTTCATGGTCACCGGATGGATATCTTTGGCTCTTGGTCCATTGTATGTCTTCGTATGACTGGGTGAAGCGACCCATGTGTTCGAAAAGCCAGGTCGTCACAGCGCGGGATACGTAGGGGCCATAGACTGTCTGCGTTCGTTGCACTAACTGAGTCGAGTTCAGGTTCGGGGCTCTGTAGAGCAGAGATTTGATAAAGTCGATTTGGACATGGTCTCGGTTCGTGTAGTTAGGCATTGTGAAAGTGTCCGTTTCTTGGAGTGCGCGCCAACCTGGATTCGGAGCAATTGTAAGTCGTTTATTCCTTCACTTGAAGTTGAGGCCACAGGCGATTCAGGGAAGATAACCTTACTCGAAAATGTGTCCTGGAAGGATAGGAGTCAGGAATCCCTCGGGCGCCGCAGTTAATGTGCTTTATAAGGTCCGAAAAGGGGCATCTCCGATAGACTGGAGAAATCGACTCTGCACCACATTGCGAAACTTTCGGCTCCAAGTGGTGGAGTGTGGCAGTCACGCATGAAAACTCTGTTGCCAGAGTTTCTTCTTTGACGATGTTTCCTTCTTTGTAACATATTTTCTTGTAATTTCTTTGATGAATTTCCTACCTCTGGCAACTAGGCATCACATAGGTCTTCGTCTGCGAAAGCCGCCCACGGCAAGGCAGGATAATTTCTTTACGATGGCATGACTTCTCTGTGTCTGAATAGGCATCAGTGATGTGATAAATCACCATCAAGTTCGGATTATGCTGCTTAGATTTGGTATTAGCTCCCCATTCACTGTAGTTAGGCCCAGATGAACCTCGACCCATGCAAGAACATAGTACTCTGTAAAGGACAAATTGAGCACCATGTACCCATCAGAGGTACATGAGAGTTGTGGGATGAGTGAGCAGCGCACGGTTCGGTCGATGAGACCTGTTAGTATTCATGTCGCGGCTCAAATTGCCGGTAATGACTTTAGTTCCGAGGGCCTTTTTTTTTTTTTTTTTTTTTTTTTTTTTTTTTTTTTTTTTTTTTGCGTATTATTAAAGTGATGCCTATCTCACGGAAACAATAATAGAATATAGTTCTTTGCCTATCGATATCCAATGTAAATTAGTCGTCTGTTTTGACTATCGAGCGTCAAGCCGTTCAAATTGCAAGCCCAGAATACAGTGCATATCAATTTGACTAGAAAACCAGAGACAGAGCAAAGCCGACATCATATTTTGTGTTGAGCACCCCATGTGCTATGACATCCGCCCAGACACATCCGTGGCAAATTCAGATTAGTGGTAGGCCGCATGCAGTAGACCAGCTGTTATCGTCCACTTGCAAACACAGTCCGCCGACCTCAAATATAAGGCCTGTAATTTCTTCTTTCGAAGCCTCAACTGAACATCTCCCTTGAGAGTCAATCAAACATCGCCATCTTATCAGGAATCCAATTGCAAGGAAGCCACTAAGATTTGAGAGGTCTTTTCCCCGGTACCTAGACTGCCTGACCAGGATCATAGCAGTTTACTGGAGGCCCAGAATTTGCTTTTTCTCCTGCAATGAGATATGGAATACCAGCGCGGCTGCGTGGGCGGCGTCTATGGTCACCGGTCTCTCTTTAGCCTTTGTGTGTAAGCAAATAATTGGCCGGAGCTTCCAGACTCTTTTCGCCTGCATTTGAGGTGATTAGCCATTAGACCACTCACGGACACGTCCTGGATCAGGATGCAGGTAGGCTTATGCAGGAGGCCCAACAGAATTGTCTCAGATCGGCCCAAAACATGAGGATAACAAAATACCGCTTGTATACAGTTACTAGGGCGGAAATGCCTTAGCATTGCAAGTGTGTCGCACACTTCTGCCTTCAGGCTGGGCTTTGACAGGAATGTTATTTAAGCTGAGCTCACTGTCAAGTTTTCGGCTTTGTCGAATTCCCGTCCTGACTCGACTCCCATCCCATATCTCCCTCCTACTCAGCCCGGGCAACACTTCAAACACGTCATTCAACATGGTACTCACTACTTTCCGTTCAGAGGCGTTGAATGGCCTCTGCTCCAAGGAGCGTCTTGATCTCATGGATTCTATCGACAGCCTACGCTCTCAGGGTATCAATCATTTCGTCTCGCTCCCCCAGATTATTGTCTGCGGAGACCAGTCCTCTGGTAAAAGCTCCGTCCTTGAGGCAATATCCGGCGTGTCATTCCCTGTCAAGAGTAACCTCTGCACGCGGTTCCCGACGGAGCTCGTCTTGCGCAGAACTTCCCATACCAGCGCCAGCATCTCTATCGTGCCCCATCACTCGAGAAGCGACTCCGAGAAGGAAGCCTTCGCCAGCTTTCATGAGGAGCTGGAGAGCTTCGATGGCCTGGCTGATCTGATGGAGAAGGCCAAGTCTGCGATGGGCATCAACACTCTGGGAAAAGCTTTTTCGAAAGACCTCCTCCGCGTTGAGATCTCCGGACCAGACCGACCACATCTCACCATCGTTGATTTGCCTGGGCTCATTCACTCGGAGACCAAGAATCAATCGGCCGCAGACATCGGCCTGATTCAGGAGGTGGTTGAGTCGTACATGAAGGAGCCACGAAGTATCATCTTGGCTGTCGTTTCGGCTAAGAATGACTTTGCCAACCAAGTGGTCCTCAAATTGGCACGTTCCGCTGATGGTACTGGGAATCGCACTCTGGGCGTTATTACTAAGCCCGATACCTTGTACCCGGGGTCCGAAAGCGAGTCACTCTATGTGTCTTTGGCCCGGAATCAGGAAGTTGAGTTCCGTTTAGGTTGGCACGTCCTAAAAAACCTAGATTCCGAGGCGGGCTATGGGTCGCTGGCTCAGCGCGATATCAGGGAGATGCAGTTTTTTGAGCAAGGCATCTGGACAGAGCTTCCCACGTCAGTTCTAGGAATTGATCAGCTGCGTACCCGACTGAGTAAAGTCCTCCTCAACCATATCACAACAGAGCTACCTAGCTTGATTGGGGAGATCGAGTCAAAGCGCAATGCTTGTCACGAGAGACTGAAGAAGCTGGGGCAACCCAGAACTACACTGTTTCAGCAGCAGCTTCACCTGATACGTGTTAGTGAGTCTTTCCAGCGACTCGTGCGGAATGCAGTCGATGGCAATTGGAATGACACGTTCTTTGGCGAAGCTGAGTTTCACTATGGCTATCTTCGCCGCATCCGAGCCGTGATCCGGAATCTCAACGACAAGTTTGCCAAGGACTTGTCCACGCATGGTCATCGTCGTCAGATCACTGATTCTGCAGAGGAATCCGTATCACCGCATTGCATCTCTGTTACAAGGGATGATTTTATCCATCAAATCCAGATCAAAATAAGCAGATCTCAGGGCAGGGAGTTGCCTGGTCTGTTTGATCCCATGATCGTGGCCGAACTCTTTCGCGACCAAGCAAGTCGATGGGAAGAACTGGCCCGCAGCCACGTTCATGCCGCATGGAAGGCGTGCCATGATTTCCTCAAACATGCCGTTGCCCATGTGGCCGATGCAGGGACTTCCACAGCCATAATGCAGAAGATTGTGCAACCTACCATGGACTCCTTGTTGGCGACACTTGATTCCAAAACTCTGGAGATCCTGAGGCCGCACCAAACGATTCATCCTATCACTTGCAACCACTACTACACAGACATAATCCAGAAGTTTCGCAAGGAGAGGAAATTGATTCTGATTAAGGAGGCATTGCGGAAGTTCTTTAATGTTAAGAAACTATGCAAAGTTTCCTGTGAAATTGTGGATCTGTCAGGTTTGGCGAAGGTGCTGGTTGATGACAATTCTGAGCCGGACATGCATCGATTTGCCGCATCAGAAGCGCTGGACCATATGAATGCTTACTACAAGGTGCTTCGAGTTCTATCCAAGGGAAATGGTCAATTTTTCAAGGTGTTGGTACTGATGTTCTTGCTTAACAGGTTGCCATGAAGCGCTTTCTAGACGACGTCGCTGTCGAGATTATCGAGGTCGTCCTCGTGTCCGCGCTCCCTGCCATCCTGTCTCCCGTCAAGGTCTATGAAATGGCACCTGAACTTGTTGCTCGCATAGCTGGGGAATCTGAGGAGGCCCAGAACCAGAGGGAGCAACTGACGAGGCAATTAGAGGTACTGAGCAGAGGAGCCGAGACTTGCAAGGAGTTCGCCGTAACGAAATTTAATGGTGAGCAAACAATTTCCGCATGTAGCCTTGAGCTATAAACGGACCGTAATTGCTAATCAGTAAACAAAGGGCTTGCGGAAGAGGATGACTCAGACCAGGAAGATGAGCCACAACATGAGTTTGACGCAGTCGAAAGTGGTTCCTTTGATGAGATTGACAAAGCGAGGTCAATTGAGTCTTTTGCGGAAAGTATGACCCACCCTCCTTCACCGCAACTGGAGGCTCATCCGGCAGAACTGGAGCCGGCAGTTCCTGAACCAGAAGAGCAGCCTGTAATTTCCGACGTTGAATATGATCCTTTTGGATTCAGCACAGGCAAAAAGAAGATGAGTAAAAAGGCTAAGAAGAGGTCTAGAGTAACAAGTTACGATGATCCAGAAGTCGGTTTACCTTTAGCATAGAGCAGAAGGCGCCGTTCCTGGCGAGTTGCCTTTCAACTGGTTAGCGGGCTTTGGCGGACAAATACCTCTTCAACTCTGGGTTATGACCTCGCAATTTCTAGCAATCAAAATTAAAAGAGCCATTGATATATTTAAATACTACCAATCACGCCCGCTGGTATGATTTGATAGGGGTTTGTCTGTAGCATCTGTACATTACCCTGAAGCAGACTACTCATGTCTACCTAGGTGTCACCGCCAGCGCTAGTAATGTGATTGTTACGTGGACTTGATACATCTTGGACAAATACTGAAACTTTACGGCTGTCGTGAGCACATGAGCTTAGATGTGGTTCAGTGGAGATATGTTTCCACAACGACTGGCAGAGTGACAGTCCTGCTCAGTTCAGTCACGAACCCGAAGCCCACTTATTAGCCACTATTAACAATCAGTGCTAACATTTTTCCCACAGCTAGCTCAAACGGGATTTATGAGCGTTGGCCTCGGATGGTCAGTAACGTCCAATAATGGTCACAGCCCTGGATGCATATTCAGCACCAGAAGCCATCTTCATAAGCTGTCCATGGCACACTGTTCAAAGAAGTCCATGCGCACCACAAGCCCAAATGCCAGATATTTCTTGGTGGCACTGATTATGCATCCCAGTGATGTGGCTATTGTGGTCGATAAAGCTCGTAACGTATGTCCTTTACTTGGGGTTTTTGCAAGTATGGCTTTTCCGGCATCCCCGGAGATTGAGGAGTTGATTCATTGAGTGATTCACTGGCGGTCTCGTCGCTTGGTTCCGTCTTTCCGGCCGTATCGTAGCCACGTTTGGATCGACGCCCTATCAAGTGTTAGTTTCTTCCAACTCGTTGGACCCGGATACATGCGTCTATGCCACAGAAATAGAAAGCTTATTATTATCCCACAAGCCAAGAATGCACCAAGGGCAATAACCGCAATGACGCCCGCCGATAATTCTGGAGTTCGGGGGCTGGGACTGGCGACTGGGATCGACGGCGTTGGAGTAGCAACAGAAGCGGCTGCACTATTTCCAGAGCTGACAAAACGATTCCCAGTTGGTAGTGGGTTCGCAGAGGGACTTGAGAGACCGGATGACTGGTTGGGGCCATCAGGTAAGTCGATATCTGGGAATTCGCTCGATTCGCTTGGTTTCGGCGCGGACACAGATGTGCCGTCGTGTTTCCCATCCACTCGGTGAGGCCCTTGACCAAAGCGAAACGGTTGATCAACTTGTGATGGGGTTCCCGATCCTGGACCCCTTGAAGCACCACTACCTGTGCTGCCTGTGCTGCCTCCCCGACCACCTCCGCCCCGAAAGCTTGGGAAGGCTCTAGCGAGAATTGACATCGTGGGCACCGAATGGGTGAAAATATTTCGTAAATCCAACCAGTCTTTGAACAAATGCATACATCGGTGCTTCAAGTAAGACGGTGTTGATCTATCGTGACATAATGAATTGCAGCATATCGGATCAATAGCGTTGCTTGATATCAAGGAAGCACACCGGGAGAAGAAGAAGCCAATATATGGTGTACTTTAAGCATTGTTAATTCTGTTGGATCTAGAAGCCAGTTCAGTTGTTGTAAGCCTTGTTGCGTCATGTCTGATCACCAGCCAGCTTTTAGGCATTGGGAACACAGCCTCATCAATCCCGAAGGATCGTGCGTGCATGCAATGCATTTTTGGAAGCGTGCTGTGCCGCCTTCAGATCCCTGAGTCTTTGCCCCGCGATCATAACGTCCCAGCAGCACCCTAGCCTGCCAAGATTCATCGGTTGCAACTTGAAACTGCTTTGAGAGCACATTCTGTAGGTGGTCAATTATCTATAGAACATGATACAACTCCCTAGAAGTGTTGGGTCCTCTGCAGTCGCATTTGACGTATGGTCGAACGGAACTCTTGCAAATCACGATTTGCGAAGATAGCGAAACACAGTTTTGTCCTTGTGCTGACCTGGCTGATGCATTTATCCGCATTGAATCGCCTTAAAGTCATTGTTCTCGTTTGATAGTGCTAGAGGCATGTAAACTCATTTCCCCTTGGCGTTGAGAAAGTTGTGGTCGCTAGTCCTTTGAAATAGCCTCCCTGTTTGTCAAATAGGTTGCAATGTGATGTACCATCTCCTTCCGTGATGAGAAGCTGTAATGAACGTGGTGGTGTTGTGGGGCTGTGTATGCAAGTGAGTTAGGAGCATTCTGTGACATGAACCATCACAGGTCTATCATGTATGATTTTACTCTTGAAGAATTGAGAAACGTTATACAAGTTGTACAAGCAACAAAGCCAGTCCGTGACGAGTGTTGCTGATAGAAGTGCTACATGAAGTCTGAGAGAATGCTTCTTATCTAGTAAGCTGGTAAGATAACATCAGTATGCAGTGGCCAGGGTGGCTCTTACCTGTGCTCACTCTCCATCACATTTAACCCAGATCGTCGCGAATGGGATCTTATAGTCACGTCAGTGCACCCCATACACCAAATGGCTAGAAGGTAAGTTGACAGAGAAAACCCATCCACACTTCGTCGCCCACCACGCTATTAGTCAGAACCTAGAATGCGATAACTTGGCTTTTCCTTCAACAATTCTAGCTGCTCGGCTAGCTCAGTTGGTTAGAGCGTCGTACTAATATCTCCATTACTGGAAATATCAAGTTTATGCGAAGGTCCTCAGTTCAATCCTGTGGCTGAGCAACAGCTTTTTGCCTTCAACGCTACTGGCTTCTCTTACTTGTTGCATATTGAATTTTTGTGGGTCGTGTTCTTTTTCAGCGCTTAGTGACTGACTACTTATGCGACGTTAAATATGTCTCTCACTGCATATAATCTTTATGGATTTTGGGCTCAATATGGAAGCATAGTTCCAAGGGAGGATTTTACAGATATTGACTGGATCATCCCGGTTTTCGTTGATAGCCGTATTCTGTCTCTTGCCCTCTGATGCATCCATGATCAGGCGCACATGACTAGTGTGGAAGCCCTATGCACAACGTTCTGATGCGACGGACGGTGTATTCCTGGCCTGGCGGTGCTGTGAGCACAGCAGCACGAAGATGGGAGTAGGCCATGTTGCCTATTCACCCTGTGGGGGGTGACCGTGAATATTGGCCTTCCTAGTGGCCATTCCGAGAGCCCATTGTATCTCCCACGAGTAGAAATGGCTTTCTTCACGCCCGACATTGGCTCACTTTAGTACGATTATGTTCCTGGCCGCCTTGCGCCCCGCACTTACAACAGTCAAGATGTTCGGCATAGCGTTTCTTGGCCACTGTCATGAAAGATGACAGCCAACTCCGATTGGGTGAGCTAGGGTAGCTTTGCAGAATCCGCAATCGCAGTGACGAAACTCTGCCTGGAATGCATTGCCAGTAGATGCGAATCGATACCATGGGCAATATTTCAAGCCATGCGGGGAAAGTGACGGGTATCCAAGATAGACTATGTCTCATGATACGATCACCCGATGCTTGCTTCCTTGATCAACGTCAACATCGCTCGACGAGCTCAAATGCGCTCGATCATTTAATTGAAAGCAGTCTTCTTTCTGCGTGCTCTACCGCCAGAATATCACAGCAAACTCTGATCTTCATTTCAGTCTTACAATGTCATTGATGCGACTTCTTTCGACAATTGCAACCTTGTACATGCCTCTCTGTGCCTGTGCTATACCTTCTGCCAATTCTGCCACCTTCTCACGAAGTGACTTGGCATCCGACTTCAATACTTCGCTTCATGTGGACCTTGGCTATACGGTCTACAAAGGCGTGGCCAACTCCTCAACTGGGCTAAACACGTTTAAAGGGTGCGTATAGATCTTTGCAGTCACGTCCAATGAGCGTCTCTGATTGTTTGAACAGTGTCCGCTTTGCTGCTCCCCCAACTGGGCCACTTCGCTGGCAGCCGCCACGAAAGCCGGTCTTGAACCGCACTTCCGTCCAATCCGCGGCATCTTACAGCCCGATATGCCCACAAAGTTTCAATGCAGTGCCCGGGAATGATTTCGTTCTTGGCGATGAAGATTGCCTTTTCCTTAATATATACGCGCCGCCAGATGCTGCCGATCTCCCGGTTTTAGTATGGATCCATGGAGGGGGGTACGGGTTCTTTAATGGGCAACAAGATATGTCTTCGATCATCAATACCAACAACAACAGTTTTATTGGTGTTGGTATTCAGTACAGAGTCAGTTCCGCCGTTGAGAGCACGATTAGAAAGCTAAGTATATTGGCAGCTCGGAGCCTTTGGCTTCCTCTCGTCGGACGAAGTTTCGAGAAATGGAGTCGTCAACGCTGGCCTTCTCGATCAAAAGTTTGCGCTTGAATGGATCCAGGAGCATATTTACAAGTTCGGGGGCGATGCGTCCAAAGTCACTATTGCTGGCCTCTCAGCTGGAGCAGGTTCTGTTATGCTGCACAACATTGCATATGGAGGCTCTCTTGGCACTTCTCTCTTTACAAATGTAGGTCACGTGTGCCAGTCTCTACCACTTCCTCTGCTCACATTCACTTCTAGTCCATTACTGCGTCCCCATATCTGCCGACACAATATAACTATAATGATTTTCTTCCCACGCAAGCATACTACGCCTTCGCCGCTGCAGCTGGATGCCCCCGAAATTCGCTTACGGTAACACTTCTCGAACAATCTTTGAATGTCTTCAATCCCAAGATACTGTCATCCTACAGAAAGCTTCTCATGACATCTCCACGTCAGGCACCTTCGGATCTTGGGCATTTCTCCCTGTTACAGATGGCGAGTTTATTCGTGAAACCCCAAGTCAAGCACTACTAAAACGGAAAATAAACGGTCTCAGACACCTCACCAGCAACACTGCCGAGGAAGGTCCTGCATATACGCCCCAGACAATCACCACCGAATACGAGTTGATTGCATGGCTTCTTCACACTTTCCCACTTCTCACAAACGAAGACGTACAAAACATCTTGTACTATTACCCCTTCAACCCTTCAATAGACGGCAACGCTCCCCCAGAGTATCCAACTGCTGGAGACTCAGGCGCTACCGCCGTAACAACCAGTCAAATTTCATCTGGCCATCAGCAACGAGCCAACGCTATTCTAGGCGAAACTACCTTCATGTGTCCTTCTTACTGGCTTACCGCAGCCTTTAGTTCCTCTCAGACTAGACACCATAGCTACAAATATCAATACTCTGTTCCGACCGCATTTCATGGGTACGACCTGGAATCATACTTTGGTCCTGCGCGCAGAAACCAGGGTCCGGACTTATTACGTGCATTGCAAACTTCTTGGGGAAATTTCGTGCGCTTTGGAGATCCGTCTATCCCGTCAAGCATCGCGGACGGCGCGAATGATACTCGCTCGGAACCACACCCTCTAGAGCATTGGCCGGAGTGGTCTTCAATCAACCCCCAGATGGCGGTTTTCAATCAAACCGGTGGCACCCCATATGAGTTCATAGCGGTGCAGGTCAAGAACGATGGACCACTCACGGTCGTTGCGAATAGAGACAAAAACGTAACATTGCATACAGAGCCAGGGTTGAGAAACGACTTCCGAGTTGTGGATGCATACGCTTGGGAGGGAAGGCGCGGAGCGAGGTGCGATTTCTGGAGAAGTATTGGGGCCATTGTGCCCGAGTGAGCATTGGCTGAAGGATACTTTCTTGAGGTTGGTTCGGAGTGGTGAGTGAATAGTTGAGAGCTCAAGCCGCTTTCAGCTTCAACTAAATCAGCAATCACGATTGCCGGCTCATATTTGTCGGTTCAGGGCCAAGATGGCGGGATTGAAAGTACACCGCTACATTTTAATAAATAAGAAGATGAACTAGAAAAAGAATCCCCTTAAGATAACATGTTACTATGTGGTTTGTACAGAGCAATTCCCTGTATGGGAAACACGGAACTTAGGAAGAGGTATTGCAAACGGTGCTTTTCCACTCAAATACGCCTCTTCTTTTCAATGGACTTCAATTCTCAGCAGTATATTACAAGAGTGGTTCTCCTCGCGTCAGTTGACGGACACAGAACTAGTAGAACAAAACACCTATATACCAGGAATGGAGATAGCAAGCGAGAGTCCCCTACTTCGCAGAAGTCCTCCTCTTCAATCCGATCTCAAGCGCCAACGGCTTCCTCAGAAATCCTTCACGCGTTTCCATAATGTCTTGTCTGAGCTGCACATCGTACCTCCGTGCCCACGAAGCTGCAATCATCTTCATCTCCATCTCAGCCACATTCCTTCCGACACAAGCACGCGGTCCGTGACTAAAAGGAATAAATGCATTCTTCTGGCGGTTCGTCACATTCTCCCATCTCTCAGGCCTAAATTCGGTGGCATCGGGCCCCCAGATCTCTTTAGAATGATGGATCGTGTAGGTTGGCACGCTCAGGACGGTTCCCGGAGGAAAGTAATAGCCGTTAAGGTGTACACCTTGCGAATCGAACGGAATCTGGCGAGGAAGCCCGATACCTGACGTCGAGTGGTGGCGCAGTGTCTCGTTGATAACTGCCTCTAGATACGGTAGGTTTCGAACCATCTCATACGATGGTACGTCTACACCATCTGGAATAGCTGAGTCCAATTCGGCTTGAAGCTTGGACAGAACGCCAGGTGTCTTGGTTACATGATAAAGCAAGGCACAAGATGAATTACTGGTGGTATCCGAGCCAGCAATAAGCTGGGTTAAAGCCTCTGCGGTGAGTTCTTCGATACCGAGCGGTTCTCCCTTCTCATCGAGGCCTTCTTGGAGACGTGACAGGAGATCCTTGCGAGTAATGTCCGGCGGGTTTTCCAGTCGGCTCTTTACACGAGCAATTGCGATACCTGCCAGGTTCTGGACGGCCTCCATGCCCTGGCTGAAGAACGGATCAGGGAGCCATTTAGCGTAGGGCTTCAGTTGTGGCAGGGTTCCCAACGTGGCAGAGACTTCACCTCTGCGGTTCAAAATCTCGACTGCAGGGGCATAGATAGGCGGCGCATCTGGGGAAGACCGAACCTCGGCTATATCCGCACCCGCCTCAAGCATTCCAAATGGCGACCCAAAGGCAAGATCACCGATGGTATCGAATGCAACATAACTGAGAGGAATCAGTACATGGAATCAAGGCATGAAACGCAATCCACAGGCTGAGGTTTCCGCCGCATCTATTCATGTACCCAAACACTTACTTGAACCATGATAAACACTCAATGTGGGCGTATCCATCCGGCTGGCGTTGATTGTCGGAGATTTCATCCCATTTCTTGACAAAGGTCTCCAGGTTCGAGTGGATGTAGGGCTCAAATTGCCCGACAGACTTCGGCGCAAAGGTATGCGCCACGATCTTCCGCTTGCGAGTGTGCTCTGCCCGGTCTCTGGTGTTGAAGAGCCCACGGCGGATGGAGACAAAGGCGTCATAGAACTCAGCCTTCAAAAATCCATTGCCATGGCCGTAAATTACTGGGATAGCCTCATCGTCCGCTATGCTGACGTGGTTTGGCTGAATGCGGACAACCGGCCCTAGTTTCTCATGCACCTCGTCTGCACACAAGTACCGCTTCCCACGACGGGTGACATAGAGGAGCCATAGGTTCGAGAACTGGGCCGGGAACGGAGCAGGGATCCCCCGAAGCTTGCCGTAGGTACCAAAATACGGAATCAGGTAGTACAAGCCCAAAACCACCGGTACCAATGCAATGGCCCAGGGCGAAAGGATGAGGTGGACGATAGCCATAGTATGCAGCGCCGAGTCAGGGCCAAGGCTGTCTGCAGTTGAGGTGGACAAGGAAGGAAAAAAGACAATGCTTCGCTTCAGCCGAAACGGAGAAACTTTCTCGAAACGTGACCCAGTCGACTGCAGATCAAGTGATTATATTGAAAGCACTCGCTTTTCCACGGAAGCTGGCGCGACTGAAAGGTAACGAAGAGAGCCACCCTAACTACCGTCATTATGTGCCCACCTTAAGGTCCACTAAGGGAGGGCAGGCCAAGTCCATCTTCCCCTCAAGCTAGCACAACGGCTAACCAACGGTCCCCCACATCAAGCCCCAATGAAACGGCCTGGATTCCTCATCTTGGAAAACCCATGCGACAACCGGGACGGCACTGATCACCGGTAGTTGTACGTTGCGAAGGCAGCCTTGGTGATCAGGGATTAGAGAGGTGACACCGCGGCGCCCGTGGCATGGGTGGACGTCCGGGCAGGCCGTGTTTTGAAAACCTGATAAACTCTATTAGAACGATGCCTGCTAGCTTGCCTATCATTGATGATTGAGTGATAAGGGAGCCCCTCTAACGAATGAGAACAGTCCCATAGTACGGAAGGGCCGGGTTTGGCTATAACTTTCCTAACTGGAGCCAGGAATACGAGGTTGATATAGTTATCTTGGCAAAATCCTGACCTTAAACTAGTTCCAACACGCAAAGGAGAGCATTGCGACAGAACACGAGCAGCTGAGCAACTTGTTTCCTAATGTTGTCTTCGGACCCTGATCACTGCTACTGATTTTTTGCTTGCGTGCTGCCTTGCTTGCAATGTGATATTCTAATAATTCCCAAGGCTATCTCCCACAACACTCGTCTTGATGTTGCAAGAATGCCCCAGTTATTTCGGCTATTTGAAGCATGACTGAGGTTTGCAATACTTTTGAAACATGATCATTACTCCTATTATAGTCTACTTAAGCAGTGGCTAATTTAATTGCACTGAATACAGGTATAGTGTTCTACCTTGTTTCCGTATGTATTTACGCTGAACCAAATGCCTTTGATGTTCATCTTTCCGACTGAATGTTACTGCAACGATGAGTTTCTCATACACCGCATGAGGCGAAACTAACACCTTTGCATCACCGTCCAGCCAACCTTTTTCAACCTGGCCGTGGTTATGAGGCAAAACCCGATCGCCATCACGCAGGCTGCCCAGGCTTGAGATCCGGTAAACTTTCCATCGCTTGCCCCTTGTATCGCCCCGCCAATTGGCGGTCCCGTCAATGCGGCAACTGAAACGATGCCGAATCCCATCCCAATCCGAGCACCCATCATATCGAGCCTTGGTGTCAGGCTTGCGATAGCCGTGGGGATCGAAGATTGCACAGCTCCAGAGACAGCACCATAAAAGCAAGTGAACACATAGTATCCAGGTATATCTTTGACAGCAAGCCAGCAGAATGATGCCACGGTCCAGATCAGGAAGATGGGAACCAGGGTGTTGACAGGTCCCACACGGTCAGCAATTAGAGGCACGGTCAGTCTCATCGGAATGCCAACTGCGTTGATGATGACCACGAGCAGTGTAGACGCTTGGTAAGATAGACCTAAAGTCTCCCTACCAAAAGATGCAATCTAATGGAACTATGAGTAAAATGGAACCGGCAACGATACATATGAATGTGCTCGCAAAGTGAACAGGCTGACTCACATAATAGAAGGTATAGTAATTAGCCCACATGGAGAAGAAGACAGCAAACACGAAAGCAAGAAATACTGGTTCTTTCAGAGCAGTCAAGTCAACCATGGGCCCCGACTTCCGGGGCGGAAGCCGGGGCTTCAGAAGAATCAAGCCCGTTGCCAGGAAGACCAGGTTTATCAGACCCAAGGCTCTCGTAGTCCAGGCAAACCCGATCTGCGGCAGCAGTTGCCGCGTAATTACAGGATATAGCGCCCCTCCCGTGGAGTTGCCGGTCGTCACAAGCCCTACTGCGATACCGCGCCTCTTACTGAAATAAGTGGTGATCATGGCCAGGGTAGGGGTGAAGAAGATGCCGTTACCAAGTCCGGTGAGTACACCCTGCGTCAGCATGAGCTGCCAGTATTTGGTCGAGATGCTCATCAGGAAAATGCCCAGGAGCTGGAAGATGGCGCCAACGATGTACGTCGGGTAGAAGAACCCGGCGTCCAGCAGACGTCCGGTGAAGACGCCCACTGACAAGCTCATGAAGATTTGCACGGATCCTATCCACGAAATGGAAGACGGCGACACGGGGAGCGTGCTAGTGTAGTAGGTTTGGAACGCGCCAAAAGCATTTACGTAACCCCAGGTGGTGAAGATGACCAGAAACCCGGCTCCGACCTGGAGCCAGGCTCGGGTACCACCATCCGGCGGTGGTGGGGGCTCCTCTCGGATCCGGGTGGACAGGCGCGAGGCAACCTGGCTGAGTACATTGCTGGCCGTTCTCCGGAGGTCCTGAGAAACGCGGCCCGTCGACTTCTCACTGAGCCGTGATCTCCGGGTGGGTATCCTTTCAATGTCCTGTGCAGCCTCGTGGATGGAATCAGTGTCCGCGTCAGAGTCCTCATCCGTGGAAGTGCGGAGAGAACCATTGGCAGCGTAAGGCTCATGCACCGTAACGGCACTCTTCTCCTCGGGGGTCTGCATGGTATTACAGGGGCCTGCCATGAGGTTTGAGAGCGTTTTTGAGAATTGCTAAGTACAAAAGCCCACTTTGGCTCTCGGGCGCCATGCTTTTATTGTTATGGACAAACCTGCTCAGTTTCTGCCCAAGAAAGGCCAGACGGATAAGAATTTTAAACCCGGCGATGAAACCGCTCGCCTCCGCCTTCGGACAAGAAAAAATCCACAGGGCGTGTCGGATTAGGCAGTTTAGTTCGTGCATGATGTTGTTTTGCGGAGTCAGTAGCCGCTATTAGTGGAGACGATGCAGCCATAAACTGCCGGAGGCAACGCGAGGACTGGCCCTGGCCAGTCACCTTCACCGGGTTCATGATAAATGCAAACCAACGACAACAATAAAAGTCCGACGCAAGAAGTGAGTAAAAGCTGCCCAGAAAAGGAATATTGTCCAGTGGGAAGCGCAGCACACTGACTCATAGTCCGGCAGCTGTAGCTGCCCCAATTCAAGATGTACAGTCATCTTAATTAGTCTCAAGCCGACTACGGCGGCCTAGGGGCCCAACGTTGATCAAATATGGAATCATGACGATAGTCTTTCAATCGAATCTGATACCACAGATCACCATGTGATGCCAGAAAGGCCGGCTGCGGCCTCGTGACAACTGCAATGATCTGCACTTATACAGTTGCTGGGCGAATAGTGCGGCTCGGCTGGCTTTGCCAGGATACCCACCCCTGTTCAACTCTATGCAGTCGACTCGGTGGACGCGTTACGGGCCCATTATTTCGGCTTCAGATCCCGCACACTCAGAAAGATATATCGGAAACCCGAATCGGGCCCAGGGATGACCAGCAAAGACGACAGTATCCAGTGGAATGAAACACACGGAACAGCATCCAAGCCCAAGACTGCATCTCATTCCGAGCATTGACATCGGTCAGTGCCTGAAAAATTCACGTTCGAGCAGCGCTATAAACAATCGTAACGTGCACAATTCAGTTCTCTTCCCTATGAACCCTATTATCTACCTAAGGCAGAGTGACTATCCAGTCTTTCAATATCGATTCTCCGGCACAGGCTTGCCGTGCCTTACGTGGTATCATTCCAATCCTTTTCCTTTTGTGTGCATCTTTGCCATGTAGTCAAGATGCCTGCCTCCTATAATCTATCGACACATGATCGCACATCAATCAGACCGTGTAGCGGAAGAAGGTCGCATTGTCACCCTTCTCACGCTCGAGAAGCTTCTCCTCTTCGGTGTACTCGGAGGGAGGCTTGTACTCAAGGTCGCGGCGACGGTTCTCGCGACGCAGGTAGAGTGTCATGATGATGCACAAGATGGTGGACATGGTCTCGGTGGCAATCAGGGTGCCGTGGCCAGGGTAGAACATGGGCGCATCCTTGGTGCGGTACAGGAATCCAGAGATGGCACCACCCAAATTACCGAACCCAACGTGCATGGCTGCATGAGAATGTTAGAGCCTAGGCCTTCAAACCGTAGATGAAAGGTCTACTTACCAATACCAACACCACGTTTGGTCGATCCGCCGATGTTGTTGCCGTTCCACGCAACACCTTGAGGGACATTGGGGTAGATACCCATAGCTGCCAAGAAAGTACCGGCATACTTGACTCCATTGTGGTCGCTGGCGATGAGCAGGATGAAACCGAGGATTGCAACGCAATTGAAGAAGATCATGTAGATACCGCGGGTGCCTTGTTTATCAGCGAAGTAGCCACCGGCGATACAGCAGATGCAAGCCACCACGTAAGGGGGAACGGTCATCAGTTGCGAGGTCTGACAATTAGCCAACGTTTGTTGTTGAGAGCGGTAGTGCTTACCTTGTCGTTCGTAAACCCCATATTCTTGACAATAGTCGGCAGGAACAGCGAGTACGAATAGAGGGGAGTGTAGACGCCGATGGTGATGAACACTGCCCGAGGTTAGCTTCAGCGCAAATGTCACGGAACTTGGTGTCGTACTGTGGACCCAAATCTTCCAATCCTGGATAGCGTGCCAGAAGTATTTGATGTCGAACTCATCAGCCAATGCCGAGCGGTCCTCTGTCAACCGGCGAAGAACCTCCGCCTTCTCATCCGAGTTCAGGAATTTGGCAGTATCCGGGTAGTCGTTCATGATGAAGAATGCAGCAATAGCTAAAGGCGATGTCAGTCTCTCACCCACCCTAGCGTCTGTATGTAATCGGCGTTGGACTTACCGATGGCCAGAGTAGCAATACCCTCGAGGATAAAGATCCAAGCCCAAGCATCTTTTCCGCCGACACCTCCCATCTCCATGATACCACGGGCGAGCAACCCACCGAAGGCACCAGCGGCGGTGGCTGCGGAGAAGAAGATAGCCATACGGAAACCACACTCATGTCGCTTATACCACACTGTATTCCGTCAGTACCACAGTCTCATTGGAGAATAGAAACTCGCTTTATTGACGTACGCGTGATGCTAAACAAGAGATTCGGTCAGCGCCCCTCAACACGAAGAGATCGGATGATGAATATGCTTACTAGTAAGTGATACCAGGGAAGAGGCCACCTTCAGCAAGACCAAGGGCCATTCTGCAGGCCAACAGCCCGGCGTAGTTGTGAACAAGACCCATCAGGGTGCAGATGACGCCCCAAGCAATCATGATGCTTGGAATCCAGATGGAGGGGCGAAAGCGCTTCATTGCCAGGTTGGACGGAATCTCGGCGGCAACGTACCACGGGAAGAACACACTAAGAGCAATGTTGTAGTCCAAGGCCCACGGGTCGGTGTTCATACCGAGCGCCTTCTCGAGACCGGCGAGACGAGCATTGCCGATGTTGGTTCTGTCCAAGAAACTCAGGAGGTAGAGCAGGGCAAGGAATGGGATGAGAGCCCAGTCGATCTTGCGGATGAGCGTCTTAGTGGCTGACGCATCGAAACCCTGTCGCTCGACAGCAGCGAGTTCTGTTTCCTGGACGTCTGTGTCCTTGGTCGCATCGATGCTAGGCGTGGTCGAGTCACCAGAGGCCTGCACCTTCTCGTCAGTTGCCGACATCTTGATTATTGTGAGTTTGCCAAGAAGTCCAAACGGGAATGTGGACGGGTGTCAGTGAGATGAGGTGAAGAAAGACTAGTAGCTGGGGCGGCGGGTGGTGAAGCTTTAAGAATGGCTTGGTCACCACGGCAAGCTGGCTAGGAACAACCAAAACATGCAAAAAGAAAATGAGGCAGGTGCCGAAAGTCCACAAGGCTGGGTGATGGCCAGAGGAGTCGGGTTTATGTCTGAAGGAAGCCAACCAGACGCTTTAATATGATTTCGCGTGGCACATCCCAGACCAGAGACACGGGAGAAATGGGCATTAGTGTCGAATCTGACACCAGATATGTATGTCTTATAAATAGTCGTACTAATTGGGTCAAGGAAACTAGGGCGGAAGGAACAAATGGTACTTCGGTACCAGGGCGGCCTGCACAGTCCAGAATGGCTTGCAGTAGGCTAGCCCAAGGACAGAGGGTATCACCGTTGATGTATGCTACGAATCTTGGCAGCTTATCTCTTGTGTGTCGGGTACCCGAATGTTGCACCAGTCAAGGGCCAGCCCTCCCGTCGAAGCAGGACCGCAATGAAAGAAATGAGCACTGGCGCGAAATCTGAGTTCGTCCCAGCGGCCTCTCCCTTTTTACTCTTGAAAAACAGCAATAAAAAAACATACTTCATGGGCTGCACTGTACTGTTGACTTTTCAGCCGTGCGCTTTATTGAGAACGCCACCCGCAGCTGGGGTTGGACATGGATGCGAATGTCTCTGGATTTTGCATCCTTTGCAGTCAGCCAAGGGGCAGATCTTGCTCTGGTCGGCCAACTTGGCTGGGAGTCAACAGTTGGCACTTACCAATCTTGACCGTCAGATCATATCGTCGACTCAGCATCGATATAAAGTTTCAGTCTCCTATTGGCTGAGGAACGTTGCACGCCAAGCGGCTGGGGTTATATTGTTGCCAAGTGCTCGGTAATCCAGGGCTAGCCCAGTTTGAGCCCCAACGCCGTGGTGTCGCATCGGGCCATCCAGTAAACCTTCCAGAGTGCGGCTTGGAGGGTCCAGTTCTCCATTGGCCAAGCGCTGGGTGCCGTGCCAGCTTGCCCGACATCTGGGGTTTGAAGGAAGCGAGATTTCGCAGGTTTGACGCCGAGCCCACTTCCCCGGACTGTGCTGGGCCTCCTCCTGACGGCTTGAACGGCTTCTGGGGCGGAGCACAGCCCACACCTCTGAAAGTTGACACCGTCACCACCGGGGGAATCATGGTTCGTAAACCAGATGACTCGGTATGCCCAGCCCGCGGCCCAGAACAGAGCCTTGCTGTCTGGCTGTCTGGCTCTCTGGCTCGTCTTGTCGCATCCACAATCCGCCCGTCTGAGCTGGGCGCGCGCTTTCTCCAACGCGGGGTAGCTTCCCAGAAGCCGGGGTAAGTTGGGACCCCCTTTTACTGGTGGACCAGTCCATCGGGTTGGGTTGAAGGTCGCGTCCCTCTTCTCTGCTTCACTTCATCGCCTGTGGCCATCGTGTCGCCGTCCCAAGACTTCAGCTTCACCAGCTTGGCGCATTTCCAGCTCAGTCCACGTGGCGACCATCTCGTCGGCCTTTGTGCCGGCCTCAAAGGAGAGTCTGGCCGACGAGCCCGGCAACGCGCACCCCAATCAGTGGAGTTCGTCTGCCTCTTCCGGAGGGTAAATGGAAGTGGCTTGCCAAGGTCGTGCCAAGTCAGCCGGGGACACGACCGTAATGCGGTGATGAGCCACTGGGCATGGACATGAGGCCAATCTCCTTGATTCTATCACTGGCGAGGCCGGCATCCCGCAACAATGTCCTCTCTGGTTCGACGTTGGCCCTGCGCCGTCAGCAAGCCACACCGGTGAAGCCCTCACGCTTCCCGCCCTCATCCTTGCCCTCATGGCTGGCGGCCTGGCTTGCCAAGCTGCTCAATCCTCAACTGTTTCTGCACAGACTTTCCTCCCACAGACATTCCCACGCGCGACGATCTGGACGGCATCACTTGCAGCGCCGGCCGGATGGAAGCTAAGAGATCTTCAGCAGCTGTGCTACGCCAGCCAAGCCTTCCAAGGCAAGCCGCTGACAACGATGTGCGTTTCCCCTCCGACGAGGGGACGACCTCATGATTTCTAGAAATCCCATAGCGCCTGGGCATGGAGAAGTGACATGGTTTCACGTTGCAGACACGCATCGCATGGCAATGTTCCCCAGATCAACTCTCAGGGGCTGCCGGCCGTTCCTTTCTCCTCGATAATGAAATTTAAGCAAGAGGAGCGGTCTAGAATTACACATGGCCAACAAGCGCCCTCGCTTCACTGCCTGAGTTATTAAACGCATGCAGCCCGTCTCCATGAGACCGTTGAGAAATTTGGTGCTGCTTTCCACTTTGGCAGGGGTGTATTTGGGTTGCAGCGTTAGGGTTGCGTAAACGACATCTGCAGGTGCATAGAACCCCCAATCGGCGGCTGAACGCTACCAAACACTTGGAAATGAGCAGGTCCCCATCCCTCCCAGCAGGGTGCGTTACACCAGAGAACCCTGACGGAACTCAGCACGTTTCCTTTCCCGATTGTCGCACTGCGTCTTGCGGAACACTCGGGCAGTTTGACTTCCAGCGCTGTCGCTGTGCGACACTCATAGTGCCCGTGAAGGTGGGTTCTCGGAGGCGTGCCCATTGCTCATTGGGGAAGGTATACATATTGGGTGATACCCGCAGCAAGGAGCTGCATCAAGCGTCGGCTTCGCATTCATGATTGCCCTTGCTAATGTGGAGTGCGACCAATCGCTTGCATTTCGGCTCGAGCAAGATGAGCGCTCGGCCCGTGCCTTGTTACGATTCGGACAGGCTTCCGACCCATGATCCCTCGCCTGAAGCACTTTTTGATGCGTCCTGCTGACATGAAAGCAGGGAGGTTATGCCAATTGGATTAGGTGTAGGTGCTGCAGCTAATACGAAGTATTGCGTGGCTGTAGAGATAGGTGCTGACGGCGGCGCCGTGGGTAATCTATCACGTCCAGTGGCATTGATTACCTTCATCAAAGCCAATTCCTCTATATTTGAATCTCATTTATGAGTTCTAGCTGTGCAAGTGTCGTACACCAACTTCCACCGCGCTTTGCCCCGACCACGTTCTCATTGATGTCGTTCTTACGCGCGATCTGCGGTGGACATAATATCGCCGGATTTAACCTATTAGGCCCAAGATCCCCACGTTTCTAGATGATCCCTTCGAACACACGGCTCAAAAGTTCCATACCTACATACGTAGGGGCAATGCTACGCGTCCCTGCAGGTCATGCATAAGATTGATGGTCTAGAATGGAGGGCAGCCACTCATATCAGCAATCAATGGGATACTATCGAATGCTGACGGTAAGAGCTAATCGAGCACACCGCGCCTATTCTAGATTCATACGACCAGAGCATCGAATCAACCACGAATCTGGTTGTCACGGCTGGTTCAGGCACGAATGCCTCATATGTACACTGGTACGGACGGGGAAGTACTGCTACTCATATCTACAACTCTCTTTTTCACCTACAGCCATTGGCTGTGTGCGCGCCACAAGATGAGCCATGTTGTGTATAACTGAGCGGGTTGTGATGATAAGTGTAGTCACATGATTTGTCCTTGATGCTCCGGAGCTGCCTGTGAGCGCGTAAGTCTTATTACAGATTACATATTGGCGTGCTTAGCATGGCATTCGCTCTCTCGCTATTAGACCTGAGGTGATTACCTTGAAGTTGCCTTCTGAAAAGCCACTGAGCTGCCACTATTCCGCTGCGACCGACTTGAAGAGTGCTCCACAGATTGGCCAAGTTGTCATCTTGATAGCCTCAACCGTAGTAGCTTGGGTCCTGTCGACCACTTCAGCTCTGCTGAAAGCCGGTGTAGTAAAGTGATGCGGATGATGCTTCAGTTCAGGTGAATATGGGTCGTTAAGAATGCGCTGTGCATCGTACGGGTGTATGTGGAATATCAACGACCACCGATTGCTCGCGAGAGCCGCCCTTCCACGTTGAACTGCGCTCACTCATTACAACATGTGCACTATAGGCTAGACAAGCTCTCCACCATTTCGGCGGAATTGAATTATCCTGGCTGGCTGTAATCTTTCTCATTGAGCACTGTAGCTATCCCCACCAGATATCTGGTGCAATGCGAAACATGACCTTGCAGTCATATAGACCAACTCAATTTTTCTTTGGAGATATAAGGTCCAGAGCTCGGCACAAGACCATCCAATGCTATTACCTTCAGGCCATCTTCTGGGAATGATATCTGTTGGCATATCGGTTTTTAATCACCAGATCTGCCAGCACACCGAATGGTCCAATCAGAGACGTCTACTCTCTCGAGCCTGTCGGGGTCATCTCCGAGCTTGATATATGTAATCCGGTCCGTCAGGGGTCGATCCAACTGCTGGATGGTGCAGTAGGGATGAGTGCCAAGCCCACCCACAAGCGCGATCGACGTCGCCCGGAATTCCCCATCGCCATTGTCGATGGCGCTGCCTGCATAGATATCGGAGACGGCGACTGCATCGTTATCCTGGCATATCTCCCGCCGGGCGTATTTCCCCGTCCAGTCGTTGGAAAAGGCGATGGCGACTTTGCTACCCCTACAGTGCCTAGCCTGGTGCAATGTAGCGTCGAAAGGGGCTGTTGTCGTTGGTGCCCCCGTTACAAATGACCATAGCACAGCTGTAAAAACACCCAGGGTGATTGTTAGGGGCTTCATTCTGGCAAGGGAAAATTGAGATTAATCGGAGCTCCAGAAGCTATGAGCGGTATAAAATGAAATGTATATTAGAAATCTAGGTAGCACAGCAAAACCTCAGAGATGAGGGCGATCTTATAAGTCACACCAGCCACAGAATTTTTCAAGAGATAATCATGACTCTACCCGAACTAATCAGGATATTATAGTTCCACGGCTCTCGTTGAGCCTAATATTCGTCTCGGATGCAGAGCCGTGTCTGCACTGAAGTATAACCATTGCTAGTGACGACCACTTTATTTTAGTGCCACTCGAGGCGCTGCCGCTGTATCGTCTTGATCCCAACACTGATATGCTTCCTGAAAGCCATTTGCACGCCGAAGTTAACCTGTTAAGCTAGAGTGAACTACCTGTAGCCTCATCAAGATTTCTCGTGTTACAATGCCAGCTCTAGAATCGATGAGCGCAGTTGCTTCGAGATATCAGGTAGTCTACGAATAGCACGAATACACATGCGGAGATAGTCATAAGTAGAAGACCGAGAAAACAAGAGGCCGAATTTGGTACTCAAACAAACAAGTCATGGGGTCAATTTGGCATGGGTGAATGATCGACATAGGATCAAATAGATCTTGATTATGCCTACGACTGTATTCCTTGCAACACACTGCCTACATGACAAGAGTCCTGGAAACCTCGGAGGTGACAACCAGCCCTGCATGAAAGCGGAACAAGCACGCCAGCCGCGGGCATCAAGTCTCCTTCCATTGCTCAGCCAGTGAACGGGTCGAAGTACCACTTGGTGTTGTCGGTGTTCTCGATCGGGTAAGAAATAATATCAGTGCCAGATTGGGTAGCGCTACCCCTGACATTGAGCTGGCCGCGGCCGTTGAGCTTGTTGTTGATACTAGAATCAGGACCATAAGAGTCAGTCCAAGTAAACACCGACAAGCAGTTGGCACAATGACCGAATTTTCCTTACACAAATACATCGTAGCCGTTGGTGCGCGATGACTTGATGAACCAGCGGCAAGACGCGTCGCTGGGAGAGATCTGGGGAGTCGACGTGATGGTCTTGTCGCCTATGATCTCAGGTCAGCAAGATGATTTCTTCCAAGATAAGCAAACTTGAAATGCTTGGCTCACCAGTGGCCGTAAGGAAGTAACCAGTCAGAACATTGATAATGAGATATTCCGCATTATCCCCGGAGCCGGCCACTTGGGCTACTTGCCAGAGCGTGTTGGGAGTTGGGCGGTCGCGGTCGCCGCGGTCGCTTGAATGGAACAAGTATCAATCACACGGGCTTCTTGGAGAACAACCATTCCTATATCTTTTGATGTGACATGGGTAATAGGCTTACTAGGTTCTGACAACGGCACCAGCCTCCTTATGACCTCCCCATGAGTTCATGCTCAGGCCTGGAGCCTGGTAAGGGACGATAGCATAGACGCCGGGACCTGAGAAACCCATTTTGAGGGGTGAATATAGAGACAAGGGGAGAGTTGAAGAAGATTTGAATGCAGCTGATTGAGTCTTGTTATGAAGATGATGGTAATGTATCAACAAGACACTTCGACTCAAAACGAAGGAGAAGCTGGACCTTTATACACAGTGGGTTGAACCCTTGTGGCCGTCGTATCTCCTTCCCCTCAATTACTCTCTGTCATAGAGATTCTGACCGGTGTCGCCATTGAGTGGCTAGCTGTCCAGTTGTAGATCATCTGTAACTCCCGATGTACGAAAAGCAGTGTTACGACATGTCGCGAGAGCGGCTGGCTGTGATGGAGATCGGTAAGCCAATTATACGCAAGGCCAGTGTGCCCAGCTTGCGGATGAAACATTCAGGTGAGCCGCTGCGTCCCCTTTTGAACTTGGTGTAAAGTGGCTTATGCACCTGTACTTTGCGGGTGAAGATATTAGTTGGAGTGTAGCTGAAATGGACCGCGTCTTACGGTGTGGAGAAAACTGAACAAATCACCACTCACTTCGCTAGCTCGCCTCTTCGTCTCTTTGTACACCTTCAGTCGTATGTGATTTCGCCCGCAAAACCGTGTGATCGGTCATACACGGGGAAGATCAACGCTCGAGCTACACAACAGTTCGGCACCTGCGTTCAGAGCTTCACGTCAACCTTCATGCCCAAGCTGTATCCTATATCCTAGATCTTAGATCTGACCTGTTCCTGTGCAGGCCAACATGAAGGCTTGGATCCGGCCAATGATCTTTGATGATGCCGGGACTGCATTGGTGTCTGATGCCGTAGACATCTGTATTGGCTTGAGGCCGCAAAGAGTGTATCATCCAGGTGACACAACACGACGGCAATACGCAATGCAGGCAGAGCGTATGAATGGCGGTAACATCTGTGGAAGACCAATCATATCTCAGATCTGTTGAGGCGCCATGAAACGGATACACTCCCGTGCTCCCTTAGCTCATGCACCGGGATGATCACATAGCGGGATCTGGTTCTGTAGCATCTGATGAACGTCAAATCACCAGGTGTTCCCGCCGCTTCTATGGACTATGCCCCACCTTGCGATACCTGCATGTCCTGGTAGCTAGTGGTGACTGTGACTGTGCTGAAAGGAGGAGAGACAGGCAGGCAGTGGTATCCGGATGATGAAAGGCAGTAACTTGGGCCCACCGATGTGCGTAGCTGCGGTGTTTTCTTCACTTCACTCCAAATGCCTGCAGTGGTTCTATATCACTGCCTTGATGCTTGAAGAACTTGAGATGTAGCCAAATTAATTATGTCGTCGAATCTGGGTATCAAATGTTGCTATATACCAAGCCCCCACAAAGTGATTGTCTATCCATTCTACCTGTTCCGTACATTAAGTGTCTAAATGGGCATTACATGCGTTTCTCATCAGGAAGTGCCCCCGGAACCCGGGGTTCGCTGCTGCTTCGCTCTCCTAGTCCTTGAAGAGAGGTGTCGAACCGTCCTGCCTGATCAAGGGACTTTCGGGAATGGTCGGCACTCCTCCTCGACTTCTTTCGGCTGTCGTCACTGTCTCGGTGCAGGAAGTCGAGCTTGGGTTTGGGCAGGATGAGATTGAGGCCACTTGCCCCTTTCCCATCTTCTTCATCGATATCGTGGAGTTTCCTCTCCGCTTCTTCGGCCTCCTTCTCCTTTCGCTGTTGCACTCGTCGCATGGCCTCTTGCGTGAGCTCCTGTCTGAATCTACGCTCGACAACGTCCTTCTTGCGCGTCCGTCGGTCACCAATGGAAATGAGGACACCTGCCGTGATGTTTACAGCAATGGAACAGCACAGAATGGTAGCCGTGAGCGCTCCAGGACGTACCCTGTAGTCGATGCACCAGGTGCACAACCCAAGAGCAAGCTGGAAGCAAGAATGGCAATCCAAGAGCACGACGATGGCGATGAGCAACCGCTGTGGAAAGGCAAAGTGCGTGTCGGTTTCGTGGGGCTTGTAAAAGGTGTGAGACTTGGCAAACTTGGTTTGGTGGTGCTCCAGCTTGGCCTGCTGTTGTGGGGTCAAGACCGAGAGCTCCTCCTTGATGTGCAAGTTCCTGGCCGCCTCGAGATCAAGTTGCTGGTCTCGATCAGACACCACGGGCTCTGTTGGGAGGTCGTTCTTGTCCTTCAGGTCCGGCACGGCCATCTTCTCGCGCAACTTCCAGGTGAGATGAGAGTAGCGGGCAATGAAGATCATGTGGTATGTATCAACAATGCGCCAAGGGATCAATCCATCACCAACAATAGCAAACAGAGCCACCAGGACGTTGTCAATCACGTTGGTGGTATATAGCTGCTTCTCACCAACATAGATCCAACCAATCAGAAACAAGACCCATGCCAGACCGAAGACGGTGATTAGGAACGCGTATAACGTAACGAAGAAGCCAAGCGGCCTCTGGACGTATTGACCAAAGGCCTTCATGCTGCGTCTGAAAGCAGAGCGGCGCGAGTGGAGCATATGCCGGACGTGGTCGTTTAGTTCTGCTAGATCCTCATCGCTCCAGTCTGCTAGCGACGTATTGGGGGGACGGACTGCGTAGAAGCGCTCCGTCATAGTGCTTGGTATGCGTTCGACGGAGGGACGCCCAGGTCGCTCCGCCTCGGTATCAGGCGTCGTGGCACGGCTTAGTCCACCGTCTCCTTGGTCCCCTTCCTCCGGGATCATGTTTGACCTGGAACCTGGGCGTTGAGAGGACACATCGGTTTGTGACGGGAACGAGCCGGGAAGCTGGGGCAGACGACTGAGGTTGTACGTCGGTTGTCGGTTGATGAACCTTCCCATGGAGGGCACGAAGAGAGAGTTCTGGACGTTGGTTATGGAAGACAGCGTCGAGACTTCGGGGTCTGGGCAGCACGATCAGGATTAGCCAGGCAATGTAACGGGATGGGCGCTGGGCCTGCTGTTTTCTGACTTACCCAAGACATCGAGCATGTCAACAATGTTTGGGTCGTACTCGTTCAGAACGGCGACCTGCTCTCCGCCGTCCTGCTTACGCCGACGGCCGAGCAATGTCCTCCCTCGGAATCGACCTAACCTCTCCTTGTTGGGATTGGACTGGGCGTCAATCTCGGGCGCCTGGCCGCCCTGAAAATCTGTGGCTTCCGCGGGCGGTCCATTGTGGCCGTCCACATCCAGCATGGAGCGCACGGGCTGTGGATTGGATGGCTCGCCACGAGGTTGCTCGGCTCGCGTCGTCGACCCGAGTCTGTTCAGCCGTATGGACTGGCGGTCCCGATCATCATCGCCTACGTCCAACATGGACCGGATCTGCTGTGGATTGTCCTTGTCCTTGGGTCCATCGCCAGGACCATGGCCGCCATGTCTCCACGTGCCGAGCCTTCGCAGCCGGATGGCGGACTGTCGCGGGCGGACGGGGCCAGTGGGACGCTGTTGTTGCGGCTTCTCTGTCGTTGCTGCTGCTGCTGCTGCTGTCGCACTACTCGACTCCTGGGGCCGTTGGGGGTTCATAGCTGGCCTGGCGTCTCGACAATGAGCAAGACAGCTGATACTGTCACCGGGCAAAATAGGTTGGACACAAGTCGAGGTTGGAGCTGGTGGTTGCACCCCTCGGGCAGACCAGGCAATTTTGTTTATCAAGCAAAACCCATGGGCTGGCCCGGAACGCTTGAAACTTGGAACTACTAGACAGGGATGACGGGCGAAAGCCACAGCGCGCATATGACGTTATAGGCCCGCCGGCTGAGCGCCTGTCCCAATGACAGATCGCCGCCATGCTGCATGCGGCGTCGCTAAAAGCTTAGCTGGTCTGCGGCCCGGCCGCCAGAGGACGTGGGTGCAGCGGACTAGCTGGGGCTTGCTGGGGGGCCAATGACCCGAGACGTCACCTGGGCCTCTCTGGCCTCCCTGGCCTCCCATTCTCCTGTCTGCATCTGGCCCCAAACGACGACTGGCGCCGAGGAAAAAGGAGGGAAGCCCGAGTCATAGCCAAAGCGCGGAGTCGGAAGAAGCGCGAAACGCAAATCGCCCTCCGTAGGTAAGTGGCGCCTTTTCTCAAGTACGACTGCCCGCCTGGGCACTCGTTCACGCGGAGCTATCTCGCGTTCCCCCTGGGGTTCGCGGCCTTGTGGGCCGTGCGACTTGGGGAGCCGCGACACTTTTTCTCAGTCTCGTGTGGACACCTTATTCCCGGCCCAACTCGATATTTTCAGTTTGTCCGAACTCGCCGGCCAGAACGTGCAGCGCATGCGGTCCGCGCAGGGATCGCTGCAGCGTCCCCCACTGTGAAAATATCGTTACTTGGATCGCCAAAGCACCTTGTCTGGCGAGTCGTCAGATTGCTTGCTTGTGACATCAGCCCTACTCGACAGCGCCCCTGTTGTCCCGGCACGTTTGCTCCCTGCTGCGGTAAGATCGTCGACTGCTAACGCCGATAAGTCCCTAGTGCAAAGACCCGATAATGTGCGATTTGGCAGGATGGAGTCAACCACCACCACCTTACTCTGTAACAATTTCACGGCATCCACAAAACCTGATGATCGCCGATTCAAACAATGCTCGAGGTAGCAAGCATTCACAGCAGCAATGAATCGTACACTTTTCTCCTGTGGGTGGAATTTCTTCACGAGATCAAAGCTATATACAAGTGCCTATCGTATAGACTACGCACCTCGCCTCCAGTTCCTATTCAGACTGGACTCATTGAGAAACTGATCTCGTACCTAAGCTAGTTAAGAGAATGAAAGGGTCCCGTGGCACAATGGTATACCGTCAAAACCGGACTACTCATAATACTGCCTCGGCCAGATGTTCATCGCCGTCTTAAGCCCCCCCTCCAGAGGCAGGCCCGCGTGCATGACCCTCTGGTCCCCCGTCCCGTTGGCGTGTAAGTTGACCCAGAACACCGCATTGCCCCTGACCGGCCTGAACGCGATGCCGCCGCCCTCATGCTCGTACCACGTGCCATTGCTCTGAGCACCGCTGATGCCCGCCGGTGCGCGAGCCCTGGCCTTGACGTACGGGAAGTGGGTCGCGCCGCCCGTGCAGCCGTCCTGCAGCACGGCGAAGAAGCTGGCGACGCGGTTCCAGCTGCGGCCGAGGCGGCGCTTGTCGCGGCGCGCCGGCTGCGGGCGGTCGTACCAGTCGTGGTGGACGTTGAAGCGCTGGCCGGCCGTGTAGCGCACCAGCTGCGGGGGCCCGATCTCGCCGCGGCGCCCGTCCAGCAGCGTGCCCATGAAGGCCTCGGCGCGGCCCAGCACGCAGCGCACCGCCGCGTCGTCCGCCGGCAGCCCCGCCGACTGCGACGTGCGGTCCGCCGTGCGCTGCTCGTGCCCGCGCTTGACCACCTCGGACGGCGCGAACTCGGCCTCCCCCGCCGCCAGCAGCGCCGTGATCTCGGCCGGCGCCAGGAACGAGTCGATGTAGATCACCAGCGGGTCGAGCGAGACCAGCTCGGTGGTGTAGGCGTGGGGGCGGCACTGGAAGGGCGCCGGCTGTTCGGACGGCGATACCCTGCCGGGGATTGCAGCGAGGATCGCTCGTTTTGCTGACTCGAAATGGTCAAATGCGAGTGTCGTCGAGGATAAGCAATGGTAGATTATTGGCGCCGAGAAGGCTAAGGCGGCAACGACGGCGGCCGCCCGGGCGCCTAGAGATCGCGGCACCTTGGCCATTGTGGGGTCATTGGATCGGCGCCCGACCCGTGATGATCGCGGCGGCCGGCGATGCGCAGTTTGATTTTGTTCGGCCTTGGCGACTGGAAAAAGTGTTCGAGGTCCTAGCCTCTAAGCTACGATGTAATGATGGATACAAAATTGTAGGATTGAGCAAGTGGACAATATGCTACTCCACATCTGAGGCCTTCGAGTGTGCCAGAGAGTCCCCGGGGTCGTGGAAGATGTTCCTCCGCCCCTCTCAGAGGCAACTGGTGTAGGGGTGGCATGGGTGGTGAGGAGGCATCGATGTAACGCGTTTTGTGTATTTCGGCTGAAAGTCGTTTGACAAGCACCAGTGCTGTCTCGTACAGAAGGCTTCAAACAGGGTTTCGTCTATCGGAGAACGCTCAGCTTGGCATAAGAGCCTATAGCAAACTCCATTATCTCAATATTTTGATTGGCCGTGGCCTTTCAGCGGTCAATATCTCAGTGTTCCATGGCAAATGAAGACCCCTGCTCACTCCCTCTACGTGGGAGTTTCGGGGTGGTCCGCGATTAGGATAGCACTAATGCAGAGATCAACCAATGCTTCGCTCGTGATGTAAAGACTGTACAAGTGAATCTCGCTTTTCATGAAACTAGCAGCAGTATCAATAATCTGTCATGTCTCTTGACTCATGATAAAAATCCCCTGTAACTGATGTGACCCAGACGCCGTAAATAACCCGTGTTCGAAAGCCGTATTCCCCTTGTGCAGTGGTTCTAATACATATAATCTCCTGTACCTGGAACGGCAAAGACACTTTGGCAAAGCGCTCTATCACACCGAGCATGCAAATCCCAAAGATGTAAGGCCCCCTTCTATATCAGCATGCCGGCAACCTCCTCAAGCCCAAGCAATGCAATGCAGCTCTATCCGGGCAATCTATATGGCCCAACTGCCTCGTCTAGCTCGTACGCCCCATGCTAGTGGATTCCCTTCATCACCCATACCAGGGTGCTGTCTAGCCCACTCGCGTATATATAATCGCAACGCCCTCCACCTCGGTGGCTTTTGAGATCTCTTCTCATCCTCCTCCGGGGTTCTCATCTCGTCGGCACTGTCATCGGAGGTTGCAGAGTCACCGTTGACCTTGAGCTCCATCTCTAGCATGAACCCCTTACCGATTTCCTTGTTGTCATCCGCTTGTAGCACGTTGACGGGTATGCCGCTGATCTTACTCAGCTCTTCATCAAACGCCCGGGCCGTCGCGGGATAGCCGAGGCTAAGGTAGTTGTAAACCTGCGTCACAAAGGGATCGTCAAACTCGGCAAGGAACTGCTCTTCTTGGAGTTTGCGGGCCTGTTCTTTCTTGAGTCGTTCTTCAATACCAGATAAGAGATGCAAGCCCTTGGGTTGGTCGCGTCTTGTTGGTGATCCTGGAATACGCGGGCTCATCGCTCCACTGTCCATATTGTTGGAGAACGCTGCTGAGAAAGGGTCGGCAGGAGTCGACGGTTCTGCAGGCGTGGCTAGGAATTTAGGCTGACGGAAGTCGGTAGGGGCCATGTCTTCGTTGGCCTTGCCCACACAGTAGCCACGCCAGAGCCCTGTCTCTTCAGACTGATCGCGCTGCTTCTCTTCCGGACGCGAAGCTTCATGTGTAGGCCATGGGTGATCTGGTTCCATCCGTGTTGCCTTGGGACTAGGGCACGTGCGAAACTTCAGATCTGCACCCAGCATTGGAGGAGACGCAGCTTTGCGCATGCGGCGAAGATGGGGGTCCTCTTTGTCGTTGTAAGTGGCGAACGGGTTTCCGAATGGGCCAGATTTGAAGCCAGTAGTTTCGGGCTGAATACGGGGCGAGGCTCGTTCTCCGTGAGCAGAAGGATGGAGACGTGGTGAAGAGGCTATGAGATGAGGGCTTTGGCACTCTGCGAGCAGCCTGTCGCGTGGTTCTGGACGTGGGCCGGCTGTAGTCCATAGCGGATCCTCAGGGGGTGGTGCCATCTCGGCCTGATCCGTATCGTCGTCCACGCTCATGTGCCTGCTGCTTACCCGCAGGTCGGCCAACTTCTCGGCATGTTGCCTCATTTCCTTGACAGCCCATCCCGGATCCGTTGATTTACGACGCGCTGGCAGCTTGGATGTGCCATGCCTCAAAGTCTCTTCCTCGCAAGGTATATCATCCTCGGAGTTGTCTCTCACGAAGAAATGCTCTACACCCTCTGGCGGCAACCCGTTGGGAAACGCGGACATGACTTCCTCAAGCTCGCGTTGCCTAAACGCCTCTCTTGCAGCAACAGCAAGTAAATAGCCAGAGAAGTCTTCATCGCAGGACTCTCTCCTGTTCTTGGCATCCGGATTCCTGCTGGCCCATCTCTCACCGTCCGAAGGGACACGCGCAGGCGCGCCAATGCTGAACGGTGGTACACTAGACTCTTCTTCTCCATCTTCTTCTTCATCCTCCTCGCCGGACTTGTCTGATTCGGATGACAGGATAGTATCGAGGTCTGGGTGGAAAGAGCTTGTTCGCGTACTGCGCCTCGTGTTTGGGTGCGGCTTCATAGATTGCTGCCTCCGCGGCGTTATAAGAAAGCGCAGGCTCTCATCGGTGCTCTCCCCAACTCCAGCGCTGGAAACACGAGTAGGTCCTGGCTTTCTCTTGGGCTTTGGTGCGTATATGTGATTTGTACCCGGTGTAATGTCTGTCTTGTCCGTGGGCTTGGTAGCCGGTCCTTGTTGACCAGCCTTCCGTGCTCTTCTCGATGTCTCTATCAGCTGTGGTGCGAATCTTCGTTTCGGCTTGTGGTCCGACGTCTTTTTGGTTTCAATTACGGGCGCTGAAGGCAATTGTGGCACTGGCGGGAGCTCGTCGGTCGGCGAGGGATCTGGTGTCAACTCTGCCGTTGGGCCGTGGGGGTTCTTGTTCACTCTGTACGAGTCGAATGTCGTTTCGATCGGCACGGGGGCGAACCGCCGTCGAGGTGGCGCCGAAGGAGCGTCTGCCATCTCGACATCGTCTACTTGGACGGAGGCATCCCTCGTCGTCCTGCCGCTGGAAGAAGCGGCAGACGACTCTCGGGTCTCTGGAGGGCTCTGTCTCCTATTGCTGCTCGAGGACTTGACGGTCTCCTCGACGAGCTGGGGAGCGAAACGGCGTGGGGCTTTTGTCTTGGGCGGTGGGATGTCCGTTGACGGCTCGTGAGCTGCTCGAGTCTCTGGGGCTGCCTCGCGCTTGCTGTTGTTCGAGGACTTGACTGTCTCCTCGACCAGCTGGGGAGCGAAACGACGTGGGGGTTTCGCTTTGGGTGACACCGGAGCATCTGGCATTGGTTCGTTTCCGTCCTCAGCACCTCGGCCTTTCTGCCCGTTATTACTGTCGCTGGATGACTTGACCGTCTCCTCGACCAGCTGAGGGGCGAAGCGGCGTCGGGGCTTCGCCGCGGGCGCGGGAGCGTCTGGCATCGGTTCGTCCGCCATGGTTTTACTCGTGGGGGAAGTTGGACGGGAGGCGGACGTGTTGGCAGCACACGAACACGATCAATGGGTTTGTATTCATCAGGTTCTTGGGTTGGCAGAACCAAGGAGACATGCTAGCTGTCGTGGCCCAGAACCAGCACCCCGGTTAGCCCCGTGACGAGTGCCTCGATGGGCGCACCGCTACTTGCGTAGTTGCGGTGCTTCTCGGGTGGTCTGGCAGTGGAGTGTGTGGGGTCTTTCACGATGTTGCCCCCAGGCCCCGGCAGACGCATTACTATGCGTCCAATGACGCTGCGTCGGAACAAGCCGGGGACGTCGCGCACCTGCAAATTGCTGAGTAGCGGTAGGCTTGGAGACACCAGCCCCGGTGGATCTGGCACGATACTAATTTCGAGGTTCATCAATCTGCCAACGAGGGGGAAACGACTGTGTCAATGAGCTCAATGAGCGTCTGGTGTACAGGTTGACTTGATGCTTTCACGGCGGCATCTCTCCAATGCTCGCCCCCATTATTAGGGTCGAAGGCTGGAAAGGAACTTGGAAACTGATCTGCGGAAACGTCACGCGGGGCAGTCAGTTGTCCCATGTCTCGACGGAATTTCCTACGTGGAAGTGGACCGAGGTGGCTTACACCAGGCCTGGCATGATTGGGTCTAAACAAGTTGAGAAGGTTGATAGAGTTCACAATACTGCGCGCGCTTGATGACTATGAAACTACGGATGACTGTCGACATCTACAAAATATCAGTACGCGAAATGTCACACTCCATGAGCCCATCGCACGAATGCTCGGTGTTTCCTCTTCGCACGTGCTCATGACAGGCAACACGGCGGCCCTTTTACTAAGTACCGCCTGACATCACATTGCACGCATCCTTGCTGAGATGTTACTTAAACCCCGGGGAGTCGTACAATGCAATTGTAAGCAAACAAAGAAATTGAAGTCTAGAGTATGAGGGGTTTGACAGAGAGCAAGCACTTGTGATCATGTAGACAGAAAAAGCAACGCACAATCTTCCGCTGATGGGTTGTATACCACGTATCTGTGGTTGGGATGGCCTTGGTCGCGTCGCACATTGATGGGGCCCGAGATCGGATGACTGACGTCTCCAATTATCAACAGCGCAGTCATGCTTGTGCCAGTTAGATGGTGTAAAAGGCCAAGACCGCAACGGAACGCCGATTAGTGACACATTCCTTCTTCGAAATTTCGAATTCATGAAAGCCATTCTGACGACCCGTGTAAATGCTTTGGGATGTTACTGATGTCTAGAACAGTATAAACCTGGGGTGCGACCTTACCTAGAACGTACAGATAGGTGAGGCCAGAGTGGCTAGCCTGTTCCAGCTCCTCAGTTAGCGGCTGGACCTGAAGACATGACTCGAGTTCTCGCATGCCAATGGCTCGAGGCTGGCTGGACTTTCCGTATCCCATCACGGATGGCATTCTCTGATATCGACCGAACGGTAGACAAATATCTTTGATAAGTTGACCCCCACGGATATGTTGCCCTCCCTATTGACAGGTCAATTGCTCGCTATTTGACAAAAGAAGATCTGAACATCCGTAGTAACAGATTTCGACCAGCCTCTGTTATCCGTTGAGGGCACATTGAAGCATTGAAGCAATTTGCAGGGTTATCCTTCGCCTATGGTCAGCACACCCCGCGTCCACTCCGCAGTCTCCTACGCAGCCCCATGGCCCAACTGGGGGCAAGCAAGGATCACATATAGGTCCTACGATGATCACAAGTCGTCGACTTGACTAGTATACAATTTCACATTTCGGCCTGCATTTGCATCGTGCTTCTGTCAAGGTCCCATTGTCGCCCTGGCCACGATGTCTCGTGATGTGCCACGATCCGTATTCTCTCCCAAACAGTTTAGCCTGGCTCTTGTTGTCCGCAGCCAAGGTGAAGTTCTCGAAGTAGTTTTTCCCCAGACGCCACGATTGGCTCAAGATTCCTAAAGCTTAGCTGCTTAGGTACAAGAGCATACAGGATGGTTCCAGTTTCCAACCACCTGTCTTGGTATCTTGGGAAGCCACGTAGCCATGAGACAGTCTGTGGAATTCAGCCATGATGGCTACACCGCCTCGGATTAGGCCTAACTATCGAAAGATCGAAAGGTTTCCCCATACCAACTAAGGCTTTAGGGACTCCGCACCAGGTCAACTCTCGGCTCACCGACTCTTCAGGTTCGGGAGTGACCTTCCTTAGCTGCAGTTCCGAATGTTTCAATTCGCATCGCCGGGCTCCAGCGTTGCATTGCCAACCCTTTCGCAGCTGTGCCGAACACTTGCGGCCCCACGGTCTGCCGTTCCCCGGATCCATTCGGCGGCATGTTGGTTCTAGAACGACCCGGACTATTGCGATAGCCGGATCTGCACAAGCACCACTTGCAAGTCAGGTATGGCCCAGTCACTAGCCAGCACCGTAGAAAACCCCCCAGCCAGCCAGCTAGATTCGTACGCAGGTGGCGTGAAGCGCTCAGCTGTCTCTTCCAATTGCGGAAGCGAAGGTATCCATCTCGGAACCCCGTGCCAAGGGATAGCTGTATTCGGATGATCCGATGTTGAAACCCAACCATCATTCAGACTGCGCTAGTATGGCCTTTGAAAGGCTGAGTGCGGCAGCACACGTGCATCATAGGACTACGGCGTGCTGTGGTGTATCTGCCAAGACGAAATATCTGAGATCACGGAGACTGCTTTACGGGTTCCTACATTGCGTTGTACATAGCACTGGCACGGTTGAGGATTGGTATGTGGTAATAAGTGTTCTGTGCATGGTCCAGGAACACTGGCGCCACTTGGCTATGCTCATATGTCCAACCTCTGTCTGCACCTCACATTGTGGCATGGTATGGACAGCCACTGCAATGCCTTCTAGTGCCAGTATCTGCGCGATGATATACACATCGGATGCATATATTGGTACCCAGCGCAATCGATGAAGCGCTGGATATGGGCCCTTGAAGATTTGAAAAGCCATCTCACGGCTCCACCAGCTTATCGCAGTGATTGTGATGGCGCCCCTTCCCATCCATAGATATCTTGGAGCGACTCAGTCGTCCCCTTGCTGGATGGGCAGGTCATCAGGATATACGGCGTGTCTGTTGGTAGCTGGCCGTCCTGTAGGCAGGCTGAAACTTGATTGCAGATGAGATTTCATTTTACCCTATCATTTCGGGTGTGATAAGGTCGTAGTCCCTTGCAGACAATCAGCTGATAAGTGAGGATCAGATGCTTGTCAGAGCATTCAGCCGAGATACGATGTTGTGAAATGTGAGAAGCGTTAGGACGCCGCGATTACCCGAGAAGCAAGCCGGGATATGAAGCGCGTACATGTAGAACGCGTCGGCGACCTGATTTCGTGTCACACAGCGGCGACCTGCCGTCTTGGGGGTCGAGGTCGAATATTCCACGTGGGCCACACGGCGGCGATAGTGCGATAGCACCTAGACCCGTGTCAATGAGCTTGCCGGTTAGGTCTAGAAATGAGAACATGCCGCCTTGATAGTTCTGTTTACTATGTGTTCACAGCGAAGGGAGAGGAGCACGACCGTTGTACAAGTTGACGCACCAAGGGACAAGGTTGGATGCAGTCGAGCGTCGAGAGAAGCTCCTGCCGCTGTCCCATGCAGCCACTTTCGACCAGCAGAATCCATCATGCATACTCTGTATCTCTACAGGTACTGTACATACTTGCAGCGGCCTGTCGGTTTGCACTTTTACTCTTTGTTATCAATTGGATAGCATCTCAGCTTGAATGAACCATGGTACTGAGCTGCAGTGCCACATGGGCACCTCTCTTTATTGGAAGATTTTAAGATGACTGCATGCAGACGCGCAGAATTCATATCAGAGACAGCCTCGGTGGGCAGTCGAGGGCACGAGAGCCAAGGCTTTGGCCTGCCCCCAACCAGCTTATCTATGCAAGAGACCAGGATTGGAGTGATTGGCGTGGAATGTGGCTGCGCCGTTGACGGTGCTTGACGGTGATCATTTTGATAGTGTTCGAAAAAGCTCTGGGCTTAGCGACGAAAGATGCAATCTAAGGGCTGAAAGGCTGTTGTTGAAGGTTTCCCCAAATCATGGCTCTCGGGTTCGTTGCCATGCATCAGATGTCGAGTACGGCAACTTAAGGTAATAATAACCTCGCTGTTTGTCCCACAAGGCCAGGTACCGAAAATGAAATGCGGAGCCGCCCAATTTGGGACTTTGTTTTGCAAGTCTCGACCATTTTGGGGGCCCACGTCGCCATGGATTAGGTTTAGACAGTTCGCAAGCCTTTCAGGAACGGGCTCGATGACCGGGTAACATCCATGGTGTTGCGCGTTCTCTGCGCAGGATCGAGTACTTGTATACACTTGAGTCTCGACGATGCCATTCCCGTTTGAGTTGCGCTCGAACTTGCCAGGGCGTTTCTCTGGCTCCCAGCCCCAATGGATTACATTGGAATGACGTATCTCTTAGGCGGAACCCCCAAACAGGGGCCTGATGGGCTCCGCGGAACAGGTCCATCATTTTAGCGCTGGTCAGGGCCTCCAGGGCGTAACAGGATTTTGATGTTGGGGCCCTGGGGCCCATGCAGGCTCCGGTTAAGAGTTTCGGTTTCATTGAAGGTACGCTTTTACCTGGTAAAATCGGTTGGCAGAGTGTCGAGCGTGTGCTTTCTGGACATTCCAAGCACCAGGTTCGAGCTTTGGAGGGTTTGTATGTAGGAACAGATTGGCCTGGTACCGACCCTCCTATCAAGCCTGGGTGCCGGTACTGATGTTCGCTGGGGTCTCTTTAAGCACCACCTCAGCCTGACAGGTTAAGGTTAATGCAGAATCGCGATCGCGCAACCCAGTTTTTCTGATAAGTGAGTGCAGTAGATCTTCACCACAGTACCCAACAGAGGCTTCCAGGTCAAGAACGAGGCACACTGGAACCGTTCCCGCACCCGCGCTGCTGCCATGGTTGGCATTTGGGGCCGGACTCCCGTGTTACTGTAAACCAAGGCTCAAACTCTCCAAGCCACTGTCGTGCCCGTGGGAAGACTCGACAATTCCAGTTTTGGCGTGCGCTAAACAACGGCGGCGACACCTCGTGTAAGCACCCAGTGGACTGAGCCAATTGCAGTTGTCATCGTCGATCTGCACGACGGACCGGCTACACGGCCCCGCCAGTAGAACCGTCGATTCTGGAACTGGAGCCCATGCAAGCCATGTCATGGCTTGCCGCTGAAGATAGACGGAGGCTCGTTGTCGAGCGACTACTATGGTACCGTTTAGTCAACAAGTCGGCCTCCACCCCGTGCCCTTGGGCGACGGTCCATGTAAGCTTGATACAAAACCCGCAGGCTACTTTTTTCTTTTCTGTTCATGGTTTTGGCTAGAGTTGCGTAAACGTCCCCCTGCGCCGGCCGGCCGTCTCGTCCCTTGTCCCTGTCCGCGCCCGACGAACCACACCAGCCAGCGTGCAACCGGGCAGGGATTCTGACCCGTCCCAGTTTATTGAGAAAAATTAAAGAAATGTCAGTGGTGTTTTGCAGGGGCGCGTATCGTGTCTGTATTGCGGGTTCGTCTTCTCCAGCCGGCCCTTCAGTAAGCTGGTGAGATAGTTATTAGATCCGATCGAGAGGATTGCCGTTCCCTACGAGCGACCGTCTGGCACCATCTATCTCTATCTGCTTACCTACCTACCTACCTGCCTACCTATCAACCAACCTACCAACCTAAACACATCTTCCCCATCCCATCCCTTTTGCGCGCCCGCCCTTCTCCCGCCGTTGCTTCAGTTCTGGATACCCAGTTGCTCAAACAACGAACACTGCCACCAAACACAGGAAACTTGGAGCGGCGTTGAGGGCGACCCACCTCAATGTTTCGACCTCTCTGAGGACCGGCCTTCCCGGCTTTGGATACTTAACAAACAAGACAGAACGGTACAGCACAGCGGGCCGTGGAAACTGAATCCACGAGCCTGGGACTGAAAAGCGGTTGCGCAGACCATCCCGCGCAACACACTTGACGTCCGGCCATCATCATGGCCGGGACTTATGCTGCCGTCATGCAGGACGACCGTGATGGATACGATGGCGCCTCGCCCCCGATGTCACTGTCGCCGGCGCTGTCGTCATCCCCCTTCCCCCAGCTCCCAACGTTCGAGACCACCCTGACGCCCTTGTCTATGGATAGCGACACATTTCTGAGCCATGATGCTGGAGATACCGACGACGGCAAGACGAAATTGCGTCTTGAGACACCAGCTGCAGGAACAGCAGCCGCCACAGCAGGAGCAGGCGACGCCGCGGGCTTGGCCCAATCGGTCGCCGGTCCTGCACGAGCCACAGTTCCAGCAATGGAACCCGCCGAAAATGGATACGAACTCCTATCGCCGTCGCCAGGGGCTGTGGATGCCGACTCCTCAGGCCCTTCCAGCCAAAACCTGAAATTGGGATTTTCGAGTCCGGTTCGCCGTGCAGCAAACACAGACACAGACACCTCCTCGACCGCTGCAAGCCCGACGTCCGTCCGCGGCAGTGCAGGTCCAAGAGCCACGCGACACCAGGACCCATTCCCGTCCCTGGACATCAACACCTTGCAACAGCCCACGATCGTCAAGCCCACGCCGACCCCTGTGCTCAGGACCGCATCCACGACCAGCGTGCAGCTTGTCCACCCATCTCCGTCCGTGAGAAGCCGGTCCAGCTCTCACGCGAGCAACATTGCCCAGCTCGAGGCAACGGCAGAGATCCTGTCCATGACCTCGTCCATCGAGGACGCTATTCGAGACTTGCACGAGGAGCAAAAGCGAAGCGACAGCCGGAGATCTTCCATATTAGCTGCCAGCACGGGGTCTGGTCCCGACTACAAAGAAACCTTCCCTTTTGCCAGGCAGGTGTCTGGCACACGGTCGATTCTGGAGACGAACAGCGCTGCACGTCTCGGCGGATACTCGCCTGCAGGATATGTAATGTCTCCCAATCACTCTCTACTCTCAAACCCTTCCCGGCTGAGGTCTGGATCATACACACGCTCGGAAGCCGACTCCAGCGAGCACTTGTCAAGAAGTGGCCCTGGAAAGGGTTCCACCCGTAGTTCCAAGTCTACTACCAAGCCGTTCTTGACAGACATTGCCGAAATGGAACCATCAGGGCTTACTCTGGCTGCCATGGACGAAGCCGACAAGTTGGAAGAGCACTCTGATGAGGAAGAGACTCTGAATATACCGGCAATGGACGACATTGACCTCACGCCAAACGCGGATCAATATGGCGCTTCTGGCACTACGGACTACTGGGGCCAGGCCGTCGCTCCGGACCATGCGAAACAGCCGGACGCCCATGATGGGCGAAGATCACCTACCGGGTCTACGGGCACTTTCGAATTGGCGGAAATGGCATTCGCAGACTTTGATGGCGAACATTGCTCCCCCGAAGCTGAGCAGGGCCCCTTTGATCAACCATTTGATCTCGACCTGTCTCTACAGTTGCCGCCGGAAGAAGAGCGAGACCCCAACAGGCCCAGGATTTCCAGACCGACACAGCCAACAGTCAGGCCCAAGTCATACATGGACCCCGAGACCGGCCAGCAAATGCTGTTCTACCCAGCGCGGGTGCCACTCATGCTGAACCTCCCACAGAAACTATCAAAAAAGCCTATGGCGGCCGTGCGAAATATCCGCAGGTCCCAGGTTCTCAGCGCTATGCCCCAAGCAAATCGCCAGTCGGCAGCTTGGTTACCAGAAGTGCTTCCCGAGCGACTCATCGACCCCCTAGGCTCTGGACCTGGCTCGGATGTTGCATCACCTGTCCCGCGTCCCGATGCAGCTTCTGAAACTGCCATGTCTCCCTCAATGGACCAGGAAGAACCCCAACCGGAAAGTCGGCCGAACCCCCAAATTCTCAACGAGGATGCCCGCAAATCACGTATGTCTGTTCTGGACCCTAGTGACAAACGCAAGTCTCGGATGGCCTACCCACTTGAGAATCTACCCCCACAACTGAGGGCGAGTGCATTCTTCGATATGCCCTCCGAGTCACCCCATGTTGAGCTCAAAGACGGATCTGCTATGGCTACTCTTGATAGCATTCTGGATGCATCTGCATCGGCGCCAGTCTCTGCTTTTACTGATCATGCATTTGCCGGAAAACTTGGCAGTGAAGTCTATGGTGTTGACAAGAAGCGTAGATCGCAAATGAAGCGAGCTAGTGTTTCTACTACCGCTGCCTTGGATGTCAAGAAGCGTGGCTCGTTCTTCCATTTGCGCACGCCAAGTAAGATTAGCATTAAGAGCTCCTCGAAAGATAGCAGCCGGAATACGATCACCGCCTCTAGACTGGGGGGAGATATTGACGGCGAATCGGACGATGAAAGGACCAAGCTATCCGGCTCGGTCGATGGCGAGCCGATCCACGACGACGAGGAAGAGGAAGGGGAGGAGGAGGAAGAGGAGGAAAGTGACGAAGACCCAGCTGCCTACGGACCGCCTACTACCCTCTTGGCTGAGCTACAGATCCGCAAACGTCAGCAGAAGCTGCGCACCCGCGCGCCTGCGCAAGCCTATCCCAACGGCATGCATTCAACACTCCTTGAAATCGACGCTGTTGCGGAGCTGGAACGCAAGAACAGGAAGGGTAAAAAGATCAATCTTGCTTGGGAGGAGCCGAACCAAGCGGATGAGGAATCAGATGACGAGGATGTTCCGCTTGGACTGCTTGCAGCAAAGAAGAACGGCACTCTGAACGCGCACACAATACAAGCGGAGATCAACCGCCCATTGGGATTGATGGAGCGCCGCAACCTGGAGGACAATGAGCCTCTAAGCCAACGGCGCAACCGTCTCCAGGGACGTCCAGCGCTCGCACAACGGCCAAGCATGATGACACTTGGGGGTGGTGCTCTTGGCATGAGTGGCGGTCTGGCTCCGCCAAGTCCCAGTCTGCGGATACAAACCCCCGAGGAGGACGAGGTCGAGGGCGAGACACTTGCCCAGCGACGGCGCCGCCTCCGGGAACGAGAGGAAGGAGCCAGTGCGCTCCCAGAACCCCGTCCGCTGAGCTCGGCCTTCTCGGTGGATTTACTGAACCAGCTTGGTGACGCATTCAAGGACGACAATTCGGCAGAGACCGGCAGCAAGGGCAAGGAGAAGGCCGCCCCAGCTGAAGAAGAGGAGACGCTTGGCCAACGCCGTCGCCGCCTGCAAGCTGAACGAGAAGCACGCGAAAAGGAGATGGGCGCTGGGGCGGGGGCTGCATTGAGCCCACCTGATGCGCCAATCCTCACCAAGCGGCATTCCATGGCCGATGTTCTCGGGGCAAGTCGGAAGACGGTCCTCGTCGACCCGAGGGCGGATGCCGAAAATGCTAGGCAACAAGAGGCCGAAAGGTTCAAGAGAGAACAGGATCAGAAGCTCGCCGGGTTCCGTGCTCAGATGCCGACAAGCTTGGTCACTCCCAACCTGCAGCGTTCAGGTGGCTATCTGGCAGGACAGCTCAACGATGGCAATGCGGGAGGCTTAGGGCGACCCCGTGTTGCAAGCAACTATGCGGTTCAGGCGCCTCCTATAGGCTATAATGGGGCCATGAATGGTGGGGGTATGATGAACGGCGGGATGGTGGGTAATGGTGCCTACGGTGCGGCAGGTGCTGGTGTTGGCTTTGGCATGCAGAACGTGTACGCGCACAACAATCTAAGCCAGCCCAACTTTGCTTACGGCATGCCTCTGCAGATGCAGGCGATGCAGGTGCCAATGCAACAACCCGGTCAGCAGTACGACAGAGTTGACCGGTGGAGGCAGAGCATAGTTCCCTGATGCGTGCCGGACGGCAGCTCTTGAGATTTTGGAGCCGATTAATACTTGGGCAGTCGGCAGGAGATGGATTATCTTGGAAACCGCAGCATGGCAACGGCGTTGATCACAATTGGGCAGCGAGACAGTATTTGGAATCGCATATAGCATGGCAGGGATCCCAGAGAAGGGCGGTGGTTCTTGTACAACACGAATTACATACATACACACACTATACACCCCTTGTAATGCTAAATAAAGTACGTCGAGCACACACGTATGGAGGAAAGGCACGGAGGATTGATTACGGACCGAAAGACAAGTTAGCCCTGCAGGGAATACTGGGCATAAGTAGGATCTCAAGTCATGCATAGATAATATTGAACTAATAAGGCCATCGCGGAACATCCTGTAGGAGCGTGTTGCATGGAGTTCGGCCGCGTCTGTGAATCAATCCTCCAACTCTCAGTGCACCCGCTCCCCATACTCAACCTTACTGAGAAAGATAGCCTTGAAAGGCGGACACAGCGAGAAAATGCACGATTAGCGCCCGAAATGATGCTCGCGCAATGCTGCACGACGTTGTGTCCAGCGCTGGGCAATCCATCCCCATGCGTACGACAGCCAATCCTCCTCCAGCGTTGATGAACTAGGTCACGTCGGTAGATGCTTCCCTCCCGAGTCCTACCCACAGTGGCACCCCTCCTTGTTCGTCCAGCTTACGTGCATGTCGACGAGCCAGGGCACGTACTTCATCGCCTGATCAGGCTAATGCAGGCCATGTAGTAGCTGTCGGCATCGTGCAGCAACTGACAGGCAAACCACGGCGTCGAAGAGCCGCAATCTTCCTAGGGCGGACGAGCATTTGCTCTGGCCACCATCTTCACAGGGGTCGCTCTTCTCTCTTTCTCTTTCACGCACACGCGGCGCGCGCATCGGGCTTGACGCTGCTCGCTAAAAAGGGGATCTTTCCTGCGTGACGACGAATATAGAACGTGCCGCTCAGCCTGTTCAGGAGACACCGGCTAACATGCGTACGGCACAGGACCTTTCCTGGGCAATTGATTGCGACGGTCACAGCTGAACGACTCTATAGCGGAGGGCAGGTCGTGTTAGGTAGGTAGGTAAGACCGGAGGGAGGTAGGCATGACCTGGGACTTCGCCGTGAAGTCCCGAAGCCTCCACAGCCGGTCAGGTCTGATATTGTTCCTCTCAGGTCCACTCATCTCTCACTCGCTATCTCTGCGTGTTCATATATGTGCATATCTGCAATCCTCACGGAGAGGCGGCATCAAGGCACGCCGGCAGCACTTGCCTACAACCTGGTCGCACGGCGTCATGATGAGCAGGTAGAGCAGCCGTCTTGCCGCCGCTTATTCATTGATCCTTCCCACTCCGCCCACTATAAGTAATTGCTCACGTAACTAGACAGTGGGACTACTGCTTGCCGCTAGGCGGGGTGGTGGGGGCAGATGGAGAAGAATAGCCGAACCCTTACGGCCACATGGTGCACCACCCTGCTGCAGCCCAACACGTTGTGTGCCTCAGATACAGGCTTACCTGCAGAAGACTGCAGCCCACTGGCCTGCAGCGAAGCGAGCCGCTGCGGGCCCCTAGAAAGGCCAAAATTGCCCGAAAGAGGCAGGACAGCAGACGTTCACGAAGCACGACACGCCGAGTCCACGACCCCTCAGGGTGCCCCAGGGAATTGCCCTTGCGAGAGGAGAGGAGAGATCTCTCGACGTCGGAGGGCCAAGACCACGCCGTGATTCGGCAGGCTACGTTCTCGAGCTGGCTTGGCAAGGCATGCCGGCAGGGGTTCATGTGCCCGCGTTGGCTCGTCACGCATGTCTGGTGCATCATTTCGTCGGCCTGCCTTGGCCGTTGAGCCTGAAAGCCGATCATCACATCAAGATTGGCCCGCATTGCCATGTTGCAACCTGCAGGTGATGGCGAACTAGCGCTTCAACGGCCCTCGAGCGAGAACCGGGGAATCGTCCGCTCAGTTGTGGGGGGCAAGGGGGCACGCCAGCGGGTTAGGACGGTCCTCCGATGTCCTTTGAGCCTCCGAGCACCATGCATTCCGCAAGATGGCGGTCTGCCAGGCGTCCGCCCTATCACCGTTGCATCCTGGGCAGCACGAGACCTCCGTCCAGCAGAGATGGAACGCCCCCCTGGACAGTCACGAAGGGGTTGTGTTGTTCCTTCGGGCTTCTATGGGGGCTAGAAACACGCGCGCACTCAGACACACCCGACATACACGCGAGCGGCTGCTTCCGGGAGATCAACGAGTCTAATTTCAGCGTCCAGTCAGCAAAATCTGGCCGAATTCAGGTCGAGCTAAGGGTGGTCGATCCTCCACTATTTACTCCACCTTGCCGTGCGTCACAGCAGACTTCAATGTCTTGACCACGCAAGCCAGCATATACTTTAACGCACATTGACGGCGCAGTTTCTTCTTGGGTGGGCTTCTACTGGCCCGACTTGCCTCTTTCAAGACAAATGTTCCTGCACGCCTGAGATGTTGGAGGGCTGCCGAACTTGACATACGACAACGACCACCAAATCACGAGCCGACTCAGATATTCCAATCCCCACATGCCAGACCAGCGAACGCTCGGCCAGCGCCTTAACTCTATCGTCCCCGGCCAACGAGAAACATGAGTGCATGCCAGACTAGCATAGCGACATTTCAGTCTAATTCACGACTTCCTACGGCAGTGGCCACTCGATGCTGATGCCGAGAGCTTTATATTCATTCGGTTTACAATTATAGCATTATAGCGAACCCTCCCTTTTGCCTTTCCGCTGCATGTGCGGTTTTGGTTTCTTTTCCTGAGGTCGTACCCCACACTATTTTTTTTTTCCAGAACCCTGAACGATCTACGCCAAGGAGCTTGTTCTCGCCTGATCAGCGGCCGTTTTCGCGACCACCTCCAAGTTCGAGGCTCCGAGTGCCTTTCAACATGTGAGACCCTCATGGGACCGTATATTGTTGACATATGCAGACGCTGATCAGAACTTCTATGGCAAGATGATATATTTCTATACTGGCACCAGGCTGGAACGCATTAGTCATATTGCAATCGTCAAGCGACCGCCATGTGTCGTTTGGTCCTGTTCGCCGGCTCTTGCACGAAGTGTGGGGGATATTTCAACTGGAGCCAACTGGCACAAGAGCTGCCCTGTCTGGAGTCGAAAAATATTGGCATCTTCGGCGAGTGCAGGAATGGTGTCCAGGTGGACCAGCACTCCTTTGACCAGGAATGCGATGCTTGTCTAGACGAGGAGGATGGGGCCGCCGTCGATATACAAGATAGCCACAGGCATCACAACGATAAAAGGGGCAAGAAACGGCAACGTACCACTTGAAGGATGAGTCGACCAGAGCTGGGCTTCGAGGGTAATACTGTAAAGGAGAATCAGGGCGGAAGCTTGATACCACGGAGGAAGACATTGTTTCGCCTTATTGCTTGGGCCACTTGCGAGGTGTTTAATGAATTGCATTGCATCTACGGAGAAGCATGCCATTGGGGATGCAGCGTTAGGAATGGCATATATTATATGACAATAATGGAATCGTTCAATCGCCACAGTTCATCACTTTGTGCAGGAATCCTGACGGCTGATCGAGTCCTCTTTGTTTCTCGACCAATGTTGGTAAGTAGAAGCCTAACATGAACATCTTTTGGACTATTCCAACTCGGCGTCCTAGATCTTGCATAGGAGTATAAGATTAGTCCGAGCCATACGGCTACGCGAAGATCACGATGCATAGAGAGGACATCTCATGATCCTGATCAAACGTCTTCGCTCGTTTGGTGCTTCCCCTCTCGCTGCTTGATATCCGTGGAAGCCGAGCAGCACCGGGACGTCGGTATCTGATTGCGGGTCTTCTTGGAGTGGTTCGCACAACCAACCCGTGCTGGGCCGACCACCCCCTCTCCTTTGTCCACATTGTTGGAACCTTATTGATTCCGCAACATTACCTACGAATAACTACCAACGACTTGCATCACGCGATGCATCAGAGTCATGGGTCATTGTATTTGCTGGAGAGCAGGTGTAACAAGCAGAGCTTAAGCCGAATCAAAGGAAGCGCGGGCATCATAAGAAAGCTGATCTGGTCTGGTCGAGTACCATCCTGTGTTGCAAGTGTAAGAATATTTTGACGCTTTGCGACGTTTTCGAGAGCCTGCATGCAGTCTACCGTGCAGGCAATCCAGATCATCCTTCTTTTGGACTAATACCCAACCCTGTCTCCTTTGGCTCCCCTTTCCCACATATCACCCATGCGGGCTGTACATCTATGTGCCAAGCGACCATCACCAAGAAAACCTGCTCCGGCTGCAGGAAAGCGGCCGTCCGGTGCAGCGCCTTAAGATGTCCCGAAGCCCACCAGAGAGGTCTGCTTGGTCGCTGCATTCAAGGTGTGCATCGTGCCAGGGACTATGAATTTGTTTCCGGGTGCGTCAGATGCCCTACCAACCTGGTTCATGACCATAGCACACAGAAGGAGCTCGCCGCGCTGCTTGATGGAGACCAGGACTATGTCATGATTACTGCGGACGACTTTTCCAACACCGAGATGAATTACGCCAGGATTGACGCAGTTGGCGGCGGGGGGGAATCCATAGAGCAAGGAGTGAGGATACATCCATTCTTGGGGGGACTGCTCTGGTGGATCGTGGGACGACAGAACGGCTAGATGGCTCAAGCGCTGAACCATTATACATGCATTACACGTTACTAGCAGGCTACATAGGAGCTTTGGACTGTAGTAGACACGCCGCGAACGTCCATGCCAGCATCGTTAATGAATTCTACATGTCCTTATCTCTTGGGCTCTAGTTCTTCAATGCGCCAGTGGTAGCCATCTCCCACGTCTCCCTCACAATCCTCCAATATCGACCCTCGTCGGCTCTCACGTGGGCAACATGGGTCCCGTCCTCGAACGATTCCTTCCGCACGACATAGCCATTGGCCGCCGCCTGGTCCGCGTGCAGCTCCACGTGCCGCCACTCGACCATGTCGTCCGCCTTCCCGTATATGTAGGCGCGGTTGGTCTGCCGCGTCTTTGCCGGGTTGTTGTGCCAGTTCGCATTGATGATAAGGTTGTACGGACGCTTGAGCGCTACCGCCATGAGCCATAGGTACATGTCCAGCGCGTGGATGACGGGCGCCATGATCCACCGCCAGATTCCCTTCGGCACGCCGGCCATCGAGGCGTTGTAGGCACCCCAGTAGGAGTAGAGTCCTGGGCAGGAGTCATAGACGGTGGTATGTAACGGAAACACAGCTCCCGTCTTCTTTTCATAGTCTTCGAAGAGGGCCTTGGTACTCGCCACGCCTCCATTCGAAAATATGTGAACCAGCATCTCAGGCTGTGCAGGGGACTCCGAGAGATAGCCAGAGTCGACCTGCGACCGCAGATACGAGACGGCGGGTTGGATGGCTTTGATACATTCTGACTGCCAGACAATGTGCTTGAGGTTGAACTTGATGAGCAGGATATTTGACGTTGGGTATAGTGCCTGGTACCGAGTGATATACTTTGCGATGTGCAGGTCCCGTGCATCCATCCAGCTGGCAACTAGGATCAGTCTGGGGTCGCCGGAAGTCGCCGAGCTGGCCACTCCCTTGGCCGGCTCGTAGATGGCGACGAATGGCGACAGCTTGGTCATCGTCGCCAGAGGCTTTGGCGCCGACGAAATGGCCTGATCTGAGGCCATCTTCTAAGCCTTGACTTCTCCTTCTGTCTGGATACGCTTGTTGCGCAAGCGAACGCGGCCCAAAGGCGAAGTTCGTACCTCTCTTTCTTGCTGTAGTACCTGGAGCGACGGGCCGGAAATACGATCCTCGCTCGGCAATCGCCCGTCTTGGCAAGCTGCAGACCTCGCAACTGCTGAGTTAGTCACCAGGCGCAGAAGGAACACGCCGCCTGAATTTTGCAATAAAAGAAGCCAGCTAGCCAGCCAGGACCTGCGGCATATATGTATGGACGGTTGGCCGAAGCTGTAGATTATCAGACCGACGGCCCTCCCTCAACTCCGCGTGTAAGATATCGACGCCGGCGGAAGCCCAGGGCGGACCGCCGGGGCAACTGGTCGCTTTAGTTGGGCCGAGCTGCCAGCCCGCGCTGATCGCGCCCAGTCGGCGGCGAGAAGCACACCAATTCTGGCAACCAGCTCGTCGGGCTCTGCACGCTAACACGCGTTAAAACCCACGGCCAGTGTCACAATCTGAGGCATCTGGGTCACTTCATCGTCAAGGACTTCATGCAATCTTAGAATTGCACAATGCGAAAATCAATGGAAACCAAGCACACGAAACGGCAGAACTCGACGCAAAGAAGAACCCCCAAATAATGCCGCCGAAGCGTGATCCTTTTCGACTGTAACAGGGCCTTTAGATCCCGGACCTCGGATGGAGAGGATGAGTCGGGAAAAGCCTTAGCCGTCTGGATCTTGGGCAGCTGGACAACCAGCAGGCACGTACCGTGTGCCCACGACATTTCACAAGCAACGCATCAAGATCCGAGGTTGTTTACGGGACTCGATCCCTGGAGCTTTTGCCCATAACATCCCATCGCCAGCAAATCGCACCAAAGAATTGGTGGCCAGCTCGCTGGCCTACCGATGCATCAGGGCATAATGAGCCTAGTTTATGATCCCGCCGACTTACACAGGCCGCATCAGCTGGAAGCCACCTATCATTCTACCAGACGTACAGAGCATTGATAAAGGATAAGAATACAGGAATACGGTGACTGTCTTCCAGATTGCAGTCCTGTTGCGTACACGACATTCCGGAATATGACCTTGGGTCGTGACACATTCAGATACTGCGGCTTTTGTGCTCCATTGGGTCTCTTGAAGGCTGAAGCCAGCAAGCTCCTTGAGCGGACTGTTGCACGACCTGAAGGGAGTATGCTGCATGTTTCAACAGTGAGTTGTCTCTTAGATTGTTGCTTGTCGCTGCGTTCGAGGTCTAGTCGACGAGAGGGAGTAGGGGCGGAGATGTGTTTTGAACAATCTGCAAAGGAACAGAAGACAGGCGCAGTTGAAGCAGAACCATTCGGCTCTGATGAACTTTTCTACCTATCTCAAGAGCCTTGAGCGTTATATATGAACTCGCAAAGGCCCGCTTCCATGTTCCACTCTGGAATATTGGTCTTTCAGCCACTCAGTAACTTCACGCGTCAAAATGTATCCTACGTCGTCATCCCCAACGCTGCAGAAAGTCTGTTCTATGTACTGCAGCAATTCAGCACACGCTACATCACCGAAGGTACAAAAGCACTGTGAACCGCCGAGTGCTCCAAACATGTTCATAAAGTTACGATTGGATTTCTGTGTATAGTTGAAAATCTCATATGAAGCCCTTCAGCAAAAAGTGGGTTCTGATGCAGTATAACCCTCATTCACTGAGAAATCCTTAAGGTTATACACAGAATAATGTATAAAGATGTAAAAGCCAAGATCTAGCCGGCGATACGGTGGGGATTAACGCGCTAGAGCGGCAACAGCAGCCTCGCTACAGTAACGTATGTCCAATCTAGTAATGGGTCATAATGCATGGCCAGATTATGTTGTAATCCATACCCATTTATCAATGCCACGCTGACCAGTATGTCAGCTTACTTGTCTATTATATCTGTTTCAGTCCTCCAGCATCCATAATAGTTTGCGTCGACGAAGATGTCTACCGCTCGAGTCGACCTATTCTCTAGCCTTGTCCTTTTACCTACAGCAAATGCCCTCGGCCATCTCGCACCAGCAATCGGCGCAAGCTGGGCGGCCATTGGGAGGCGGATCTGGGACTATCCTGTCCTCATGTTGCTATTCTCCGTGCACACGCTTCTGGACAGTTGGTTTCACCGGCTTTCCTTCACACTCGAGCTAGTTGATGCTGATACTACAGTAGGTTTCGACAAGTACATAGACGTTCCCTTGGAGAAAAGGCCACGTGCCTTGCTAAGTTCTTTCTGGGCTGGCACTCTCATACTTTTGATCGCGTGGTCATCCTGCCTCTGCGGCTTCCCTACCGCTATCCGTATAGTTTGGTACATAGCCCTGGAGGTCTTCTGGGCCGTACCTCTGATACCACTCTACACACCTCGGCATGGATTTCGCTTCTCGAAACTGAGACAGCTGGTAAGTGTTCCTGATAGGACTCCGTCAAGCCTGATTCTGACCCAGCATCAGTTCGGTCCCCTGAAGTCAGTCTTCTGTGGAGTTATGGCTGGCCTTATGGACGCCGAGCCAGCGGCATATCATGCCTGTCTCATCTACGCAAATGACTGTAGTCCTGATCACCAGCGCATGCAATCTCTTGCTTACAGTATACTGTACAACTTCATCCGCGAGTCGTTCTACGATGCGAGAGACATCGATGAAGATACCGAGGCTAATGTCACCACCATGGCTACATCCCTGGGCATGTCCAACACTATTGCAGTTCTCGTGGCTGTGGCCGTGACAAGCGAGGTATGGATCAGCGGTGAAATAACCCTGGAGACTGGCATCCGATCTGTCAGCGTCGTTGGCCTGTCCAGTCTGATTGCTATCACTCAGACCAGAGATAAACGATGGCCGTGGGTTCTTTTCTCGCTTTACGCATTAGCGCCTGCATGGCATGCTCAGGCCAGTTTGTGACCACATATCGGCTCTCCTTCCCGAAAGGAAGCAGGGAGTAAGCACTATTGGGTGTGATGTCCAATAAACATACCAATTTGGATAATTGCCAGCTAAGCGAACAGTATGCGAGATCCTTCTCAATGTCAATTGTGGGTTATCATAAACGAATTTGGAACAGTGAATCCTTCTTCAGAGATTGGTCCTGTGGTTGTCTCTGGAGTCGGAGACCGACTGAGATGCGAGTATATTAGATAGTATACCAGGCAAGAACTTACCATGGCTGAAAACGGGTGTTCTCCTATCTTCATGGCCCAATGGCTCCCGAAAGTCAAGATATACCCGTTTCTATCGCAGAAATAGTCCGAAAGGGTGAAGCTTACTTAGACCAACATGCCCGATGCTGGGAAGCCGAAACAGATACCGGCCTTAGGTTTCGGGACAACTTTGCCGAGCTTCTGATGCTGGAAGCGACCGGTAACTGGTAATAATCCATTGTTACACCGTGTGGGAGAAATGCACTGATTTGGTTCAGGGGATTGGTTGATCTTCGGATCCCACCTGGAAAATGGAATTATTTCGGGGGCAAGGCGGTGGTGACCGCGGACCCTTACCCTGAAGACATTGACACACAATCGATCGCAAACACTGTGATGAGGCCGGTAGACGCTACAGCGCATGCTGTTCTTGATGAGATCCTAGCAAGTGAAAATGAGGAGGGACTTATTCCAGTCGGTTGGCCCATTCATGTCGCGAGCTTCCGCAATCTGACACCCGTCACAGCTATACTTTCAAAAAGACAGGCCCCGTGTTTGCGTCGAGGTATGCGCCAACGCATGTACATTTTTCTATACATATGGTCGTGGCCATGAAGTACGAAAAACATTCGAATTTGTGCTGGCAACGTTGAGGAACCGAGACTTTGGGCCCAACCGCTACTATTTCACCCCTGAGCCGCTCATGTACTACTGCTGTCGTCTGGCTCATAGCGCAAACACACCGGAGCTGCTCGAAATGCGGGATGTCTTGAGAGGGGCTGTTAAAGACCGCATTGGGAGCAAGACGACCATTGGCGACGAAGAAGACAATGCGGCATGCCTCGCAATCCGGCTGCTTATCTGCCAGCGTCTCGGAACACCAAACCCTGTGGACCTAAAAGCGTTGTTAGAACTGCAAGAAGAGGACGGGAGCTTTGGTATCGGGTGGTATTACGGCTTTGGCATGTCGCAAGCGAAGATCGGGCATCGAGGATTAACTGCTGCATTATCTGTAAAGGCGATAAAAGGGGCTGTGTCACAAATGTAACCTTCGTAGGTAGATTGTAGAGAAGATATTATTAATTAAACTATCACATAGCCTTAAACTATGTCATCGTACTTACGATCAAAGTATATATGATAAGTTAGGTTTCACTTGCTTTGTCCTTAACGCCACGTCTACAGCGTGCAATCTGGGCCAAGCAGGGTCTGGTGTTGATCCTTCAGGCGAACGGGCCAGAGACCGGGGTATCTGCGTCAACTATTCCAGCACGAGACCATCTAAGGTGCGCCCAGCCTCATTGATGTTTAGCAGGGAAATGTCACTGTGTATGAACTGGCCATCGACCTTGCCACCAGCGGCCCCCCGCATGGTAGCAACATATCAACTGGTGTGCTAGGCTTGACATATCCCTCTTTGCTATTGGCCTTGTGATCCGGCGGTGTTCATGGGCATAGTTCAACACATGCAACGGCAGACTCTCCTCTCCTCAACTTGTTGGTTCAAGAGTCATCGAACCGATCTCAGTTTGGTCACCGTTTCGGATCAACCAGGAGCTGGAAACCCGTTCGACAGGACGCTGCGCAAGGAAAGTCAACACTGACTATAGTGAGCCGTACATCTCGAGGGGGATGTTCTCGGCCGCTGTGTAGCTCAGCTTTCACATGAGAGGCAGTACCATTGCTGAGTACAAGACCCTGATGCGAGACAGCTGAGTCTGGATCAAAAGCTAGGTAGTACTAAGCTATGAAGGACTGTAAGCTCGCTTTGGCAGGGAGGAGTTGACTCATCCGAAGTTGCCAACTTAAGATGTAGTCAGTAATGCCGCTCAGCGCCACGAATTCGTTTCAAGCCACCATGACCTCTCGATCTAGCAATGCGGAATGCCGTATAAAAAACTCACTAGCCGCATGACGTAATATGCTGCATGCTGCGATGTTTGCTTCTTATCATCTTATCACCTTGGCGCGCTGCTGCAGTGAGAGCCGGTGAGATAAATCAATCACATAGAATGTTCCGGACAATTGCGAATTGCGGCTCTTTGTGTCCGGTCACAGTCTTACTCCATCCAGACTCCGAGATCTGACTGAGAGCCAAGGTTTGGATTCTGTAAGCCCGTCTCAGATCCAAGCCCAAGCGACACCCCCACGAAACACCGATCTCAGTCACGACCGAGGGCTCGAGCTGCATCCTCTGCTTGGGGCGGGGCACGTTTGTAAGAGCCGCAACGACGGCATCGAGGTTCAGAGGACAGGGGGCACTTCTTCTTCCGTCAACCGTATACGGACCTTTGAAAGCAAAAGCCCACTCACGATGAGAGGTGTAGTCGCCGGCAGCGGCGGGTCGCGGCGCCATGCGTGGAGTTTCAGCAAGGTACGAACAAGTCTCTTTCTGTCGTATGCAATCAGTCCTGTTTATCCGCATCGTGGCCCGGGACGGCGCGACCGCCGGGCATGTCAAACCCCAGGAAGAGAAGAAAGCACCCCCGTCCGATGCTGGGTGCTGGGTCGGCTTGTCACACCGCTACTCCGCCGAGGTCATGAGACAGCGGAAACGAAGGGAGCTCACGATCCCGTCCTCCAGTGGAGACGGGCGGGCGCTGGGGGTGCACCGACGAGCTGCTGCTTTTGGCAGACCGCCCATCAAGCCGGGCTGAACTGGGCTGCAGAGGGCATCGTGAGGTTCCTTCGCTGGACCGACGGCGCGGAACTAGGCGCCCGCGCCTCGGGGCTTCTTGTTACCAAACGTTGTGCTGTCTCGCTTCCACTGTCATGTGCAGCTTGGGAGCAGACAACACCGGTACCGCGAATTTGCGGAGGACCCTGGCCCTAGCGGGCTATCGCAGTGTGTGTGCACATCACTCCCGTCGCAGATGATATTGAGATGGCCAACAATGGTGTCTGGATAACAGCACAAAGAAACCAGCCACAAGGTGCATTTGATAATCCTTGGCGAGCTGCCGGGAATTATCGCCGCGCAGGGAGAAAATTCAGACCTCGTGGCACGATATCAATCCGGGCGAGCCACACACCTGCATCACGGTACTTGACCACTTTGTTAAGGCTACCGCCGGCTCTCAATACCCTACATGCGTCTGTCGGCGTTGGTCGCCTCCACACACGAGGGACGGCGTTGCACCGTACCGTACCGACTCTTGCGTGCCATGCGTGCCAGGCGTTGCTTACATACGTACATAAGTTACACGGGCGCACGCATGCATGCATGAGCGTTTGGAGAGCAAGATTACTTAGCAACAAGCTTTGCAGCTGTCATGCCATGTCGAGTCTTTCCGTGGCTCGCGCGGTGGAACTTCCCTAGCCCGCTGGGCCTGGCTGGATGGATCCCGAGCAACGAGCTGGAGGTCCAGATTCTGCCCTGATGTCAGAGGGACACACGAAGGGGGTTATCCGTCAGCGACGTGCTGGAACGGCAGCCCTGTTACGGAGTAGTATAGTGGGACGGGGATACTATCAAGTGTCGTCCAGCAGGGGTGCTCCGTCTGCCAGGCAAGTCAGGCCTGGCACGGCTAGGCCGTGGCCCGCCCAGTGGCCCGCCCAGGGCGCCCCCCTTCCCCCCCCTCCCTGGTCCGTTGCGGGGTGTTCCCGAAGCTTTCCACTGGCTCACTGCCGCTGGGCCGGGAACGGGAACGCCTGGCAGCCCTGGGCAGGCTCTGGCCCTGAGAATCCCGAAGTGACGGAATCGCCATGCACGTCGGTCGACCTGGCACTGGCTGCGCTGGCTGGCTGGCAGAAAAACTGACCTGCACATGCACATCCCATCGTGTGTTTCCATCGTGCGAGCTAAGCCTTCGGACCACTCTCGCTCCCTCTCTCTCTCTATCTCTCTCTCTCTCTCTGTGCCTCACTCCTGTCGCACGGGATCCTGACAGCCTCATCTTGTGCCTTTCTTTCTTTCCCTCTTTATTGTCTCTCCCCCCTTCTGCTCGGCCTTGCCCCTCTGGTCCCTGAACCATTGTGTTGCTTGCTTTTTTGGGTGGCTGTGTCCAATCGCCTCACATGCTTCCGCTGCTACTCCAACAACCCAAGCTGGACGTTTCTGTAGCAAGTCGGCAGCAAGCATGGCACCTCGCACTAACGGCCGGGGCGTCCAGGTCGAGGACACCAAGATCTGCGTCGTCATGGTAGGATTGCCCGCACGAGGCAAGAGTTATATCGCACAGAAAGGTAAATAGCGACTATCCCCCACCGCCCGCGCATACAGAGTTGTCTGGTGTTTCGCTTGGCTAACATATCTCGCCTCGCGTGACCAGCTCAACGATACCTCCAATGGCTCTCCATCGACGCCAAGACCTTCAACGTGGGCAACTACCGCCGCACCGACGCACCCCAGCCCTCGGCCGACTTTTTCGACATTGGCAACACCGAGGGTGAGCGCCGGCGACGGGCTGCCGCCGAGGCCGCCATTGCCGACATGCTCGCCTGGTTCAAGCAAGGCGGCGTCATTGGCATCCTGGACGCCACCAACTCGACCAAGGAGCGCCGCAAGTGGGTCATGGACGTCTGCACCCGCGAGGGCATCGAGGTGCTCTTCGTCGAGTCCAAGTGCGACAACGAGGAGATGATCATGGCCAACATCCGCGACGTCAAGACTACGAGTCCTGACTACAAGGGCCAGGATCCCGAGAAGGCTGCGCTCGACTTCCGGAACAGGATAAAGAACTACGAGAAGGTCTACAAGACAATCGACGGCGACGGCGACGAGAGCGACTACACCTACCTGAAGATCATGGACGTCGGTAGCCAGGTCATCATCAACCGCATACAGGACTACCTGCAGAGTCGTGTGGTGTACTACCTCATGAACCTCCACATTCGCCCGCGCTCCGTGTGGCTGTCGCGCCACGGGGAGTCGTTATATAACCTCAACGGCAAGATAGGCGGAGATGCCGATTTATCGCCGCGGGGACACCAATATGCCCAGAAGCTGCCGGAGTTGGTCCGCCAGTCAGTCGGTGTAAGTCCGCCCAGGTGTATCCTACCGCCGTGGCGCTGTGGCCCGCAGGCTACAGCGTTGGGTTTACCATGGCCGTGCCTCAGTGAGCTAACTTGTCTGTTTAGGGTGACCGCCCCTTGACGGTATGGACATCAACCCTGAAACGAACCATAGCAACCGCTAGGTTCCTGCCCGAAAATTACAACCAGTTGCAGTGGAAAGCCCTGGACGAACTGGACGCTGGTCTTTGTGATGGCATGACGTACCAGGAAATCAAGGACCAGTACCCCGAGGACTTCATCGCTCGTGACGAAGACAAGTACAACTACCGGTACCGAGGCGGCGAGTCGTACCGTGACGTCGTCATTCGGCTCGAGCCCATCATTATGGAATTGGAGAGGTCGGAGGATATCCTGATTGTCACACACCAGGCAATTCTGCGATGCATCTACGCGTACTTCATGAAGAAAGATCAGGCGAAATCCCCTTGGATGAACGTCCCTCTGCACTGTCTGATTAAGCTCACGCCTAGAGCGTATGGGACTGACGAGGAGAGGTGGCAGGCAGATATTCCTGCCGTCAGCACCTGGAGAGCGAAGGGCAGTACCGCGAAGCATGAAGACCCTACGGGCACTGCGTAGATGCGGTTGTCCCTGAAGTCTTCTGAGACTGCACATAGACTTACTATCGCGCAGTTTCTGCGACTGCCCAGGCAACCTCTGGTCTGAGCAGAAAGAACAGGCGCCAAACAAAATGTATTCAGTAGGCAACAAAAGCCACCGAGATGGTCGAGCGGCAATTCTCACTTGGCCAAGCATATGATTTGTGACTGACGGGCGGAACTGGGCTGGCTTGTTGGCCGGCCCTCGGTGCATCAAATGGGGGTTTGGGCCGGCGAAATTATTGCAAGCCGGGATTGCTTGCTTTTGATCATAGAGGATAAGGGAAACAGTGTGCATATGTAAGGAAGCTCATGGCTGGAGAGGAACCACCAAAGCGTTACAAGTCAAGCATACATTCGGGCTATGAATTGATGATGATATTTGTGTGCTCTTACATACTTACTCTTGCATCACTTTGTAATCCACAGCGACCATGGTAAATGTGTACAGCCTTTTGACGGGATAGTCAGTTCAGCATGCTTCCTTTGTTGCACAACAAGCTCGGCGACCGGACCTGTTCCTCCACCCCCTTTTCATCATTGCTTATTGCCCACTGTCAACTCTCACCTTCCCACTTTTCCCCGACCACCATCAGTTGCTTACATGACCCGATTCTACCCTCATGCCAAGACTCGACACTCCCTCGCTCCGTTCCCCCGAGCGCCACTGACAAGACCTAGACTAGCAGACGTCGTAGGTCGGCAGGCCCTGGCCGCGGTAGACGAAGCCGACGTCGAACTGGGGCGGGTCCTCGCCGACAATGGTGCCGACCTGGCCGCTCTCGACGCACAGGGACTCGACGGAGCCGAGCTGGTTGCCGATGAAGTCGGTCGACGTGGCCAGCTGCTCGCACAGCGCGCAGAAGAAGCCCCAGCACGTGTTGAACTGGAACAGCAGGCACGAGCCCCCGGCCACCACCAGCGACTGCTGCGACGCGTACACCTGGTCGATGACCGTGTTGCAGTCCGAGCTCGTGGGCGCCGGCGACTGCGGGGGCACGGAGCGTGTTAGTGAGGAGAAGAGAAGGGAGGAGGCTGTATGGACACATATATACTAGGGGCTATAAGGGTGTAGGACAGAGGAGTAATGGGAGGGACAGCGGGAAGTAACGCGATACGCAAGAGATGAAGGAATGAAAGGGTGCAGTTGAAACAAGAGACTCAAGCATACCGAAGACCGGCACTCGAAAAAGTCTTGCGCCTGCACCTGCCGCCTCAGGTAACGCAGCGTCTGGATGGGTGCGTCAGGCGAGTCCGGGTCAATCAAGTCCGACGGCAGCTTCTTGAGGTTCTTCTTGTCGAGCTTGACCGAGGCCTTGCCCAGTGCTGTCTTGTAGGCGGACGGCGCGTCCTTCGGGATGCCGGGGGTTCGCATGGTCCCGACGCTGGCCTTCTTGGGTCGCCGGACCTTGCGGTCTGTAGTGGATGGTGACCTGTCAGCAGAAGGTTCTGAAGGTGCTTTTGGGTTTATAACCAGCCGCTATGGTGGGTAGAGATGTATCCTAAACCATGTGTGCATGTTTACTCACGGGGTCTGGAGGCTTCAGCCTCAAGAGAGAGCGCGGCTGTAAGGCCGACAGCCAGCATTATGAGCAGCAGTAGCTTCATAGTAGATCAATGGTAGAAGAGAAAAAATATGGTTTGACGCAAGACTAGAATCCGATACCAAGACCTCGGGCCCCTCGATCTTTGACGAACTTCGTCCCTTTATAGTATTGCCAATTCCGATTACCGAGCTAGGAGCCGAGACAAGCTCGTATGACTATAAGCTTATCTGCTTTAGGGTGCACGACTTCCCGTCTTTGGGGAGCTCTCATACCGCGCTTTGAGCCCCTGAACAAGGAGTATACGCAGGGCAGTGCCCCCCGTATAGTCGGGTTCGGCAACATATGCAGTGCCACCCTCTACCCCGGATTGTTTGTCACCTGCCGTCTTACCCCTCTACCAAAGATCCCGCGTCCATGAGTTCAGCTTCTGACAATAGGCCAATGAGGACCGGAGCTGCGCCTTCCTTCGCAGAAGCTCAAGGCAGCTCGCATCGTTGATGACGAGCACTCGACGAGTGGCAGGGCAAAGATCTGCCTATTCGTCTTGGCCCACGGGTTCTGCAGCTGACGGTCCTATGCATAGGACAGAGCCAATGCTACTCAATATTGCAACGTAGCGGGCCGTGGAATCCCATGACAAGGTCTGAGTCCAGCATGATCGATTCCGAGTGATGTTGGCCACGCTTAACCTGCCGGCTGAGAGCAGTGGGGATACCTCAGAAACATGGCGAACAATCATCATCAGTAGGAGGTGTGGACTGGTCTGACGGATAAGTCTGATGGATAATTGCGATATGGTTGTCTATCTCTTAAGTCTATCTTGAAGTTGTCGCCAAAGTGTCATGATTATAGGGCAGATGTTGTAAGATTCCTGGTCTTTGTAGGCTCTAAGTCTATCTGCCGTGTCTAAAACGAGAGAGCTGGACGTCTGGAGACTATTTTTAAACAGGTGAAAGCAAGAGAAGCTGGGTTCAAGGATCCGAGGTCCAATCTGCAAGATCCTTTCGTAAGCTGCAGGCTGTTCGAGACACCAGCCTTGAGTGCCTTGAGGGCTCAGAATATGCGGGTCGACTTTATCCGCCCGATTTAACCACTCGATCCCGCGTGGCTGCGACGCAACTCTATTCGACGACGGCACCCTGGCGCAAGGAAACGGTTGGAAAGGAGTGTTGGAATTAGGAAGGAGCGGTTACTTCGATGCGGAAACTGTCGTCAGTGCAAAGACGGTCAGACAGAGAGCTATGCTGTGCGAACAGCCAGCGCTGTGGTGGCGGCGTAGAGTAGCAAGATGAGTGATCTCTCAGAGGCTGCTAAGGATCGTGTCTTGCAAAAAAAAAAAAAAAAAAAAAAAAAGACGAACCCAACTTTACGGGTATCTTCAACCATATGTTTACCGTTAATTTACTTTGAGACTATAGCTGCTGTACAGCAGTTGTTACATCGACGCAGATAGGTACAGTCAGGCGTGTACCTGGAAATGCTGGCCAACTTGAAAGCAAGGTACCGAAGTACTATCGACCAACGCACGGGGCATAAGATCAGTTTAGTGGACACGCTACGCTGTAAGTTACCTAGCGTTTTAGACGGCCAGACCGGCCATCAATTTCTTATCGCAACCTGCGGTGGCCGATAAGCGAAAAAAAAGTTTGGGCGAGAGAGAAAGACATCCCACCACCCACCCGGGACCCTGCAAGACCTGTCGTCCGTCCCGACTGCAACTTCAATCAACCAACCGCCACCATGGGCTCGACCACGCACACCAAGAAGAGAAAGCTGAGCGACGCCAATGCCGTCAAGGCCCCGAGCAAGGCTACCAAACCCGTCGCCGCTGCGCCTGCCCCGAAAGCCAAGAAGGTGAAGCGCGCAGAGCCAGAGGTTCCCGCAGAGCCCTCGAGCGACGACGACGACGACGTGGAGGACGAGGAGGATGTCGAGTCCGCATCTGAGGATGACCAGGAGGAGGAGGAAGACGACGATGAGGCTGAGGCCAAGTCTGGAGGCGACGCAGACCAGGAGGCCGGCCAGGATCTCCCCGACGCCGGCAACCTGACGCTACCGCCGACCGCCGACTCCAACGCCAGCAAGTTCGATGAGCTGAACCTCTCCGAGCGAACCAACAAGGCCATCGAGGAGATGGGTTTCAAGACCATGACCGAGATCCAGCGCCGAGGCATCCCTCCGCTGCTGGCAGGCAAGGACGTGCTGGGCGCCGCCAAGACTGGTTCCGGCAAGACGTTGGCTTTCCTCATCCCGGCAGTTGAGATGCTCAACTCCCTCCGTTTCAAGCCTCGCAACGGTACCGGAGTCATCATTGTCTCGCCCACTCGCGAGCTTGCCCTGCAGATTTTTGGCGTCGCACGCGAGCTGATGGCCCACCACTCGCAAACATACGGCATCGTCATTGGTGGTGCCAACAGAAAGGCCGAGGCTGAGAAGCTGAGCAAGGGTGTCAATCTGCTGGTGGCAACGCCTGGACGTTTGTTGGATCACTTGCAGAACACCCCCTTTGTGTTCAAGAACCTGGTAAGCTACACACACCACTTGAGGCTGCATGAACAGGAGTCTGACTCTCACGTAGAAATCCCTGATCATCGATGAGGCCGACAGAATCCTGGAAATTGGTTTCGAGGATGAGATGAAGCAAATCATCAAGATATGTAAGCATTTCCCAAAACTGCTCAATTGACCCGACACGCAATGCTAACGTGGCCAATCGCAGTGCCCAAGGAAGACCGCCAGACGATGCTTTTCAGCGCCACACAAACCACAAAGGTCGAGGACTTGGCCCGTATTTCGCTGCGCCCTGGCCCTCTCTACATTAACGTCGACGAGGAGAAGCAGTTCTCCACGGCCGAGGGTCTTGAGCAGGGATACGTGCTCTGTGAGCCCGACAAGCGATTCCTGCTTCTCTTCAGCTTCCTCAAGAGGAACACCAAGAAGAAGATCATTGTGTTCTTCAGCAGTTGTGCTTGTGTCAAGTACCACTCGGAGCTGCTCAACTACATTGACCTCCCGGTCCTCGATCTCCATGGAAAACAGAAGCAGCAGAAGCGAACCAACACATTCTTCGAGTTCTCAAACGCGAAACAGGGCACCCTTCTGTGCACGGACGTCGCAGCTCGTGGGCTCGATATCCCCGCCGTGGACTGGATCGTGCAGTTCGATCCCCCGGATGACCCGCGAGACTACATTCACAGAGTCGGTCGTACCGCCCGTGCCAGTTCGAAGGGCAGGTCTTTGATGTTCCTGCAGCCCAGTGAGGCTTCTTTCCTAGGCCACCTGAAGAATGCCCGAGTAAGTCACCTTGAATCTCACAACTCATCATCAGAATGGCCCCAGTCGCATTCTTTATACAGGAATTCGGCCTACACTGTCAATCTCACTCAAGCTCAACATATTGACTTCTATAGGTACCTGTCTCCGAGTTTGAATTCCCATCCAATAAGATCATCAACATCCAGAGTCAGCTAGAGAAGCTTATTTCGCAAAATTACTACCTTCACCAGTCCGCCAAGGATGGATTCAAGTCCTACATTCACGCGTATGCCAGCCACAGTCTGAGATCAGTCTTTGATGTGAGCAAGTTGGATTTGAAGAAGGTCGCCAAGAGCTTTGGTTTCACTGCCCCGCCTCGGGTGGATATTCAGTTGGGTGCCAGTATGAGCAGGGACAACAAGGTGCAAGGACGGAGATCGTATGGCCAGCAGCCTCGACAGGGAGGCAGTTTCAAGAAGAGGTAGAGACGTATCTGATGCAGTGGAAGAGAAAGAGAGGCTCGTGATCCTGCAGGAGGAGCTATATACCCAATGCGCAGCGAAGACAAACTCGATTGATATGAAGCGTCATCCCGCAGTTATCTCTCCGATTTGTACAGCAGGCCTTAGACTAAAGGGACGGATCACACATATAGACAAAAAAATGTTCATAATCCAGTGACGAGCGACCTTACTCCCGTGCTTCGTAGTCCGCCTCGAACGGGTCTCTGACGACACCCACCAAGACGGGGGGGACTCATACCACTCCATTCCTCGGCTACGCCGAAGGGGTTCTCCCCATCTGTGTATATAAAACCTGTGACTTCTTTATCTAGGCAGAGATACCGGTATATCCCCGATTCTTGCGAGCCGATATGCACTGTGACATGGGGTCTTTCGCTCGGATGCCGTGTGCGCCATTCCAGGTCGTCACGAAGACAGCGCAGCAAACCCCGCCAACCTTGACCAGTACCCGGCCCCTCACGCTCATCCGTGAACCGCAGTTTTCTCAGTTCCACGGAGCGGACAGTCCGCGGCAGGCCTGACAGGATGGATACAAGGTCATCATGCGTCACAATGGCGTTCATCAACCCAAGGTGTCGCAGTTCTGGCCGTTGATCGAGTGGGAGCATGGGGTGCAACGACGGAGGATGGTCCAACTCGAGATCCTGCTCGGCGTCAATCTGAATCCGAAAATCAAGATGCTCGAGGTCTGTCGCCTCATGCAGCGCGGCATGCAGGCGCCCGTTGCCGAACGACTTCCAGTCACTCATCCTCTGCATCCGCCAGAAGCGACAGTTCCAAGTACCGGAAGCCCCGGCGGCCGAGCAGCGCCCCGAAGTCATCGTACTCCTGGCACGGCCGTTCGAACATGCGGCAGTTCAAGGCCGTGTTGAGCCCGTTTGCGTCGAGGCGGAACTCGACCACGGGGTGTTCCTGCCGGGCGAGCTCGTGCAGCACAATATATACACCGCGCCACTTCCGCCGTTCCCCCGCATCGTCCCACGACTCCACAGCGTACGGGCCCTGCCCAACCTCGGGCGTCGGCCAGCCGCGCGGGATCGGGTAGTTGAGGCCGTATTGGAACACATGGATCATGGGCGTCTTGTAGAGCGGTGCGAACAGAAACCCATGGGCCGCCGGCGTGACCGTGACTTTGCGGAGCGCAGGGCGTCTGTATCGTCCCAGACGATCTAAACGATGCCGTGGCGGAAAGTCTCGTGTTCAGCAATGGATTGGAAGACTTGGATATTGAGCGGGTTGGCAGAGAGGAAGACCCTGCTCAGGCGGAGCTGGAACCTGGACTGGAAACTTTGCAAGCCAAGCGTAGGTTTTTGATATCGCGACTTGGGAGGTGGCATGCCACTATGTCCCATAGCTCGACGGAGAGAGCGTCGGAAACTGATGTCGAAGCCAACATTCAAAAGGGTAGTGAGAATAGGTCCCACTGTCTCGATGATGCCGGTGTGCTCCATTAATACTGTAGAGGAACATATGTTCTTGGCCAGAGTTTTCTCAAACTTGATTGGTCTTCCCCCGTTATCCAATAGCCTTCGCTCACAATGTAGATAGTTAATGAGAGCATGCTTCCTACAACATTTCACCTTTGGCCCAACATAGGGATTGTTTGTATCACTTCAAGCATTATTCACCAATTGGGCTCGTTCCAGTGGTTAAAACCAAGACCGTCACTTCAACAGGTAAACTATCGTGCGTCGAAGCTCGTTGTTTTTTTCCCCTACCACCGGTGATTAATCATTATCCACGGTGGTATGTATTTGGCTGGGCCCGGAAAGGTGGCACAAGGCGGAAGCAACTCGGAGAAGTTGAGAAGTCCGGAATTGTGGGGCTCGGTCCGGATCCGCACTTCTATCACGCAAAGTAGTCCGTTGCAAAACATATAACTCCACGCCAAGACCCTGTTCAGAAAAGCACCCATTTGACACAGCTCACTCAAATCCATCGTCTCAACGACAACAACTTTGTATATATTACAAACCTGACACACCCATACACGCACGCATAGGCCAACTTACACCGTCATGTCTTTGACCAGCAGTCCACTGCCAGTAACGGCGACGGCAAGTATAGTTGCTTCGGCCTGGGCGGCTGGTAAGTCACATTCAACCCTATCGATTTAAAGATACCAGCGAAAATAAAGAGAAAAACCTTAACGCTCAACTCAGGCGCCGGTGCCGGTATTTCCCTCTTTACCATCACACCGTTGCTGTCTTCGTCGGCATCAGTTGGGATCATGCTGCAAGTGTGGCAACTTGCCTTCAACCGGGGGAAGTCATACATGCCCCCAGCAGCGGCCGCCATCACAGCCTCGTACCTGTACGTGTCGTGGACGCACGCGGCACGGGGACTCGAGTGGCGCGGGTTCGCTGTGGCGGCCGCACTGACGCTCGGCATCGTGCCTTTTACGTTCCTGTTCATTCGCGACACCATTGTCGAGCTTGAAGGCATGGGGCACAAAGAAGGTTACGGTGTCGCCGAGGCCGTGGTGCGCGCCACGCTGAGCAGATGGGGTGCGTTAAATCTGGCTAGGTCATGTCTGCCGCTTCTTGGTACTGCGGCGGCCATTTGGAATTTATTGAAGTGATTATGGACTATACAACATTTGCAAGAGGCGGCAAAGAAGGCAGGTTTGGCTTGGAAACAAGTGTATGAGATCAAGTCATTGGAACGGCCAGTTCTTGCACGATGTCATGAGACGCATCAACAAAGGTTCAACATTGTCACTAAATAACAAGGATTCTATCCATCTAAAACGCCATATTTCTCAAGCCAGTCGGTTCTGCAACATGGCGGATAAAGCAGTGCAACCCCGGGTACTTCCCCTTTAAGGCCGTCTTCTATCCTACACCGGAGAGGGCAGTGATTCCTAATGGCTTCGTATATAGGACTGAACATGCCTGATAACTAGCACATACGACCATATCTCCTAGAGAACTCGGGATCCCGTCCGCTCTCCCATAGATAAACTAGGAAGAGCCGGATTAGTAGTTGGGTGGGTGACCACCAGCGAATACCTGGTGTTGTATGTTTTTTGCGCTTCTGTTGTACCGTGTGGGCATTTCTTTTTACCAGTACGCACACAACTCAGTGGAGGCTTCTAAACACTTCCGATGTCTCAGATTGGATCTGGCGGGTGAAACAAGAAAACAGGGCTGAAGTTCAACCTGGCGGAGGGGAGAGAAGACTCGTCTATCAGCTGATACCCAAACCGGACTTCGTCCTGCGCTCTGATTGGTGCAAACCATCCGGCATATCCGAATGAGGAGCGAATGCGAGCTTACTGGTCCACCCCACCACGAACAAAAGCACAGCCGTGGACGGAGCAGCGTCTGTCCGGCGGCGGCGGGCTAACCGCAAACCCTCGAAGATCGGCATACCGTGTTGTGGACAAAAATATGCTGACGATGAAGTGAATTGTTCCATGGACGGAGCCACCAACGCCTCCGACGTACTAGGCTACGTAGATCTGAGGATGCAAAGAAATCAGCAATTTCGCTCGGGGATTGTATATAATGCTTATGACTAGGGACGTGAAGACAGTGAAGAGCAACCCGCTATATGAAACCACTTGCAGTCGCCACAAAAACGTTTTACATAATCAAGATTTCAAGATGTCAACTTCAAAAGTATGGCTCATCACTGGCGCGACCAGTGGTATTGGCCTTGAGCTTGCAAAAGCTGCTATGGCAGCGGGCCATAAAGTGATTGCGACTTATCGGGATGCATCAAAGACTCCAGATACAATTGTGGAGCTTGAGAAGCTGGGAACTACTTGGGTGCAACTAGACGTCGGTGCTACGGACGTCGAGACGAAGATTCAGGACACCGTGGTCAAGTTTGGGCATATTGATGTTCTGGTTAACAATGCAGGTTACGCTTTATCGGGCAGCATTGAGGACATAAGGTGAGCCCCACAGGTGTTCAGCTTTAGCGCTGTGAAGGACAAAATCGTGTACTGACTATAACTCAAGCGTCGAGCACGCCAAGGAGCTCTTCGCTGTTAACCTCTTCGGTCCCCTGCGCACTGTGCAAGCCCTCCTTCCATCCATGCGAGCGCGGCAGTCCGGCACAATAGTGAACGTCGGCAGCTCGAACGGAATCAGAGCTTCCCCCGGCCTGGGCCTGTACAGTGCAAGCAAGTTCGCTCTAGAAGGTATGCAGAACACATGCCAGGTCTCCTCGAGCAGCAGAGACGCGTTGGGCTAACCACGCAACTATAGGCCTGACGGAGGGGCTGCAGGCGGAGCTTTCTTCCTTTGGAATACGCGTCCTGCTCGTTGAGCCCGGGATGGTGGCCACGCGAATTGCAGACCCGAACGGCGCCGGTGTAATCATACCCTCGAGCGACACGTACAAGGGCACGGCGGCAGACTTGACGATGCAGGGCATCCTACAGGCATACGCTGCGGGTAGGGGCGCAAGTGCCGAGAAGACGGCGCTGCGCATTGTGGAGGCTGTGGATGGCACTGGTTTGCTGGAGGGCAAAGAGGTTGCGCTGAGACTTCCCTTGGGTTCTGATGCGGTCGGATATGTAGAGGCCAAGGGAAGAGAGTACCTCACTTTGGCCGAGGAGCTGAAGGCCGTTTCGGGGAGTATTTGAAGAAATGTCATTGTGGTTGTGCCTGACCTCGAAATGAGATTCGTAGGCTACCGCCTTTGGTTTATCTACTTGCAACTATCATGATACGTACTTCAGAATAGCATCCGGAAGCCGGTTTAAAACTGCTTGATCCCTCACTGGTAATTCTGACTGCGAACTCTACTCAGCGATCCATGTCTTCTGGTATTACAAATCAATATTAAGCGTATCAAACTTCTGCAGCCAGCTCAGCTAAACTTACGAATTCGTCGTTTGAAGCGACCCTTGGCGCCGTTAAACCAACCGCTACGTGCCAATATAATACGAAGTCTCCAGCTATGTATCCCGGCGTTCAAAAAAAAAAAAAAAAAAAAAAAAAAAAAAAAAAAAGAAGCAAGCAAATTCTCACCACTGTGAAATACACTGTTCGTTGTAGGCAGTACGATTGACACGGCATTTAAGCTACCTAGACAACCATCCCTTACGTCCTGGGATATACAGGTCATCTGGGAGGAGCGATGGCCGGGCTACTCTTTAGCTTGTGGCGGCAGTGCCTGCTCAAATGACCTTATTACAGTGACTGGTGTTGTATACACCCAAAACGTAGAATAAACAAATAGTCTGTATTGTTTTAAAGATCCATCAGATGCTTGTTGGAGATGGTCTGACGTTTGTTTGGTCCATATCAGCAAAAAGTTATCAAGTAAATCAGTCACGGTCGTCAAACTCTATACACATCTTCACGTGCCCACCCGACCAACAGTAGAAACGACAAACTATCCGGCAACGGCAAAAGAATAATTTGTAGACAGACTCCGATGCGGGGAATCGAACCCCGGGCTTGACGGGTCAAGTTAATGAGAGCGTCAAATGTTAGCCACTACACCACATCGGATGTTGAGTTACTGGGTGGTTGAGAGTCGGGCCGCTATTGATGACTATGTCCAGGAAAATTTTCTTTGCCGTTTCTCCACACGCAATCTGCCGCGAGCTCCACAAGACGACCGATAGGCCCGGGGGAGATTGCACTGTTGAGGAGACATCGGACTTGTAGGAAGCAGAATTGTACGTCCAGTATATAGAAAGCCGGGGAGTTATAGGGAAGTGTTGAGAGGAAGAGTGAAAGCAGTGATGACTGGCCAGAAGAGGGGTTGTCTTACCTATGCCTACCTAGTTCATCCGATGTTCGCCTGGGCTCCACCCCAAGCACAACATTGCATAGCATAAGCGGAGTTGAGCCTGTACACAGATCCCACGCCTTCGAGAACGTTTGAGTTGTCTTAACCTATAGTGAGGTCGCCAGCTCACCTGGCTATTCTGGGTAATCCGACGGTTTGACACCATGTGTAAAGTGGCGTGGCACCCTCTGCGTGCTTGTCGAAGTACTCGGAGCGGCGTCTGTAGAGTCCATTGTCAAACCCTAGAACAGATGAATAGCGGTGGGCCATGATGGACTGACTGCTCGAAGGCTTCCAATTTCGATCGGTTAATTGAAGATGCCGTGTACCGTATGCAGCACGGCAGTCGTTCCTGGGAATTGTCGCGGCACCGTCGGACGGCCGAAGCCGCCGGGGAGACGCCTCGAGGGCGAGATGCAAGGGACGGTCGAGGCGCTGACGGCTCGTGGACGAATGGCGTGTTGGTGGGCTGGTGGGGGATGCGAACCCCTTGCCGGGCCCCGGCTAGCGCTGGAAGCTCCCGGGAAGCTGGGGCATTCTCAACTGAACCATGCGACCAACGTTCGATTGAGCTGCAGCCTCACATGACAAGCCAACTTTTTTTCTGACGCTCTTTTATAACATCTGACATCCCGCTCGCCTGCCAATTGCTCAAGCACCAGCTATTTATCCACGAAAGGGCAGCTAGTAGCACAGTCCCGTCGATCCAGAGACACAATGTTCAAGCGGCGCGTGTGCCAATTGGCCCTGCCGAGGCATCGGCCGACCTCTACGCCTCGACTGCCTCAGAGGTTCTTTTCGACGGGATCCGGAAGGACAGCCTCGCAACGTGCGACCCCGGCGGTGTGGGCTGCGGCGGCTGTGGTGACTGTCTCGATTGCGTCGTATGCCTTGGTACGATGACCCCACGGCGTCGGCGTGAATCCCAATGCCTCCGGGACCTGATGGCTGACTTGCATATCCTCTAGACCCAGCAGACGCCCAAGCAGTTCGACACCCGCTCTCTCGCCGAGCTCGATGAGCGGACCAAGCGCGAGCAAGGTGTGACGCTCGACTCGCCGATGCGTCTGCGCATGGAGGAGTTCATCCGCCAGAAGCAGGAGGAGATCGTCTTCGCCCTCGAGAAGATCGATGGCAAGTCTTTCCGCAAGGACACCTGGGAACGGCCAAACGGCGGCGGCGGCCTGTCAATGGTGTTGCAGGATGGCAATGTGTTCGAGAAGGGAGGCGTCAACATCAGTGTCGTCTACGGAGAGCTGTCAAAGGCCGCCATCGAGAACATGCGCGTCAACCACAAGAACATTGCCGAGGGCGTCGACAAGCTGCCCTTCTACGCGCTGGGCCTGAGCATGGTGCTGCACCCAAAGAACCCCATGGCTCCCACGGTGCACATGAACGCTCGTTACTTTGAGACCATGCGCGCGGACGGCACCACGGATGCCTGGTGGTTCGGAGGCGGCAGCGACCTGACGCCAAGCTACCTGTTCGACGAGGATGCGGTCCACTTCCACAAGACGCTGAAGGAAGGGTGCGACAAGCACAACAAGGAGTTCTACCCGCGTTTCAAGAAGTGGTGCGACGAGTACTTCAACAACAGCCACAGAGGCGAGCGGAGAGGCATCGGCGGCATCTTCTTCGACGACCTCGATGAGACCGAGACGGACCAAGAAAACGGCTTCGCCTTCGCAAAGGAGGTCTTGAACAGCTTTTTGCCGTCATACCTCCCCATCCTCGAGAAGCGCAAGGACCTGCCGTTCACGCAGCAGGAGAAGGACTGGCAGCAGATCCGCCGCGGCCGCTACGTCGAGTTCAACCTGGTTCACGACCGCGGAACCGCCTTCGGCCTTACGGTCCCGGGGTCCCGGGTGGAGAGCATCCTGATCAGCCTGCCGCTGACGGCGCAGTGGAGATACATGCACGAGCCTGCTCCCAACAGCCGCGAGTCTCGGCTTCTTGAGGTGCTGAAGAACCCCAAGGAGTGGGTTTGAGCAGACGGGTGATGCATGTTTGTACCATACGGGCGGCGTTGGCGAGCAAAAACTTGTTTGAAGCAGACACTAAGATTAGATGTACATTTTCAGCCCAGAGACAACTGATGAATATATTCCATTGACTACCGCCGGGTTCTTGGATTGCCGCGTCTTGTCGAGATGGAAGCCACCACTGATGCGCCTTGCACACCTACCAAGGTAGATGGTATGGTTATTGAAATCACAGCGCTCTTTCTTCAAAAGGCGCAACCGGCATTCAAGATAGAAAATAAGTCCCACTCGATGTCTGTGTGGGCCATTCCATGCCTTACTCCAGCGAATATGTCAAGTTAGCCCCCTGAAAATCACCAACAGCGAACCGCATGCCAAAGGCAAATGTGCCGCTACAAGAGACCTTCTCAGCGGACGACAAGTTATGTGAACCAGCGATACGCGGTGACTTGAGGGCTCTAGCAGACGACTCGACGATGCCACAACAGCCGTCAACGCCCAGTCGAAGACAGAGGCTGCTGGTTGGGTTCCTCTGGATCGCAGCGTCGGTGAGCCAGATCATCTACATCAAGTCCGTTTCCTTCACTGTGCATGCACCCGCGGCCGTGATGCTGACAATCTTTTCCAAGCTGGGTTTCGACAAGCCACGGGGACATATCTAAGCTCATCCAGACCATGCTACATTGTATACTAATTCGCGTCTGTCTAACGTACATCATTCGACCCGTCGTACTGCCAGTCCGGGAGACAGTGCCGACTGGCAGCACAAGCACTGTACCCGTATTAACATCATCATCACCTCCATCACCATCCTCTCAAGCCTACGCTCCAGCATACCCAGCTGTGTTGCCAGGCCGTAATTCTTTACCACCACGCCCGACCCTGGATTCCTCCGGCGCGGACAGCACCGAGGTCTAGGAAGACCGGTCCCGAGACGATGGAGAGCCCGCCGCCGCACCTCCCGGCCCCGCGGGCGGTCCTGACGGCGCTCCTCAACACATTAGCCGTGCAACGGCCGCCCAGCCCGGAAGTGCCTCCACCAGCCGCCGGAAGAGACGTCGCAAGGCCCGGCGGAAAAACTAACACGCACCACCACCAGCCGTCCCCGGCTTCAAACCCCCTCGCGCGCCTCCCGCCGCAGGCCCGCCCCCTCCTCACCACCCTGCACGTCCTCTACCCGGCCCTGCTCCTGCCGGCCCTGGACCTGCTGGACCGCGGGCTCGTGACGCGGGTCCTCGTGGACGACGACGAGGCCGTCGTCGCCGCCCCGCCCGCATCGTCACCTCCCTTCCCTCGGCCGCCGGCGGCCTGTGGCGCCAGCGAAGAGGGCGAGGATGTCGACCAGCAGGAGGAGGCGGACCAGGCGCGCCGGGACGCGGCGGCCGGTACCTTCCACCTGGTGCGCTCGGCGCAGGCGGGCTCGCGACGCGGCCGGCGAGAGGCAGCGGGCGCGACGGCCGGGGGCTCGACCTACGTCGTCCGCACGGCGGCGTGGAACTGCGACTGCGCCGCCTTTGCATACAGGGCCTTCCCACCGCCCTCGCACTCTTCTACTTCTACTACTGCTGCTACTATGTCCGCCACCAGGACCGCGGGCGCGTACCGCATAGGCCCGGCAAAGACGTGGGGCTATGACGACGAGACCGGCGGCATGGCGACGGGGCCGGGGCAGAAGTGGGAGTTTGGCGGCCTGAGCTTGGACGACGACGGCGACGGCGGCGGGACGGGCTCGCCGCCCTGCTGCAAGCACCTCCTGGCCTGCGTGCTCGCCGAGCGCTGGGGCAGCGTCCTGGGCGGCTACGTGGGCGAGCGGCGGGTTGGCAGGGTCGAGGCGGCTGGGTTGATTGGGGGTCTGTGATGGGGAGTTAAATGCGTGGATGTTGTTTTTCACGTTATGCCTATGGCTTTGGGATATGTTTTGGCAATGGCGTTGGTAGACGGGGCTCATGGGAATAGGGGAGTGAATGGCTGATACCCCCTTTTGCGGCAACACACACTGGAGTATGGAGTTTGAGGTGTATACCTAGGCATACATGAGCTGGAGGACACAGCTGAATGTGTCCCGTACCTGGCCGTTAATGGAAGTTGAGCTCTGAAGCAATTTGGTGCTTTCAGACAGCTCCTAGCATAGCAGATCAGAGCAGAACATGCACGTGAGAAAAGAGTGACTGGAGTGTGTCCCCAAGTCTCCTTTTCGGCAGTCTCATTCAAGTCTCATTGTACATACAACGGCCGCCAGGAAACGAGATTTCATATGATACAGGTTCGTCAGTTCAGTAGGCCGCCGGGCCCCCCTTTTTCTATCTCATTCGGCGTCTCTGCCCCCCTGGGTGTCCCACACGCCTCCATTGTACAGGTTTGGCTCCCCCCAAAAAGGCAACACACGCTCTAAATAATCCATCCCGTGGGCGTTCATCATCATCCATGCAAGAAATTTAGACGGTCTGGATGTCAATCGTTTTTCAATGCGGCAAAGAACCAAAACAACGGGGGAAAAGACAAGCCGGGGATGCCGGCTCTCTAGTTGCCGGTCAGCTTGCTGAGGATGGTGCTCTTCTTCTTGTCGGCGTCGAAGATGTTCAGCAGGCTCTTCCAGACCGTGCCGGGCTCCTGGCTGGCGTCGATGCCCTTCCAGATGCCCGTGTTCTTGTAGTAGCCGACGACGGGGCTGGTCTGGGCGTGGTAGGTGACGAGGCGCTTCTTGAGGGCGTCGGCGTTGTCGTCGGAGCGCTGGACCAGGGGCTCGCCGGTCACGTCGTCCTTCATGTGCTCCTTGGGCGGGTTGAAGGTCGAGTGGTAGGAGCGGCCCGAGGCCGGGTGGATGAGGCGGCCGGTGATGCGGGCGACCAGCAGGGCGTCGTCGATCTGCAGCTCGACGGCGTGCTGCAGCGGCGACTTCTTCTCGGCCAACATCTTGTCGAGGGCCTCGGCCTGGGGGATCGTGCGCGGGAAGCCGTCGAGGATGAATCTGTGGGGAGGCCCAAAGGTCAGAATTGCCGCGCGTGTCACAATGAAAACATGTCGGTTTTCGTCGGAGAGGAACTTACCCGCCCTTGCACTCCTTGTTGGTCTCGAGCTCGGCCTTGATCATGCCAATGACAATGTCGTCGCTGACAAGACCGCCGGCGTCCATGATCTTCTTGGCCTCCTTGCCGAGGGAGGTCTTCTTGGCGATCTGGGATCGGAGCATATCACCGGTGGCCTGAGGATCGGATTCAAGTCAGTTCCCGGGGTCCAATGGCTGGATGGGCGCGTTGGGTGGGCATACCAAGTGACAGCACGAGAATCGCTCCTTGATCTTGGGGGCTTGGGTTCCCTTTCCTAGAAGAGGTCAAAGTCAGCACCGTCGGCAGGACTGGATAGGGCCATTGGGGCAGGCGCAGGTGCAGGCGCAGGCGGCCAATGGCTCTGGATGAGGCGGAAAAGGGCAGCTCACCGGCGCCGGGAGGGCCCATGAGGATCATGCGCACGCCGTCGGTGGGCTTGGCCTCGCCGGTCTGGCGCTCCTCGAGCTTCTCGACACGTCTCTCGAGGGCGGAGACGACATCGTGCAGCCGCTGGACCTCGTTGTCTATAACACCCATGGTTGGCAGGATTTGGGGAAGCGGAAGAGAAGGGCCGGACCGAGGCGACCGAGAAGAAGAAAAGAAGTGCGGGGAGGAGAGCAGAGGAGAGAAGAGGACTGCTAGTCACCGGGGAGAGGAGAGGAGAGGATGGGATGGGCGAGGTGGAAGGGCGAGGGCGAGGGAGGAGTGGTGAAGTCTAAAACTTGACGATTCGGGACGGTACTTTAGACTCGAAATGTCGAAATTCACGGGCGCAGGGAACAGGTTGCGACAAAAACCGCACGGCGATCCGAGTTGAGAGAGAGACGAGCTTCCCACCCCTGCCGCCCTGCTCACCACTACCTACCTACCTACTAACGACTGGCGACTAGTTACCTAGGTACTGGACCTAGGCCTGCTACTGGCAACAGGCCCTGACAGGCACATTGGCACAGGTACAGTAGAGAGGTGCAGAGACGTGTGCCGATGCCAGGTGGAGCAATGGAGCAATGGAGACATGGAGACTGGGGGACCCGCTAGCAGCGCAATTGGGCCACCTGAGTGGCCGGTCTGCCTTGGCCGACGGGATTCTTTAGTGGGTTCGCCAGGCGCTAACCAGCTACCCATGGCATTTGAGTACAAGAGCGACAAGACTCACAAGCCAAATGTGTGCCAAGCTGCTCAAGCACCGCTGCCGGCCCTTGGCTTGCGAGCAAGCTCGGTTAAATCTCACGCCGTGGATGGAGCAACGGGGCGGGATGTGCCAGCTTCTTCCGTTGAGCCGCTGAGGCGGTAACCTGCTACGGCGTGTAGGTTGGTTGGTGTTGACGGCCGACAATTGAGGTCTCATGGCGTCATGCTGTTCTCGCTTTTGGAGCACCTGGTCGGTGTTCCATCGCGACAGGAGCCTGGCACAGACACTGCCGCCAGCTGTCTCCAGCGCATTCCCATCGAGGTCCATCGTTTGATCATTGAGCACTTGGGCCGCGATGACTTCGCCGCATATCTCTGCGTCTGCCGTGCGTGGCGTCGTGCCGGTCTCAGCGACGACGTGTGGCCGCAGTTTGCGCATCGATGCCTGCCGGGCTTGGTGCAACACGTTCAATTCGAGGCACAGAAGGACAAGTCAGTCACGCAAAGCCATATCTTCAGGCGTGCCCTGATGAAGATATGTCGCCGCGTGCATGGTCGATTTATCACTGCACGCGAGCATGAGCTGAGGCTTGGCTCGGAGGGCTATTTTATTCTCGACACGAGTTTACCCATCAGTGGCGGCGGTGTCCACTCGTATGATGCCTTCCTGAATACGAAAGCCTCAAACAAGCTGAGAGCTGAGCATGAGAGTTTGATTCTTCCACCAGCCAATGCCGACCATGAGAGCAGAAAGAAGATTCTGTGGTATGCTCACGGCCGCATCGCATGGACCTCGTCCATCACAGAACGACCGCTTCTTGTGGTCATTGATGACCTGAGGACGAGAACCCGGAGGGCCTATGCATTCCCATATCCTCAGGCGCCCGAGGCTCAATACGAAACGGCGCTCGGGAGCCAGTTGTTTGTCATGTCCAGTGGTCGCAAGATGTGCATTTGGCACCTGGAGCGCAGTGTGTGCGTCTCCGTTACTCTTCCGATGCCATTGATTCGTTGCGTCACCGAGGGTGAACGAGTGCTTGCTGTCACGACCAATGCCCGCGTGTTCGTATGGAGTTCCGGATCGGGTCTACAGACCATAGATATGTCGAGCGTCGCTGCCTACAAGCAAGGCGAACTAGAAAAGTGTTATTACGGCCACTTCAAACACAGGGACCTCGACCCGCCGTTGCAGACAGCCCTTTGTTACAAGGGAAGGACAGACCCCATGTATGCGGGCGCCCCCCGCCGTCACTTGGACTACGTTGATAATTTCGACTTCATCGTGCACCCTCAAGACAGCAGTGCCATTTTCGTCGCAAGCTTTTTTGAAACGACCCTAATCGTACAAGAGTTCAGTGCCGGATCATGGAAGACGTATCGGAGCCCCGTCGAGATCAATGTATCGCACCCATACTTGCGTTATATATCACTGCGAAAGGCCAGCTCTCATGGCGATTACGTACTGTGTGAAACAGTGTTGAGAGAGGCATGGATCAATGATCGGGAAGCCCGTGAATTCGGGGTGTGCTGTCGGCGATCCAGCCGGGATATTGAGATATCGGTATCTTTCAACCTCTACACCAAAGCGTTCCGCATTGCCCGTCACCACTTCCGTGGCCACAACCGCATCGACTCGGCTCCGGTAGGAGAGAAGGACTACAGCCTCTGGAACCAGCAGCTACTGCATCTTACCTATTCTGACCGCGGCTATAACGTTTTAGCCATAGGTGGATGCAAGCAGGATCTGGACTATCCAAGTACACAGCGGCCAGTTCAGTCACTGAGCCAGCTCCCTGTCCATACGGCTGTATGCACATGGTTGCACGCTTCGGGTCCCATGAGACGCCAAACCATCGCCGCGGTTGACGCTCATGCCATACCTTGGGCTGACGACGAGGACCTGGCCCAGGGTTCGTACCATCAGGACGTCGCATTTTGCCTAGACTTGTCTAGGATGGGCCCACCGCAATACTTTTGGCAGAAAGACGTCTCGTCAAAGAACAGGCTGGAGGTAATTGACAATGCGTATAACAAGAAATACTTGCTTGGGGATGATGAATTCCTCGTGTTCATGAGGGGCGGCAATTCATATACGGTGTTTCAATTCGACCACAATGTGTACACTTGAGAACTTGGCCACATGGAACAGACCTTGTTGCTTGTCCTGGTTTTGTATGTACGACCTAGCTCGGTGGGCGACCTGTTTAGATATCAGCTTGGATGGATACATTAGATGGCCAATTAAGCACTTCTAGTCTATGTAAGGTAGCCTCCAACTGTGCACCACAGTGCCTGTCGGTTGATAGCTTCAACCTTGAAATCATAGCGTGGGTAGTCACACTAGATGCAGGTCGCGGTTGCGGCTTGTAGGGTGCCGTAGTTTATAGTCGTAGTGCCCCAACTATGCTAGGTACCTAAGTAGCTTAGTACTGTGAATGGGCAGTCGGGAGAAGGCTCCCAAGTGTCGAGCTCGGCTCAGTTGCCCTAACTCTTATATACTGTTTCAATCAGGCCTTGCGAAGTGCCCATACTTGATTGGCTCCTACAACAGTTAGCTAGATAGTGTATATCATGAAAGATCACGGTCTCGAGGGCAGCCTTCCGCTTTCCCTACGTCGTGATAAAAGTCGCACAGCCACAGCTTGGAAATGCGGAAATGCCCTGAACAAAGCCTCCGGGTTCATTGGCCTCGTCCAATGTCTACCTAGGTAAACGAACGGGGGGACTGGTGAGCTCTGAGCACGGAACGGAGCAGTGAGCACCTGTGGGCTGCAGCGGGCGCTAGGCCCAACCAGGAATTGAGCTTGCTAGGGGATCCGGTCGGGTTCCATAGTTACGTTGGTGGACCCTCGCTCGGCGGGCCACCATGGCGGCGGGCGCAAGGCAGCCTCACCACTACGCAAACGCACCTCATCCTCATCAGCCTTCCCGTCCCCTTCCCCTGCCCGCCATCCGAGAATCGCACCCTCCATCCCATCGTCAGCCCGGCCGCATTCTTCTCTCCTCGCTCTTCGCACCCACGGTCTCGGTCCCCTTGTTTGCATCGGACAGACCGCACCGCTCGATCGACGCAGAGAAGACGAAGACCGTACCGGTCGGACAAGCACACGCCCGCCCATACACACACATACACACCACCCATCATGCCCGCCACCACGGCCGAGACGCTCGCCTTCGTCTCCAAAAATGTCACCGTCGCCCCCCTCGTGCTCCTCTCCGTCGTCGACCACTACAACAGAGCCGCCAAGGGCACGCGGAAGCGCGTCGTCGGCGTCCTGCTAGGCCAGAACGACGGCACCAACGTCCGCGTCTCCAACAGCTTCGCCGTCCCCTTCGAGGAGGACAACGACGACCCCTCGGTCTGGTTCCTCGACCACAACTACGTCGAGAACATGCGCGACATGTTCAAGAAGGTCAACGCCCGCGAGAAGTTAATAGGCTGGTACCACTCCGGCCCCAAGCTGCGTGCCTCCGACCTCGAGATCAACGAGCTGTTCAAGCGCTACACCCCGCACCCCCTGCTGGTCATCATCGACGTCCAGCCCAAGGAGTCGGGCGTGCCCACCGACGCCTACTTTGCCGTCGAGGAGATCAAGGATGTAAGTAGTCTCCGCCCCTCCCTCCCTGCTACCCTAGCCCATCCGTCGTCGGTACCCATAGGGCTAACCTACTATTTTCCCCGACCCAACAGGACGGCACTGCTACCTCCAAGACCTTTGTACATACCCCGTCCACCATCGAGGCCGAGGAGGCCGAGGAGATCGGCGTCGAGCACCTGCTGAGGGACATCCGGGACGTCGCCATCGGCACCCTGTCCACGCGCATCACAAACCAGCTCCAGTCGCTGCAGGGCCTGCACCTGCGGTTACGCGAGATCCAGGCCTACCTGCAGAAGGTCCAGGACGGCCAGCTGCCCGTCAACCACGCCGTGCTCGGCAACCTGCAAGACATCTTCAACCTGCTGCCCAACCTGTCGACGCCCAAGCCCGGCAGCGAGGGCGGCCGCCCGGGCAGCACCGGCGGCGAGCTCTCGTACGCCATGAGCGTCAAGACCAACGACCAGCTGCTGGCCATCTACCTGAGCAGTCTGATCCGCGCCATCACCGCCTTCCACGACCTGATCGAGAACAAGATCCAGAACCGCCAGCAGCAGGAGGAGAAGGAGGCCAAGAAGGACGAGGCCGCCGCTGCCGCTGCGGGCGGTGCCAAGGACGATAAGGACAAGAAGGAGGGTGGCGTCAACGGCGTCAACGGCGAGTCGGCAGAGAAGAGTGGCGATAAGGACAAGAAGAAATAGTGTCGCTTTCCCCGCCCCAAATAGAAATAAGCCGTTTTCATGACCATGGCGTTGGGCAGCGTGTCATTGTGGGGGGAAAAAAACGAACATCAACGACGAAGGAAAATACGCTGGCTGGTATTTTTGCGTGTATCATATCCTGGTTCCAGATGGCGGGTCAGGTTTCGGCCAAGGAGGTCAGCATGCCATAAATCAATAGAGAGATGGCTGATCTAGAAGAATAAGAAGAATATGAACAAAGCAGCCATTCATGAGGCGGGAGTCGCTCTGCTTGTGCGTAGTCACACCTACCACTCTTATGGCACATACTGGCTTTCAACTACCAACCGTGTGTAGCATCAGCCATGAAAGCCGAAGAGTGTCGTGGCCGGTGATGGAACGTCTAGACATTACACACCAGCCCAACGAGGGACATCTTTCACGGGCACCAAAAACACGTCAACGGGTAGTAGACATGAACATATCGCTCATTCGCAGTCGTCTCATTTCTCTATTCAGGGATAGGTTGCTACCTCCACTCGACCACGTGGCCGCGCCAGACACCCGCTTCAGGATATCTCCCTCTCCCTGTCTCTGCCTTCCTGTCCCGTGATATGATATATACTATATAATCCATTGTGCTGTTCATGGCGCCGCGTCTAACAATAGGAGTTCTCAAAGAAAAGGAGGAACACGAGGGCAGCTGATTCGTTAGGAAGGGTATATCGACCAAGAAAAAAAAAACAATAAACGATTCTCGCTCCGTTTGGGGAAACCCAAGGGGAGCGAGGGTCTAAGGGGAAGAACGCGCGCCGCTGATGCACTCTTAGGGAAATGATGGAAAAGCGATAACACGGAGAGCCGTCAAACCCCAAAGAAAAGTCCTCCGTATGCAAAGCGCGTATCCTGATGATGGCGGGTTGATCAGGGGGCCGTAAGACGCTGTGTGGGCGTGCATTGCTGCACTTGACTGATCGTGCTCCCGATATACATAACGGGCCAAAAGCCGTAGAGCCAAAGCAGAGGTCTCATCACGCTTGGAGTTCCTACCTCCGCGGCGTAGCTACGATCCAACGAGTCAGTATATATAGTTTTCCCCCATCAACAGACTCCTAGCTTCCAGCCAGGGAGGAGAAGAGACTCACCATTGACCATCTGCCTCTGCTTGTTCAGCCAGCTCTTGGGGGCGTCGTTGCGGCGCTGCAGCACCACGTGGTTGCTCTGCAGGCGGCTGGTCAGGTCGTACCAGGCCGTGGCGATCATGGCGTTCTCGCGCTGCAGGTTCTTGATGGTCTGCTCCTGCTGGGCGTTGCGGGCGCCCTCGGCCGTGCCGGCGCGCACCGCCTTGAGCGTCTTGTCGAGCTCGTGCCGCGCCAGCTCCGACTTGTCGTACCGCTCGCTCAGCTCCTTGTACTTGACGCGCAGCCGCTCGATCTTGTCCGTCGTCTTGGCCACGTTGGGGTCCACCGCCTTGCCGTCGGCCGCCGCCTTCTGCAGCTCGGCGTTGGCCGCCTCGACCTCCTTGCGCAGCTGGTCCTTGTCGATGAGCGCCGAGACGAGCTGCTCCTGCCGCGCGTCAAAGTCGGACTTGAGGCCGTCGTACTTCTTGCGCAGCGAGTCGAGCTCGGCACGTAGCGACACGGCGAGCATGCCGTCTGTATTCTTGAGCTCGGTGAGAGCATCTTTGCCCTCGGCCAACGCTCTGAGGTCGCCTTGGGCATCTATCAGCCCCCGCTCCTTGTCCTTGAGCCGCGTCTGGGTCGCCTCGAGTTGCTGGGCAAGGTCCTTGGCTCGCTTCTCCTCGGCCAATGCCTGCTTGCGGAGATTGGCCACGGCCTCGTTCTCTTGCTTGGCTGCGAGGGCGTCCAGAGCAGCACTATCGATGGTATGCTTCTCGAAAAGGCTGTTGTACTTGTCCTGTAGAGCTTTGCGAGCGTCGCGCTCCTTGTCAATCTCGTGGATGAGCTTGCCCTTGTCGGTTTCGGTACCTATACTGCTCTTGAGGAGCGCATTCTCGGTCTGTAGGCGGGATATCTCGAGGTCTTTCAAGGTATGCGTCTCGCTCGTAGTGCCCTCGAGCTCGTCCTCGAGGGAGCGGCTCTGCGTCCGTGCAGAGTAGGGCGCATCCGAGACGGCGGAAGGGTCCAGAAGCATGACCTTCTCCTGCAGGTCTCTCACCATCTCCTCGTCCTCCTTGGATTTTGATTCCATGGTTTCCAGGTGCCGTTGCAACTTTTGGTATTCCATTGTCCAGGCCATCTTCTGGGCGTTGAATTCCGATACCTGAATTTCGTATGCTTGCATGTTCCGGGCCTGCTGGTCACGCTCTGACGACAAGGCCATGACTTGTTTCTGGAACGTCATCATCTGTTCCTGGCCCTCGAAGAAGGCATTTCTCTCCTCCCGCAGTTTCTTGACCTCGGTCTCAAGCCCTCTAAGCTTCTCCAGCTTTTGCTTCAGGTGCTCGGCGGCGTTGGCCTTCTTGGACAGGTCCTCGTTCTCCTGCTTGAGGTCTTGGTACTCTTGCGCCAGCGGTACCAGCTTGCTCAGTTCCGTCTCGAGCCGAACCTTGACACGCTCCAGCTCCTCCTTGGCTCGTCTGGCATCGTCCAGTTGCATCTCGAGGTTGTCGATGAGCCGGTTCTGCTCCTGCAGCTGTTTCTTCTTCTCGGCCCCATCCCCGTAAGCCCCTGATTCCAGAAGCTCCTGCAGCTTGTCCCGGTTGGCCGTGACTCTGTCGTGGCGATCCAGCAGCTCCTGGTGGCTCTCCTGCAGGCGCTCGTGAACCGTGATCAGGTCGGCATTCTTCTTCTTGAGGGACTCGATCTCCCGGTGGAGCCTCCCCAGCTCTGCCTCCAAGGCGAGCTCGTCCATGCCGCCAACCTGGGCAGGAGCGGCAGCAGGTGGGTGGTGGATTTCGGGCGTCTCTGTCTGATCCCCCTGCTGGATCCTATTCTGAGATTGGTTCATGATCTGCATGAGACATCCCAGCCTGTCCTTGTCCTCGGGGGTTTTCTGCATATCCTGGAGGATCTCCTGGGAGACGAACTTGTCGGGCAGGTTTACACTAATGACCAGGAAGATGGCCAGAATCTGGCACATGCCGTCGGCATTGGGGTCTCTGTCGAGGGCCTGGAAGTCGACATCGTCGAGGAGCACCTCGACCACCTCCAACTGTCGCTTGACAAAGCTCCGGAGTGCTTTGCGGATAATGTGCATGTTCCGCTGTCGGCCCTCGATTGGTAGGTCCCGACTGGCGAGGGACAAGTTCTCCTGCAGCTCATCCGGCTTGTAGTCATCGTCGAGCATTGTCAGCAAGTCGGAAAAGACGGCACCATTGTAGAGATCCTCAGTAGTGTTGGGACCCGGCTTGTTGAGGTCTTTGGCTATCATGTTCCGGGCCTGTGAAGACGGTGTGTTAGCAGGCAGTCGACGCAGATCAGATCAGATCAGCCAGTCATGTTCAGTCTTGGGTGTCCTTACCCAGTCCAGCAGGGCCTCCTGCCGTTCCTCTGAGAACTTGCGGGGCGACATCTTGATCGCAGGCGCGGTCAGCCGGCCAGGCGCGCGGGTGTTGTGTGTTGGAGAGTTGATTAGGGCCAGTTGACTACGGCATTCGTTCGGCGAGGAATATGGCGGGCTGGTTGAGTACGGGACATGCAGGCGAGGAGGACCTGGAAGCAACGGTCTCTTTGCGGTGCAAGGGTTGTGTTGTACGTGGACGAATCGAGGAGCCGCCAGAGGTGGGAGTGTTCGTGATAGGCCTGGATTAAAGGAGTGGGTGGAGTGCGCGCAGTTGTCGGCCACGAGAAAAGCCCTCTGCGCCCTGCGTTTTGGCGGCTTCTTCGGGATCGGGGATGGGCGGAAAAGCACAGCACGAGTCGTGCCGGCGAGTGAAGCAAAGAGACGAGGAGAAGAGAGGACGTCGACGCCTATACAGCAAGACAAGCAGGTGTTTCACCGTCGAGGTCGCGCGGTGGATTGTCCGGCTTCAGGGCGAGGCATGAATGCGCGGCATTGTCGCAGGGGACAGCTCACTAATCTACTTAGGTTAGGCGTCTAGGTACCTACTAGCGCTGAAGCTACCCCCTGCTGCTCATCACCGGCTGGCAACAGCTTGGGGACGGCGGCCTGGGCGGCTTGGAAGCGTCGCTGGCTGCCAGCTCCCCCCACGCTGGCAGCTGCAGAGACGCGCTGTAGGAGCAGTGGAATACTAGTACATAAGTTAGTACAGCCCGGGCTCCACGGCTCTTATCCTGAACGATCAACCCGAAACCTACCACCTGCAACTGGTAGATACCAAGGGTCCAGCCCGCTGCAGGGGGTTTGATACAGGCCAGGGGGGTTCTCGTGCCTGCAGCTCCCCGATGCACACCCACATCATCATGACTTGGGATGGCGTTTCTTACCCGTCTTCTAGAATCCTTCTGCCTCAATATTGTGCCGCCTCATCGGTTGCACCAACATCACCTGAAATCCTCTCCCCATCATAATTGTCCGCCGCTTACTAGCTAAGTTACATGCTTACGAGTTACAGCCTATTGGTCTACCCTCTCACTGTGCTAGACTGCTGGTACCCTGTGCTTTCATAATTGCCAATTCAGTACTTAGTGCTAAACACAGTTAACTTGAGCCCACCTGCGTATGTCTTCAACTGTTCATCACAGGTTTGCACGGATCGAACTTGACGTATCTATAAGTGCTACACCCATTCTTCGTGACATGAGGTGCAGATGCGTCCAGGGGGAATGATTCTTGCCGACGGCCAATGCCCCTGAGCTCGATGGGAACTCGACATGGCCATCATGGCAGGGGAATTAGTTGAATCCAGTCGTCGTAAGGAACTTCGCAATTATCGCGTCCATTCAACTTACTGTTTCTGATGAGATGCACATACGTGACCATTAGAGGGTTGCTGTTGACGACGCAGCAAATAGAGTCAACCTACTCTTGGCGCCCTAGGCTTTCTCCCTATAACCGAGAACTGCGCTCTTTAGACGCCACGCTAAGTCAGTCACCTAGGCACCTAGGTACGATAATACAGTTGGCACTTCCACCGTTGGATACCATTCACCTCGCCATCGATAAACCAGCGCATTGGACATATACAAGCCACATGGGCTTCCTGGAGTGATTCTCTCCAGATTTAGCTGCTTCACAGGATTCCCGTCTTGTTGTCTCCGACTCAGCCACCATTGTGTGTGTTTGCTTGCTCGGAATCTACAACATCCACGCCGCCCGTCTATTTTCGCCCATCCAGGGATTCAAAATGCCATGGACTTATTCTTGCAGGTGGGATTCGGACCGTCTGGTTGACCAGAGAGCTGCAGCTATGTCTTCTGTGATATTTTATTCCCCGGACGAGACATGCGCGATATCCAGACAATATAGTTCATCTTATATTTTCCGTTCTTTCAGGTCCTGATATCGAAGCAGGCCCTGTTTCTATACGCTTTCTATACACAGATACAACCCAAAATAAGATAGCCTGCGAGCATGCGTCTCGTCGTACCACTGGCGCTCGCTATAGTAGAGGCAGCTGCTTTCAACCCAGTCAGTCTTCCCTCGTTTGTGCCCAAGTCCTCGATGAGAACACTGTCGTCAACGACAACCCAGGGGTTCCCGCCCAATCCCTTTATATCGACAGTTGCCCCGTCCTCCTTGGTTGGAACCGAGTCAACTTCGACCACTATCACGACTCCCAGCCTCCGAAGCACAAGCTGGGCCTGGAACGATGTCGTGTCATCAACCAGCCCCTCATCTCCCTGCTTAGAGTCGCCGAGTCTTACTTCCAGCACCACTGCGACGTCTAAATCGGTGGCGAATGGTGCGTCGACGTTTCTACCACTCACAGCCACCCCTGCGTCAAGTAGTAGGCCAAGGAATTCAGTTGACAAGAACATGGCACAAGAGGGCAAGGCCAGAGCCGGTGCCATAGTCGGCGCGGCTTTAGGGGGCACTGTATTTCTAGCAATTGTATGTCTAGGTGGATGGACTATACACAAGAACAGAGGTTTAATCCGGAGGCGAAAGGGCGCGGTGTATGAACTGCCGGCGGCGCGGATCTCATGGTAATGTGAGCCGGGAGCTCTTTCTCTGCCAGCACTGGCGCGTCTAGTCAGCATAGATCGCATACGTGCCTATTTTGACTTTTTACGACGTTGATTTTATAATATTCGAGCATCAATTCTAGAAATTCGGGATCCTGTCCGCTCCCCTAAAGATAAACTGGTAATTACTTGCTTAAAACAGGGGAGCTCTGGGTTGCACCTCTGGAGATAAAAAATGGAATTGCGCCCTACCCTGTCCTTTTCGTGGCCGTTAACTCTTACGCCCGGTGTATTCGATTTACTTTTTATGTTTAATTCTTTCTTAACTTCCTCCTTCAAAAGGCTTGTTAATATTGGAATGAGCATTACTTGAATTCTTATGTTGATTCATATAGCTAGTTTCCCAATCTGGGTGTTAGATACCGTCAATCAGAGATGATGGACATAGCGGCGGATGAGAGCACTTCTCCTTCTCACCATGTTCCCGAACCTGGGTCCTATCTAGACACGACCTTCAGAATTTTTTTCAGTTCAACCTTGCTTGAGATTTTTCTCTATATCAACTGCATTTATTGTTGCTCCCCTTACTGGATGGCTGCGTATCAATAATACCCTCGGCAACAGAGGGCACTGTGTAGAAGGTATCCGGTCAAGCACCCGCATCATCTACATTGCCTTCAAAATGCACCACTTCGTGGCCAACCACGAAATGCCCAATAGCAATGTTACTCTTGATACAGGCTTCCTTCTCCAACTGTACCCACTCCGGGTCCGCGGTCAGCGCCCGCATGTCGTCCAAACTGCAGAGCCAGTATGTTGTTACCAAGTCGTAGTCCGGGACTGTCCAGTCAGGCCGGCCCATGTCTGTTTTCATGGCATGGCGCATAGGCTCTCTGAATCCCGTCGGCTGTACCGTCTATCGTTTGATTCCCACACCGTTAGCCAATCAAAGGGGAAACAAAAAAGGAAAACGAAGAAGAAGGCCCGTAGTGAATGCCGCAAGAAATGCGCCACCTGGCCCCAATATATCCGAGAAACAGCATCAAGAATGAAATGACTGCATATCATACCTGCGTCCATTTGACGATGCCATATCTTTTGATGAGAGGCCAGCTTTCACCGGATACACCTTAGTAGACCAGTTCAGGAATTCCTCTTGGCTTATGTCATCACTTTTGTAGATGCAGACATCGAATTTGATCAAGGGCGTAGTAGTAGTCATCATGGAAGACTCCTTTTAAAGATCTGATCTAAGTGTGTTGAGGTTGATGGCTTATTGGATTTTGATATGGATAGGCGAAGACACCAACTACCTTGATCTTGAAGACAGATCAAGGGTAGGGAGGAGGGCAGATTTCTAACGGGCGGGTGTTGCTTCTCCCGTCCACCCGGCTGCAGGTCCTTTATTACTGGTTTGGTGTTGGACACCTTGGTACAAGTTCCGCCTGCCGTTATGGCATGCCTATTCTAGGTTTAGAGACAGGTATCGAGCCAGCGTCACCCACGCAGTAGGCAGGCTGCCCACATAAGAAATGCAAGGGGAACTTGTTGCATTTCCAACAGCTCTCTGATCTAGCGCACCTGAAGTTGGGGGTTCCTGTTACACCCCAATTCTTACTTGTGTCCCTTGCTTCGAAATGACGAATCTCCTGTCGAGACGCCCTTGCATATGAGGTGAGCAAGTGTGGGTGAGGGGTAATACTACAAGGTTGATACATGTATGGTATGATATGTACCTCTTGGTCAATTTGCGGGAACAACAGCAAGGTATGCCATGTATTAACTCCGTGTTGCAAGGTGGGTTGTCCGTTGCAATCACGGTGAGCGGATATTGCCTGCTTCAGTTGTCGTGCTCCAAGCCTCCAACACTGGGAAAACCTTCAGAGAGTCTGCCAGCACCAGACCGGGAGCATCGTCAAAAGTCGCAAGTTGCGAAAGCGGGGAATATGGGTAAGAATTTAAATTTGATTAAAAGAAAAGGAATTTTCTATAACCTCTATTTACTATACAAAGACTACGCAGGCTTGCATCGATAATCATAACGACTTCTTAGCACAGGTTTTGTCCGCCACGCGGTACCATGCCATGAGATTCACAAGCGGAGTGTGAGCCCTTGTAAGGAGAATCAAAGCATTTCTTAACAGATCTGTCTGCTGATTAAAGGTCCATGCATGCCTGTGCCTCTGTGGAGCCTTCCCGAGACGTAACAGGATTCATAACTGCATCTCGCTTAGGGCTGGCAATTCTTTGTTTGCAGAGTCCCTCTCACATGATGAAGGCCTGGACTGTGTTGATATTGCAATTCACGTGACGCCAAGTCGATAGAAGAGGAGACTTTGCTACTACTAGTCTACTGTCATATCTCGATAGACATCAATTGCTCGGTACCAAGACGGCTACCCTTCCAGAACCAATACCCATGCTGGAATTCGATCTTGCAAATACTTCCCAGTCCATGTACGAATCAGAGATCCAAAAAGCCACTAACCGTTTTCTGTTCCTTGACTGGCCTAGAAAAACCAGGTCAGATAGCGCTCTATGAGGCAAGCATGCAACATATGTTTCAAGACCCAAGTCATGAGATGAACAAACTTATTGATGATTCAGGCGAAGCGATCGTAAGCCTGATATTGAATCGTAAGACGCGTCCACAGGAACCTACGGTCGCCCCTATAAGCCAGCCGCCGAGTAACTTGGCGGCACTGAAACCCGTTGTCCATCCATTAATGGAGAGCGCGGTGCTTAATGTACAGCAACCTATGGATTGGATTGACCAAATTGGCTACGACTACAACGCCTAAAATTTAAGCCCGGATAGCTAATCGAGATTCAGTTTTATTAGCCGTCTTTGTCAAATCAAACTCTCGGCGAGAGGGTCTCGGCACACAGCTTGTCAATCTAGGTATACAACGAGCAGCTGTGCAGGCAGTGCTCTTGATTCTTTCTTCGGCACCAAGTGCCGTTAATTCAAGTGCCGTTGGTTTCTATCGGAAGCTTGGATTTAAGGATACCAACTACGCCGATATTGACCTTAGCCAATGGGGCCCGGAGCAACGGATTTGGTATTTACAGGTTACAAGGGATGCTGGCGCCTCAAGCCTAACAAACGCCACCTGCTTTGACAACGGGCATTGTGTGCTCTCGACGCTATCTGAAGTCTGAAATAGGCTTAGGTCTTTCAGCAGCTATTCAGAAAGTTTGGGGAAATGTCTTTTAGCAACTAGCTACGACTCAGGTATAACTCTCTTCATTAAATGCTCGACAAATGCAGTTATTCCAAAGTCCCAAGAGACCGCAATCTAAGATACCTCTTGTAGCTTAATTACCACCGAATGTGTCCGTATTGGGGATGCAATATAAGCAACCCGATCATTTACCCACCTCAAAACCTCCCTAGTGGCTGGCTTGCTAACTAGTAGCAATCACCCGAGGTCATGGTCAAGACGAAAATCTCATCTGAGCCAATGCAGTCGTATATTAAGTCTGTGGCAAAATAGAGCTCAGCGGGTAAATAACAACTATCCTAGACACCATTTCTAGGCTACCTCTCACACACTATATTCTCTGTGACTCACATGGAAGCTGTGTATAATCTTTCTGATACCCCTTTAAATTTGGCGCAAAGTTGTTGCCAGAACTGAATGCATTTAGAAGAAAAGATAGCGAGGTGCTTGAAATGGAGTTGCGGCTGCGCCGAAAGTTTTCCTAATTATCCATACAGCGAGCTTTATATCCCAACCAAAGTCTGCGCAGTTGCGTGACCCATTAGTTATATAAAGGCCCCTGGCCTCTGAGAACCACAATCTATTCAAGTAGTTTCACCCAATTCTGTACCGTCAAGTCGTTTAAATGCGCCACCGTTAACCCTATTTGGTTGCTTTGAGTATACACCCCGCGCCGAACCGCCGCCGAATGTTCTAATTGTAACTAGTTCGCTCTTCTCCTCGGTCTTGGTCGTTACCAAGTTATCAAAAATTAAAAAGGCTAGCGGTCTCATTGTTGGTAGGCATGCACAGATCATCGCCGTCGACACCTCGACATGTGTCCAGATCCAGCATCCCGCGATGAGAACTACGATAGGTCAGCACGCTGATCCTCAGAACCAGCGATGCTCAAACAGGGCATACTAACAAGTATAATCCGCTTCTGGGCCTCCCTTACTCAGATTGACCACCATCTGTAATCGGATGCCGCTAGTGATGATCACACTAAGCTCATTAGCATTGGGCTTGGTGCGTAAAGAGAATCCCAACTCACAAACTACCAAGGAGAAAGATGCTGATGATACTAATCTTCAGTAAGGGTTTCATCTGCAGCTTCGATACGGTAATGATAGGCAACGTTAAAATCAAGACGTCGATTATGATATTCGAGATAGAATTTCCAAGGAAGTACTGGTTGACATCGATGCAAGCTCCGTCCACCATTAATGGCGACCAAATTTTGGCCATAGGTCGGCACTGGAAAAATGCAATAAGAACCACTGCAAGCCACCATGCTAGGGCCATGGCCCCTAGGACATAGCACGCTCGTTTAACGAAGGCGGTTGCAAACGTTCGAAAATAGAGCGACAAGATCGAGACCTTGATTAACGTGATCATAGTACCGTAAATGAATTCGACAATGAACAGATACTGCCAAGTATGAGGTTAAAATAGCTCCTAGACGTATGAAGACTTGGAACTGTACACACCATCATGGAGCGGCCAAGCCGGCCATCGTCGATTGACATATTCACATCCAAGTGTCTCCCAACGCCTCCATGGACAGCAGCTAGTGCAGTTCGTCAGTCCTTACACGCATCATTCATCAACACTGTGTCAACAGATAATCTAACCTATAATATCGAAAGCTAGCAATGCATAAAGGAAAGGCTGTATGTAATATGTCAGATGAAAGATGGTTCCAGCTTTGCCAAAGTTATAACTACCAGAGATATCAATATCAGAAAGTCGTCCAGTGCGAGTTTAAGCTTTCTGATGCGCCTCGCCCAAAGCCGTAAGCCAACGAACAACGTAGCCAGGATGGTCATTGCTATACTCGTTCTAATGAGCGAAGGCCCATCGTCGTAGTTCTCGTAGTCCGGTGACCATTTTTCCGAACTCATCGTGTTGGTTTGTCATAGGAGGAGCTTGTGGACAAGTGGAGATAGGACAGATGGCTAGCATGTACGAAGTGGTCCGTCTTAAAAAGGGGTGACTCTTCTACCCTGTAGCCTATCTCGTACAAGGCCGTTCTTGGTGACTGGCACAGAATCAATCAATTAATGGCTGGTTGTAGCGATCGATGTGGTTGCACGGCATACAGCTCGCCCGTATGTAGACCGGTTTGGGTGGTCGCAGGGGCGAAGTACATTATCTAAAGTTTACATCCAATCCAAGAGCTCCTTAAGCACCAGAAACTGCCAGGGATCCAATTCCGTACGCTCAAACCTAGCACGGTGAGCAAGTAACATCAGAGTTTGAGGATGGGGTAATTTGGGGGCACAAGCAAGGGATCTTCTGCACTTACCCGATTACTGCGACCTTGTTAAATATCCCACACCGATGTAGCGGAGCAATCTGATGCTACTTCTTTCTGCAATTCCTTCAAACCTCAGAGTCCTTGCCCCATACACATTCACAGTTATCAATTCAATGCCATTTCCAAAGCCAGTCGTGCTGTTAGTCCACGGTGCCTGGCACCCACCATCGTGCTATGACCTACTCAAAATACGCTTAGAGGCCATGGGATTTGAGTACCAATGCCCTCAACTTCCTAGCCTTGGTCCCGACTCCAAGGGCATAACTTATGAAGCGGACGTCGAAGCTATCCAGAGAACCGCAATCAGTCTTTTTGACCAAGGGAAGGAGGTTGCCCTGATTGCCCACTCTGCCGGTGGGGTTCCTGCAGTACGTAGCAAACTTGAGCGCATTCCCAGCCCGATAGATGATTGGCAGTATGAATACACAGATTGTTTATGCAGCTACCAACCCGGCGTTTCAGTCCATCATCCATTGTTATGGATTCAAGCTAACGTTCGGTCAGTGTGTTGCTACACAGGGCCTCACCATCTCACAGCGTGCGAAGGAAGGAAAACCAGGGGGATTCCGACACATAATCTTCCTTGCCGCCTTCGCTATACCCGTTCGTGGATATGATCTGCTCCAAACTCTGGGCGGCACATGGCCCGACTGGCAGATCGCCGGCGAACCCTATACCAAGGTGCGTGCTTATTACAACTGTTGGGATTCTTCCTCTTAGAGGGGTTTATCTCTCTATTACTGAATGGTATTCTAGGGACATCTGATCCATCTTCAAGACTTTGCCAAAGACAAGTTTTATAACGATCTGCCCGATAATGAGGCTCAGAAGCAATTCGAATCTCTGTTGCCGCATTCTCAAGATGCCTTTGAGACACCAGTCAACTTCATCCCGGCTGATGTCACGATCCCGAAGACTTACATCATCTGTGAGAACGATCAGGCATTGCCCGTTAAGGTTCAGAGAGAACTTGTATCACAAACGCCCGGGCTGAGAGCGGAAACGCTGGACACTGGCCACAGTCCATTTCTCAGCCAGCCAGATAAATGTGCTGAGCTGATGAGAAAGGTGCTTGCTAGCGAGTGATCAAATTTACCAAGTCTCCAATGATTTTCTTCGAAGCATGTGATAGCACAGTCAAAGAGAATAAGCGAACTGGGGTAGAGCTGCTCTGAACGTGTATTAGCAGTCGCAATCAGAACGAGAGTCCTGCCACGATGCCATATGTCTCGAAGGGGATCCTTGATTACTTTCATAGCCGGGCACGGAGTGGGAACTGCGTTCAATGGCAGGAACAAAGAGGGGGTAGAGAATTATGAGGGGCTGTGTATGAGGGTGTACATGGGAAATTGACCCTCACACCATCCTGGGGTCTCGAGGCCAATACCTGTCGATCCAGACCCTGGCTTCCTTCCATGCAATTCAACCCCAGAACCCATCCAGGATGATGTTAGATGATCCTACGTTTTCATTCAAGCTGAAGGAAATAAATCCAGCCCCTCCTGGTTGTGCAAAGTTGGTAGAAACCCAAAGTTCAACTTGGCCTATGATAGTGTAGCGAATCAAACTGATGTCTTCAGTCAAGTAGAACAAGCCCTGTCACTCATGAACAGAGAGCTCAACAAATCTTTGGCCTAATTAATTAGCGATCCGTTGGTTTTTGAAGCTCACCTACCGTCTGACCTGAGCAGATTCGAGGATCAAACTCCTGTAGACTGCGCCACAATCAATGAACTCGTTCCCCAGGCTCGTCGGTACCGAAGCGTATCCTCATGTCCCCACCTTTAAGTACAGCGTCCCTTTACAAATAAGGTGTGGTCAATGCCTCGTGTTTAAATTGGGCGAAAGGTCATTGGCTGCTATACGGAATGATGAGTAAAGTTTCCCGCCGGACGGTGATTTCATTGGCATATGCCTGAAAGATCAAGCCATGTTGTGCCTCAGATGCTGACGGGATCCATGGCTAGACTGCCGCTCCTTCACACAACACTACATTTTCAGACGGGTTTGGACATCTACATCCTGCAAACCTGTCCGATCTACTCACCGGCTTCTCAATACTTCCTTTACCATGCCAATAGGGCTGGACTTAGGTCTCTCCAGAATTCGAAGAGAATTGCAGTTTACCTTATGACATACAACATAAAAGATTGCCCCATAACCACCACCATCTACAGTTATTCTTTCATGAAATAATATGTACGCCTGGTGACCATTCCATGTGAACTTCTAGCGCCCTCGAGGTCGCTCACACTAAATGGATTTGGCTTTTATCACAGTACACGCACCCCACGTAGCGCGACTCTAACGGCAGCGGTACGGCTCGTAAGATCTGTTGTGTCACCCATGACACAACCCTACAATACAACCCTAGAGCGGGGAAGTCTCCCGTTCCCGCTGTTGCATGTCCTTCCGCGAAGGACGTTTGACCCAAATGATTTGATCCTAACGAAACGTGCTTACTATGTGGAGCCGCCAAGATCGACCGAACCCCAACCATGTTCGGCGGCAGTATTTTCACAGCTGGGTTTCATTCCTACCACAGTCCAGCGTGTGAATGCATAACAGGATCCAGCTCTTGTCTCCCGGCATGCCTCTGGCAACAAGCTGCTCACTGCCCGCGCTGCCTCATGGTTCTTAGTCTGGCGTGGCAGGAGTGTGTGCAGTGTCAGGTTGCACTCATGCATCGCCATAGCAAGATCAGGAGGCGCATCTCGTACATCAGCCTCGACATTCAGCAGCCCGCATTTTGTAAAGAGCCCCGGGAGTTTTGTGACCCAGGTCGGTTTCATCCTTGGATCCTGAGAGGCCGTGAGATTTCGTAGCTGCTCCATCGCATCACTTTTGTTCTCTCGGGAGGTGGTCTGAAGGCGAAAAGAATCTCTGTCAGGTTCACCCCACTGGATGTAGCCACCAGGCTCTGTATATCAATTTGCCATCGTCAACTTGTCATCTGAGATGGGATTCATAATCATGACTTCCGGGAAGACATACTCAATAGTGTGGTCAAGCGCTTCAGAGCGTCCTCGACTTCGTCGTCCTTGAGAACGTAGCCAAACAATCTGATGTGAACAATGTCATATCTGCCCACAACATCCTCAGGTGCGTCATGTTTGATGTTCCAAAGACGGAAGCTCACATTCGGAGATAGCCATTGTTGTGGCGGTGCGGCGTCGAATGAGATGTCGAATCCGTCGAGTTGGACTGCCGTCGGCAGACGAGATGCCACGTCAGTTAGCCAGATTCTGCGTAGATTTAATATTTCCGAACTTTGAAGTCTCTGAGATCGCATATACGCACCCCGTGCCTGTACCTACATCCGCTATCCGCAAGTCGGGATTTTGGGTTGGTATTTTGGGATGTAAGCGATAGCCAAAGAGTTCGCACCAAAGGTAGTGTTGTAAGTTAATGCTAGTCAACGATACCATCCGTGTCAGTGAGTCCTAAAATATCAGAGTGCGGTTTGATGTCGCTTCATCACATACCGATTGTTGTCCTCATAGTCTCGAGTGAAAACGTACTCCGGTGCGGTAGTCATGGCTGCGTAGCTTCTTCTCTCCCCTTGGGTAAACAGGACTATAGCAGAGCTTGAAAGAGTTGTACTTGGTCCTTTCACGCTTTAGTGGCATATTCCTGAGCTCTGGAAGCGCTAGCTGCAGTAGGCTTAGCTCGATATTCGCGGAACCGCACGATGTAAGGAACTACACCCACCAACACCACTCTCGGGGGAAAACACACTGGGAATTGAAGTTCAATGTTCTGAATCAAGGTCGCAATGATACCTTGCGAGCACTGTGTCAACGGTGTCCGTGACCATGTAGAGGGTATATCTCACTGTTGGGTCTTGTGCAGGAGCCAACGAATGTGTTTTTTACCCCTCCTGAACCGAACTTGTTCAAGGTCGACGCATCGTTAGCATTCAACCCCAAATACTCAGGGGGCACGAGTTAACTGGATATCTGTGAGCTATCTTTGTTTGCACGATTATGCTGTATTCAATGCAAAACGCTCGATTTGAAGGACCATTCTGAACAGACACCTATAGCGAGGGCAAAGCTTAACAAACTTGAAGAGGCGGTTGGTACCGTGGAACAGTGGCAGTTTGGGACGAAGAAGCAAAGACGCACTCCTTTATCTTACCAAGAGAAGGCCTTCATCAGCTTGACGGTTCTAAAACAGATAAGTTTATTGGTCTTTAAGTTACTGGTTGTATAATTCCTAAAGTAATGTAGTATTATGAGCAGGAACCTCTCGTAGATCGCGTGAGATATGTGATTTGCAGTCACGTCAGACTGCGCGTTGCGACTATTCCCACGTGAACTAAATGGTGTATCCACGATTAAAATACCGATCAAGTTTAGTTCCACTTCCTCTGGATTTGTAAGATGAACTTTGCCAGGCAGCAGTCAGCTGCGGCACAGTCGGCAATCGTTCTGTCTTCACCGACACGCATCCCAACCTCTTCCTCTGCTACTCTCTCGAGATTCTATATGCCTCCCTCTCGCTAGTACCACTCCTAGACCTTCAGAAAACAAAACAAACTCAAGATGGCCGAAGCGCAATCCCGTGAGTATTCCCTAGCTGACCCCCGCCCATATTAGCGCTGGACTGACAAGGGCCGTTTGCCCGCAGATATCACCCACACGGAATGGTCTACAATTGCACCGTCCATGATGCATCAGGTCACTTCTGGGCCGGGAGTGGCGCCTGGTGATCACATGGCCAAACATGGCGAGGAGCTCTTGTCCTTCTCCAAGGCCACCACCATCGTCGACATGGGCTGTGGTCCCGGTCAAGTTACCAACGCTGTCCTCCAAGCGCATCATGCTCAGTTGCCGCCCTCTACCCAGTTGATCGGAGCCGACAGCAATGCACAGATGCTCGCCCAGTACAACGCACGCAAGAAGGCGGAGGTGGACAAGGGCAACACTTACTGGCAGTGTGCCAAGACCGTCGAGGTTGACATCCACGATTGCGCCGCCTTCGAGGACGAGTCGGTCAGCCATATGCTGTGCGGCTTTGTGCTCTTCTTGATTCCCGACCCCGCGAAGGCCATTGATGCCATCAAGCGCGTTATGGCCCCTGGTGGCGTGGTCGCCATGTCGTCTTTGCAGAGCAGCGACTGGATGAAACTTTCCATGTATCCCTTGAAAGTACGCCCGGACCTGCGAATGGATGTACCCACCAACGGCTGCTCTTCTGCAGAGGATGTGACAAGGCGTCTAAACGTGGCTGGCTTCAGGGATATTGAGGTCATCCAAACCGAGAATTACCTGGCATTTGATGATTACGACACAATCTGCCGCTTCCTCTTGACCAAGCTGCCTATGGCTGCGAGGATCATAAGCCAAATGACGAATGACGAGGTGCTGGAGACCCATAAGCTTATGATGGCGGATCTGGAGACCTGGTATCCCACTCTGCCGGCAAAGATGGTCGGCAAGGTCAACATAGCTTATTGTCGCAAATAAAAGACCGCGTGTGAGAAGTTCGCAACTCAGGAAACAAATAGGTAAAAGCGGCGCGCATATTTAGACCGGGTTCATAGACCTCCATCAACACTACTGAAAAAAACTTCATCGGACACAAATCTGGCATCAATCGTGATGGTGGTGGGAACGAAGCAGCGGAGGTCGGCCTCCGCACATAGTTGTTGGTTGAAAGGTATTGTTGAGCCCGCATCCTTTGACCTACCAACAGTTTAGGCAAAATTACGAGCACAGAGAGTCTTTTAAAGCCACCAGACCACCAAGAAATCACACCATAGACGATCAAAGGGAGTGAAATTGAGAAAATCCCGCTTCGCCGCAGTAAAAGACCAAGATCAATACCTTGAAAGAAGGCCTGGCTGGAGAGGAGCTATATACTGATGCAAGAAATCACAATGGTGAGGTTGACGTTAAGACTCGCTGTGCTTAGCACGTAGAAAGACACCAATAAGCAAGGGTTCAAACTCTGGCTTCTACAAGGAGCAGGTGATATCCGTTCTAGTCGATTTTCATCGCTCTCTCTTCTCAAGTTACGCACTCTATCCAATGTCGACCCTGCACCTATCGTTCTTCCATCTTCGTGTGTCTGGATAGTTCTGGCCAAGATGCACCTATTCAACCCAATCTTTCTTAGGCTTTATGCGTGGATCTCGGCTAATCCAATCAAGGAACGGCAAGGCACAAAGCAGATGTCCGAGTTCTCTGATAGTACCTTTATCGAGAACTTCCACGTCCTTCCCAATGGACACCTCCTCCTAAGGCATCATGCGCAATTCTAATCAGGGCGGCGTATTGATTCTCGACCTTGAGAAGCCAGAGTCAGGAGTCCAGACATTTGTCTCCCTGAAGGGAAGCACGGGACAAACCGGTATTGCACCACTTGGTGGTGGACTACACGCCATTAGTGGTGGTTTGCACTCTCCCTTTCACTTTAAGTTGGGGTCCATGAGTGTATATTATATCATTGAATCTCATGACCGGTCACGGGACTGTTCTCGATGAGATTTCAGTTCCTAAAACACAGATGCTGAATGGCATGGCTGTCATACGCAGAAAACCCCACATTGTCCTCAGCGCGGATTCGATCGGTGGTCGGATTTGGCGCATCAACACCCAGACTAGGGCGGTTGACGTTGTCGTGGCCGACGACGAACTCGGCCTCGATAGCAACCCTGTCAACTTTATTCCACTGGGCGCCAACGGACTCGGGATCATCGACGACTGCCTCTGTTTCATCAACTCAGCAAGGGGCACGTTTGCCCGTTTCAAGGTCGACAAGAGTGGCAACAAGATTGGCGATATCGAGATCATTGTACAGAATGACTAAAGTATCACCCTCGCGGGCAACGTGTATGACGACTTCGCCATTGATTCCAGGGGCAATGCTCACATCTCTTTGCACTCATGGGCTGTCACCAAGGTCACCCCAGATGGTGTTCAGACAGCCTTTGTTGGTGGCCACCCCAACACCACAACTGTCATGGAACCTACTTCAGTAGTGACGACCAATGATGGCCAGTACATTTATATTTCTACGGGTGGGATGAAAATTAACAATCAGGCATACGGCGGTCAAATACTGAGGGTGACGGTATAATCGATAGATCTATCGTAGGCCGGAGGGGGACTGGTCACATAATGTATTGCTAGGCTATTATTATTATGCTTTTTAAAAATTAGCTTGGGCGTAATAAAACTGTGTGTATATGTAAGTTTGCGTGGGACTGGCGATGCCCAATATGAGTAGTTTACCTGATCTTTGCTAAATCTATATTGCTTAGCTCTTCAATTACGCCTCACGGTACGGAGTAACCATGTCACGATGGAATTATTATTCAACTTCTTGTGCACACCTTTATGCTATATATCGCGAGCTGATTTCGTCGCAAAAAGTGATGCATAAGAGCAACAACTCTCGTGTATCATCATCTTCGGCCTAGCACAGTCTCTAGTGGCTGGCCGTCATTCACGACGCGACTATCCAAGCTCTGTGCTGAAAGCATTATTGAATCGAGATGGCTTGTGCGGCATAGTGTTTCCCACAGAGCGAGAAACTAATAATGCATAAGTGTCGGTGACAGGAGGCCCGCGTCAAGCCTTCGCCTGAGGATTAGTCTAGATTACACCAGAGGATAGCACTCGTACATGGCTCAACTGAACTTATGCTTGAAAAGCGCAATCATACTGACTGGTACCACTCCGTCGTCATCCAACCTAGTCTTGTCCATGATAGGATAGAGGTATGCCGGTGCCGTCCATGCCATTCACAAACAAACCCAGGCGAACCCCAGACAACGCTGAATCAAAACAGGAGGTCGATTTATTTTGGGTCCAGGAATGACATTGTAGGGCGAGAGAACAAAATCTTCGATAATGATCCCTAAAGGTTGAATAGAGAAGAACCCAATTGCTCCAGATTCTCGAATCGCTTTGCCTGAAATATGTTAAGACTCTGATCCGACAGAAATAACCTCGGTGCAATTACCTGAAGAGAAATCGATAGCTACATGCCATACACCAGATAGCAGGAATATCAGCCAGATCCGTATGTATCTCACCCAGTGACCATCTCTGCGAAGTTTCAACACACCGTGAAGCAAGTAATTGGAGATGACATTGAGCCGATGCGTATTGATTTGGTGCCAAAAAGTGCTGGACCTAAGGTTAGACGGATTGTTTGAAACTTCTGAAGCTATCCACAGACTCGCTGCCCAAGCCTCTTTCCGGCATATCCCATGCTCCTGGGGCGGGGGTTCGTACGTGTATGCCAGAAAAGAAGCAGGGAGCCCACGTCGCGGGCCAAGAATTTGGTAATTGGTTGCCACACGGGCTGCACACCAGGGAAGGAAGTAGTGGCCTGATGCGAAACCCACAGCAGGCAGTTGTCTAGGCTTGTAGAGTGTATGCAGGTGAAAGTGAACAGGCAGCCATGTCGACATGCGGGTGTCAAATCGTGCAAGCTTCTGCTCGATAGCGCAATAACTGACACCGGTCATATCCCTTTCTAGGCGCCCAAGCAGGGTTTCCGTGGCATCGAAGTCGAGGCGGCGCGCCAGGTTCTGAACATCAGATATATAGCACATGCGTTTGCACGTCAGAGCGAGGCAAACAGCATCAGCAGCCGGGAGGAGTTCGGACACGAGGAGGATGAGTTCAGCTGGGAGGAGCCCCAAGTCTGGTGCCTGCGGTTTCTGTAGCTGTGGGGGTTTCAGTATATCCTGAGCCTCCTGTGATTTCTCGGCCTCTGGTGTCGAAATAGCAGTTGGAGACTCAGAGCTGGGCAAAACAGGCACCGGCGGCCGAGGAGCTGTGCACCTGAGAAGGCAGCGTGTTAACCAAGTAGACAACATGATATCACCTGCAGATAGTATTTCTCAGTTTAAACCACGCAATCGGCTGGATGGCTCAGTTCGTCGGTTTATCTGAACGAGAGTGACGACGGTTATGAGGTTGAGGGCCAATGTAGCTGTTGATGTTGCAGATGTAGGGTGGAGATGTTAAAGGCAAGGAATGTGTCAGTGCTCAAGAGTCTGTTAGAGCGCATTAACTCGATGAAGGCTAATACTGAACATGTAAAATTTACGGTTTTGTATTAATTTGGGACTCGTGTGATCCAAGCCGTCGTACAAAGCTTATATCCTGGGAGCCAACGTCCTCGTTTCTCACGGTGAGACCAAAATTGACACGGTCACCAATTTCAAATTCCCATAGAGTATGATTTCGGCCGTTAGACATAACCCGGTGTTGACTAGATTGACGCAATATTCGCCTCCATCATTACTGCCGTTACATATTACCCCGATAGACGTTGAGCAGCAGTATCGTTATGAGCGCCGCTATTACTTGTCTGATACAGGTCTAATACTTGGGCCTGTTTTCGAAGCAGTGGACAAAAGCAATCATGAGTTGGAGCTCTGGGAAATATAGCTCCCTCCGATCCCAGGAGTGCAAGCGGAAGATGAAAAGGTGGGGTCGGGAGAGTATAGAAGACGAGATGAGTCGATCTCAGGGACTCCCTCAGTTCAGCGCAGATCGTAAGTACAGCAATTCATGAGCCTACCGACCGGGTTGGTGATAAGGTACCACAGAATCGCATACGGTATTCTCTTCGGTGTGTTGATTGTTCGGGGACTCGGGATTGTTCAGACATCATCGGTTGCTCAGGCACCTTCCATTGTCCAGGCACCCTCGCATTCCGTTTGCGCACCCGCCCCCCTGATATGTAAACCAAATTATGAAACCTGATATTCGACCTGGTAGTTCAATGGTACTAGACCTTCGAACGAGCTTGCGATCTTCAGGGCGAATCAAACTAATACCCAGGGGAGGTTTTCAGTAGAAGAGATTCTGGGTTCAACTCCCAGCCAGGTCAAAACTTTTGCACTTCTTCTTTTTTTCCCCCGTTTGTATTTCCCCCCTTCGTTTGGCCTCGCCCAACTTTGCCCAATTGAACATCTTTTACCATTATCTGTGTTTTCATTCAGGTGGCCCATATTTGCCCATGGTGTTGATCAAAGGCCCGAGTGCATCCCGTCGCCTTTCATCCCAAGTCCGCACCTTGCACGATCGTTGCAATGTTTTTCGTCTACATTTCTACCCACCAACGTCCCGTTTACAGGCTTACTACCGAAGGATGAAAGGAATGTATTTCTCCTAACTGTCTGGGGCAAAATCTGATCTGAAATCCGTGTTGGTAAACATAGTCTCTCCCTCAGGTGCAGCTGACTGAAGCCCATGCTGCGGTCATGTTGTCAAAGGTATTTGGTCTACTGACTTTTCAACTCCTGAAATGTTGGAGAATTCCCTATCCATCGTCGAAGACGATGGGAATGAGATCATCGGTCCCTCTTGGGTAAAGTAACGGGCCTTCATCGTGATTCTTCATATTTTACAACCGGCCCAAAGCACGCCAGCCCAAGGAGACATTCGTTCTCAGCAAAATTCAGAGATACCACGGCAACGGTTTCCATTAATCATTGATAGCATACTGCGCGCAAATACCAAACAATCACGATTTGGTGAAGAGGATTTCCGACAGTCCAAAGTCAACTCCTAATCAGGTGCTGGGCCAGCTCTGCACGCAGTTGAGCATTTGCAGCATCCGCGCATCCTAGATCAATCCATTTTCCTCAGGCAGCCTCGCTTGCTGAATGATCCGAGCTATATTACCAGCTAGTAAACCTGACCTTCCAGTTTCCATGTCGACCTCGCCTAGTGGGTAATATCCATCCACACCCAATCACTTCAGCAACATTATGCTACATGCGGGCAGTCAACCTTCGCCTGATGTGATAGATAAAGTGGGGCGTGGCACCATTACTTGTGCTGCCCCTGCAGGATTAGTTTCCCTAAGGTACGAGTTGGGTTAGCTTGTTTTGACTGTACACGTGATCAACCTCAGGGCCGTTTTCGAGCTCCACCATGCCGCCATTAAGTTACCCAGGAACTCACCATCCTATGCGTTGCTAGCGCTGCTGTCACGATATAAGGGATATATAGAGGAGCGGAACAACGTTAATCCGGGGGATCACCCCCTATATAGCAGGCTCATCAGCCCATTTCTTTTGTAGCTCCTCAAGGATCAACTCAAGTCAATTCCCATGCTCTCGCGCGCCTTTTAGTGTGACAGCTGCACCCTCTACACGGCACTATTCTTTCGCCGACTCTATGTTGCTGTCACAGCTCTCGTGGGTGCGCAAACGCTGTCTAGATCATCGATTGCTCCAAGCTTCCGGTTTCTTGACGCGTAACACGTGTTAGTGGTTCGCATCGTTAGAGGGCTCGCTCGTCTCGCGATAGGACGCCGCTTCCTCTATTGTATACCACTCTCAATGCTTAGTTTGCTGGTTGCATCTGCAGCCCACTGAATCTATCGTGGGAACTTCCGTTCTTCCAGGCTGTCGCGCAATGATACGATGGCGTCCTCATATGTTCCGCCTGAATATCACATAGAGACTCAGCATAACGGCACCGAACATCTCGCCATAAACAATACATTTGTCCATCGTCTTTTGACACGACTAGCATTACACACAACTGCGAGGCTTTATTCGCGAGATGGCCTATGCATTCCGATTTCGAAACACAAAATTGTCAAGACAGGGCGTCGAATTCACCTAACAGAAGGTGCAACAATGAGATATTTGGCTGAAAAGACTGACATTCCTGTCCCAAAGGTGCATTGCTCTTTTTTGCACAAGAACAGAGCGTATATCGTCATGGAGAGGATTCAGGGCGAAGAACTACCAAAAGCTTGGAAAAGCATGTCCGAAGAATCACTTGAGCGTGTCTTCGCACAGTTAAGAAAGATCTTCCAAGAACTACGCTCTCTGGCGCCTCCTCCGGGCACGGGTGTGGAAAGCTGTGTTGGTGGCTCGTTGTACGATTCCCGCATATCTCGTGGAAATCCGCGTTTTGGTCCGTTCAAGACAATCCAAGAATTTCACTTCTGGCTCAGACGAGACTTGACTGTCGAAGACCTGAAAGATCGGGAAAAGGACCAAGATTGGCATGATCTCGTGGAGATGATAAGACAGCAGGATGGGCCTTGGTCTCCTCCAAAATTTGCTCACGGCGATTTAAATCCGTTCAATGTTCTTGTTCGCGACGGTGAGGTCGTTGGAATACTCGATTGGGAATTCTCTGGTTGGTATCCAAATTACTGGGAATATACTTCGGCCTGGTTTGGCAACGTTATAAGGACAGAATGGCAAGGCAAGCTTGACAAGATTCTCGATCGGCCACGCCCCGAGGAATTTAACATGGAAGAGGTGCGCAATAAATGGTGGGGTGAATAGGACCCTCATGGAATGGCGCTTGATGCCACAAGTACCTTTAGGGGACATTCGCGTTACTAGCTTCTATGGTACGCTCTCCCTATTTTCAAGCATATCCCAGGTTGGCTTCGGTTTCAACAAATCCTCAGCAGACTGAAAGCGGCCACTAGCAGTCTTGTTTCCTACGTACTGTCTGGCGAACGCCTCGATCCTCTGCCAATTCAGCTCGGCGGTGCCAACACACTTTCCGTCCTTCGCGATCTCGGTTAGGGCGTTAGCGATCCAAGTGCGACATCTCCAGTTCAAGTCGCCCTGGATGACTGGAAGTCGGCGAAGGAGGGCAATAAGACGCTGCTCGTCTTCGATTTTGGCAATGAGGATACGCGCCAAGAGGCTATTGGTTGTTCGCACATTCTCTAGTGGAATTTCTTCGTATACCCATCCCAGAGGTGAATTCTTAACATGGTAACGTGCGCCTGGCACAATCTCTTTACTCTCTGCTTTCGGTCCGATCAAGAAGCCCCAGTGGTATCTTAGAATGTCAAGATATGTTCAGAAAATGTGCATGATCATTGGACTCACTTGCGTTCCTCGTTGTTCGTAACGCCGCTAGGATACAAAGCAATGTACAATCGGGGTTTGTTGGAAGGCATGCTCCTTAAGCGCAGACTTGAAACGGATAGAAGGCAACGCAGGTAATTTGTGCAATATGAAATACAGACAATATTAAATGATAGAACACGGCAAATTGCTTTGAAAATCGCCCTTTGCCCGGTTTAATACTCCCCCAACATTCCACGTGATGGAGACAGAAGAAAAACAGCCGCGCGCTTGTTAGAGTTTGGATCATCCATCACGCCTCTGCGTTCATTGGCCTAGAGGCACTACTGAAGTCCTACTCCACGCCGCATCTTTGCGTTCTTTCTTACGGAAAGAGAACTCCCTGTAGCCAGAGACTCCGTGACTTGTGATTTCTGGCGGCTCTCGTTGCGGCATCACCTTGACTACGTCCAACACCTTGTAATGAGCATCTGTAGCAAATGAGAATCTGTTTCTCCAAGCGTGACGCCAGTCAAGCGAGCCAGTTTACTACCAACATCAATCGCAGCGGGTTAAGCCCCACAGCGCCGGAAGGTTTCCACCTTTCAAGAACAAGGCTCTTTCAATTTACTATCAAGCATATGGTGTCGACAGGAAAGAGCGTGGTATCGGGTATTTTGCCGCATCGGAAGGTGGCTGACTTGACCGTGACATTTGACACAGAACTCTCTCTAAGGGTTAGGCTGCAGTCGAAGCAAAGCCGTACCACTCCATGTTTTACATGCTGAAGGAGGACTATGGGGCTGCCGCTCGTAATCGCAACAGGAAAGCCACGTTCGTTGGAACAGCAACTGCAGAGCATTGGGGAGAAAGCGTGCCTGCGCTATGGACGCATAACACCACCGGAAAATCCTGTAAGGTCTGGTAGATTGCTGGCACCCGAACAGGACGGGTATTGGTGACTGGAACACGTAAGGATCTTTATTATGGAAAAGCACATAGTTCATGCATTGGGAATGCAGGCTGGGCAATGCTGACCACCAGATTAAGAGGCTCATTAGAGCCAAGAACATCCCAATATTCGTAACGGAAGGTGGTCTGTTGGGTTGCGAGGACTCCATTATGACAGCGCGGCGTGTTGAATTTCGAAAACATTCATCTTGAAGATGATCCCTTAGAGATTCAGAGTAGCAGTAATTGGGTGCTTGAGCGCTAGCGAATACTCGATGTCGCGTGTTTCTGTCTGCCTCGAACCTTTTTATCTGGTAAGACGAGACGGTTGCTCTCGTGCTGGAATGAAGAGCAAAGAACAAGTGGCAGGGCAGCAATGGGGGGCTCATGTTTGCAAGGATCAGAGTATGAACAGACGTGAAACCCATACAACCGCTCTCCCCTGAGACAACGACAACGACGTGGCGACTTGTTCTGATCCATTTGGTCCACCCGGAGTCAACCGTGCTCACAAGCGCATGCAATCACTTCGCATGTGCTGACAGAGCTGGACACTCAACGTATAAAGGCGAATACATGTAATATATCAAATAGTATGATGGAGTATCAATTATACGACCCTCCAGGACATGTCCTGATGCCATGTGCAGGCTCCCAATAATCAAGTATCATAATAAAAACGCCAGTATCCCATGTTTTCAATTCCCAGCTCTAGGTTCCAAGCGATGGTGCCTTCAAGTGTCTGCATGCAACCAACAATCATGGGGGGGTATCATGACAGGCCGTCCCGCGCCCTTCGGGTTTCCCAAGTTTGACAAGTTTCCCGGGCTCCTCCCGCTCAAGAGGCGCCGTTCTTGTTGTTGTGGATGGTGACGGTCTGGTCCTCCTCGAAGACAGCGTTGTACTGGCTGGTGCTCCAGGCCGAGACGGACTCGATGATCTTCTGCGGCGCCTTGGCTGCGAAGCCCCTTGAAGGTGGAATGTTAGCGTTGCCGAACAGGTGCCAAATGATGGGAGCGATGTCCGAGATCTTGTCGTGCAAGCCTCGTGGTCAAGCGCCGGGAGACAAAGACAAGATGAGGACCGTGACAGCATAGGGGGACGGCTTACTTAATCAGCTGGTACTCGTGCGTGATGATGCCGCCGGCCTTGCGGATCTCGTCCATGGCGCGGCCCACGACGTCGGCCGAAACCTCCTTGGGAAACGTGACAATAACGGACTTCTGCTGGTCGACGGCGAGTGCGCCGTGGGCGACAGCGAGGGCTGCGACGAGGGTGGAGAAGAAGCGCATGGCGTCGGTGTGCGGTTGGACGTCGGGTGGGTTGGAGGTTGGAAGTGAAAGGTTGGAGATGGTTGACCGGGACGATGGGGATTCGCGCAACGGATATGGCGGAGGCGGCGGCCTGGCTTCGATGTGCGTCAAGTAGGATGATGAGGTCTCAGTTGGCGCTGCGCGAGATGACAGACGGGTGGGTCAGAGGCGGGAGGCGTGGCGTCGTTAAGTATTGAAAATTCAAAAGGGTCAAGACCAGCTGGTTGTGCAGAAGAAGAAAAGAAACAATGTGATGGCCGGCCCTGCGAAACGAAGACGACGGGATGGGTGGTAATGTCGTGTTGCGGTAATGAGGTGGTGGTGGTCTTGGCGGGTTTGACCATCCATGGCCACTTGCTGATCGCCGGCAACTGCCAGCGGTGGGACAGGCTCCCTGTCCTCCTGTAGGTATGCACTCTGTCAATCTGTAGACTGCTCCCTACTGGAGTTCCTGGCTGGAGGGTGGGGGGCCCACCGCGCGGATCGCTGCCAGTCCACTGCTGGGCCATTGCTTGACTCTAAGTACCGCAATGCCCGCCCTTGTGCCCGTCTCTCGCCCCCGCTTCCAGCCTTTAGGTTCCCGGGGGCCGCCCGTACTGGGAAAAAGGTGGTGCCTGGCGCCATGCTTGGCCCTGCTTGGCTGCTGCTACTGGGTGCAATCGAGACCCCTAACCCAGCTGGCCCAGATTGGAACCTCGCCCAAAGTGGGAGGTGGAATGGCGCCCCATCACGCGTGCCTCGGAACTCAGGCAGAATGCATCAATCAAAGGGCGGCTCTGGACTCCGAATGTCGACGGCCAACCGCTATTCGGAAGGGTCCTCAGTCATGTCGGCTTCGTCGTGAGCAGTCATTCCGCAGCCTTGGCAACCCTGTCGGCTATTCAGGGCTCGTTTTTGCCCGACGTACTCTCCGCGGGGAGAGCGACAGTCGTCTTACGCCCTTGAGAGAGCACTTCCGTGATAGATGGCAATGCTACCCACCAGAGCAAACAACACCACGTTGGTGCCATGCCAGACTCGTGAACATCTTACGACGGACAGGCCGATGTCGTGATATCTTCAGCTGTAACCCGTCGCTGTCGTCTTCCGGCCGCCGTGGTTTGCCCAATCCAAGACGCTGCTTTTGCTTGCACCTCGAGGCTGGGGCGCTTTCACGACCCTGCCAAGGCATGTCATCGGCGATAGGGGTCCAAGTCGCCAAGCCCTGCTACAGGGCTAAGACTGACGTCAACTCCGCGCCCTTCAACTTCATGCCCTTTTCGAGAACATGTTGACTCTCTTCCTCACCATATTGTCTGGGGTTGCACCAGTCATACATAGAAATAATTCCAGAAAATATATACCCGCCTCGAAATAGACTCTAGTGGCCATTCTTTGCCGGACCAATATCCAAGACTGCAAAGGTCTATTTTTACATGCGGCAAAACTGGTCTGTTGCATTACTTCGACCACCAAGACATTCCTATCTAAACCATGGCTAAGAATAGCTCATTTGAACTCCCAAACACTTTCCAATGGAATAACTGGGCCGTACGATATGCCAAACTCCAGCACCCTTCACAACCCCCCAACACAAGCACGGTAGTTTTCGTGCATGGCACCCCGTGGTCTTCCGATGTCTTCCGGCCCATTGCAGATGCGTTGCTCGCCACACGCCGATTCGACATAGTTCTTTACGATCTGCCGGGCTATGGCCAGTCGCACGTCTTCAATGCACAGGCGAGGGGCTCGGGTAGCGACACCGAGCCCGACGTTTCCGTTAGAGCTCAAGGGGAATGCCTTGCGGCGCTGCTCAAGCACTTGAAGCTCGCTCCTCAGGAGGACGGGTCCAAGGCACCTCATATTATCGCCCATGATATCGCCGGTGTCATCTCGTTCAGGGCTCATCTCCTCGAAGGGTGTCAATACCAGAGCCTCTGCTTGTTAGACACCAATTGCGTCCTGCCCTGGGGCGATGGGTTCTATACCTTGGTGAGAGCCAACCCGGGGGTTTTCGAACAGCTACCAGGTGGTGTTTTCGAAGGTATGTTGCGTGCTGTGATCCAGAGCGCCCGAGTACCTGGGAGAGGTCTAAATTCTGGCTGGGAGGATATCCTGGCCGAGCCATGGCTTCCGGGCGACGATAAGAGCCCGCAGATCAACTTTGTGAGGCAAATCAAGCAGTCCGACGATCAGCACACGGCAGAGCTGCTGGACAATAATCTCTATTCTAATGTCGGCTGTGATGTGAAGATCCTCTGGGGCGAGGCAGATGGATGGATTCCGCACGATAAGATGATGAAGTTATCAGAACTATTGGGCCAACGCTTGAAAGAATTTGTCGCTATTCCGAACGCTGGGCATCTGGTCATGCTCGACCAGCCCGAGAGGGTGGCATTAGAGATTGCACGTTGGCTTGAGCGGTAGCGCCACCTGTCTTGTGGATATTACCCTGGATCTTATCGTGAACAAATACTAAAAACTTTTCAAATAAATCATTAAGACTCGCGGTGAGGCTCTGGAGAGAGTTGTCTCTTTGGCCAACTGCGTGCAACTACAACTGATTAGGTGCTGTCCGGAGGTGAGGTCTCGGATATGTGCGTTCAGTAAGGCCTTGGTGGATTATGTTGAGCGAAGTGCACATATTATGGCAAATATGGATGGATCTGAGGACTTAATGTACAATAACAGGCCATTCATCAGGTGGACTGACAGTATTCGGAACCTGGATAGATTATCTGGACCTGTCTCATGTTGAGAATCTTGACAAAGTTCCAGTGAAACGCCCTCGATCGAGTATGCTTCGGTACCGCAGGGCTTTACCACAGAGACGACGCTACGATGAACAATTCCATAATGGCCCACAAAGAACGAACTGGTATCACATTCCCAAGCTTATACAATCCAAAACGCCGTCCCTGGAAAATGAAACCCATGAATCCGGTTATCAGTAGCCCTCAAAACGGGTCATTCCTTTACATACACGCGTGCTTCTAGTATTTGTTCCTACTGTTATGTCTTTGCGGCGTAACATGCGCCATTTCAAAGCCGAAGTGACCAAGGCCATTGACCTGGCTCACTGACCGCCTCTCGTAGTCAATCGTAACCGTCTCTGACTTGAAAATGTGTATGGAGTTGTGCCTCGGCCGCGCCAGGCTCGCGATGCTGTCGGCATCGTCCCCGCTGCCGCTTCCGTTGTTCTTGAACCCCCTTTTCGAGCTGGTGACGACCGACGTATGGGTGCCGCCGTAGAATGGGCCGTCAGTTCCGTACTGCGAGTACGACCGGTGGGTGACGATGTTGCGGATCAGGATTCGTAACACGGGGATGGAGGCCGCGATGATGGTAACGGACATCTCTGCCGCGGTCCACATGGCGAGCTTGCCGGACTCGTAGGGGAAGTCCTCTTCGTAGAGGAGGTGCACGTTGACGCAGCGCACGATCGAGGTCACGCCAGCGCTGGAATCCCAGATTAGCACCCGGCAACTCCTTCAGGACACAGAAGTGGCGTACACAACGGCAAGGCTCATGCAGACCACAACCCCTAGTTTCTCCTTGAGAGCCATGTTCAATTTCATGATAACGGCCCAGGGTATTATAGCCAGGATAAAATCCATGGCCGCCGAGTAGGCAGCCCCATACATCATGCACTGTATGACGACATGCCTATCCCAACAGGTGCCGCGAACGAAGGGTGTCCAGCCTTTGATCGGCGGGTCGCACCATATGAAGGGAAGTATGGCGTTGAACGCCATGGTGATGTTAAGCGTGACAATGATAGCCCAGATGCCGAGCTTGACAAAGCCGTCTGTGACGCGCAGCAGGGTGATGGCGAAGGAAGTCTTTGACCACGCGGCGCCAAGGCAAGAGAACACGGTGCTCACTGAGGTTAGGAACTGAATAGTTGGCAGGTCATTGAGCCCGCTCCCGTCATGCGTTCCTAGTCCGCCTCGAGTCACAGACAAGGTCGTCGTGATTACATACGCCACCAACATGAGCTACAATTCGCCCAGCGGATTAACGGCGAACTATAAGCGTTGGGGTCTTTGGATCGACTCACCCACGATGCCAGGAGGACATGGTCGTCCCACCACATCCCACGGCGCGCCGAGAACTTCGCATAGAGCCGAGTTGCCAGGAACACCAAGGCCAGCGCCACCAGCATCCAGCAAACTCCCACGACCTCGGGCCCGATTGTGCTGAGATCCCCACTGTGCTCGTTGTGTCGATGCTTATCGTCCGGCGGCGGCGCTGGCAAGCTGTAGTCGGAGTCATCGCCGCTCGACATTTCGCCAGAGCGTGGGCAGAGGCTCTGCGGGCTTTCGGGTTCACAGAGGTCTCGGCTGCGACCCAAGGAGCAAGCGAGAGGGCAGCGACCTCGTGGCAGCCACGGTATTCATATGGAATCACTCGAATTGGGGATGGATGGTTGGTGCAGTGTCTATATGGGGCAGGTCTCGTACATTATGTCGCCACTGCTATCGCAAAAACACATGTGTTTCAGGCTCTCGACGGCAAAGGCGGGTTTGTTATGCACTCGGTTCCTGAGCCAATATGCATTGAATGTTTACTAGAGGTGTGTGTGCGGGATTGTGTATGCATCAACGAATGACAGTCCTGTATGTTGTATGGCTGAATGCTTATCGGATTCAAGCCACAAGTCGAATTAATGGCCAGTTACGGTCGCGAGCCCAACGATAATGCGGGACCTTGGCTTGGTATAGTCATGCACGGACGCGTTTGTGGCCAGAAGCGGAAGGTTCTTCGAAATCGGGCGACGACAATTGGCCCGCACGTAAGCTTCCAAAGGCTAGCCGAGCTTCGTAATGCCGGGCTCGCACGTGGAAATGAAACTCCCTCCATTCTGCGTACGTGGACACTCGACGCCCAGCCAAGCGGGGCGGGGGAGTTCCCACCAATTGACTATAGAGCCCTGAGATGCAACGCGCGTCGAACCGCCGCATATTAATGGCGTTTATGCTTAAATCTCTAAGTCAAGTACATAGTTCATATTACCTAATAGCTAGCTCCCTTTTCTTTCTGTCGTCTGCTAGCAACATCTCGTGCCACGTATATCTGGCCAAACTGGTCTGTAACGCCAATAAATGCCTGCATCTTTACTCTTATCGCCTCGTCGAGGCTGGGTGAGAGAATTTCCCAGCAGACCGCGTTATCCGCATTATGCGCCAGGTGTGCCAAAAGGAACTTCTCGGGTTCGTGTAGTGCGCGCTCTCGAGTTGACAATTGACTACGGAGCAGAGCTTTGTGTTGCTTCACGTGTCTGATGTATTTGCATAATACTTCAGCTACATTTGTCGACTCCAAGTCTTTGGGAGGCGAGCTTTGGTCGGATCGTGGGAGTGTCAGGTTTGTCGGCTGGAGTTTGGTCGAGTAGAGTGACAAGGATGATTCAGCTTGTGGCCCTGTGTTTCGTACCTCGGTACCAATACTCATCTCCAGGTCCTGCAACCTCGATATATCCAGACGGGCCACAACGCATTCCATGTATTCATCAACCTGGTAATTCAGCATCGATATCACCATCATTTCCCACATTTCCTCACCAGAAAGCTGGAAATTGTTGGCGGCATTGATTGTTGTCCATGCGATCGGGATGTAATCAAGGTAATTGTCGGCCGACATTCCCATATCATCCCGAGGGAAGATGTCAACGCGTACTTGGTTGAGATGACCTGTGTATATTGCAGCCTCATAGTTTGCCAAAGTTATTGTTGGTTTTGACAGGTATTGGAGAATTGGGAGCTGGCCAAAGACGTTTGTCATCTTTTCTATCATGTCCCCATCGATTTCGAACATGTTCTCGACCCTGGAGGTCCACTGTTGACGTTGGGCTGAAAATTGCATGGCCGCCAAGCAATACGTATATATTTAAACTCGTAGGTGTATTACTCTATGACTCTCCTTTTGATTTATCGTTTGATATATTCCAATTATCTCGTCCCCCATATCTTGCTAGATGGGTCTTCGTTAAATGCGTTAAAAAACCCTCCACTGTAATTGGGTATGTATATTATATAAAAAGGTAACCCCAATATGTTTAAGCGTTAATATCATTTTTAATGGAGTAATTACCCTATTCACTTTTGTAGTTGATCTACTAAATAATGTTTTGAAAGTCGATAAGAATATGCTTTCCTAACACATTTACCAGAGGAGCTAGTATCAACCTAACATTCGCCTACTTAAATTGGTTACCACAAGTTCATGTCACATACGACCATAAATACTAGAAAACTCGGGATCCCGTCCGCTCTCCCATAGATAAGCTGGTAATTGCTGGATTAGTAGTTGGGTGGGTGACCACCAGCGAATACCCGGTGTTGTATGTTTTGCTAAATGGGCTTTGTATTTTTTGAATTGTAGCCCCCTCTATGGGAGGGCGGACGGACGCCCCTTCTATTATGTCTTTCCTTAATAGCATTCTTATCGCGCAAGGTTATATTAATACGCTAGCACCTCGCCTAGCCGCTTCCTATCATCTTTCCTCTATTTTCCAAGCCCGGGGCCCAGGTTCACTACTGCACACGTACCTGATTCTAGTTCAACAACAGATTGAGTTGCGAGGGCTGAGGCAAAGCTGGAAAGAGCAGCTGAATCAAATGCCGGGTTACGCCCAGATACTTTGATTCAATATTGTTATAGGAAGCCAAGGATTCAGAAGTCCCAAACGGACCGTCTCCATCCTCCATAGACATGGTCGTGTGACCAAGATTCGGAGCGGGATTATTGATTTGACAACGTCTCAACAGACGCACTATAGAACATAAAAATGCCAGGGTTTATACCAGAAGCCAAGACAGGGCCCTGTTCGGCGCAGCTGCAACCATGTTGGACTAAAATCTTATCCTTGCGCTCAAATCAAGCACAAGAGCTCTCATGGATCTCAGCTGCAGAAGCCGAGGCTGCAATTACATGTGAGTGAGTTGGGCTACCTTATCCCCCCAAACCTAAACGTGCCTCCAAAATCCCCTCGGCCCCCCGATAACATCTGGGCCAACCCGGAAGCTGGGGAAGCCCTGCAGGGTCTGCGAGGCGCCTGTGGCGTCGCTAATTGGTGTCATCGCCGCCTGCGGGGAGCTGGCGATCCACTGTATATTTCCCCAGCGCTGCCCAAGGGTCTTGAAAGGGCAGCGTATGCCGATACGGACTCATGTCTCGGTGCTGTTAAGTGACAAGCACGTTGGCCGCAACCCTTGCACTACTTGACAGCTCCGAGCGCGATGCCTTCTCACTTACAGGAGTCACTTCACGCCCCTGAACATCTACACTTCCCTGCCAGCCTTCCCTGCCAGTCTGCTATGCTCCAGTGAGTGGGCCCCAACCCGCAAGAGAGCTAAAGTCAACCTCTTTGAATCTTGCTCAACCATAAATCATGGGGTGCTTTTCTCCTAGGTCTACCAGATCAAAGTTTATCTTGCTACTCTCGCCGATATGAACCCTTGCAGCGGCACGCCAAGCGTCCTCCGTTTCGGCCGTCAATGGAAAAGCAGGAGTGCTTTCAGACCAATATTCAGCGCATGTGCCTTCGCCGTAAACTCGGTACCCAAACTGGCACGCTATTCCCAGGTCCCACTCGGCCATCATCAGTTTCAACCGTGGCATGCGCGCGGCTGCACGCGCCGCTGCCAAACACAGCTCCCTGAAGTACTCATGATCCACAAGGTGTAGAAGAACGTTGGGTCGTCGCCACTCAGGACCTCTGGGCTGTTGGCATGAGATCGAGGCGAAGGTGCTGGACGTCGAGGTGCTGAGGGATCTGCATGAAAGAGCCAGGCCCCTGATGGAGAAACTCTGCTACTCCTAATGTTAAACTCCTCGAGGCGTGACCAAAACGGAGTCTTATCCGGGTTTGATGGTAGCGAATGTGGCCAAAAAAAATGTTTGTGTCAAATACTACGGTTCCGTCGAGGATGAATGTGACACATTCCTGTGAGATACCATATAAAGCGATGCTCAAAGGGTCCGATACCAGACCGTTTCGATAAGCACGAGGCGGCTGGAAATCGTCATTTTTGGGACCAGGATTTGGGTAAAACAGGCGGAAGTGGCGGACACTCCGCGGGAGGTCCATGAGTGATGTTGCGAATTCTTGTCGCAATTTTTGACGAAGCAAAACGTTCTCGTTCTCATCGTCGTTAAGAGTCCAGTCCACTTGCTCCAAATTGGGCATTTTCGATGCGATGACCCCGAATACGCTTGCTGCGATATATCGGCGGAAATATTGGCGGTGACGAGGCCTGGGTATCGCAGACACAACGTGTGAACGGTCTACAAAGCTTGTGATCATACCCAAGGCTGGCAGCTCGTCCTTCACACCGTTTTCCAGCGACAAAAACGAATGTTTCCAACGCTGCGCGCGATATGATGCCATTGCGTTGGTCGTATCTGAGGGTGAAAAGGCACAGAGTTCCAAATGTGACGCTTGGCTGGCCGGTACCTGTCGCCACAGAGTCCCAACGGTTCAAGCAATCGAACAGTGCGATGATCGCGCGCGTGAAAGCTCGATTATTCTGTTGCTGCTCCTCGTCCGTTTCACGACACCCGAAGAGTTTAGAATCGTCATACTCGGGTAGTAAGGCTTCCATGTTAATGTGGCGTACGTAGGTCTGCCGAGCCGGCGTGAGGATCTCCTTGGCCTCTGACGCACGATCCGCATTCAGCCTTATCAATGCAAACGACTGCCTTTCGACATGTTGCTGCCATTGGCGGGAGACAGCGGCGCACACGCCAACCGCCTCGGGCCCAGGCTCAATAGCCAGACGAATAATTTGCAAAACTATCTCTACCGGGAGGGAGCCTATCGAAGTCATTTTGACGGAATCTCGCCACGACCTGCGGCGCAGGGAGCTGGATAGAGACAAAGAGCATAGACTGATTGTGGTAGCGTAGTAGATTGATAGATTTTCTCAGACTAACCCACGGAGGGGGAAGTTTGATATCGCCGGAAACCTATGGCAGGCTACCGGGAAATCACCGGGGAATTTGGATCGGAACAGAGGAATCAGGACTAGCAGGCGATTAGGGAGTAGGGACGGAGCAAAAATGGTATATCTATATTGTATCGAAGGTGCCAGTTGCGGTCCACAGTCCATCGAAAAAATTCGCCGTCGCATGCTAGGCCGCAGTGCTCTATCCGGAGGTATCGAGCGCAATTACGCCATGAGACTCAGGGCCGATGCTTTGGGCATCATCCGAGGGGCCTGAGACAGCGGGATCATTGGCCTCCCAGATCTCAAGCGGGAAAGTAATCTACAGGGTATGAGCAAAAGAGGAGCGAAACGCAACCAAATCTACGGAACAGGGCTAGGACCTAGTCTAAGATAGGCGCGGTGCAAACTGTGTGGCTCCTGAGTGGAAGTTGAGAAGCCAAGTGGGAAACACATATAAACCATGAAACACAGAACTCTTTGCAGAATTGCAATGCTAAATTCAAGAAAAGATCTAATTTAGTGTCCATTATTGTGACTATCCTATCGTTCTTTCCACGATAAGCCACACTGGTCGCAAGACTGGGCCTGGATACCAACCGGGTCATTGCGGCAGTTGACAACCATGTCACGCAAGTCAATGACTGCTTTTATCTATTCCGAAGTGGTAGTCAAATGTCGTAACCACGATATGCGCAACTTGTCACCAGTGTGACGGCTGAACAGTCAGGTAGTTTCTACCGCTAGCATCTATCCTCGGCCAGGGCATCGAACATAGCCTGAGTTCGATCGATCGCAAGATGCTCCATCCCCACTAATACAGCATATGAGTCATTGATCCATGTGATAGTGGTATGGGTCTTGACTTACGCCCCGGACTGAGCGGTACATTTACCGGTGCTGCAGGCATAGTTCCAGAGCCCGATCCTGCAAGAGGATCCATTGCATCTCTATATTTGATTTATGTAAGAACCATTCTGCGCTATGGGTATATTATATGGATTACTTACACCACAGGAAGCATTTTGCGGGTCGCATTGGCGTTTTTCGATATTGACGGTGGAAATACCGGCCTCAGAAGATGGAGCCGCGAGACCCAGAGTGGCACCGATGGTGAGAATAGAGAGGCTGAGAAAGAACTTCATTGTATGAGTTGAATTGGGATGTACCTTGGAGAAATGGATTAGATAATAAGTCTAGTGTGTTTGATGGCTTTGAAAGTGAGTTGAAGTGAATAGATGAAGGTTTCATGTCACAGGTTAGATGCCGTATTTATAATTCTCAAGCAGCCTAAAGCGGATACCTCTCTTTACATAAACGCTTAGTCTGACCATGTTACGCCGGCTCGTGTGTACCTTGAGATTGGATATAGCTGACGATAGTGTCGAGAAATCACCCTTGAACCGGTCAGCAACTGCGGCAGCCTTGCCTCGTGCTGATTCTACCTACAAGGAAGGTCCGAATAGGACTCAGGGGCAAAGCTTCTAATATCTCTCCTAATTGATCGCATAGTGAGGTTTCTCAAAGCCTATGTGCAATGTTGTCTTGATTTTTACTCATCCATGCTTGCACAACCTTCGTAATCCCGTTTTAAGCCAGTCTATTAACATATATTTCATTAAGACTTCATAGAAATAGTTTGAACATAAGGTCTGTTTGAAAAACTCCTAGTGGTATGCTTTCAGCTCTCATGTAATTTTCGTTTGCGCTGTGCTTATTATGGGTCAGGTCGGACCTCTCTAGTGTTTGCTAACGCGCAGCAGGCCGTTGATCAGGTCTTGGTAGCTCCATAGCGGCCGCATAGCCTATGTGCAGGCCTGGAATACTCGTCTGTTCTCAAAGTTGGATTTCTTGGCATATCCACTTTCATTTATGAGAGGCTGTAATTGGGTGCATTGGATTGTAATCAAAAGTGTGGAGAGACGAATCAAGTCAGAAAAAAAACTCTACTAAGAAATCCAATTTTGACGAGATCATACAGTCCGTCCTGCCTCAAGCTATTCATAGTAAATTCGTGGCTCGCCGTTAGGCTAAGCCACGTGACTAGCCGTGTAACAAGTCGGCTGATGTCAGAATCATTTACTGTCAGGTGCTGTATGCACTGCCTCCTTTTCTGGATCTGAAGTTACCCATAATCAGCAGCACCAAAGCACATAGATCGGTCCTGCGACCACTGGAATAGATGTCGGGTGGGCCGTTACCCTATGTTTTTGCCGATAAGCTTTGGTATCACCCTCGCATTGAAGATCCTCTCTCGCAAGAGATCTACCAAGCAATTAAGTGACGTTCAAATGTACGATTTCAGTAATTGATCTACAAGAAGAAGGCGCCAAATTATAATCCTTTGGGGTGAGAATGAGTGATATCCTTGGGATGGAGATGGCAGGTCTCTATGGCAGGCCTCTATAGTACACCGAGCGGCGTATTTACAACACGGCCTGTCTTGTCTCTTGTCTATCTCTCAGCAGTCACGTATTTCCGCACGTGACTCCATGAAGTGGAATCCATCACAACCACTAGCAAAATTTATTGTCCAGACGCTCTTTGATCACTCAGCGTTCCTTCAATTGGTGTTAGTTCACTTCTCTGGTCTCGCGCCCTCTGTTGTTACCCTGACAAGTACTGAAGGTTGCTAGCTTTCTTCTTCGCGTTGGACCTGATTGTGACTACTCTTCATTGAAACCCATCCGATGCTTAGGGCTCCGACAATAGATGCAGCACTCAATGCGAGAGAAATATAGAACGTCAGTGTCAGCGACTTGCTATAGGCCTCTTTTGCCTCTTGTTGAGCTTCAGGGGGAAGAGAATATATCAACTCAATAGCACCCGAGTTGAGAAATGAAGCGTTTGAGCCCGGTGACAAAGAGCCAAACCGTGATCGCAATTCGCCCTGAAAGATGCTTTGTGCCGCAGCCACGAATATTGATGCGCTGAGGTTTTGAAATAATGTGACTAATGTCACGCCGATGGGTACTTCAACAGTAGGGAGGACTGTCTGAACAACGTAACTTGGTTGACCAAATCCAAAGCCGATGCCAAATCCATAAAGAATCTGATAGCCAACTATCCTAGCTATCGAGGTTTTGAGATCAATAGTTGTCAGCAGCGTAGCTCCAGCTATTGCAAGGGCCGTACCGATGATCATTCCAGGATTGTAGTAACCAATGGCGCTAGTGAAGACACCGGCAACGATTGAGGACACAACGTAGCTGGCGATCAAAGGCGTTAACAAGGTCCCAGACGCAAGTGATGAGTAGCCGAGGGTATCATGGAACCACACTGGGAGATAGAGTACGACCACGTAAACGCCGCCTGTCACGCACATAGCGTAGTTGACTGCAAGCCAAATGTCGCGCTTCCGAGCTAAGGCAGAAGAAATGAGTCTCTTTGCTCCCGTAATTGAAGTGGTCTGCGTGATGATGAAGGCTATTGCGAGAACCCCGAAGACAACGAAAAGTGCAATTATCCGGCTGTCACTCCAAGAATAGGCCGAACCGCCCCACTGGAGTGCTATCAGGAGGCATATCAACGACGCAACCATGAAGACGGTCCCGGGGACATCAACTTGGCTCAGCTTGGTCCTGGTGGAGACGGATATTTCTGCCGATTCGGAGGGTATGCGAACGTATATAGCACAAACTACTACCGTGATTGCGCCGATCGGTAGGTTAATACCAAAGCACCATCTCCACGTGGCACGATCTGTTAAGGCGCCGCCCAAGAATGGACCAATGATGGCCGCGAGGCCAAATGAACCCGACATCATGCCTAGGTAAACCGCGCGACGAGAAAGGGGGATTATTCTCGTGGTTATTAGTATGCCTCCTGAAAAGATACCAGCAGCACCCAACCCGGCGATTGCCCGACCCACGATCAGAGCAACAGAGTTCGGCGCGGTGGCACAAACCAAAGACCCAAGCTCGAACAGTCCTATAGCCACTAGGTAGACAACTTTGATGGGATACAGACTGTATAGCTTGCCGTAGAAGAGTTGGAAGCTGCTCAGAGTAAGAAGGTAAGCGTTGGACCACCACCCTATATCCGCTAGCGCGCGAAACTCATTGCTGATAACCGGTGTGGCAGTTGCTAGAATCGTTTGGTCCTATATTCAACATCAGATATCTTTTTCGCAGGTACTCTCGAAGGTATTCTGTGCGTGGTGGCTTGAGGAACTCTGAAAATCTCATTGGTCGTTGCTAGCGTGAGGATAGGATTTCCGTACCATTCCCGTCAGAAATACAGCCAAACAGAGCCCACCTGTTATCAATGCCAGCCTACAGTTGCTGGGTTGCATGTCGTGGCTGCCATCTGCTGCTTGCGACGACATCATTTCCGCCCCTATGATTGCCAAGGTGGGTATGCAGAAAACTCTCGAACCGCGCTATCTTATTCGGCTTTGAGGTATATGGAAGTTTGAGTGAAGAAAACTCCAGCGGGATGTCGGGGTCAGGGTTGACACCAGTCCACACCCAATCCACCTCTTTCGAGTTTGGCTTACCGCTTGCCAAGAGTCCTCAACCAGCCAATATGCTGCTACGCATGAAGTTTCCGACGTAAGGGATGGGGTGACTCTGCACCCCGATAATTAGCACTCAGGTACCGGCGGGTATGTTGGTAATTGACATTAGCAGATCCATACAGGCAGGCGGGTTGGTTCCTTCCCCCTGTTGTATTCTGTTGAGTAAAGCGTGCGCCGTTTCCTCACGGCATGATCTGGCGGGTGCTAATTCAAGTCAGATAGGAAAGGGAAAAGAGAGATGATACTTGGTAGCATGAGCAATAACACGAACTTGGTTTAATGCCGCATATGCGGTGCTTTTGGACGGTAGCCATGATTGAAGCAAGGGCGTCTATGTTGGTTGCATCCGAATCTGGACCTGGTTGCTAATTATTTCCATTTAGCTGCCAAAACTCATCAACATTGAACCTAGCCATTGTATCCTGTTGCAACCAAGGAAGGCATACATTTGAACCCTGGAATCGCTCACATCTCGGCTCCAGGGTTTGATACTGGGTTGAAGAATGTTTCAATCCCTGGCGGATGCTCTTTCTTTTGGCTGAAAGCCTCAACCATAGTCACTAACTTTTTGCCTTGCAGCCATTTGACAACCATTTTTAATCAGCTTGAAGGACTAGAGATCAGCACCATTCTGCATAAGATATAGCTCGCCTTAAATACATTGGTCTACGTGAAGGTCCTGTTCGAGACGGTATTCTTCCTTTCAACGGCTTAAGCTTCCACAACTTGTTGCCTGGTCCTTCCAGGGCTACAACAATGTCGTCTTCCTCAACCCCATGCCTCGGACTTAATCTTACTCCACAAAAAAGTTTATTAGAGGAACATCTCGATGTCAGGTTGGGGTAGATTCGTGAGCGCAAGAAAGAATGAGTCCGTTATGCAATTGAAACAAGAATCTCACACTCTGAACGACTGATAGCAAAGTTTTTCCAGCGAATGGCATGGTCTGTTCAGATGCTCCACCCTCCTCCTTCATATCTACGCCAACTAAGCGCTATGCGTGCATGCAAAGCCTCATACTCGGATCGAGAGAGCAACCTATCAGGCGCCGCCAGAAATTTTTCATCTTCATTTGGGACCTCACTCCTTTTATAAAATGGCATGAACCATGGGTCGGTGAGATTATCATGGCTGGATTGCGTAGGAGGCCCTTCGTGCCATAGTTTGTCCAATACTAGGGCCCATCCGCATTCGGGATCAGATTTTCGGAGAGCAATTCTGAGCCCTTTCTTCCCAATCAGCGCCCTTGGCAAATTTTCAAAATAGTACTGGTAGACATACCGGGTATAGTTGCTTTCAATTGTAAAGCAGCGCGACAGAGCCTGCCACGAAGCTCGGGGCTCTCCTGCATACTCGGCTCGTCCAACTTCGTGCCACCGCCATCATCACCCGAAACCCCTTGGAATAAGTTCTGAGGCCAGTCACATATCAAGTCAACGGCCCAGGAAATCCATGCATCGTAGTCAAAGCGGCTCTTCGAGGGGGTGGGGACTGGCCGACGCATACCGATGGCCTCGACGTACTCGACTCCCATATAAAACTCGGAATCAACTAACTCGAGCTCTTTGAGGACCCACTGGAGGTATGCAACAGACTGTATACGTGTCATCCCTTGGCCATCCTGTGTGCCCATTGTGGTCAAGATGCGAATCAGCTGGTCGTTGATCCTGTCGGCGGTCCATCAGCACAAATGATCAACGAATTAGATACGGGCTGAGCAAACCGGTTCCAGGGAATATAGTGCTTAATTGAAGTCGGGCCTGATTCATCTCCAAAGGCTCTTACCGCATTTCTGACTCTTTCTGCTACGGATGGTCGAGCTCGAATGCAACTAACAATTCGCTCGCCATACCAAGACGAGTCAGAGCTCGTGGTGTCCTGGCCCATATCTTGGGCAGTGTATGGAACAAGCATGGTGAACTTGGCAAGTCTTGGGAGGATTGCTGTTGCATATGTTGACTGTAAGAAGTATCAAGAAGAGAAAAGAGGAACATCATGCTTGGAACGCGGTGCGATGCATTCAGCTGTCTGTCATCAGTGCCAGTAAGGCTGCGGCGGGGTAGGAGTCAGGCTTCCACAGCCCTGGGCACCTATCAGATGCAAGGACTGCCTGCTGCAGGACAATGGGGTGTAAGACAGCCGGGGGCCAGTGAAGGCGACCAACCAGATCGCATGATTGACAGTTCTGGTCATCTCGTTTCGACACAACGTATAGTCTAATCTGCACTAGTCAATCTTCACCATAATTCAAAGACACTGGGCATATCAAGGTCTAAGGTCTCCTGATCTTCTGGTACTTTTACATGGTAAGGTGTAGTGACCTTTCCAATTACTAACCTACAGAATTGGGCGATTACGATAGTCTAATTGCCGGGCACTCTAGTCAATGTACCGATTGCGGAGTTGCTCGCTGAGAATGAGCTCCTTTATTCGCCTCTATCACGTATGTGAGCATTACTGGATACAAATGACACACCCCAAAGCTTTGTTACGGTGTACATGCAGCCAAGGGGGGTTTATGAGGTTTCTCCAAGGCTTAGAAGGTGCCCAGACCTCTGGATCAAAGACGAGCTACAAACATATAATTATATATATGTAATTACGTAGGCACTGTGTAAGGCGCCGGACGACTGAAATGTTCCTGACAAGTTTCCGGGGTCGTGCGGCGAGCCTGGTCACCAGAAGGCTGCCGGGCATCTCCTCCCTGGGCGCTTGTGCAACATTTCCGGGGCAAGGTACCTGCACCAGGAGGCTATAGAATGAATCACGTAGCCGAGAAGTCTGTGGGGGGAGTTCGGACCCCGAAGCCGCCGGCACTTGAGAAATACGAATAGTGTTATTTGTCTATATGGTGTGGACCACGAATGATTTACTTGCCCTAACGATTTCAATTAGTCCGGCCGTGAGCCAATGCTAAATCCGTACTAGGGCTAGATTTTTACTTTCAAAACGAGAACTCTCCTAGTAATTCGAAACACATATTGCATGCATGAGTAGGCTGACCATGTGTTGTCCGCACCGCGTACACCATGGTTCTCATAGTTGTTCTGTTATATCTTGAGTTACGAGAACTCAATATCACATACGACCATAAATACTAGAAAACTCGGGATCCCGTCCGCTCTCCCATAGATAAGCTGGTAATTGCTGGATTAGTAGTTGGGTGGGTGACCACCAGCGAATACCCGGTGTTGTATGTTTTCTCTCTCTTTCTTTTTTTGCGCTACCTGCCTTTGGCCGTCATGTGTGCCTGGCGAGTACTGACCTGGCCGTAACGCCATCGTTGAGCCAACAGGTGTTTTTCATTTGCAATGCGAGCAGCGGCCTTGGCAGTCTGGACCAGGCAGATGGGGAGTGAGATGCGTGTCCATCACGCCAACGGGCAGAAAACATTCAAAAACCAAAGATAGCTGCCAAACAGGCCGAAGCGCCTTGCATTAGGCGGTTGTGAGAGCCGCGAATAGTAACGTCTAAATCCCATGGATGGCTGCACTTGCAGGCCAACAATGAGCCCGAATGGTACCTCATGGCTACACCCTACGTTTGTCACGGCACAAGCAGCTTTTTTGGATTTGTGTGTTGCTCATTCACGCTCAGGTTGAGCTCAGGCTTAAAGCAGCGTAGCTCAGGTCCGGATGCGGCACCTGGGAGGACGATGTTAACATACGTATGGGGCGTTATGACAACTTTTGACTAGATGCTGGATACGCACGCGGAGGAAACCTTGATACGTTTCTGGCTGTATTTCCTCTTTGGTTGAGTGCTGTTGTACGGCTGTGTCGGTTTTGGTACTCTGGATCCGGTGCCCATATCCGCATATCGTCAACATTGCTGGTTTTCGAGATTAGCATAGTAAGACGCTCCATATCAACGAATAAAATGGTGTGCCGTAGAATCTCGTCTTACAGAGCGCCGCCTTTTTCTGGTTATAATCCGTTTCTTTTAGTCTTTGGCGCCGACAATCTTAAAGTGATTTGAAATCTCCACGCAAACTCTCAAGTATGGTGAGCATTTTTGCCTGAGTCTCCGACCTTCGATGTCTTGCTACAAGTTGTCGGCTAGTCCTAGGACCACATTCAACGGTCAGACTGCTCGTTACGGCTTCCACCTCGCATAGGTTGTGGTCCCTAACAGGTGGCGCTGTGAGCCCAACCGATAACACCGCTTGTCCGAGCGTCGTAACCATCGAATAGTGTGGCATCATGAGTAGCCGCAGGATCGTAACTAATGGCGCATCCCCAGGCCTTCTATGCTTTCCAAGATGGTCCTCTTCCCACAAGCACCGCACCCCCACAACTGGTCGGGCAAGAGTGCAAATGAAGTAAACGTGAGAAAGTTATATGGCAAAAAGGACTACACCATTACTCGTTATGTGCATAGAATATATCCAATAATAGTGGTTATTTTACGTAAGAATCTAGCCTTCACAGGACTATTTTTGTCTTCATGTTGTTCCTTGCCCGGACAAAGGCACCAGGCTGAACTGCTTAGTTCGACCAGACACGGCGTCTATCTATTGGTTCGAAATCTGCCAAGTCCTCCTTCTACAATAAGCAACTCATGAGGATACTGTGACACCACTTCACAACATTTCAGTAGGAACGAGCCAGACATGATAAAATGAGCGCGCGAGACATTCGAAGCGACAACGCAAGGATCAAATTCGACTTATTGATATGTAAGGCAACTTTGTCTCGTACAAGCAGCTCGTCCTTGTCGTCTTAAGATCCGGTAACACAGAGCTAACTGATAATGCAGGTTTGGTCCCGTGATGATAAGCTACTGACGTTCTTGGGCAGCTATTGACATTTGTTAGGTGCCTACTATATCTACATTGCATTTACATCGCAAGGCTGTTATAACGACCACTAGTAGTATCGTCGAGGTAACTTCCTCAAATATCGCCCAGTCATCGAAAGACAAGGCTTGCGCCCTACACAGCCTTACCGCCGTGACCACTTGCACAACACCAACAGCCCCGCTGTCGCCGACATGTCCAGCTTCTTGAGCCTTCCCCGCGAACTTCGCGACCAGATTTATGAACTTTGCTTACTGCACCAAGACCTTCTCGACCCTTGGCACAATCAAAGCCAGGAGATCACCACTGGGGTCCTTTGCGCGAGCACGGTTGTTCACCGCGAAGCGAGTACGCTGTTCTACGGCCAGAATACCTTTGATTTTACCGCTGTTACTCTTGAGGGAGTAGCCACGTTCCTTCAGACAATCGGCAACAATGCCGCCCTTATTCGGCATGTTCATATCGACTTTCCACTATTTCGCACTCTAGGCCCTAGTAATATCACTTTTGACGACACTTGCATTGATATCCTGACAAACATCCAAAGCGCCTGCGCTAATATTATCACACTTACGACGTCCTTGGACAGCTCAAATAGCATGGAGCTTACGCTCGATGAACTGGACCACCCCAAGGTCGTCACTGATGCTCTAGAGCTGGTCGACCGTCGCTTCAGAGCCAGTGCATCCCTCCAAGAGGTTACCATTGAGCTTTATGAGGATGGCCCGGATTATGGCATAAGAAGAAAGATGGAGAGTCATGGGTGGAAAATCCACACAACAGAAAATGTGAGAGAGGAGGAATTGGAGAGGCCTTGGAGTGAGATTGATTACGATGATTATGTCTCCCGTAGTATTAGCGGGGGATACTACGACGATGATTACGATGATTACGATATCGACAATGACAGCGACTTCTGGAGAAGGGCGGCTGACTAGGTTCATCTGCAACTGCATCCACAGGAACGACAATTTGTAGAAGGCACGGTTCGAAGGATCTGCAGATTCTCTTGATCTGCTACATTTTGATAATGGCAACCTGACTCGGTAAACATTCAGCACAGAGAGGGACCATGGCGATCGAAAAGGCTAGGCTCCTGCAATCATCAAGCATTTGCATAGTGTCTGTCTCCTTGCGAGCTCGAAACATATTTACTTTGCAGTGTACTTCTTGTAATATCCCTAGTCACCGTGTAATGTGAACAGCGCCATCCATGGATAATGTCCCCATCTTATCAGCCACTGGCAGGCAAAATGACCCCTTCGGCTCTTAGCTCGTCACATATTGCGACGAGACGCTCTTTGGCACGTCTTACTTTCCGTACCATCTTGTCGTGTGTATCCAGAACATGACAGTGTTCCTCTGGCAACTCTTCGTCATTCCAGGTCAGCCGAGCAAAGAGATTGGTGATAACGGCAATAAGAAATGAGAAAGCATGCATAGTAGACCAGGCAAAGCACACATCGAAGGAACCAGTCCGCATGGTATATCGTCTCGTTATTAATGAGAGATTTACAGACGATAAGACAGAGTAAGGGTTTAGCAGTCCAGCATTTCCAACATGCCCGGTGGTTTTGCCATATTAAGCCCACAATAATTTGTGATAGAGTTGATGTTGGCTGCTGTTACAAGTATGGGGCTGAATCTTGGTTCATATAGTGCATGTTACGTTCCTGTCCTTAGGTTGGTCTGAGATGCTGATTGGTGGCGCATGCGCTTGTGCAGGTCGCATGTGTGGAAAGAGGCATTGGAGTGACGGCGCCGCATGTTTACATACCAAGTTAAATACGTGGGATGACGCATGGACGAAGTAGAACTACCAGCACTGCGGCTCCTGGGCTACGAAACTTTAGAGCATCCAGTTGCAACTCAAGCTTACCACTCTTCAATACCCCTCTCTTTGAGCTGGAACCCCTCAGGCAGCCGTCCAAGCATTCCTTTCACTACACACCTGGAAGACACAAGAAGTACCAAGCAGCGCTGCTACACACTCTGTCTTGGATGGACCCTCTTCTTCACTCGCCCAGTTGCGAGCTGGCAGTCAACTAAGGGGTCTACCTGTTTGTGCCTTGTGAATAGGACTATAGTGCCAATCTCCTCTCAAGACTGTAGACACCCTTGCCGATGTACTCTTCAACCCGTCAGGCAAGAGGCTCCCGGTGAAGGTTGTAACCGTATCCTGAATCAAGATCATAAGCGATCTAGTCTATGCCATTACGGCACAGGACGCAGAATTGAGAACAGCTTCTCGGTCGACGAGGATTGAACCAAGTTCTACTAACCCCAATTATCTTGCGTGACCTGGAATTCCTCGCTGAAGAAATAAGGGGTTTATCTGGAAAGATGAGCAAACTAGGCATGATAGGTAGCAGTCCATATGTGGAGTTCCCATTTGTGTGAAGGACCAGAGCCAATCAGACTCAATACCGTTTACCCCACAGCCCACGTCCCCCCAACTTCAACCCCACCAAGATGAATTCGAATTGATTGCTGAAGCTTCACCTGCCCCTGGACACCACGTATTCATCGATAGCCGCAGAGATGTCACACCCACGCATAGAAGAAGTCTCGGACAGCGACCTGTCGGACCCCTCCGAGGGCGACATCGACGACTTTGACGAGTCCGAGATCATCCGTGCCAAACCCGTCTCCTCGTCCAAGGCCCCCGCCGTGTCCCAGCAGCAGCAGCAACAACCGGCGCTCTTCAACCCGCTGAACGCGGCCAGCGGCACCCAGGTGCCCAGCAACCTGCAGCCCGCCGACGTGGCCGGCTACCAGTGCCTGTACCCGATCTACTTCGACGCCTCGCGGACGCGGGCCGAGGGCCGGCGCGTGGCCGCGGGGCTGGCGGTGCGCAACCCGCTGGCGCGCGAGATCGCGGCGGCGTGCGCGCAGCTGCGCCTGTCGCCCGTCTTCGAGGCCGCCAAGCTGCACCCGCAGGACTGGGCCAACCCGGGCCGCGTGCGCGTCAACCTGCGCGACGCCCAGAACCCCTACGCCAAGCAGGTCAAGAACAAGCACCACCTGTACGTGCTGGTGGCGAAGCACCTGCGCGAGAACCCCACCACGGACGCCTCGGACTCGCTGCGCCGCGTCCGCATCCAGGGCCTGCCCGGCCACCCGGCCGACGGCGACAAGTGGCCCCGCCCCGCCGTGCCCAAGGGCTGGAAGATCAACGAGCTGGTCCCCGCCTACAGCAACGCCATGACCGGCGGCGGCGTCAGCGAGAACGCCTTCCGCGACATCATGAAGGAGATGGGTGGGGCTGGTGGCGCCGGCGGGATGCCCGGCATGGGCGGCATGGCGGACATGATGAACATGCTGGGCGGCGGCATGGGCGGTGGTGGTGCTGGGCCGAGCGGAGCTGCAGATCAGTCTGGTGGCGGGGGCAAGAAGAACAAGAAGGGCAAGGGCAAATAAGCTGGCTTCTCTATTGGGTGCCCAAGGGCGTCGAGAGACTCGGAGGTCAGTTTCAACAGGCAGCTGGATGGACAACCCTAGAGGCATGTGGCAGTAGGTTCTTGGGATCATGATACCATAACCTTCGGAGACGAGGTCAAGAAGTATCCCACGGACATGCTACGGTTTCTTGGCTCAATACATAGGTAGAAATTACAAAAGCGATTATTCGCATTCGCATCAACCAAACAGAACACCCATGATAACGTGTGCGGTGTTGATGGTAATACAACAAATGATATTGGGTATCGATTGCTAGTCCTTGGCGACTTCTAGCTCTACGCTGCTCTGTTCAGCACAGTTCGCCAATTTCCTGTAAAAGTACAGTTCGTACATTACAACTCTTTCCCGACTCCCAAGGAAAAAATACACTACACCACGACACCCAGCCGCCCCTGGAGACCTTCCCACTCCGCGCTACCTGCGATTTGCACCTCTCCGCGGCCCAAGATCGTCTTGCCCTCTTCGTCAGGCAGTCTGATCCTCAGCCTCGCGGCCGCCTTGCGCATCGCCTCCCGGTGTTCGCTTGCCTCGCGGCGTCCGTTTTGGGCGCCGACCACGACCTTGGCCTTGCCAACCACCGCGTTCTGCCAGCTCTTCCATGCGGCCAAGTCCTCGGCCTGCTTAGCGGCGTGGTACTGGGGCGTCGTCTTGGCGGGTCGCCAGGCCATCCGGTCTTCGGGTAGCTTCTTGAGGTCGTACACCTTTGCGGACCCGGCCATCTTCAGCAGCTCGCCCAGGACATCCTTGCCCTCAGCGACAACGAGAGCGCGGCGCTGCTCTGCAACGGGTGTGGGCTTCTTCAGGGGCTCCGAGAGCCAGTTGTATGCATGCTGCTCGGTGGTGCGGGCACGGCGGTTGTCTTCACGCAGATAACGCACCGCGGCCTGGAGGCTCGCAATGTCGTTCCGGAGGGCGTCCATCTCGCGTTGCGTCGCCACAGCTTGTTCGCGGCCAGCTTTGGTGGAGCCAGCATCACCGCTGAGGACACGAGTCTCTCCAGCGACCTTCTTCCATGTGTCGCGATCTGTCTCGAGCGTCTTAAGCTCTCGGTCTTGCTTCTCAATGTCCTCCTTGAGCTTAGACATGCTAGCCTGGGCGTCCAGAATCTGCGCCTCAAGGTCCGTAATGCGTGACGCCTTGGTATTAGCGTCCCGCATGCGGGCCTCCAAGGTTTCAATTCGGAGGGCTGAGGTGCTGAGGCTTTCCTCCCGCACGGCAACGGCAAGGCGAGCTTCGTTGTACTGCTCCTTGAGCTGAAGGAGCTGCTCTTCAACATCAACGGGCTGCACCTTCTGCGCCTTGAGCTCTTGAGATCGGAGTACCCATGGCTCTGTGGAGAGATCGAACTCCTGAGTCTGCGACAGATCACCACAGACCGTAGCAAGGTCTGTAAGTTGAGCTGAGAGCGCACGGATTCTCGATACATAAGCTGACCACAGACCACCCTCACTTGAGGAGAAGACTCTTAGAGCTGTCTGGTGCATAGTTTCCTTGACCTCGTCATAGGTCAGGGGCTCGGCGCGTCCCTCCTCCGAAGTTAGTGTATGCAAGTCAAGAGCCACGGCCTGGGCCATGTTCGCCAGCTGCCGGGCAGCGGATTCACACTCCTCAAACACATCAGCCTCTTGGGGATCCAAGGTCATCTTTCTTGCCTTATGGTCCTCCAGCGACCGGTGGGCCTTGCTAGCGAACACCTTGGCGGTTCTAGTCTGGCTTATGACGGTATCCGTAGTCAGTCCGAAGTATTGGTAGGATTCATCATTTTCGCCGCCGGTTGGCAAGACTCTCTGGACCATGGCCTTCACAACACTAAGGGTTGTGGAGGCCGACTCAAGATAGCTCTGCATCATGGTAGTCTGCATCTGGAACTTGTCGGCAACACTTTCAAGGCTTTCAGGTATGTGCTTTTCGCTAAGGTCGGTCAGAACAGCAATGGTGCGAGACAACTCTTGGGCGCATTGCTGTTCCTTGAAATCGCCCCGCTTCAAGCTGTCAATGTATCCATTAAGGGTTCTTTCCACCGGCTCCAAGTCGAACAAGACGTTCTCATACTTGGCAAATTCCTCCAGTGAACAGTGGCTGATCGCAGCAAAGAAGCGATCACACATGGTTGCGACCCAGTTCAGCTTGTGCAGCGCGTCGCAGCCCGCGAAAACGTCATCTTCATGGCCGGGATGGGCTTGTCCACTGATACGTTCCTTGACGAAACCTTGAACCATTCTAGCCTTGGAGGCCAGACGGCTGAAACGGAGTACGGCATGAACCGACAGCTTGTCTTGGTCGTAGCTATCTGGCAAGAAGAACTGCACAATTTGCAGGTGAAGCTTGGCCTCTTCCGCATCGATACGCTGGAGTTCTAGGTCGAGAGTCTTGACCTGCGTCTTTTCTGCGCTGATTTGCAGCTTGTGGTTGAGGTCCAGCAGGTCTCGGGACTTGCTGTTCAGCTGTTCGGACTCGGCCTCGTTGAGTGCATGGGAGGCTTCCATGTCTTCCAAGTCCCTCTGGAGGTTTGTGACGAGCTCCTTGAACTTGACAACTGTGTACTGCATATCGTCCAGATCCTTGTTTTGTTCTGTCAACTGTTGGTTCTGTCGGAAAATGACCGTGTCCTTGGAATCGATAATCTTTTCCAGCTCCTTTTCGTGCTCCAGGTGATTGATCTCCAGCTCGTCGTTGATCTCCTTGAGCTCTTCGAGATCCTTGATATTGTCCCGGAGCTGCGCGATGGTGTCGTTATGCTGAGCATTCTCGTCGCTGAGCTTCTCGATGAGCTCCTCGGCACCCAGTGCGTTGTCAAGCTGCTCTTTCAAGTCTTCGACCTTGTCTTCTGACATGAGCAGCCTCTCCTTGCAGATGTCGTACTCTTGCTTGACCTTGTCGAAATCCTCCAAGTCCTGCTGCAGGGCCTTGATATCGGCTCCCATCTCCTCTTTCTGGGTCTCCGACTTCTCGTGGAGTGCGACTAGTGCCCTGTGGTACAGCTCATTCTTCTTCTGAAGGTTCATCCAGTTCTCGGTGGCCCTGTCCTCTGTGGTGACGCCCTCCTCGTATCCGGCATTCTCCTCGCGCAGGATGTCTACCTCTAACTCGAGCTCCTCTAGCTTCTGCTTGACGGCCTCGAGCTCGAACTTGAGAGCATCGGCCGTCTCTTCGGCCATTTCCCTGTCCAAAGTAGCAAGTTCCATCATAGACTCATGCTCCGCTTGCATATCATCGACCCCGGCTAGCCGCTCCTCAGTCTCCTTCAGTTGCTTCCTGAGACTGGCAACTTCCTGTGTCGTTATCTTCAACTTCTCCTCGAGTTTCTTATTGACTGTTGCAAACCTGTCGGCCTGGTCCGCCAGCTTCTGCAAATCCTTCATCTTCTCCCTGTCTTCTGTTCTCTTTTCTTGCAAGATGTTCAATTTCGATTTCAAATCCGCATTTTCTCTCGAGGCAGCGCTGTTAGCGGCCGCCGATGTCTTGGCAGATGTGGGTGTCGACTTGGCTACTGTCGGCTTCGCTTTAGAGGTAGGACCAGCGGTAAGGCGGTTGAGAGCTTGGGTCCGAGCCTGGACTGGGCTGATGTCTTCGTCGCTCTTGGTGGGCGAGGCAAGCGCGGATCTGCTCGTGCCACTTTCATTGCCAGACAGAGAATCTCCAGAGCGAACCCTGCTCCCAGCCGGGCGGGTGACAGCACCACGGGTTGCGCCAGTGGTTGAGAGTCGAGCCGCGGCCGGCCTAGTCGTTGTGCTCTTCGTGATGGACGATGTAGAGGATGGTCTTGCTGGTCTTGCCGAAGGTGGGGGGAGAGCCGGGGGGCCCATGGAGGTCCGTTTTGTCGTCGGAGCTACCGACGGTCGAGGCCGGGTGCCGCCAACGGACGAGGTTCTTCCAAAAGCCCCTGACGGTGTCGTTGTCCTGGACGGGGTAGTTGACGACGTGGCGGACGAGGCAGGTGGTGGTCTCTCGGGCCTAGTGGGAGACTGTGAAGACAAACGTATGTTAGCAATCACGTGGATGCCTGACAAAGAAAGGGATCTCGGGTCGGTGTACCCTCGCAATGCTCGACGGCCGGGACCTAGGCACCGGACTAGGGCTCGGGGCGTTTATGCTCATCCTCCTTGCAGCGGCGGGATCGGTGACGGTGCTCGGGCGCCTTCCGCCCGCGGGAGCTGCGACACTCGATCGGGCGGGCCTGGCGGTCGGTCTCGCGGGGGCGTCCCGGACGACGGTCAGCGAGGGCGGGCGGATGAAGACACCTCTGGCGGGCTCGCAGTCAAAGTAGCGCTCGCCGCCGATGGAGCCGTCATTCTTGCCGCTGGCATCCTCCAGCTCGACGCCGACCCATTCGCCGCCGGCGAAGTGGGTGGTGCCGATGAAGCGGACGGTGCCATGCTTGCCGTTGGTGTCGCCCTTGGCCTCGACGCGGACTTGTTGCCCGACCTTGATGTTGGACATGGTGGGCGGTCGTCGTTCAGTGTTTGTGGTGGGCTAGTGCATCGTTGCGCGGAAATACGTGGGCATCGGGGGCTGGGGTGCTACAAAGCGCCGGGCCGATGGCTTGTCGTTGTCGTTGTCGTTGTCGATTGACGTTGTCGTCGCAGCTGTGATATGTGTCGTCACTATACCTCCGGGTAAACGCGTTCCTTTGTTGAAGTTGGAGAGCTATGGCCTATGGGGAACCCCTGACCCTGACCCCTGACGCGCCAGCGGGCACAGTGCACGTGCGAATCTACTGCAGCGAAAACTGTAGGACTGCACTGTACATACGGTCGACGTTACTTACCAGCCCAGCTTAGTGGATACCCGTTGGTATGGAACTGCCTGTTACTCCCTTCCCGGGGCCGTCAAGCATGCCTTCACGGATCAACCGCAGTCACCTCTGGTCTGGACACTTACATTGACTGTGCTACCCTCGACCCGTTTTATCGTTGCTGTTTGGTATCTGGGCGCGACGTTATGAACCCCTAGCTGACCAGTACATTGGGTGTAATCGAGCTCTGCTCCGTCGAAGCAGTGTTTTCGTGTCTGCAAACCCGCGCAATGCATACATTCGGTAGACCAGGAGGCAATCGACTTGCTCTATAGGAACAGGGAGAGTTCCTTGGCCTAGTAGCTCACAACCGGAAACATCCACAGGTATTGTGCGAGACCCGTTTGACCCAAGCAGCGATGACCTAATACTGGGACCGATGGACTATTGAATTGGGAGTGTTCGGTGAATCAGTAAGTAATCCAGCTTTTCGGGACCCATAGGCGGGCGTATTGCTTGCTACACGTCTTGAAGGCCAGTTGGCTGGATGAAAGAGTATTTCGTCCAAAACGAGTATCATGGGATTCGATTATACCAAGAGTTATTACGCCAAACAACCACGCGATTAACCATAGTTTTGTGACGAGGCATGACGACAAAGCCCGCAGAACCTGCAGAGTGCGATGAATCTGCACGACTTTACGGGTAAGATGAATCGTGACCCTCCAAGATTCAGATTCAGATCTACGCCAAACCCCGATCTGCAACACCAGCATTCCAGACAGAGCACACTGGTCCGGCCACCGAGGTGGCATGTACAGCGGATTGTAAGACAATACAGACCTGGGAAAATTTGCGCCTAGCAATGTAAACAAGCTGTAAGGATTGATTTTTACATCTACATGATTCTATGTAGTCGTTATGATGAACAGTCATACTTCCACATTCTACACCTCACTGTCTTTCGCATATAGATACCAAGCGACCCCCTTACATACAGAACCAAGCGCCTCCATACTGCCGACCTGTATCCCTTCTTGCAGCCCAGTTTTTTCTCCTTTTCATCACCTCCCGACCTCCCATCTTCTAGATTCATGCTACGCTCAAACAGATCTCCGCCCAAAAGGCCCATTCCTAACCCACTCCATGATTTCGAAGCCCAGCCTGCGCTCCAGCTTCTCATCCACGGCCGAGGCCTGCCCGTCGGTCCGCGCCTCGCTCGGGCCATCCGCCGCCGCCGCCTCCTCGGCCGCGCTCTCGGGCACGCGCAGGATCAGCACCCCCGGCGACGCGAACTCGACGCAGCTCACGGCCTGCAGCTCCTCGGCGCCGCACCGCTTGACGTAGATGGTCAGGTCCGCCCCGACGATCCCGCGCCACAGCGTCGCCACCCACCGCCAGTGGTCCTCGGCCCGGTACGTGTCGATGAGCGGCAGGGCGGCCGCCCACCGGTCGCTCACCGTGAGGGAGTAGCCTGTTGACATGACGGCCACCGGTAGCGATGGGGGGTGAGCACCCGTTGTGTTGGATGGCGGTAACGTGGCTGTGGGTGCGGGCCGGTCAACCTCCATTGCGTTGGGACTGTCTGTGAGAGAGCCTGCGGCATTGCGCTTGGGATCGGGCTGGTTCGTAATATACCGAATCAGATCTGCAGATGTGCGATGCCATTCCAGCATACGGGCCATGTACTTGGCAATCGGGTGCAAGGCAGCTGTATTCTGCTTTTCACCGCCCTCCTCCTGCGCCTTCTCTGCAGCATCGTCATTGGGCTTATTGCCAATGAGCAGCTCTTTTTCCGACTCGCTATTGGCCCATATCCTGACTGCACACTCGCCAGAGACAGACAGCGCCTTCTCGACCACAGCGGTCACCTCCTTGAGCTCCGCGGGCGAATCCCCTTCTACTGCAATGATAGGGCCCCTGATCTCGTGCGGTGGCGCACTTTGGCCGGGAGGCTTCAGTGGCGGGCTGATGGCTCGGAGCATGTCAAGCTTCAGAAGAAACTGTAACCGTTGGGAAGGCATCTGGTTTGCATAGTGGTGATGGTGCTGCTGCTGCTGATTCTGTTTTTGCGCAGCATTTCCATTGGGTGCAGGGCTCATGGTTCCTGTAACCGGCTTCGTCGTACTGGCAGTCACGCCGCTGGCTTCAGAGGCCATGGTAGGCGAAGTAGGCATTTGTGTCTGGAGCGGCGGCAAGCGCAGTGATTCATCGAACCCAGGGCCGCCGCGAGTGGGAGTCTGCGCCGTACCCTGGAAGGAGACACTCGGTCGCGGTGGCGGCTGCATGCCTGGGATGGCAATCGATTGGCGAGGCATGCCATTCTGCTGGTGTACCATGCCAGGGCGAGGTAGCAACCCAGGTCCGAAGCCAGCAGCGGTACCGGCCGGGCCACTAACGGATGGACGCTGTTGGAAGCGCGGGTCGGCTGGATGCGGCACGTAGCCCATCGGTGGCGAGGCGGGCATGAAATTTCCATTGTGGCCACTGTAGCGCGGTCGCTTGTGTGCTGGCGGTGCCGTAGGCGACATCATGGCGTAGTCCTCTTCTATATCCCGGAGGTAGGGCTGGGTGTACCGTCTGCCATAGCTGTCCACCGACATCATGCTGGCCCCCGAGCCTCTTCTCAGGTGGTCCGTCTCGATGACCCTCGGGTTCGGGTTCGGCACCATATACCCCGGCGCCATGCCGCCCATGGCCGACATTGGGGGGCTTTTGGCGAATCCAGGCGGCGCCGCGGCGCCGAACGGCGTCGACGGCGTCCTCGGGGTCGCGATGTACCTCCCGCCGCACTTCTGGCAGCGGCCCGGGTCCTCGCCCGGATTGCCTCCGCTCGTAGCGGGCTTGCCGGAGCCGGCCTTGCCGCCGCGCCGCGGCTGGTAGCGGTAGTCCGGGTACTGGCGCTGGTGGCGGGCCTTCTCCTCTTCGGCGAGCCGTTTCCAGGAGCTCTTGACGTCCTCCGGCTGCTCACGCCACTGCTCGCCGATGAGCTTGCTGATGTCCGGATTGGCGAGGCCGGGATGCTCGGCGGCGACTTGGGCTTGATGATGCTGGCGGTAGAGGATGAAGGCTATTGGTTGTGGAAGGGCAATGATTAGCTCATATGGAGGTTCTCAAATATCTTGAAAATAAAGGTATATCGAGAAAAGAAAAGGGGAAACAGAGTAAGAGGGACGGGGGATCTGCGTATTGGATTGCAACAATCCAATTGAGGCAGGTCAAGGAGCCCAAGAAGATAGCCAAGACAGATAGGTAGGTAAGTTGTCAAGTTCAGAGTCAACAAATCCCTTTTGGACTCCTTCTCGTACAAAACATAACGCGACGCACGAACAAAGGACTCTTGCCGAGTCCCGTCGTCTCAGGATGCGGGATACAGAGCGAGACAAGAGGAGATTACACCCGGTGCAAGCCCGCCACCCCGTCTTCCGTCCAAATGTCCGAAAGACAGGCCTGGGGATATTGTAGATCGTAGAGAAAAAGGAAAGGACCATGATGAATGTGTGTTTTCCAAGAAGCAATAGAAAGGGGGGAACCACGTTGCGACGTACCGTTCCTCGGCCTCGGCACTTTAGGCGCCTTGGTGCAGAGGCAGATCAGTTCCCTCTGCTGTTCAGTTGGACCGCCCGCGAACGACGACGACGTCTGCACGCTTCCCGGCGTGTGCAGACTCAGGTCCTGGATCCGGGGCTGATTGTTGGCGTCATCGGTGTTGATCGAGGCTGCCCGTTTCCTGCTGGGCGGTCTGTTGCTGTTGCCACTGTCGTGGTGGTCGTTGTAGAACGAAGCGGTGGAAGGCTGGAAGGGATCATGCTCGTTTGGGTGGTGATTGTGGTATTGCTGGTGCTTCTGCTGCTGTTGGTAAGATCCTGTGTTCATTGGCTGCAATATCAGTGTTTCTGGTGGTGATATGTCTCGTCTTTGGTGGTATTGGTGAACCTGAGGCTGGTCCTCCCTAGAGGAATATAGCTGCCCTGATGCAACGTGCTGTGGTAGCGTCATCCTCGTATCTGGCATTATCATAATAGGCTGGCCCGTAGGTTTACTAGACTCAGCGCTCGGAGAGGGAGACGATGGGATGGTGCTGATAGAGGCCGATATTGGTTCAGCGATGGACGACCCGGTCGAGGATGCGGATATCGAGTCAGACGGGCGGTGATGGAGGCTGTGGTGAGGATGGTCGCTGGTGGTCAGGTTTTCATCTACGTCTGTCATTTTTCCAGGTCTCCGTCCTCTCTTCGGGGAGACTGTTTCTGAACAGGATGGGGCTACCAAGGCTGGGGGGCAACTAGCCAGACAAACGGAGACGACAGACCGGCGAGCCAGATATGTGATAGGATGTTAAACCCGGTTGTATGGATGGGCGGACGGGCCAGCTTCAGGGGTATGGCATCTAGAGGGCCTCCGTGTATTGGAACTTGTATGTATCTTTTGTGACAACCTAGAGCACCGAGAATGCGGCGAGCCGGGGGTGGGTAGGCCTATGATGAGCGAAGAGGAGGTACCAGACCAAAGAGAGACACGAGACCAACAATAAATGAGGATGAGAGATAGAATTTGGGGAGTATCAGAAAGAGAGAGACACGTCAGAGCATGACCAAGGACTTGTTGGTATTGTTCTCCTGTTCTTTGTGGCAATATGCCACCTACATCCCCTTCTCCTTCATTGACTTGCTGGACAATGATGTTGGCCCGGTCAATGAATGACCTTATGCTCCCTCTGCTGATACCGCCGACGCTTGGCCAGTGTGTGACTAGGGGGGCCGGAGGCTGGCAGACAAGAAGAAGTGACAGAAGCAGGTAACAGAGAGAGGGGGTAGTCAGTGTGCGCTACCGTTAGTTGCTGTGGGCCAATATGCATACAGCGGTGCCTCCTCGCTCTCTGATTGGGCTCTGTAACGTGGTTATTGTCTCGGGAGTATAGGGGAGGACTCCAAGCTGTTACGGCTTAGACCCCCTTCCCCCTTGGTTTCTTTGTTCCTGGCGTTTGCACGCGCCGTTTCCGTTCGCTGGTCACAAGAGAGCAACTCCATGTTAGCATTTCTCCCCTCACAAGAGCAAAGTAAGAATGACAAGTAAACAAAGTCATAGCTTCACGGGCGGCAGGCGGGCGACCAACTCTTGTTTTAAAGAATGAGAAATGGCAAACACTGGGTCTCTTAATACATACAATGGAGAAGTGCTCCACCTGTGTGGGCTCCGGAGGAATGTTATAGCCTAGGAATGACAAAGTTGGGTGGGTAGGGATGGGCTCTCTCAGCCTGTCTGTTACTGGCAACCGAAAGACAATAGTAACCGAAGCGTGCCCAGTAATCTATCACGTGCCATTGGTCGCCATTGTTCTCATCGAATGTTTGAACCGTCTTGAATGTCCCTGGGCCTGGGCCGCAAGCAACGGACCAGAATGCATTTATTAAACGAACCAGGGCCACAACACATACAACCAGCATAATGACTCCCAAACACCGACCGATTTTTGACTCATCCTAACCGGGTTTTTCCCTTTATCTTGCATTGGCACTGACTCCATCTAGTGGTCTTTTGGTGGATCGCGATAACGTGACGATTTCTCGCTCCCGCCCGTTGTCTCAGGCGTTCCGTCTCAACTACCAACACCTCATGAGATGAAGCCCCGACCTGTCTCACCGCTCAGTAAAGTCGCACTGCGACGTGCGTCGAGGAATAAGTCCTCGCACTCTGCGACATCTTTAATGTCAATCTGGCTTCGCCCATTGACGCGGGCGAGAATGCTGTTTTGGCACACAAAGTCAGTCACGTGGTGGCGGGGGAAATGAAGCACGCTTGGGATAGATAAATCTACGTACCTTGCAGGGGTCAGCAATTGCAGGCAGTATCGGAGGCTGATTCGAACGCCGTGCTCGGCAATCTTGTCGATCGCGGCATCGCTGACGGCAACGCCTTCGGTGGTTGCCCGGATGCGGACGATGCGCTTGATCTCGTCGGCGTCGTAGGGGGTGGTGGGAATGATGAGCAGGCGTGCCAGGAAATCGGTAGGAATGCCGTGCGCAGCAACAGCGTCGTCCGTGCCACGGATGGTGCACATGCCTCGATTCGACGCGAGCACCACAATCGGAGAGAGTGCCGACTCCAATGCCTTGTTGAGATATGTGAAGCATTCAAGGTCGAGCATGTGAGCCTGTCAATTTCATCATCTTTGTTAGCTCTCCGACTCGGCCAGGGGGAGGTTCTCGGGCATGATCTGTTACCTCGTCAATGAACAGGACGCCGGGAACAAGCTCGGCAACGCCCTGGTCAATGTACTTGCTGACGACCTTGTTGATCTCGCCGCGCAGCTTGTCGGTGATCTCGGTCAACTTGGGCTTCATGAGCTGGCCCATCATACTCATGATGTCTTGGCCTCCCTGCGGTCGCGCATTGGCAACGTCCAGGTCGTGAAGCGTGACATCTTGCACAATCTCCTTCTTCTTGTGCACCTCACCCTTGGGGATAGGGACATACTCCTCCGCCTCGAGATCGAACTCGGTGGCGTAGGCATCAGATCGGCCGACGCGCTTGCAGGCGCCCGTGTTGGCCTCAATGTAGACGACGTCGCCGACGGTGACTCTCTCCTTCTGGATAGCCTCGTAGATGCTGGGGTCGAGGCGGAGCTTCTTCTGGCCCTTTGCGCTCTTCAATCCGATCAGGAGGGTGCTGATCGTCTTGCCATAGCCGCCGAGGGGGTTCTCAGCCTCCTCAGGCGTGAGCTCGGTGACCTCGCCCTCGTATACCTCCTTCGTTTCCCGGACTTTCAAGCCAATGGCTCTTCTGAAGTTCTCCATCAAGACCTCGGTCTTCTTGACCTCGGACGAGTAGATCTCACTGCCGACGATGGGGCAGAAGGGTATCTTGGTTCCGAGCTCGTGGCTGAGGGCGAGCGCAAGAGCTGTCTTTCCGGTGCCGGGCCCTCCTGCCAGGAGAACACCTCGGCCTGCCATCTTCTGTGCTCGGATCAAGTCTACAACGACTCCGGCAGCCTGCGATCCAGCGACTGTCTGTTAGCCTGATCCTGCAGTCGCCCTCGGGCGGGCTGACAAGGGAAATGCGACGGGGGTCTCTGCGTACCTCGCGGGCGGCAGCCTGGCCGACAAAGCCGCCGGCCTGCTTCTCGGCGGTGCCATCGGACTTGAGGCCCAGTCCCTTGATGTGGGTGTGCGCCGCGGTGCGGTTCTCGCGGTTATTGCCCTTGACTTCGCTGATCTGGACCATCGTGACAGACAGGCAAGGGAGGCGAGATGGCGTGGGGTGTGGCTGGGTCGGAGACGTCACAGGAGGTGGGCGGACTCTTCAGGTGGTTGAAGAATACGGTTTGCGAGGGATTGGGCGGGTCGATCAGACAGCTGCGGATGCGAGGTTGCGACCGAAGGGAATGACTGGGCTGAAGGGCTCGCTCGCAGTGGATTGTCGCGGAATTTCTGAATGGCAGCCGGGTCTTGGCTCTTGGGGGTCGGGAGCTTGAGCTCGCGAATCTTTTTTCTGGGGACGCGCCGCCGTGCCTGGGGGGGCAGGGGGCACACACACCAACTGTGGCGGCAAGCTAGGGTACTTTACTGGCTACCAACCTTAGGCTACCAGGCTACCTACTATGGTAAGCAGGCCAAGCTGCTCCAGGGCTGGCGGGTGTGCCGTGCCTGCCTGCGCCACACTTTGGAAATCTGGGTCGGCCATGGCCAGGGAGTTATCCTTTTCTGTCCCGTCCTTTCGTTTGCGACTCCAGTCCTTTTGTTCTTTTCAACATGTGAGAAAAGAGACTATAATTCAGCTCTGTGATCGAGCACAAATGGAGCCCCCCCCCCCCCAATACATTCGCAGAAACAGGTGGTTGTGGTACTCTGCACTGCCACCTCGAACGTGATGAAGGCGAGCCATAGGAGCAAGGCCACCCAGAAACAGCAAGTTGTATGGATTAGCAACTGTTACATAGGTAGAGCATGTATGTTGACGACATCTTTCATTCTGGGCAGGACCGATGAGAAGAAGTCTGTCTCGGCATGTGTGCACTTTGTGAAATCTTGGAACAAGTCTTCAACCAGTCCCAAAGCCACGCATGGTGGAAGGCGAGGTCAAAGGTCAGGCGCTTTTGAGGATCTGGGCCAGTTGACACTTTTTTTTTTTTTTTTTTTTTTTTTTTTTTTTTTTTTTTTTTTTTTTTTTTGTTTTTTTTTTTTTTTTTTTTTTTTTTTTTTTTTCCTTTTTTCAATTTTTTTTTTTCATAGCATGTTGTGTGCATCGATCACACAATCGCAATTAAGGGAACAACTGGTGTTGTGATCGCCAAGGAATTGAATCTCCCCCTATCTACAAGCATTGCAGTGCCCCAACAACAAATGATTGTTGCTGGTCTTTGCTAAATTGAAGAGACCGACATCATATCAACTTCATCTGTTTAGTGACAGTGGCCCAAGTAGATAAATAGACATCGAATCCAGTGAAGTCATTCTTGCAATGCAATGATACGGCATATTGTTCCACCAGGCTCTCTTATCGGCCACAGTCACGCAATCGCCAGGATTTTAGACCTCATTGCCTTATTGACCGAGTGCCATGCAGACTCCCACCACAAAGTGCAAACTCGTGCAGCGCCGAGGAATATCAAGGCTGGGGCGGGGCTGCTACTGCCCACTTCCAGATTCTTGGCTTGATGGCGGGATAGAACGTGTTTCTGGCAACCCAGTCCATTGCGATGACATGACTGGCTGACTTCTCCCAAAGACGTGGGACAAACGCCATCAAAGGGCCAGAGCACAGTCCAGACATGGAAAAGAACCTCAGTGGCGTGCGTGCCGTGGATCTCGGAGGGGCCGCTAGTGCTCAGTTTCTTTTCGCGCCTCTCTTCTCGCTCTGTCTTCTGCCAGACTCGTCTGGAGTATAAAGACCGCTGTCACTTCTGCAGTACTTTCAATGTGCCGTCAATTCAAACTTGGCGACTACAGCTTACTTCAGTAAAGATGGCGACCGTTCTTGTTAAAGGCGCCGAGAGCAAAGTGTACGCCACTGAGTCGACCACGTCTCTGGATACAGCCGCCCCATTGGGTTATCCATTGGAGGAGAAACGATTCTTCTTTCAGAGGACTAAGACGTACAACCCCGAGGCTATCGCAACTCTGGTATGCAGCCAATCGTTTCTGTCAATCATGCAGTCAGTCGTTTCTAACCCACGGTCAGCCTAGCGTTTTTGACGACCCCGATACTGCAGATAAATACAAACCTAGAGATGATTGGGAGAACTTACATCGGTTCGATCCATCTGCGAGATGGAGCTGGAGGGAAGAGTATGCCTTGATCCGAAAGATCGATTTGCGCATCATGGTATGGGCTTGTATCATGTTCATGGCTCTTGAATTGGACAGGACGAATCTGCAACAAGCCCTGACCGACAACTTTCTCAATGACTTAAAGCTGATTACAGATGATTATAACATGGGAAACACAGTGTTCAAGCTGTCATTCTTGTGTGCCGAGCTTCCCTCTCAGCTCGTTTCGAAGTGGATGGGCCCCGATCGATGGATCCCTGCCCAGCTATGTCTTTGGAGTATTGTTGCAAGCACTCAATTCTGGCTGGATGGGCGGGCTTCCTTCTTGGCATGCCGAGCGCTTCTTGGTCTTCTACAAGGTGGATTCATTCCCGAGTACGTTTGCTTATTCGTACACACGTGTTTCATTCTGACAGTTTCAGTGTTATCCTATATCTGTCGTATTTCTACAAGCACCATGAGCTCAACCTGAGACTAGGCTTTTTCTGGACAATGATGAGTGTTGCCGATATCATGTCCGGCTTCCTCGCTTATGGCATATTGCACACCCGTGGCCTCCATGGCCAAGCTGGCTGGAGGTGGCTCTTCTTGTTGGAGGTAAGTAGAACCACAAGCATTACGTGTCATTCGACTGACTGACTCTAAGGGTCTTCTAACCCTGGTTGTTGGAATATTCTCATTTGCGTTGATGCCTGCCGGTCCTTGCCAGACAGCAAGCTGGTTTCGAGGGAAGAATGGTTGGTTTAGTGAAAGAGAAGAGATAATCATGGTCAATCGCATCATCCGCGAGGATCCTAGCAAGAGCTCGATGCATAACCGCCAACCTATCACACCGCGCCTTTTGTTCAAGAGTTTGCAAGACTTCGACCTCTGGCCGCTTTACATCTTGGGACTGCTATTCCAGGTTCCTGCAACACCTCCGCAGCAATATCTGACGTAAGTTAAACAGCTTTCCGTTAAACTTCAACAAAGGGGCCATCAGTCTGACAATACTCGTATCTAGTTTGTCCCTGAAGAACCTTGGGTTTGATACCTTCCAGTCCAACCTTTTAGCCATCCCTTGGACTGTTGGACATAGTAGGTAAAATGACCCTATGATATCTAACCATCAACTTACCTCGTCACAGTCATCACAATGCTGGCTCTAACCTATGCTGCTGAGGTGTTTGGGGAGCTGACTCTCACATCGTTGGTCGGACAGATATGGCTATTACCGTTCGTGATATACCTTAACGTCGCCGATACTGCCAACACCAACCGTTGGGTTATATGGACTGTTACAACATTGCTCCTTTCTTACCCAAATGGTAAGCAACTGAACCTCTGCGTACAAGTATCCAATCTAATATAAAATAGCACACCCCATCCAGGTCGGTTGGAATTCTCGAAATTCAAATACTGTACGATCTCGCACCGTATCCGCAGCTTGTTACAACATGTTTGTGCAAGCTGGGGGCATTATCTCATCGAACATCTACCGCTCCGGTAAAGCTCTCATATCATTGCCGTAATGCAGAATCTAACTGATCATCCGTAGATGACGCACCTCTGTATAGAAGAGGAAACAAGGCGCTCATAGGAGTCCTTGCTGGGAACATCCTTCTCTACCTTCTGACGAAAGCATACTACGTGTCTCGTAACAAGCAGCGGGACCGTAAGTGGGATGCCATGACTGACCAGGAAAGGCTCCACTACCTTGCTACCACGACTGATGAAGGCAACAAGAGGTTGGACTTCCGTTTCCAACACTAATTTGAGATCTGCACGGATGATGGAACCGATATTATTAGACTAAGCCAGCAGCGGTTGATATTCTCTGGATGCTCTGGAACAATTTTACTTCTACCGTTATGGAAAGTGTTCTTACAGCGTGCCCCTCCAGACTCCTGCCCCACTTTCAAACTTTATCCCCAGATATCTAGCCAAGTTTCACGCCTCGTTCGATTAATTCGAGACTTGAACTTGATGATGCACCCTTAAACGCCATCTGTGCGTCGAAAAGAAACCTTTCTGGCTATAGTCCCCGAGTAGAAGAGCTGACATTGGGTTTGCAAAAGAATCATCCGGGATTAGATTCCGGATTTTTACTACTATACCTGAACTCCGGAAAGTGCATAGGCTATCGTTATGAATAGAAGGTATGCACTGCCACTCCTTCTTGACGATAATAATAGTATACAAGTTCACATCGCTTGAGGTATCTCCACTCGATATGCTACATGATACGCTTCCACACTGGCGAATCCCATGGCCTGCGATGGACTATCGGCCCCGCGCTATCAGAGGGTCTGGAACACGTTTGTGACGTCAATTGAGTGGATGACTGCTTACAGTTCCCGATATTGAGTTGGACCATAGAAGCGTGGGAGGTTAGCCTGGTTGTTTTCAATTCCAGAGCTGTCGTGTGTGAGGCAGCAGGCTCGGCGGTCATGGAGAAGAGTGACGTGTGACTGAGGCAATCGTTGCATTAGCGCGGCCAGTAATTAGGTTTTGGAATCTAGAGCGGCCTCAGTTTGAAGCACGATGGTCTTCGTGGGGTTTAGTTCGCCGTTTGTTCTGGTGACGGCTCCACTTCTTGGAGAAGGACCAGTGCAAACTCAATTACGCCTGATACAGACCATCGTTGGGCTTTGTAACCCGCGCATTCAGTCCAACATTCGGTAAGGACAAAAAGACTTGAATGTATGCAAAAGCGACTGAGGACTTTCCCTGTCCAATACGTGGCGTTCAGCACCATGACCGTTGCTACCGCCAAGGCAAATTCCAAACACAATATTGCCATTTCCCAAGCGCGAGATTATGTCAGTATTCGGGAAAGCAAGGCCGGTATACAGCAATTTGATAAGATCCCGCCAGCATCAATTCACGGAACATCAACCCCGCAGGATCTCAACCTCGCCGTCCGTGAGCTATAGATCAAGCATCACGTTCCGGCCTCAGGTAACCACCCGACCGCTCTTCAAACACCCTAACCCTCACCGTCCCTGCAAACTGCTGTCGAGAGGAATGGGTACAGACGCTCTTAATCGAGCTACGATTGAGCCGCAGCAGGTAGACGCGCCGCTCACACGGTCTGCAACGTTCTTGGTGTTTACAATTACCGATGTGCCGACTTCTGTACCGACGATTCAATCAGCTCTAGCAAATTTGAATGGCCTCTCCAAAAGTGTTTCATTCCGTGACCAAAGCGCTCAATTGTCCTGCACAGTTGGCATTGGTGCCGATGCATGGGATATGATAACCAGAGCGCCTCGCCCAGCTGAATTGCGACCGTTTCGGGCTATCCAGGGAAAGACGCACAAAGCTGTTTCAACGCCTGGCGACTTGCTTTTCCATATACGCTCAGATCGTCGCGATATGTGTTTTGAGTTTGAGAAACAACTACAGAGTCAACTGGGTGATGCGGTCAAGCTGGTAGACGAGACTGTGGGCTTTCGCTACTGGGATGGGAGAGACCTCCTAGGTACGTGCCACGTTCATAGTCGATAGAGCGAAGATCTGTGCTTCAGACGACACATAAAGTCCAGGACCAAAATGGCTTAGTGGGACTTTCGGCTGTGCTTCGTCAGAGATTGGCTGACTTGGAGTATGGAAAGGATTCGTCGACGGCACTGCCAATCCTACTGGGAAGGCTATACCTGTGTCGACTTTGGTGGCAGAGGAGGATTGGGCCGGGGCTGGTGGCAGCTACGTCGTTGTTCAGAAGTACGTACACGATCTATCGAACTGGCAAGCCTTGTCAATAGACAAGCAAGAGGCAATTATTGGCCGCAGCAAGCTGGATAATCTGGAGCTCGATGATGCAGCCGATGACCAGCAAAAGCCTCATAAGCAACTAGCTACAGTCACAGACGCAGAAGGGAATGAACATGCCATTCTACGCGACAACATGCCATTCGGGTCGCCAGCATCGGGAGAGTTTGGTACGTACTTCATTGGATACTCGAGGCGGTTATGGGTGATCGAAAGGATGCTGGAGCGAATGTTTATTGGTGATCATCCTGGCTTACACGACCGCATACTTGACTTTTCTAGACCTCTGACTGGCACAACATTCTTTGCTCCATCAGCTGAGACATTAGCAGGTCTGGATCCTGACACCTAAAGTATTTCTAATACTAGTATAAAACATTGAACCTTGTACATATGTGCGAAAACCTGGTACAAGCCGACTAGTCGGGTTGGTAGATTACTGATTCAAGGGACCTTGAAACAAAATGCAAGTTGACATGGTCCGAGATCACAAATCTAGTTAGATCGATGCCAGAAGGAAATAGGAGTGGGTAGCCCGCTGTATGGTGGTCATAAAGGACGACAAGTGAACGTTGCTCGGACCTGTGTTGTGATGACAAGGTAGACAAGGCCTCAGAAACCGTGCAAATGTCGTTAATCCTGGCCAAATTACATGTGATTGGAATCTCTGTCCATCTTCAGGACTCACAATTCAGCGTCAAATGTACCTACAGAACCTGTGTCAGAACAGCAAAGGTTCATACCTCAAGCAGTAATACTCTATTCTGGGGCCCGTCAGGTTTCTCGAGTGCTCGTGGGAGTGTCACTTGCGGCCAACCGAGCATCATCTTGGGCAAGCAATACGAAAGCCGACTAGTAGATGGCCATGTTTAGAACAGCCAGAGGCAGGGCAAAACGCTTGTCCTAGGCGAGGACACCAAGTGGCACAGTTTCCAAGCCAAAGTGAAGTACGCGGAATCCACTCAATCCCCCGGTCGCAACAGATCGACGGCGCCTCTGATGGAACGGTGTTGTGTCCCACAGATACACATTCTTATGGCTTCCCCAACGATCCACAGACGACCCCAGATCGTGGCTCCCAGCACCTTATGCATCTCGGTGCCTGGAGTTACATCATAGCCAAATGCGATGTTGGAGTGGGGGCCGCCACGCCACAGCCGGGCAGCCTGACTGACTCCACTACGAGAGAAGTGCCACCTTACCACCTTGCCTTGAGGTAAGTTTTTGACGTCTATATGTCTGTTACTGGCTCTGTTCACACTCCAGGGAGAAATTTTTCATCTCTTGGCTGGTTTTCTTTCCTCAAAATGGCCGTTGAAGAGGTCAAGCTCTGTTCTTACTGCGCCCAGCTTCTCACAGCGTCTGCGACTGACTCTCCTCCATTCGAGCGCGTGTGTGCCCCGCACCACGCGACTTACGGAGATATGATTTCTTGCGGAAAAACGTGTTTGCTTTGCCATCGTATCACGTTGCTGTGGACGGAAGGTGGCTTCGGAGACGGTCATGAGTTCATGGAGCACTGCAGTGTATGGATAGAGTTTAAGCAACCCCAGCGTAACCCATCTGGCGTTCCTTGGAAATTGTGCGAAGCCAGTTTAAGGAGTCTGGTATCGCCGAATATTTATGTGGTTCAATTTTCACTTGCCACTTGTCTTCCTGAAAGTATGTATTCTATCACAAGATCTCATACCAGATTAAGCTTCAGGTACGGTCAGAAACGGAAAAACTTACACATCACGATGACCTCAAACAGACGCCGCAAGCAACGTACCAATTTGGAAGCGCTCTACAACAACTTTCGGGGAAAATATTATCACAATCAGAAAATTCCTGCAGCATTGTCGCTCAGATCCTCAACATGCTGATTGCAAGCCCAAGACATTCGTGCCTACTCGACTCGTAGAGACTGGCGCAGATGTAGAAATGCCGAGAATTGCAAACATGAGCACGATGGGCGAAAGCACGGAGATAGACTACGCAACACTGAGTCACTGCTGGGGTAATTCAATGCCACTTAAGCTGACAAAAGAAACTCTTGCCGCATTTGAGGAACGCATACCGTTCCTGCTAATTCCCCCCACGTTTACGGAGACAATCAATATAGCACGCTCCATAGGTATCCGATACATCTGGATCGATTCTTTATGTATTGTCCAAGACGATCCGGAAGATTGGGAAAGAGAGGCTGCACAGATGAATCGAATTTACGCTGGCAGTCAACTAACCATTGCCGCTGCGCAGTCTTCAGACTACTCAGGCGGTTGTTTCCACAATGATTTTCAAGATCAGCACGGCCTAGACCTTTTCTTTAAGGCTCAATTAGGCAATCCAAATGATTCTCCTACATTGGTCCGATTCTACCAGGGAAATGTACGCGACCGTCCCATCCGGCGGAACAGGCTCAGCACCCGTGCTTGGACATTACAAGAACAACTGCTGTCATCTAGACTAGTGTCTCGTCTACATCCAGAGCTACATTGGCAGTGCCGCACGGAGCACAAAACAGAAGGCGGCCTTGTGTTCAAATCGCCAAGCGAGGCGGGAAATTCAGTGATAGCCTGTCTGCCTCGTATCGGGCCTCAAGGTCAACCGTGGCTGCGGGTAGTCTGGGAGAGTATTGTAGAGCAGTATACGGCAAGAGAGCTCACTGATGAAACCGACCGTCTTGCAGCATTTGCCGGGATTCTTCGATATTTTCAGTCGGCTTTCAATGAAAAACCGATGATTGGGCTGTGGAAGTCAGCATTGGCGAGAGACATGGCCTGGGTACGGCTGGGCGTGAGGGAAAACTTGGCCGCCAATCCACATATCCCATCTTGGACTTGGTTGTCGTGTACAGGACAAGCAAGTATGTCATTCTTCGACATAACTGACGTCTCTCCTCGTACTACAGAGGGAGCGTCATCTCACATTGAGTTTTTAAGCTGGGATATACACTGGGCTGGGCTGCCGTACACTTCTCCGGTGAAGGGATCCAATCTTCACGTGAAAGGACCGGTCATGGACATCGAAATCGGCCCTTCTGGCGATGGTGTCAGTCGAAACCCACAATATCTGCAGGTCTTCGGTGAGAACTTGACTTACACGGATAGGACCAAGATCCCATTCCGATGTGTTGGTCAGTTAGACAAAGGGGACATCGACAGGACTGCAAGCTACCCTTGCCTTCTTTTGAGCTCCCGTACAGGAGATGACACTGAAGGGCCAACACAAGAGATATTTCTCATCTTGGAGCCAGTGAAACCCGAGATTGATGCGAGATACCGGCGTATTGGAATAGCTAAGCTTCGGAGTAGAGCGCCTGTATTTGACCTAAACAAAACGAAGTCATTGACTTTGGTTTGAAGATCATTTTGAAAACTTAGACAGTTAGGCTAATTGCGGGCGGTCTCGAAATGCGATATTAGAAAGTGAAACATGCGTACGGGGAAATGCGGACTGTGCAGGCGCTATTGGGAAGGGAAGTCGTTCATGGGAAATCGATCAAGTCTGCCCAGTATGATTCTTGAAAATAATTCCTTATTATTAACTAGGCATTTGATTCAGGGTGACGTAAACCGCTAATGAATTGTGCCCACAAAGGACTTGCATTATGTTGCGCCAAGAGAAGAGCAAAGCTACTGGTGCTCTGGAAGATACAGGAAGGCCTGAGCCGTACTGCGATTGTTGGAGTAAGAATTAAATTTTGTCCCCTTTCAGCACTCTTCCACAGGTAGGACAGTATTGTTATTAATGATAGACCCATCTCTCGTTGACACTGGGCTCATCTGCATCGCAAGTCGATTAGGAACCAAATGGGTTCTCTCGGTGTTTCAAGTCGCTGGTGCTGCTCGTACTAACCTCGTCGCCGTCTGCCGCCTTGGTATGTACCACCTCAGTGACAATGGTGCGCTGAATGCCCGCGAGTTCATGGCCCTGGTCACTGTCTTGGCCAGCTTCGTCACAACTGCCAAGCTCGACGTGTGCATGGTGCTCAGCATTGTGTCGCCCGGCGGCTCCCATTGTGATGGTGTCGAGGAATGTGCGCTGCGCCTTCGCCCCTGAGCTGCCTCCTTTCCCACCATATCGCGGCGTATTATTGTACGGGCTTCGATTCTCGTTACTCGGGTTCGAGGCTTGCACCACCTTGCGAATCAACTCCGCCATGTTCATCTCGATATGGAGCTTCGACATGTATGCGAACGACTGGAAACTCAGGTAACTAAATTTGGAACAAATTTTAGCCTGCACTGCGTCGAGAAAAAGAAAAGGAGTATTTAGACTGACATGAGTGCATTGGGTAAGCTCATCAGCCCGATGAATATAACCTGAAATGTCTCAGCAACGTTCTGCAGCACTGATCATAAAGTTGGGTGCCGTACATCGAGGGAGATGGAGACAATGACGTATACAATGTTGAGTTTGAATAATCGATGGTATTTAGTGAGGCCGTTGGCGATAAGCCTCGAATTGACCATATAAAGGAAAGACGCATTCAGCATAAGGTCTATGATGAGAAAGATAACTTTCTTACATCTGTCCCAAATGTTGTTGACTTGATACGTGTCAGCGCAATGAGTCAAATTTTGGGAAATAGCCATACCGTGGATATAAGTTTCGTTGATTTGCATTCTTGCCGGAATCCAGATACAAAAGACGCTGATATTGATAACAGACATAATCGCAGCGGTGCCCCATTTCAATCTGTTGTCAACAAGTTAACATATGTGGCAACAAGTCCGGTTATTCTAAATGGTCTCCTACCGTGCTACATTCCTCCTCACCATCATGAGTAGCGATAATCGATTGATAATGATTTGAACAATAAACTGAGTTTGAACGACCCAGATGATCACTTCGGTGTTTTATTGTCAGCTCTGACCATCGCGGCCGTATGCTATACGCTGAGAGACCACTTACAAATGACAAACCACAGCGAGAAGCTTTTCGGTCACATCAATATTAGCAATGGTGCAATGCACTGTGAGAAAACGGGATCGGTATACCTTGGAGGGATGCTTCCTTTCACTGGATACAGAATTAGACGGTTAGCCTATACTCTCTGGTATTGGCTTTGAATATGGTGCAAAAGTGCAAGTACAGAAGCATGTGGCAATTTGTAGATCTGGTGGGGCACTTAGACTGACTGTAGAACCAATTGATGAAACCCAGCACTATATTGGATGCCCAATGCATCCATATCACTGTTCGGAATCAAGATCAGCGTTCGGCTTCGTACATCAGTCCGATAAACTGCCTGACTCGGAGGCCAAAGCAGTAGATCAAACCATTGTTGGGTCAGATGGGTCGGGCGACCCCCCATACTTACTGAAGACATATACATTAGCCTTTTTCTGGCGTTTCCATATTCGCATTGTTTGTCGAACCGCCTTAACGGCAGCGAAGAGGGCATTAGACATCAGTAGTCCTAGAAATATAGATGCCAGGTTCATGTTTTCGGAGTTGACCTTCACATGTCAGCATTGCTTTGCTCGTCAACTCCTCTTTGTCGGTCGGGCATACCGGTTGTTCCTGAAACCAGGGAGGTATGAGGAACCCATGTTGCTGATCTGATGGCTGGGACGACATCCTTACGAAGACTGCTCTCCCGTGATTGTGAGTGCAAGCTGTTAAAGTCGAGGTCAAATTTTGAAGAGGCTTGACACCCGACCTCCAATGGCAGATGACCTGACTATATAGACATGGACAGATCCAGCAGGCCTCTCCAAGCCTCCCTCCTCCTAGGTTCAGTTGGCAAGCTAACATGATTAGCGACACAAACAGGCAAATATATCTCTCTCCCTACGAAGAATTTCTGGGTAGACTATGATAGGGTCTATTCCTTACAGGGCTGAGGGCATATGTGCACGAACAGCGACAAGACATTTAGCGAGTCAGCAGTAGAGACGGACCATCGAGCTGTCTAATCCGTGGTTAATCTGATCCCCATTTGGCTTGGTGCTAACCAGTTTCCAAGTTCAAGTGCACTAACTCATACCACTAGCGTTGCCAAGCTGGAGTCTATTGCAATTTCTCCGGAAGGATCAGCCAGTTGTTGAGTCGCCAGTAGTAGATGCTTTTCCCCGGCCACCCGGCCCCACTCTTGAAGAGATCGTCAAGATCTGCTCGGTTCCCAGCCCGCCGGTTCAACGGATGCTTAGTTCAGACGAGTGCCAACTTTTCACTTCACTGAGCATCTGATTATTGAGATGATTATTGAACCCATCCAACCCGCGCGGGTTTGAACTGCAAAAATAAAAATCATCGTGGACAGGGGGGGGACTATTCTGGGAGAGCAGTCCTGTTTTGACTCACAAGTTGCACGTCATGAACATAGAGAGCGATATGAACACGATCACAATTTCTGCCAAGCTCGAAGGATTCCATGGTGCATCCCCTAATTCTGAATACTAGTGCCATAACGATGATCCGGGGTGCCCCAAGTTTTGACGACCTCGAGATAAGACTCAATGCACTACGGCGTCTTTGTCAGGAGCCGTTCAGAACGAACTAATGATGCTAGACATGTAGTGGTGAGCGATTTTATGTCGATCAAGTCCCAGGCGTATTTGATGGTCATGCAGACTAATGATATTCAGGGGCCGAAGAAAAACCGTTCCCCTCCACCGTTAGTTTGAATCGTATAGTATGTTCATCAACGAGCAAATACATGACTAAATATGCGCTAAGAGGGACCCTTCAGCTGGGGTAATTCGAGGGATTAAGACCCTCAAGTGTGTAGGTAGTCAGTCTTGGACGATACTTACCCAACGTTACGAATCTTGTAGATACGTTGCAACCCCAGCACTAGTTCATAGTTCGGTAGATCAAAGAGCTTCACAGCTTAAGTCTCAGCCTTAGGATAAACACGACAAAAAGTTTAGGCACTTGACCGCGAAACGAAGTGTTGCACACAGCGCATGCCACGTCAGGTTTTCAAATATGCAACACAATCAAAGTTCCTGACGCGGCTGCTCAATTTGGTATACTGCGATCGCGTGGAATCATCCCGTGTCACACTTCTATCTGCGTTGCCATAAACCGAAAACAAGTGAAAAAACAGATCAACTAGTCTACCCCTGAGGCGGTCTCTTTGTTTCTATCTGCCTCGAACACGCACTTCGACCACGGCATCTTCCGGCGATCTAGTGAACTAAAGACCCGGTGTCGTCGGCAATTTCTAGAATGTATTCCACTAACGGATTCACATCAGTTGCCTTGAGCGGTACTCTGTGGCCGCCGTCCCACTCTAGCACCCTGACTGAATCACCATCGCAGTAGTTGTCCATCAAGTCACGGTGAAGATGTAGAGACGGGTCATAGAGACCGTGAACATGAATCGTGGGCAGCTTGAGGATGTGTTCGTCGCTGGCGGCTTCCATCAGGTCTGGCGCTCCCGGAAGTCCAATCTGCGAGGCATCAGCCAGCATCGACGACCGGAAAGTCTCTGGGTCGAGCGAGACTATCGGTGCTCGCCCGGCCAGCAAAACAGCAAACCTCCACGTTGATCCCGCGCCAGCCTCCCCCAGTCGCTCGACCCGTTTCTGGTGCTGGAATAACAGACTTGCAGCAAGCTTGGCGCCCTGACTGAAGCCAAGAAGCCCAACCCAGGGGCCACTCGCGCCAGCTTGATCATCCTCGCGCATAGCGGTGGTGATTTGCTTCGTGATGTCGTTGATGGCGGTCTGGTTATCAAGCTCCTTATGCTCTGGGAGCCAGCGAAGCCACCGCTTGAATGGCCCGTAGTCGGCGTAGACGCTGACCACATCGGGCCCTGGCTCGCATAGATACGGAGCTTCCGCATAAGCGAAGCGGAAGTGCTGCTTCAGCGCACGCTCAATCATGCGGCACTGGGCCTTGAAGATTCGCGCATTGGTGCCGCCGCCATGAAGACACAATATACGAGGGAGTTGAAGGTTCTCCTCTTTGCCGGCCATGATGGATACCGGAACCGACTCGATGCAGCACTCCGTGGTTCCGAGGTCAAGAACGTAACGGACGCAGTTTGCGTTGCGCTGCGCTGATCTATCTCGCGCGCGTACCTTAGAATAATCGCCCAAAGAGACACTCGATATGGAGCCTCAACGAAACCTATGCCGAGATAAACGATGAGAATGTTAGGATGGCTAAATGCTGGTTATCACCGTAAGACCCGGCTTCGGGTGATATTCGAAACCTGAATGGTCCGACCTTCCTGTTGCGATACGTTGATTTTGACCAATCAATGCGGAGCATTCGGAGGCCATCTTCGGACTTCACCACGGCGCCGCCATGGCGTTTCTTGAACTACATACGACGCCAGAGCAGCAATCTGACACGTCGGAAATGCCCAATCGGACAATGTCAGTGGCCCTCCGGATGCTTCGTGCGCGGATTGCTGGCATCTGCCGCCTCCTGGACGGGTATGCTTTTCGGCACTGGCGATAGTTGACACCTCCTGTGGTGACTTGAAGGAAGGCTGTGGTAGACATGGACCCCCTTAGCCGCTGATTCATGGTGGCTTTGGCCTGCTGAAGAGTTTCGGAGGGTTTATGGCGGCGCTAAGGACAGCTGGGACAGCCTCTCCAGGCTTAAGGTCCCCCCAGCCGTAAGCTGCCACACGCCACATCTCTGGCTCACAGTTTGTTGTAGCACAATTTTGGACGTTGGTCCTCAGCATTGCCGTCAGCTTGGCAGAAGCCAGAAAGTCAAACGAAGCTGGGGCTATATGTACCAGACCTTGTATCACGCGCTGGTGGCTACCCAGTCAAGTCTCACTAGCTGGTATGGAAGCACAGTGATCACCGTGCCTATGCAAATGAACCGGGATCGTTTCAAGCAGGTCGGGCCTGTTAATGATGTCGGCCAATGCCCCAACTAGACAACTGGAGAATGAGCAATGACTCGATAAGGTCCAGCCGGAGTGCCCTGTCCCATTGGCGAAGAGGCCCACATGGCGGGCATTGACTAGGCCATGCTGGTCTTCGATCTGCAGTGGATCTGGGGTCGCTGGCTCCAGACCATTTCAGTGTAGACAGTGGACAGTTCGGCGCTCTCTCCACCTTCCTCTAGACGTCTCAGAGACCCGCGCTCCTCGCTCCTCCATTGTCACCTTGCCCCGAATGCCAGGCCGGAAGCGCAGCGATCGGAGCGGTCCGATACACCGACGGGCCCGAACGGGCTGCAAGACCTGTCGCGCACGGAAGGTTAAGTGCGACGAGGCCAAGCCAACCTGCCGGAACTGCTCGACTCGCGGCATTGCTTGTGACAATGGCGTCCAGCTCAAGTGGCACGAAGAATTCCAGAGCCGTGGGGTAGCTTTCGGCCGGGAAGGCGTGTGGACCAAGGATCCGGATCGTCTGCCGGGTCCCGGGTCTCCATCCTGGACTGTGTCAGCCCCAGTCAGCCGCCTCTGCCTGCCGATCATCGGGCCGCAGCACTTTCTGAACACAACCTACTCCGACTTTGACCCTCGCCATGCTTCACTCCACGAGGCATCGCCCGGTTTGAAGGATGTGTTGGAGGAGTCCAGCTCGAAAGCCATCATATTGGCCCCCGTGAAATCCATCCCGGGGAGACCCGTTATCCCGCGAGCCTTGTCACCCTTTTCCAGCCTGGGCGATCTCGATACAGGCTTACTGGAATACTATCTCAAGCGGTTGTGTCCTTTAACCACCTCATCACGCATATGCCCATCGCCTTTCGCAGATCTTATACAGCCACTTTGCACGACATCAGGCCAGGAAGATGTCATGCGCGCGCTTATGGCCTTCTCGGCTCGCCACAGAAGCATCACAGACCCGCGCTGGAGTGAGACTGCTATGGCTCTCAAAGGTGGAGTCCTTGTCTCTTTGCAGAAACGATTGTCTTCGCCGGACAGCGCAAGTCTTGGTGCAGTTTTCTCCCACGTCCTGATCATCATGATGTTTCTCTGTCTGTATGAGATCGTCGACAAGTGTGATCATCGCTGGGTTATACACCTACGCGCAAGTCAAGATATTATACGTCGCTGCAGGGCTCTTGGATTTACCCATGCCCAAGGCGATGCTGGTGGCTTAGCCGCCTTCGCCGAGCGTTTCTTTGCATTTCAAGACGCCATCAGTCGAACAGCCTGTGGAGATGCACCCCTATTCGGCGTTGACTATTGGGACAACTTGTCGAACAAGACCGAAGTGGATTCTTGGATGGGGTGCAGTCCAGAGCTTGCAGGAATACTATGCGACATCACAGAGCTCGGCAGATCCAAATCGACAGAAAGCATCCCATCAGCGACCTTTTTCGAGACGGCCGATGTGCTTGAGAGGCGGATCCACTCCCTGGCAGCTACTACAAGAGTTCCGAATGACGATGAACTGATGCTATCAGCGGAGTTGAAACGGCTCTCGGCATCGCTCTACCTCCACTGCGTTCTGTACGATGCATCGCCCTCAACGCCCCTTGTAGCGCGTCTGGTGAAGGATATCTTAGAACGAATTCATCAACTATTGAGGACCGGCAGCGCAAGAGCATTGGCTTTCCCAGTGTTCGTTGCTGCGGTGGAGCTGGACGCGACTGACGATGTGTTGATATATGATTATGCATCAGGCGAAAGCATACATGGCAGGCGACTAATATTAGAAGCTCTTGACGCGATGGCTACTCACTCGCTGTCGAACGTCACAAGAACACGCGCAGTTATCCAAAAAGTCTGGAGATTGCGCGACATGGACATAAACGATGGCTTTTCTCAACAAGAGGCTAGGGAAGTCAAGTCTGAACATCGAGCAAACGATTGGACAACCTTCGTTGGCCCGAACAGTTCCTACATCAGCCTAGCTTGATAACTTGGGGTTATCACGACTGACTTGGTCAATGAGCAGGCACCGGATGACAGTGGCGTGAAGTCACCGACGGCCGCTGTCGGTTGCCACGCTGAGATCAATATTCTCGTTTACGAATACAGACAACACAGATGCATCCGTCCAGTACTCGTTCTCGTCAAAAGGGACCCGTTGCCACAGTGCAATGAGGAGGTTGGCAGGATCCTGCTTGCATATCGCGGCAGTTGACGCTGTCGGGCAGTTTTGGGCTCAAACGTCGATGCAGCGCAATACCGACAACACCAGTTGAGCATTCCATACTTCCGCCTGTTTCAATTGTGCAAGAGTGTACTTCTTAGGAGTATGTTTTCCCGTCCTTACATCTTACATTCGGAGTTCAAGCTGTTGGCTAACTAACTCTGCTTCAGATGTCATATTCAATGCTGTCACGTGTTGAATCATTTAGCTTATTTGCTCCATGTTGCCTCATAACATGCGGCAATTACGTGCATAATCTGAGAGATGAGTGTGAAAGGGAACTCTAATACAATTTCCGTATCGGTACTGAGCCTGTATTCGACAACTGAGGGGTTATGCTTTACGCCCACATCTTCTCAATGGCGCCTGGAAAGTAGGCTTTTTCTGACGATGTTGTATATGGCTAGCTACTCTATGGGTCTGATGGGCACATGTCATACGCTCTGCGCCTAGTTGACTGATCTAATACGTCGCCGGAAGTTGACTTATCCTGCCACCGTCAGTCAGCAGTATCTCTCCATTGAGGTACGCCCCCGCTTTACTGGCCACAAATAGGATAGTGCCAGCAAAGTCCTCCTCACTGCCCGTCCTCTCTGCTGGAGACCTGTCTTTTGCCATCGTGTACGCTCCCTCAAAAACGCCATCATATCCCGGTACGCCTTCGAACTTTGCCATCTTGCTCGTCCCCCTTGCGGTCATCTCGCTAGGGTAAAGACCTGGTGCGATAAGGTTCGCCCGAATATGAAAGCCTGACACGGACAGAAAGGTCGATAGCATCTTGACCATATGGTGAACCGCAGCCTTGGACGTAGAGTAAGAGAAGCTCGAGGCCATGTGCCTACTCACGCCGGCCACGGACCCGGTGACGAGGATCTGCGAGTCCTGTGGGACGTTGCGCTTCTTGTTACCCGCATCAAGCAGGTCAAGGAATGCAACGGCCGTATAAAAGACAGCCGTATTGTTGATGTGCAAGGCCTTGCTGAAGGACTCGACGTCAATGTTGAAGAAGTTTTCCTGCACCTCCTGGATGGACCGTGGGCTGCCGTCTTCCTTGGTGACCAGCGAGGTGTGGTCGCCGCCCGAGACCCCAGCGTTGGCAAAGAGCAAGTTGACGTAGCCTTGCTCCTTCCGGACCCTCTCGGCCACGCTACGAAGAGACTCCTTGTCTGTCACGTCGCCCACCACCGGTATGATGGTGCCGTTGACCCCCGTCTTGGCCGCGTCCTGCAGCGTCTGCTCGCGGCGCCCCACGATGTACACGGCTTTGGCACCGTTGGCGTCGAGGGCCCGCGCAGCGTAGAGCCCCAACCCGCTGCCTCCGCCTGTGATAACGGCAACCAGGCCGTCGACGTTGAAAAGCTCCGCGATCTTGTTTGCGGGGGCCATTTGCGCGGGTGTGCCACTTATCTGTGTGTGCAAATCCAGAGATACTCAATCTAGACTAGGTCTACGATTGTAATTTATTATGACTTGTTCGAAGATGTTCAAACAGCAGATCACCTTGGCATAGATTGTCCCTTGCAGTTTCAGTGTTTGCGGATTGCGTGCTCCCGTCCACATTGCTGACATCATACCATTGAGTCGCAATGTGTGGGGTAGCTTATTCCCCTGGGCACGTAAATACTTTACCAGGGGTTAGCGGTTAGCCTACGCTGTTGGTAAAGGTTCTTCTCTGGATCTATGGGTCTGCACTACGAGGGGCTCAATCGCTTAATTGGACCTGGGCCATTCCAGTTGCAGTACCCTGAAAGGATCTGGACCGTAACTACACAGTAGAGTCAGACAGCACGAGCGCCTAGAGGACATGCAAGACCACGATGACCCTCTGATTGGCCCAAGGACAGGCAGTGCTGGCCCCCACGATCCATTCTGGCCTGTCAAGTCGTGCACAATTCGTCGTGCGCCATTGAATGCTTTGCATTTAGGGCTTTGGTACCAAGGGCCAACGACTAATTTAGGATTCAAGTTAATGGTGCATTCAGCTGCGCTCTTAGCCCTTAGATAAGACTTTAATTGGGCATTACGCAGCTGACTACTCCATGCATACTGCTGAAACCTGGATTCGTCAGGAATCGTATCAATTGAAAGGGTGACTAGACTATTCAGTTCCACGTTACGTCAACAGCGAATCAACAGTATCGCAGCTTGACGAACGGATCATACATTGGAACTATGAGACACCCCATTTCGAAGCAGCGCTTTTTTGGTTCGACGATATTATCCACTTGACACACCAGAGGTTGCTTGGCGTCCAGCTTGCAGAGCATGACACAAAACCATGAAAGCGGTTGTCAAGCTGATCATCGGCTCCACGGCGTTGTAAAAGCCAAAAGTCGCCAGTGGCCACTGGGATATCCCGTATCTTTTGATACTATTTTCATCCCAAACCTAATGAGGCATGGCCATCGCCTTTAAATCCTAGAAGGCGCATATCATAAGAGGCCTAACAGGTGACTTCTTCAGTGACCGCTTTTACATCACGAGAGCCAGCATCGTGTACAGAATCATCTCCACCACCGCTGATTCAAGCTACAAAGACGTATGTATGTTGCTTAGCTACAAATGCAAGGTGGTGTCTGCTGCATCTTGTCGTCACACAGGGAGAATTGGGTTTGTTACGTTTCTGTAGATATTGGTTACATGTCTCAGATATGTCCTTTTGCCCATATAACACGTCTCCTTGGGCCCGCCTCAATTTCTCATGGTCATTCAAAACCAGCTCCAGATTGTTCCTATCATCCCCGACTCTGACCATCGCGCTCTGTCTCCAAACGCGGGAGAACCTCTTAACTCCAGCTCCTGTGTAATCCAGCTCATTTGGCACTGAAGACTTCAGGGACAAGATAACAAGGTCCTGGAGGTCATCCCAGCCAGTAAGCTTATAGAGCTCTAATCGGCGTCGAGTACGAGGTTCTCGGGAACAGTAACGCAAGGCGGATTCAGCCAACCATGCCAGGAAATAGGCTGCGACCACTGCCAGGTAAAGGCAAACCATAACGAAGGCAAAGTCTAGCGCCCTAGAGGGCGTTCCTGATCCATACCCGTACTGTTCCACTGTGTAATTCCAGGCGCCATGATCAAGTAACATTAAGGACTTCCCATGTTCAAACGAAGGCCAGCATTCGGCTTTTGGAGAATCCCCTGCTTCAAAGAAGGCGCAGCTTTCATTTAGCTTCGTCAGTGTGCTAGTGCGGTATTGTCGATCTTGCAAAGTAGGTTCAGTAACTGCTAGCCGATCCGTAGTGTCCTCTGTAACTATTATGGGGTTTGTAAAGGACCAATTATATCGGGAAATTGCATCAACAAGAAACAGGCTCGACAAAGTCTCAAGTTGACTCTCGATATCCCCCTTAGCTTCCAGCGCAAAGTAGGCTATTGTGGCGTTGCTGAATGGATCGAAGTCTTCAAAAGGAAGAGAATCTTCAAAATACATGATTTCTTGCGATAAGATCATGTCCATCGCCGTAAGTGAGATCGAGGTGACAGGGCGCTTTGCGGCAAATTCGGCAAGGAACCTTTGTTGGCCTGTAGGGCTGACGCCAACGTTGACCGTTTGAGCCCACGACGTATTAATATCTATCGGCTTCCCCTTAGAGTAAAAATCATCATTTAGAATCCAGTTTGAAGATTGAGTGATGTTGTCTTCTATTATACTATTCCGGCGGGTCTGGACAGTTAGCTTAGACGGTGTCCATCTTGCTGTGAAGGTACATGCGCCCAGCCACCAGCGCTGAATATAGTCCGTTACAGACGTCGAACCGGTCCTGTAGTAGGGAAGTTTAATAGTCGCTAATAGTGGAGCGTCCGTTACATTGACCCATTGAAATATAGGGTAAAAGCTGGAAGATGGGTTGAAATCCCATAACGAAGAGTTTACACGACGTTGTGAGTTACTGCGTCGCTTCCAAGTAGCACAAATCGGATCTTCGGAGCATCTTAATCCATGTACAGGCCAAAATGGAACAGCATCGGTGTCGTTCTCACGCAGCGACTGCCGAGAGTCTTCCCAATCCCAGATCTGACATTTTGCTTGCGTCTTCGTCAACCACGTTAGTGATAACAATCAGTATATATGTGTGAAGAGGGTAGTAATGATATACGTCCCCACGAAAAATTGAACACATTTCTAAAAAGAAAAGTGCGGGAATGGCAATAGGATAAACATTACTCACCAGTGGCTGATATATTTGGTCAAACTGGGAAGTGCTCACCCGGGTGTCTTTGGTCAAGCCTATATCCTCAATATGATAGTCGTCAAGATAATTCGAGTAGTAAGTCAAAGCAGCAAGTGCTCTTGACGAAACCGTGGTACTGGCAGTAGCAGAGCCGTCTGTAGCGTTTGATCTTGCTGTGTGAAGCCATCGACGCATCTCTCGAGCCCCGTTGTTAAATGCAATGCTGATGTTTAGTGCATTGTGGCTGTTAGCGCGGGCCCGAGCCCAGTCTCGTAAAGTGCCCACAGTGGCAAAAGGGCAACCAGGGCTTTCGGCTGCGGTTGCGGTGCAGTTCACCCACCAGGGATCGAAATTCATCGCTCCAGGCCATTTGAAGGGTGCGTACATAACACTTTGAGGGAGAGCCGCAGATTCTTGCCGCGGCCACCATCCAGGACTTGGCACCAAAAGAATTGCTGCTGCGGGACCTATCACTAATGATAGAGTTGTGGCGAGCAGCACAAATGTTGCAAAAAGGATGGCCGATCTACTATGAAAACTAGATAGGAAGCCGGAATGGAAGAGGTAGGCAAGGGTTCCAACTCGGTATCCTGCAGTAATCAGCCCAAGGGGTAACCCGTCGCCAACTAGTCTCGCACGATAGAGATCTAAAGCAAGCGCAGATAGGGACAGAACAACTAAAAGTTCGTATACTTTGACGGCTATTTGTAATAGCTGTAAAACAACATTGGTGTTTAGGTGGTAGTTTCCAACCGACGTTTGAACCGGGATAGTAGCCTCGAATTCGAACCAGAAGAGTTTGCTTGTATTAAGCCGTATCAACACCCCACTTATCAGTATTGCAGGTAGGTGCAAAACAATACTTCTGAACATCTGTGTGCTGGCTTTCCGTATTATTGACTTTGGTTGTTCAAACGTGTATATTATGTCCTGTTCTTCCTTGTTGGGGACTAGCAATGATAAATATACGTTGATAAATTGTTTCGATAAACATACCTTGATCCTCATTGCTTGACCTAGTAGCATCGTCTATCCTGGAAGCTCTGTCGAACCCATCTGAATTCGTCTCAGGATTAACAACTTCGAAAGATAATGGTCCAATTCTTGGGGCAGCTGTTTCGGAGGAATGGCTGCATTAGTATTATTAACATTCGCCCAAGGGTATCAAGGCCGATTTCATACCTGAGTGGCATCTTCACACGATTAGACGTCACCTTTCTACCTGTAGCCGAGTAAACTTGTTGAGGTGATAGAAGAAGGAAATGTAATATATAAAGAAAAGCCGGCCGATGAGCCTGAAGGTAAGACTCGGCTTAAGGTCTCAACAGCACTTCTTGTAACCCGAAAGTCTGCCTGCCCGCTTATCGCCAGGATTTTCGGTGGCACTTCGATATCGCGTGAGTAGGATTTGGGGGCTTGTCATGCGTGTGTTGTCAGCCCGGGGGCGGTGTCAACGAATTTGGCCCCAGGCTCTCTGCACATCCTGAGCCATGGCTCAATTAGCCTATTAGAGTTGGAGCCCAGGGTATATTTTTTTAACCTTTTTTCTCCCCCGTCAAATTGGTGTCACTGTGTCATTTAATAAATCGGGCCTGTAGGGGTTGATCAGCGCTGTGCCATATTGAAGCATGTGCAGGAGGGCATGGAAAGGAGCTCCCAGGAGACACATGCTCAGATTGTACCACACACACACTTGCAGCGAAGCAGTGAAGCTCGCTCAAGTACAAACGCGGATGGTAAGACTCAATGGACACCTGTTCAGGATCGGAGTGACCGAATCTGATATCTACACTCACAAGTGTACTACTTCGTACTATCCCTTCGGGTTAGTCAATCAATCCATTCCATCCATATCGTCCCTTATGTCTTGGCGTTCAAGACATACAAGTGCTTGCAGTATAAGGGAGCGTTGTCGGAGTGGTGGATGCACGGAGGTCTCCGTGATAGTTGCCTGATAGCAATGGAACTACTTCACAGCTTCGGCAGTTGTTTGATTCGAAGACCTGGCACGGCAATCCTTCACTGAAAATTCATATAGTCACTCATTAAAACGCTTCATCAATATTAGCGCGTATACGGCGACGAATATTGAGTCAACGATACCCGAGTACAAAGACACGTTGAAAAGGCGGCCAATCGACCCTTCACAGCGCTCGAGGTTTCGGCCGGAGGTTATGCTCAACAAACGGGATACCTCAAAAGATCAAGTGGTAGTTCGTCCGGGTAGCGCTTGCCTTCTAAGCTCTCAGATTGTATCGGTATCACAGTATCTTCAACCAGACACGATCAAATCTTCCCTTGCGGATCGTTTTAAGAGGACAGTGCAGTGGAATTACAACGGCGGCCTGGCGTTGGATATTGTAAAAGATCATAGCTAAATCGTCGACCAACTTCAGATATGGTTATATCAAAAGCCCTACAAGATATTAGGAACAATTCGAGAATCGGGAGTAGCTTTCATAGGGAAAGCCGAAGAAATCGCAGAAATCGTGCCGAACGGCGGCCTCCTACAGCGTTGAGTTATCAAGACGCCAAGTCAGCTGAAGTCAATGACCAACAAGGTAGGGATGGTCAACTGCAGAACAGTGAAGAAAAGGAACGGTTTAAGGCGGGTACAGATCTGGATTTACCACTACAGCTGGCTTTTCTATCACCGCAGGCAGAATCCGGGGACCTGATTGTATGTATGCGTTACTGGTTCCTCTCCTCATTGGATCAAAGCTACGGCGCGATAACGGAGCGATTACCTGCTGCGGGCGGGCTCGGCATAGTCCAACACTTCTTCACCCATTCGCCAAAGAAGTCAATTTGTTGTGCGAGCTCGTAGGAGAATGCTGCATCAATGATTCACTGAAATTGTGGAGGGAACAGAGAGAATAGACGTTCTCTTTCATCTTGTCTGCCATGTGACGGAAGTGGCTATCTGGACTACGTAAAAAGGAATGTCGACTCATACAGTCTAATCCGTAAGAACCGCTCTAGTTACCTAGTTCTAGTGTAATGATAAATACAGGTAGGACATAAACATTTGACGTAAGCACAGCGGGGGTATAGTGTTCTCAACGTATTAATCAATATCCCTCATCATGCTTCATTCAGACAGACCAAACGTTGATCCACGCTGCAGAGTCGCATTCAATATCTTTCGCCGCAGTGCTTATTGTGAAATCTCCATCCGTCGTGTTCGGCGCTAGGGGGTACGTAAAACACTGCCCTGGGAAGTCGGTGTTGAAAGTATTGCGCCAGCACACACCGCTGCAGACAACTCTTTTCTTGTTCCTGATGTCGGCTTCGGCATCCAAATTGTACATTGTGCAAGCGTCGATGCAGTCGTTTAAGCTCGTAACAGGGCGGTTGATTATATTTTGACCCGTTCCCAAGAATCGATTATTGCACAGCTTGCGGAACTGTTGGTCCGTACCCGGAGACGTGTATATCGTGTTGTTTGAGGAGGGGCAGTCGCGCAAGAGCGTCTTCGTAGGGCCCACGATCTGGGTCGCAGTTTGCGCGACGGATAATGTGGATGTCGTGGACGCTGTACGCGTATTGGACGCGACGGCTTGTGTCGTTGCGGCGTCGGGTTTATCAGGGTTGATGCTGGTAGTGGACGCCGTTGCACTATTCGTAGGGCCGGACCCGGATCCGCTGGTATTCCGCTGTGATAGAGCGGCTCCAATGCCTCCTCCAATAGCAGCAAGTGTCACTATTATAGCCCCCGCGACGATGGCATAGAACAACCTAGGCGAGAAGCCGCATATTCGTCGTGTTTGTGTACTCTCGTAGACCTCGTACGCATGAGCGGCGCTCTTCTCGGCCGTCAGAAACCTCTCCGGGCCTGGGACCGGGCCTGCGACTACCTGCGGCAAGGTAGGGTCTAGGACCACCTGGGGCGAGGTGCCCGGCACAACCTGAAGGCCCGAATAATCGATCTGTGAAGCCATGATGTGGTGCTGGGACTCGGTCTCCCAGTTGCGCAACTAGCAGGAGCTGCCTCTGGGCACCTTGCTTTTTATTAATTTTTTTTCTTCACGCATCATTGAAGACAACGACGAGGAGGCCCCTAGAACAGTGCCACTCCCAAGAATTGCCTTGCTTACCAACTCGCCTGAAAACCCAGAGTTGCGGACGCTAAGCCACCATGCGGGTCTCGTGTGTAAGATAATGAATGTCGTTAAGGCAGAGTTCGTTTGACCCCTGGTCCAGCGCTGTTGCATATAGTATTCCTTTTCGCGCACTACGTCCTGGCACTATAGAGGGTCCGAAGGATCTGAATCATAATTATACATCCCATATACTGTATAGATGGTCACACACACATTAAGTATCTGCACGTGGGAGGCAGGCGCCTGTTACAACACAATGGGCCCTGACTTTGCCAAGATAAGGTTGGGCTAAAAGTTCAGGTGGTGGGGGCCGCTATGCCTCTAGCGCCGCTTGCTGTGCCGCTGGCTAGCCAAGCCCGTCAGTCCTATTAATGTCCGCTGGAACGCACGCGGACAACCCCGACTTCTTGAGCCGATGATCAGTGTCAGATCGACCATTGGCGCAGGCGCCTGCTCTCATCACCAGGGAATGGTAGACACAGGTCTTGGTGCATATATTACACCCTGGGGTTCTTGAGTATTGAAAGACGTCACGCCAAGCGAGAAGCTATGGATAACCAGCTGCTGTCGTGCGCCATCTGCGGCAGCCAAGTCCGGCCGCCAATCTCGCTGGACAACGGAGGGTCGTTAGATCGCAAGCTGGAATGGCAGACGCACGCCGTTGTCCTCAGCGACCCAGCAAAAGAGTTCGAGACGCTCGAACAGCACTACAGAGCTGGCAAAAAGAAAGATGCAGAGCAGCTCGTCCTCGAAGTCGGTGACGAGATCCGCAGAGACCGCGCGACCGTGACCTGGTCTAACACCTGCGTCTTGGCGGAAAGCGGCGACGAATACGCCCCCAACTGGCTGGCTGGCTTTGATGAGAATAATATTGCTTATGAAACCCCATACAGCATTGTGGCACATGAGGTTTGCGTGGATATTGCACTCAGGGTGATGCGCATGTCTCTCAGCGACATTCATGTTCGGTCGCTGCGCACCTTGTGGAAGGTCCTGCGTACCAGGTTCGACGCCCGCGACAATGAATATATGGGCTCGGTAGCAGAAGCAGGGCCGCAACACGTTGTCATGAAACACTGTTACTATTTGCCTTCTGCTTTTTCTGATAATGCGTTTGGCTCAGACTGGGTAGGGACCCAACTTGCGCTGCTGCGCCACTGGCGAGACCGTAGCCTGACTTTCTATAGGACACCGCTGATCCCTCCGACAATATACCACATATTGCTTCACTGATCATTTCAAATATAGACCAGGTAGAGCCTGAGTCGGTAAATACTCTTGTGGCACAATTCCGTCAGCGTTTCCTAGGTCTTCCTCCTGAGCTTCGTGATCGAGTGATTTCACTCATGGGATCATCCAATGGATTGTCTACCAGTTGCACACACTTGCTCCCGCAGCACATCTGGAGAGATATCCTACTTGGCGGAAGATACTTGCCTTTCTTGAAGGGTTTAGAATGTGGCGACATTGATAAGAAATGCCAAGATGCAGCACAAGAAGGTATGGAGCTCAACTGGGAGCTGCTGGTGCGAAGACTGAGCCGACCTGTGGTGATCCTCTGCCCCACGGGTGTCTTGTCTCCCCACTTTGATGTGCTCTGCTACCACAATATGACTCTTCCGGATGGCCTGCGAAACCGACGAAGGATCTGGCAGTTGGTGGAAGAGATGTTCGTGGGTGATGTGCGGCCAGCTCGGAGGAGCTGGATTAACTCCACGCATGTGCCCTCGATGCCAAGATATTGGGATGAATACGGCGAGCCGGTGTATCCTGTGGAGAGGATAGCTGCCATTCCCGAGATTTAAGAGAGGAGCTGTGGTTAACTTGGTTGTCGCCGAAGTTTGCGAGACTCTGACCGAGGCTAGGAACAACTGACCACTGAAGAAGCCGTGTTTTTTGCACGAAGTGATCCGCTACTTCTACACGTTTTCATTGTTCCTACATCGAATTTCTTGGTATCTCCGCCTTTAGTGAAGACACTCTAAGCTACATGCTTCATTGATCGCTACCAAATCTCTGAACTCTGAATCTGCGGCGACCGCCATCTGTCCTTCCTTTCAAGGACCCTATATCGACAGCGCGAATCTCGTACCCGTCATACTCTGAAACCAGAAGGGTTTTTCCGTCTGGGCTGACTCCAAATTCCCGTGGAAATGACCCCATAGGTATCTGTGGAAATCTCACGGGCTCATCTTCCTGGAGAACTTCTTGGGTGTTGACAACAGTGAGCCCGCTTGTCGTGTTACTGTATCCGAACCGATTAGAGTCTGCTGTAAACACGTAGCTGCCGACTACAGCTACAGCTACGGGCGATGTGCCTGTCTGTATGGTGGTCACGAGAGCCCTGTCGAGAGTGTCATTGGAGTTCAACATTTCGGTGTCAAAGACGAGGAGTTCGTTGCCTTCGCGAGCGTTGACCCAGAGATTCTTTCCGTCGGGGCTGAGCTTTACCCTAACAGGATGACAACCAGCGTCGACTGCCCACAAGAGAGATGACGCCGGTGATTGTTTGAGCTTTGCTACGTCAAGAACGGCGACGGACCCCACCGTGTCGTTCGAGCTTGCTGGTAAGCCTCCAATCTCGTTTGTTACGTAGAGCTTGCTGTAGTCGTGGGAGAAAGCGAGGTCAACAGTATAGAATCCCAGAATAATGAAGCCCTTATACACCCCGGTGACTGCTCCATCTTCAGCTCGGAAAACGTTCCACACCTCGAGGCTCCCGTGCTTGAAGGTAAATGGGCTACCAAACTCCTGCGTGAAGAAAACGTACTGGTCGTCTGGTGTGATAGATACCATGGCGGAGTAATTGCCAGCTCTCCCATCGTTGGCAAGTACACCGACAATGGAATCATTGCGGCCAGCAACCGCTCTTTGCGTGTCAATCACGATGGCTCCATAACCGCCCGCTGCGTATAGGTTTCTCCCGTCATTTGTTATCGCAAGTCCGTGGAAGATATAGGCTTCGGTGTCCGGGTCATCCTCGTCAAAACCAAGCCTGGCTGCAATCGCGTGTGTCAGATGAATCTGGTATTTCAGAACCGGCTTGAACTGTGATGTGTCGAGCACGCCGATAGTCCGACCAATGACAGCAAACGCTATGTCGTTTGTAAGATATTTGATCCCGAACGGATGGTGATCCACGGAAGTGCTCGCGGTCGTGACGTTGAGAACACTCTGTGGTGGAGCTATCGTGGAACATACCGCCGTGGGAAACGGAGGCACGAGCCTCGACAAGGCCACAACAGACGATGCGGCAGTGATCGCAGCCCACAAGCCTGCGAGGATAGCCATGATGCCCACCGCGCCTAGATAGCCCACGATCTGACAGCAACTCCAGACTCGAAAGTCAGATACAATCGGGGATGATATGTGCGCGAATCGACAACCATTTCGGCTCCCTTAAGCCGGATGCATGGCCCTGGCAGTAGGGCCGCCGGGGCTAGAGGTCCCCACCCCCCACGCACACCAGACGAGTTGGTAACCCAAGCAGTGGTACCCCCGCGAGGGCGACAGTCTCTACCTAAGTAGTTACCGACCTTAACAGCTTTAAGGTTGGCTTGGCAGACCCGTCCAGCCAGACGTGCTAGCCAACAACGGCCAATCACGCTTCTGGGCACCTTCTCCATCAGGCAACCCGGCTCCGGCTTAGTGCGACTCAGCCTACTTAGAGCTCGCGGCAGTTCAAGACTGATTTGGTTCAATGCCACCACTCGGATGGGTATTCACTCTCGGCAAAGTATTGCATGGTCAATTGGACCAATTCTCATTGAACCCTCTCGTGTCTCGCCTCAGTGACCCATTTCCCTGCATCTTTCGGCAACTGTCCAGTGAAGAAATCCTCATACCGCGTCCTTAAAGTCTGCACCGTGGGGGGAAATGATTTAGCGTCACACTCATCACTCCACTGGATTTTTACTGGACCCGAGGAAGATCTTTTAAGGAATGGTGTGGTACACATGGTCAGGCAATGCGGCGTACTGTGTGTGATCCACAGGGGACCAGCATGTCGTCGTGGCACCGACAGTTGACCATTCGGCTTCCATACCGACGACGTTCCCGGGTATTAATACGCACCCGACGTTGACCAGGGGTCTGGGCACACATAGACCACACGTTTTCAAGAGCGGCCACTTATTCACTTTGACAGTAACGAGACCAATATCGAGTGTGATCTATAGATAGGAATACAGCGCGTGCATGCAGGCAGCTTAATTTGGTCACACAGTAGTGGACAGATCCAGGCTGTTACGAGCTGGACATTGATAAAGATGCTCATTCAGAGTTCTTCACCAAACCATCCGATTGGCTCGAGGATGGCGCTTGCCGTCTACCCGTTACATTTGAAGTAACTTCAACGGCGGACCAGCGATTAGCTATCGCCATCGGGCGACGTTGCTGGTTAGAGTACGGTGGAACTCACGATACCAATGGAAAGTAATCATCTCTCATGGTGCTTGCAAATTCCCCTGCGACAGGTGCCGATTTCATGATTGCATTGTCGCCTGAAAACCCATCAATCCTTGCCTATCGCTTATCAGTCATCAATGAGTTTTCTTGTTCGGCTCTATTTTGCAACACCGTTTCATACGAAAGAGGATATGATATTTTCTGTTGCAATTTCAACGAAGCGTCCTGGAAGATCTCGCGCAGATTTTGGTTTTTGTTTTAGTGCGATCCTTATGGGATGCGATGTGTTGATGTATTAAAGACGTATATTACCCACGGAACTACGGGGTACGGAGTAGCTTATCTCCTTTTTTACAAACCGACTGCTGCCGGCTGGGAGTAAGATAACAGCTGGCACGGCTACGTGTGTGCATACCCCAAAATGTATCATCCTCGTATGATGCCGATCAGCATCAGGAGACTGGGCAAATCGAAGCGTCTCAACGAGGCAGTAGACACCGAATCGGAGACATTTCCCCCCACAACCTAGCCTCGAAATAAGCAGCTGACCCTGCGCTTCGGAACTAAGTCCCGGGTCTAAGATGACCTGCATGTCTACCTGTTGGTATGTCATTACATTCCTCCGAGGATACACAGTCCAGACACAGCTGCAGTGTAACCGAAAATCTTATGAAGCTAAGATTGGGCTCATCCAACGCACACTTATTTTCAGCCGACCTCGAGGCCACACAAACAGTCCCAACCATACAGATTAGGCAAAACGAACTTTTTTCGACCATGATCTCCATACAAAAATCCATCGGTCCCAGCTTATCAAGTTGCTACACTAAAAACATCAGGACATTACTCCACCTACGGCTTTTTCTTTTTTTTGTACGATTTATCTTCGGTCCGATCACGATGAAGGAGCACAAGCTCATGGCTACTGAACCAGTTCACGCTCAGAATTCTTCATGGTAGAGCCTCCCAGAAGAATCAGGGACCTGATAGTCGTCTCCAACCGAAAAGTGAGGGTGCAAAAGGTGGTTGAGATTATATTGGCCTTGACACTCAATAGTCTTTCATAGTTTACACCATAGAATTCATTATTTCCGTCGCCGCGGTAGAAGTAGAATGGGTCGACTTTCACCTGAATTCTATCTTTAGGGGTTACGAACAGTACTACAGCTCTAGGAACTTGAAAATGCAGCTTTTCCCTCTTGCAACATCCTATGAAGGGAACAATCTATCCCTGTGGTGATTGAGGGCGGTGAAGATGAGACTGATATAAAATGTAAGAAACTATGAATGATCGGTATGTTGGATATTTAAATACTCGGACGCCTCCAATACAATCACGCCGTAGGATTCGTATTGTGTGCTCACAATGACTGTGCTAGCATGCCGAAGACCCAACAAGATGGCGTTCTCACCAAAAAGCGAAGGGAATACACATATCGGCCATTCTATTGCACGGTATCGTCTTCGCTCAGTTATTTTCACACAGTTTTCTAGGGCCACAGCACAGCGGATTGCATCGTTGACGATCTCTTCAAAACAATACTGAATAGAGTTTCGACCGAGGTGCACACAGTGCTCTGTCAGAAGTATTAATGGTAATGAGCAATGCTGAGCCATTCTACTCAGTGCATTGAGTATCATAAATAGGTAGTACACTACGGAGTGGCAAGCTGCTGTTGACGCAACGGGGCCTACTTACTCAACCGGGACTTATAACCCTTGCAAACTCAACTCTATGAACGATCAGGAGAATCATGTACCTTCACCCTTTTTCGTATTAGTAAGTCCCAGGTTGCATCAAGGAGCCATGTCGAATCATGTGATACCTGGAAAGGAACACCACACCCATCGTGATCAATGGACTGTTATTGATATGGAGTGAGTGTCTACATCCACAATGGAGAATGAATCCTTTGCCTCTTAGATCAGCTATTAGAACTGGGTTACTCACAGATAGGCCATTACCCTATGTCCTCTATCGCATGGTGACCTGAGAACTGAAATTTGCATACCAGGTCGTAGCAAGGCAGGCTCTCCTTGGTGGCCCACGTGGGACAAGTCTTTCCTTGTCCGTCTTTCAGCCCAGCAGATGGGCTTTGCAAGCGGATTCATACCCCTACCATTTTTCGCCAGAATATGTATACCAGGTTGGGTCATCGGGCTTCCGGTGCGATAGGGGATCCGGATTATGCACATTGCCGGACTTAAGGTGCCTATCAGCGGCCTCACGGATTCTTACCTCACTCCTGAGCACTTGAAGCTTTTATTAGTCCGCATTAAAGCACCTTTCCCCCCAATAAACAGTACTATCTACAAGCACAACAACAGAAGCCCTCGCGATCAAGGGATTGTTGGTTTAAAAACTCCAAACTTGATCATGGGGCCGACGCTCGGAAGTTTGTGGACACAATTCTTTCCTCCGAAACCTCAATTTACTGAGAAGGATGTTCCCAATCTTGAAGGAAAAGTAAGATATCCTCTGCACAATGACATGCTTGCTGGACTGTCAGTCGTTTTAACACGCGCAGGTGTATATTGTCTCGGGATCGAATACGGGTGTTGGCAAAGATTTAGCACGAATTTTGTACGAAAAGAATGCTAAGGTGTATATCGCTGCGCGTTCCGAGCCCAAAGCCCAAAGGGCGATCGCAGAGATGAGAAGAGCAGCACCTAGCTCAAGGGGAGACCTAGTGTTTATGCCCTTAGATTTGAATGACTTAACCACCATTAAAGGCTCTGTTGGGCGGTTTCTCGCTGCTGAAAGCAAACTCCACGCTCTTTTCAACAACGCTGGTGTCATGTCTACCGAGACGGACCTGGTAAAGAGCAAACAGGGCTATGAAATACATATTGGCGTCAACAATTTGGGGACATTCTTATTCACACAGCTGCTTACCCTTATTCTCGTGAACACTGCGAAAACAGAGCGACCCAATAGCGTTCGCGTAATTTGGGTCTCATCTTCAGGCACAGAGTTCCGCGGCCACGAGCGTGTGGGCGTATCTCTAGACAACCTGGACTACCACAACATCATTCCTCCGCTAGATCGATACGCAATCAGTAAGGCTGGGAATTGGGCGCAGGGGGTTGATTTTGCCCGGCGGCATAAGGCCGATGGGGTATTGAGCATCCCCTTGAACCCAGGAAACTTGGCTTCAGAGCTTTACCGAGATCAAGGTGCCATTTTCAAATTGTTCCTCAAGTTGATCACTTATCCGACGCTCTTTGGCGCGTACACGGAACTGTATGCCGGAATTTCACCAGATATCACTCTTGAGATGTCAGGCACCTGGGGTATGTTGAATGGCCTATCCAGGGGGTTTGCACTGAGATGGTCCTCATGCTAATGGGATTTTTTTCATCAGTTATCCCGTTCGGTCGCATATACCCCATTCGCAAAGACTTAGTAGATGCTACTAAGACGGAGGCTGAAGGGGGAACGGGTGGAGCGAGCAAATTTTGGGAATGGTGTGAAGAACAAGTCAGTCCGTATCGATGAAGGGTGCAAATAATTTTCCTGCGGTTCGCAATATTGGGCGTGGAGCTTTCTGATATCGGCAATACTATATTCGTCAACGAGTTGTTGCAATTGAACCTGCCGCTTCGGTGACCACCGCATCATCACCTATGCCACAAATAACAGCATAAGCTTACATACAGCGTTATACAATGCTGAGTAACACCATAAATAAATGGCCTGAAGGCTCAGCGCTTCGCAGGGTCAGCCTACGCAGCCCTTCGACGGAAACACCGAACATACTCCGCGCTGGCATGTGGTTAGTTTCCGTGACAGCGCCATAGTCACAGTGCTGATAGTACATCCATCGACTTGAAGAGACAGAAGACCCAAATTCGGACGTGATAATACCTTGAATTATCTCGTCGAAGGTCATGGCCAACGGATCATACAAATTCAGATCGCGTGCATAATACTATGATGATGTACATGTCGTCATATGATACTATACAGTACAATAGTTATCTTCCAATTCGAGACTTTCCACAGGATGAAGTAATCACTGCCGTGACAGCCACACGGAAACTCCGCCTAAAAAAAGGACGAAGTTACACATGAATGAGCGAAGTGCGCGACGCTTCCCACCAGTCAGTTGGTATGACCAACATCCCTTAGCGCCATCAATTTAACCCGTACTCCTGCTTGATCAGGTCCGCGGCCCGCTCAGCAAAGGCGTATACAGTAGCTTGGAGATTGGCAGTGCTGATCAATGGGACTGCGCTGGAGTCCACAACTCGCAACTTATCAATACCGTACACCTTTAGTTTCGAATCTACCACTCCCCCTTTCTCCTGGGGTAGCATGGCACAGGTACCACCCAAATGCCACATTGAGATCACATGTGACTGTAGGTATTTCTTTGCAGACTCAACATCTACCAGGCGAGAGTCTGGATCAAGATGTTTCAGAGGCTTCTTCAGGAGGTCGCTAAAGGCTCCTGTCGACGCTATTGTCTCGATGTAGCGCATATGCTGCGCCATGACCTCCAGATCAAGCGGGTTCGACAGGTAGTTAGGATCAATGACCGGCGCAGCTCCGATGTCCTTGGATTGAATATGAACGCTTCCCCTTGAAAGAGCCTGGGAGAGCATGAGGCCGATAGATATGTGTTTCCCAGGCACCGGCGGTGCAACGTTATGTTGGGCTAAGATGGCTAGATACGCCGCAGACGCCGTTCCTGAATCCAGCAGGGCTTGCTCCGCAACTTCGTAGTATGCTTGAGCTCGAGCCATCTCCGGTTGATTCCCAGGGGGAGGTTGGTTCCGAAGTAGCATCTGTTTGACCAAGTCTTTGCCTTGTGGGTCAAGGATTGGAAGGTATGCGTAAGAGTATACTCCAACCGACGAGAGTAGACCGGTCTGCGTGGTTGCATACTCTTGCATCGCCGGCCCAATTGCTTCCGGTTCTTGTCTCACAAGAGCGTCAAGCGTGTCTACCTCGTCCACAGCTTCGAAGCTTATGCTGCACAGCGGATGGTCCTGAAGATTCTCACCTACGGCTGGCAGGTCCTTGACAAGTTCTATGCCATGGCTTTGGAGGAGATTCGCATTTCCAATTCCTGAAATCTCTAGTAGCTTTGGAGATTGAAGAGCGCCGGCGGCAATAATAACTTCCTTCGTGCTCAACACCTCGTGCGTGGTGCCATTCAAAGTATAGCGAACTCCTTTAGCCTTCGCATTCGCGTCACTTCGGTCAAACAAGATCTTCTCAGCAACTGCACCGGTGAGGATCTTCAAATTTTCCCGGTCTTTCACCGGCTGGTAGTACGCTGAGGCCGCATAACTTCTCTCCCTGGTTGCTGGATCGATACTGGACAAACAAGTGAAAGCACCTGTTGACGCACCCAGGAAAGGGTCATGTTCCGCGACATGGCCCAACTGGCTGAAGCTGTCAATCCAAGCTTTTCGGACCGGATGGGAGGAGTTTCCAGAGAACGAGGCTTTTAGTGGGCCTTGGGCAAGGTCGTTTTTTGAGGCCCATCCGCTCACCCCAAGCTCTGCTGCAGATGCGACTGAGGGCGAGGTATACGCCTTGGCAAAGTATTTCTTGAATGTATCCCAGTTCCAACCATCGTTTCCTAATGCACCCCAAGCGTCGATCAAGTCTTTCGTGGGAGGCACGAAGACATGGGCATTGATTGCACTTGAGCCCCCAAGAGCTTTGCCCTGGTGCAGGAGGATGGACCTCCCGTTGAGGTTCGGCTGGTGTACAGGTCAATATCTCGACGCATTCTTCGGCACGAGCACGGTCTTACTTGAGCCTCCGACTGAAATCCCCAATCAAGTTCTGAACCAAGCAGAACAGGATAGAAACCCGGGGTCTTCACCCGCGTGTCGCTACTATGGTCCTGCCCAGCTTCCAGTACAATCACACGTTGACTTGGGTCTTCAGACAGACGAGTAGCAACGACGAGCCCAGCGACACCTCCACCAATAATCACAAAGTCGTATGAAGCTTCTGCCATATTCTCGGTCCGTTTGCTGGGGTTGCGTATATTCCTACTCGATCTATCTCAGGAGGGATGGTTCAGTGAAAGTAGCTGAACTGTATAGATAAACAATTCGTAAATTTTCGTGCCATTCGGGACAAACACCTGATGTAAGGGAGACATGCCCCTCCTATGTTATGAAATCGTACCACCACTGACATTCGGTGTCTTTACGTGCATCATCTAGGCACTAGATTTCATGCATGTTTGTTGCCAAGGTACCAGGATCAGTTGATTACCTGCCTGTTGGTCGTAGACTTAGTTGGCTGTGTGCGCGCCCTACCCGAAGAGGAATGCAGTTATTTTTGGCACACTTCATGCAACAACGCGTCCTAACCGCACAGTATCGGCCCGGCTACTCCAACTGTGTGTCACAGCATCATGACTGCATGCCAGCCGTGTGGCACTAGATGCTGACCGTACTCGGCAGATTCATCGAATTCTTCATCAGCGATCTTACCTGCAAAGATCCCTGCAGCAGGAGTCAGATCATTGCGACATACTTGATCCTCTATTCTGCAACGCTTGCGTAAGTAGGTGTCCTTTGGGGTGCTGTTTGCCAGGCTGAATGTCAGATCGTCCCATTCGGCCATGAAGGCTTTGTGTCTGGCTTTCCATATTTACCACCAGCCGAAGGGTCATCTTGACCTAACAGATGTGCGATATTATTTCAAGAGATTGTTTTGAACATTCTGAACGACAGATTTCCAGCTGCATATCCATATCAAACAACCCGGCATGGCGCTGCCATTGGGAGCAATACAGCTCGCTGTGGTGTCTTTCATTGCTTCCACCCTCTCGATCACAGCGCTTGGGCTTCGGCTATGGTCGAGGCATATCCTAAGGCAGTCGTTACACTTCAATGACTACATGGCGATTGTGGCTATGGTCTTTACTGCTGGTGCTGTGTCGGTCTTTCTAGCTGGTTTGTTCCCCGAGTTGTCTTCGTTGCTTCTTTACTGATGTAAATCTGTAGCGGGTTTCGCTGCCGGACTCGGCGTCCATCTGCAAGACATTATGAGAACAGATCCAGGACTATTCGCGCTGCATCTCAGGGTTTGTCATGATCCTTCCCCTCCGTTCTTCCGCAGGCTTAGCTGACAAGCTGTTCTTCCAGCTATTCGTGCCTGCACAGTTGCTCTGGGCCGCAGCGAACACGAGTGTCAAGTTTTCGATATTATCGCTTTACACTACGATATTCCCCGAAAGGAGATTCCAATTGATATGTTATGGTACAATGGCAATATCTCTCGCATATTTGGTTAGCGTCATTGTGGAGGCCTTTGCCCTATGCAAGCCCGTGCAATACTCGTGGGACAAGAGTATCCAGGGAGGTACGTGCACCGGCGAGAATCTGGCATACCTCGTCGCTGGCATTACGAATCTCGTCATCGATGCTTTCATCGTCTCCCTGCCTATGCCGAAACTGTTCGGGCTGCAGATGTCGTTATCTAAAAAGGTCGGAGTAGCGGGAATGTTCAGTCTTGGCGCACTGTAAGTTCCCCCCGCGATATTCCGTCTCTACGTGATCTCATTACTGTGCGTCAGAATATGTGTGCTCTCACTTCTGCGTGTGCTCTGGCTTTGGAACTGGGACTTGACGGATATGACCTACACTGTCACACCAGGGGCCATTTACTCTGTTCTGGAACCGACACTAGGCGTAGTGAATGCGTGCCTCCCGGTCATTAGGCCCTCCTTGCAGCGGATCTTCGGAAAAGGGACCCTCAACTGGACGAAGAAGGATCCAGACGGATCCGACGCGTCGCAAACCTTTGGCAGCCGTCAACGTCACACATTGACAGGGGGCAAAGATGCCAAACATGGGGATTTCGTGAGACTGGCGGACGACATCTCGCTATCGAATATACGTGCAGCACCCAATCACCCTCGCAACCTCGCGGAGCGGGACGCTATCCGAGTCAACAGGGAGTGGACCGTCGACCATTCCCTGCCTGGGGGCAGGTCTGACAGAATCTAGAGAATGCTGCCGGGAGAATGGGTACCGGACGGCTACGAGTAAAAGTGCGCGGGTCTGTACATCATTGGTTCCCCGAGCTGCTTAATAACCATGGTTCCTGCGAATGACGAGTTTGGTCTGCTTGAAGCCGGGAGACATGGGTCGGAACCTGGCAGACCAACGTTTGGCTGACCATTTCCAAATGCACGCCAAAGAACTTGTAAAGTAGCGATTGACAAGTAAACGCAACATGCAAGAGTATGGAGCGCCAAAGCAGTTCGTCATACGTCTTATTGGTGGACAATACCCAAAGACCTGCAAATTGCGTCCCAAGGATCACGGAAAAGCAGTCGAGGACGCAAAACGTCGCCCCCAGCTTTGCCAGGATCATGGACAATCTGCGCTGGAGTATGTGCCTCTTTGGGGGGGCTCATGTACCCAATCAGGTGCCACTCCCGTGCCTGGACACCGCGGAATGCAGCCGGGCCAATTAGTGGCCAGAGCTGACCGAACAGTCGCCCCTAGGTACCGGACCATTATGGATCCAGGGCAACATGCTTGCACTGTGTGCACCATTTCGGGCGTTGCGGGAATTGCACCATGGCACGTAAGCATGCGGCGTATGCGCCTTGCGACCACACATAGCAGACATAACTGCATCACACGCAGCCTTGTGCCGTACGCAGGGAGAAACGCTGTTTAAGTTCAAGTGGTGCGCCTTAGCTAACGGTTTCTTGGGCATCATCGTTCGATTCATGTTCCTGGCGACGGTGGGTGTCCCACAAACAACGCAACATCGCACTGCAGGCTATTATTGCTGGGTCGCTGGGTGCTCGCTTCCATGTCTGCCATGCATGGAAGATGCAGTAAAATTTCAAAATGAAGGACCGATAGGACAAAACTCAATTCCATTGCTGGGCCCAATGATAACTGGCGACCGACATCTTTCCAAGCCTGCGACCGGCCACGTACATGAACCACGCCGCGAGGACACATGAGCAACCTGACACCGTGGCTATTTCACATGGATTGCGACACAATGGCCAGGGGAGGGAATTGAGCCGACCGACATGCAAGCATGAGGGTGGGAAGGGATGTACCAAACCCGCGCCCGACCCGTACCGGGGTCATCTGCCGTAGGTAGTTGCGCGACGATGGAATTGGTATCACGATAGCCGCCAGAGACACCAAAGCGGGTCGGTCCGGGCTCTCCATAGCCGTTCATGGGGCCGTGAGTGGAATCGACTAGGTCTCCCCCTGTGTGTTTGAGGAGACTTAGTTGTGGGTTTGATGGAAAGCGAGCTAGGGATTCAATGCCTGTCGTCTGGGATGACTGCAAGACCGGATTATCATCTTGCCTCATAACCTCGGCCAGACTCGCCAGTCAGGCCAGTCTGCTGCCAATTACCCTCCAACGGTGAGCGATGATTGTCGGTCGACCGTTACAGACTAAGCTGACAAGATGCCACTATGCAGGGAGCAGAACCCTGAAGCAGTGCTCCGTCATATGATAAACCACTGCCCAACCAGCCAAACGTAAATCAAGTATCGTATCGGAAGTACCGTTCTGGGATACGTGCCTCCAATGTGCAGTAAATCAGACTGGATCAACATACGATGACAGCTGGGTTCTGTATCAGACGGATCCACTCGGTAACAGCAAGGACCATGTTCGCCGGGGGCCAGGTAAGGATGATGATAGGGCATCCAGATAATGGGGAACATTAGAGCAAAAGTTCAGAAAAGTATGTCAATAGCATGTAGCCTGCACAGAAATCCGTGGTGGTCTCCTCCCTCCTGCTCCTCAGTCTGTCATTCTCGCTCGCCATGGAGCACACCAAGCAAGCCGGCCGGGACGTCTCGTCTCGGCCCAAGGCGCGTGTCCTTTACCAGGCCTACAGCTTCCTCAAATATCATGCTTACACGGCTTACTTGCTAAGCTGTAACAACATCTTTGACATCATTGTCTCGGGCTTCCTATTTGGTCTGATCAACGCGCCCATTGCACCTCGTCTCTCTTTGGGGCCGTCTCGGTCCTGGAGCCATCTGCTGAAGGCCGCACCCGGTATGCTCTTGTGGTCGTGGAGCAACCTCGCCATCTTCAACCTCCACAACCAGCGTCATGGTGCCGAAGAAGATGCCGTGAACAAGCCCTGGCGTCCGCTTCCTTCGAAGCGTCTGACACCAGCCCAGGCAACGTGGGCCATGTACTGCATGTATCCAGTAATCCTGGGCATCTCGTGGAAGTTCGGCGGCTTGGGTCCGTGTCTTCTTGAAGCGATATCATGCATACACTACAATGAGTGGGGTGGAAGTTCTGATCCCTTCTTGAAGAATCTCCTAAACGGGGTTGGATTCGCATGTTTCCTCGGCGGCCCCCTCGAGGTCGCTACGGGCCATTCGCTGCTCCAGGGAAAGGCGGCCATCTGGATGGCAATCCTCGCGGCTTCAATCACCACTATGTCACATGCTCAAGATTTCAGAGACAAAGAAGGGGACAGGATGGCTGGCAGGAAGACAGTGCCCCTCATCATCGGCGACACGAACGCCAGGGTGCTGGTCGCCACAGGAGTTCTCGGCGGCCCAGCGATAGCATGCTGGTTCTGGCAAGCTGGCTGGTCAAGTCTCTTGGCCTGGCTTGCGGGTGGTGCCATGTCGGTGAACTTCTTCCGGGACAGGAGCCAGAAAGGAGACACTTTATCGTGGAGAATGTTTCCACTCTGGCTGCTCGGCATGACTTTGATTCCTCTGGGAGGATTCTAATCCGGCCCACGTTTGTGCGGAGCTGGAGAACGCGACGGCCGCTTGGTGTCAAATAGCTACTAGGCTCAGCTCTCACCGCCTAATTCAAGAGCTTGAAGCTCGATATATACCCCCCTATACAGTTCATTATACAACAGAGCTGAAGATACTTGGACTTGGATATACAGATAACAGTGGATTTGAGAAAGACTTGACTTGGAGAGGAGGCATAGAGGTGGATGGCTTTAGACACTTTTCCTAAGAGTTTCCGAGTTTATGTGGCTTCACTTGGTCTATTTCTAAAAGATAAAAAAATTTATTAGCTTCGTGGTCTTCTATAAGCCGTGCAGTTTCTGCACAGCGAACTGCTGCTCGCTGATCTCTCCAAATCTAAATTGGTAGCGCCGTCTGAAAAACTGTGTCTTGTAGCATAGTACCTCGACCATGGTGCAACGTTTACCCCAGACAATACCCTGCGTGTTATACTTCGGTCATAGTTGATGAAGCAGCTCGATGACTATGCCTCTCTTCTAATACTGGAAATCCCTCTTGGAAAGAGTTATTAGACGGGATTTGAGCTTTTTGATACAAGTATACGGAAGATTTTAATCTTCATCTTTCACTTTACTTAACATTTCCATCGTTGTATGCAAACACCGAAGATTGAAGTCATCATTAACCGAGTGGGAATGGAACCTGCGTAATACTGGAAGTTTCCTTCAATTTTGACTGCTGTAAACTCGATAGCAAGCCTAATGAATTCCTAGGAAGCACACTGCGAATGCAATCTTGGCTTTTTAGCTCCACGTTATGGCGGATACGGTAGCAATATCAATCATCATTACTGGTTAACACCAAAAAGCCCGATCACTAATAGTTCTAGCTATGAGTAGAATAAGAGTGTTGCGAACCCTAACTTAGTTTCTACGATCTCCTGGTGGTGAGGCGTAAGTAACCCGATAACTGTCCCTTCGCGCCTACATTTCACCAGGGCCAGGCTGCTCTGGACTATTTTCCACAGGCACAACACCTGTGCTTCAACCCATGGTCTCATGGCGATAATATCCGCGACAGAAGCCACCGCATCCCATCAATCCGCCACATCCACAGGTAACACTGACCGGTCGCATGACTGCCTCAGGAGCCCAAGTTCCGCCTAGGCTCCCTCAACACGCACGTAGATGTGTACAGTCCCCCGCCGATGCTCTCAGCCAACTTGGAAACCACCGCGTCCTTGGTCTCAAACCCAAATGCCTCGTACACCGGCAGGCCGGCGGGCGAAGCCTCGGTCCAGCAAGCCAGGCCCTCGCGGTCTGCCAGGTCCGTCGCCCATCGCAGCTGAAGGCCGGCGGCGCCGCGGCGGCGATGCGACGCCAGGGTGCCCATCATCTTGAGGCCTGTGGTGGATCGATATCAGAACGGGGGCTGTTTAGATTTTGTGACAAAAATAGGAAAGTCAAACCCCGTTATGCCATGCCAAATGGCCTACAAGTGCTTACTTACGCATGTGCGGACGGCCGTCCATGTGCCTGTGGTAGATGGTCCGGACCTTCGCCGAGAACTCGGTCGCGTAGGCATCGTCCAAGCCCTCGGGGGTACACGGGCGCTCGGCGACGAGGCCGTCGGGGACGCCTGTGTGGCAGGCCTTGCTGTGAGCGTCCATTTCATTTCCAGGCTTCTCGCTTCAATCCCAGTGTCCACGACTACGCCACTCACCGGTGCGCCTCAACTGGTCCCCGGCGGTGCTATTCACGAACTCCCATTTGGAGTAGCTCACAGTCTCTCCCGTATCAGTATCGACGACCTTCTTGTAATGTGCGGACGGGTCGCAGTAGTTGCGCGGCCACCTGTATGTGGCGCCGGCCAGGAGCTTCTCGAACGACACGCCAGGGAACTGGGTCTTGTTGAAGAGATCGTCGTAGAATGCGCTGATGTACACGTGGGAGATGGTCGCGCCATCGCTGAAATCGACATCGCGGAGTTCTAGAGGCATTGCGCTATGGGGGGATTATTCCTATTCGTGATGGAGTGCTTGTACAGCAGGCCAGCATGTTCCGAACGTAGGGAAATCTTGGCATATTTATAAACAAGCTTGGACTTCTTTACTATCAGTATCATATACACTCAATGCGGAAGTTGTGTGCAGGTGTTGGTTGTCGCCCAATAGCAGAGGTCAGAAATACGGTTGCCTGATATATGCGTCTCCTCTTTCCATGATAACGCATGTCCAAGGCAGGGTGGATTCAAGTTGGCGCTTTACAAGAGTGAAAACCCAGCTCGGCAGGCGGAGACAGAAAGTGCAAAACTGCATTGTCTTTGTAGCTGATGATAAAAAGTTGGACGAGTAATTGGAGAGCGTGGTGTCTAAATCCAACGAATGCCATACGTCAAAATTGAACTTCTTAGCCAATTCGAGAGGTGAGTTTTCACATCGTAAAACATCCGTAGTCCGCAGGGTGTAGTCGTAGGTGCAGCAGATCGTTCGAAATTTGCAGCGCGCGACCGGGAAACACGGCGTATCACGCACAACTGAGAGCAAAAGAAGGCCGTATGTGTATATACGTGGTCAAGGTCATCAATGACTCAATTCATGGAGATCATAATCTGAGAAACCATGTCGAATTCCTAGGACATGCATGCAAAAGCCATTCCGTTTTTACCGTTTCCCTGTCATGAACCACAAACCCCAGACACCATGAGACGACGAGGACAAACTACATCTAGGTAGCCTTGGCAGTCTGGGTGGGGGTCACCTTCTTGCCGTCCTTGTTGTAGCGGACACGCGGGGGAGGAGCACGGTTGCGGCGACCGACTCTCGAACGGACACTGTGAGGAATTGTCAGCGGGAACGTGTTCTCGGGTTCGTGGGGGGAAATATTCGTCATCGGGGGGAGGCTCGTGTAGGATCCAACCAAGGTTCTTCTCAGCGGCACACTCGTAACGAGTGGTTGTTCCCGTGCGGGCACCCTTTGACGGGACTTGAAACATACCGGACAATCTTGCCGTGAATGGCGCAAGAGACACAGTACTGCAGCTTGAGGTACATCTTGGGGACGGTGTACTCCTGGAAGACGGAGGCATCCGAGATATCACCTGGAAGGGGAAGAGGCAAGGTCAGCGCATCGCAGAATGGGAAATTAGGGAGCAGCGGGCCAAGACTAACGGATGGCAGCGGACTCGACCATGTTGCGGATGGTGAAGCGCTTGATTGCCTTATCCTTGGGGGTGCATCGCGAGCAGTTGCTGCAGCGGATGGGCTTGGTGTGGCCGCGGCCCTTCTTGTTGCGGCCGCTGTGGGAGAGAGGTAGATGTCAGCACATGTCTTCTTCTTTCTCTTCGTGCCTTTCTTTCAGGACATGCTGTCCGTGACCGCGCGCCTTGTCGAGGCCCGTCTTTCCACGCCGAGGAGCAGCAAGATGGGTATCGACATTGCGCGCGTCGAAGGTCGCGGGCAGCACGGCGTGATGGGTGATGGCAGTGCGGGAGGGCGGGCGTACTTGTTCTTTCTCTTCTTGACCATCTTGACGGTGTTCTTTTCCTGGCTGTGTCGGGGAAAGGAAGGTGTTCGTGGTTGGGTTCGGAAGTCGAGCAGCAGTCAACTTGAAGTTGTGCACCGCTTGCGAAATTCCTAGTGGGCCGTAGCGGGCTTCTGCGGGCTGGCTGAAGTTCGGGCCAATTGGGGCGGGAAAAAGGTGGAAAAGAGAAAAGATTTCTGACGCGGGCGGCCCCCACCAGCGCACTGGTTTAGCGAAAAACCTGCCCTGCGCCCGGTTGAAAACGAGCCTACTGCACGCCAATTAGCGCGCCGTGGCCACTGTCCACCGTCCACCGCCACTGTAGCTCACCCCCAGGGCACAAGCCCGCAGAAACCCTACTCGGCCTGTGCGTTTTCCTAGCCCCGAGGCCCCCACCGCCGCGCTCTGAGTGGCCAGGCCCGCGGCAGCCCACCACGGCGCAAAAGTTCCCACCGCCCTGGACTGGACGTCGACTTTTCTTCGAATTTCACATCATCAATCCCGAACTTCGATAGATCTACATCCTGCTGAGGAAGGCAATAGCAATATTGTCTAGGTACGTGCCCGCCCATTCCCTCTGCGTCGGCATCATCATGGCGGTTCATCTGGCCTCGCTCTCCTCTCCCTGCTCTCTGCGCCGCGCTGCGCCATGGTCGCCGCTGCTGCCACCCGCACCGCTTGACTCGGTTCTGCCGACATCTCGGGGTCGGTCGACCGTTGGTGCTTGCCCGGCCATGGACTCTGGCGGACCCAGAGACGAAGGAGAGGGCGAGAGAGAGAGAGACGCACAGAAGTACTCGTCGTTGATGTCTTCATTTTCCCGGAGTCCTATCTAACATATCTCCCGCGATAGGCAAAATGCAGATCTTCGTCAAGACCCTCACGGGCAAGACTATCACCCTTGAGGTGGAGTCGAGCGACACCATCGACAATGTCAAGTCCAAGATCCAGGACAAGGAGGGCATCCCCCCGGACCAGCAGCGTCTGATCTTCGCCGGCAAGCAGCTCGAGGATGGCCGCACCCTGAGCGACTACAACATCCAGAAGGAGTCCACCCTCCACCTGGTGCTGCGCCTGCGTGGTGGTGCCAAGAAGAGGAAGAAGAAGGTCTACACCACCCCCAAGAAGATCAAGCACAAGCGCAAGAAGACCAAGTTGGCCGTCCTCAAGTACTACAAGGTCGACGGTGATGGCAAGATCGAGCGCCTCCGCCGCGAGTGCCCCGCCGAGACTGTAAGCTACCTTTCCTCTGCGTACTGTTTATGTCCTGGAAACTAACTCCCCATCCCAGTGCGGTGCCGGTGTCTTCATGGCTGCCATGCAGGACCGCCAGTACTGTGGCCGCTGCCACCTGACCTACGTCTTCGACAAGCCGTAAATCTTTTCTCGACTCGGACAACGACTTGATCGAGGAGGAGAGGATTTTGCAATTGCATTGGGATACGACGGATACATGGATTGAGGAGGCCTCATCAGGTCCCCCCGGCGTTTGATATGGCGTAGATCCAGAGTTGTAGTTCATGGCAATCAAAAAAAGGACTTGACAAACACCCTGACCGTGCCTTTTCATAATTCTACGTCCCTCCGGAACAGCTGCCATCAGTGGTGAATAGAGTTATGCCCTCGCATTTTCGCCCTGTGACAGATCCGCCAACATGCTACTCAGGGGACCATGTTTCATTCCATGTCCCGTGTCATTCATCTCCTGGCCGGGGCTGGTCTGCAGGTCTGCAGTTTTCGCCATCGCCTTCCGCCGGGGTGCCGAGCCAAGCTGTAATACCTGCTTGCCTTTATGGATATGTAGATAGCCATCGCGGCTCGTCACGAATTCCTGGCAATACACTGGCTGCCATTTGCCCCCAGATAAATCAGGCCTCCCAATGGGGTCTTTATGTGGCCGTGCAGGGGTGGTCCGTGTTGAGCCACACATGACGCCACGCCATGTTGTGGGGCACCCATCCCCAGCTCCAAGCAACCTGTCAACCTGTCCCCCTGCCCGCAAACTTGAGCGACGTCATCTCATCCAGCAGCAAATGAAACATCGACCAGTTCAACGAGCCTGCGCGCATGGTGCACCCCAAATGCCAGGCAGGCAGGTTGCCTAGGAACATGGGAAAGCAATCACTTGTTATGTAGCAAATGAGACCGAGGAGCTCGGCATAGGCGGCGTCCAGCCAGCCAACTAAAGCGTGGTGCCGTTCTGCCGGCCGGGGAGCTGTGCATCGCCACACACAAGCTCCAAGCCACGCCCGTCAACCTGTGACAACGGTGGTCCATTGACAGCCAGTATCCGCGACACGCAATGCCAATGCTTGCCCGCCCAAGTCGGTCCATGTTGGATTCTTATAAAACTTGATGCCCAAGGCCTAGACACACAAGTAGATGCCATTCCTCCATCTCTCTCGTGCCACTATCATCTCAGTGACTGTTCTCTACCTAGCCTTACTTCTGGGCATCATTCTCCCCTCTTCTTGGATAGCACCGAGCAGTCTACAACTCAGGTTCCCTTACAACTACATTCATACCAAGTTCTTTGCAGTCATGGGCGGCGGACCAGAGCACGGCTACCGTACGGTGGCTTACTTTGTGAACTGGGCCATCTACGCTCGGAAACACCGGCCTCAGGACCTGCCCGCTGACAAGCTCACCCACATCCTCTATTCCTTTGCCAACGTGCGTCCCGAGTCGGGCGAGGTGTTCCTCACCGACACCTGGGCAGACACCGACATCCACTGGGAAGGTGACTCGTGGAACGACACCGGCAACAACCTGTACGGATGTCTCAAGCAGCTCAACCTGTTGAAGCGCAAGAACCGCCAGCTCAAGGTCCTACTAAGCGTGGGCGGCTGGACATACAGCAGCAACTTCAAGCAGCCCGCCTCAACTCCCCAGGGTCGGGCCACCTTTGCCAACTCGTGCGTCGAGCTAATCAAGAACCTCGGCTTCGACGGTATCGATATCGACTGGGAATACCCCCAGTCCCCTGCCGAGGCTGCCGACTTTGTCGCGCTGCTGCAAGCCGTCCGCGATGCCATGGATGCCTACAGCCGTACCCTGCCAACCCCGTATCATTTCGAGCTCACTGTTGCCTGCCCGGCGGGTGCACAGAACTATGAGAAGCTCGACCTCCCGGCCATGGACCGTCTGCTCGACTTCTGGAATCTCATGGCCTATGACTACGCCGGCAGCTGGGACCAGCACGCAGGGCACCAGGCCAACCTCCACCCCTGCAGAAGCAACCCCCAGTGCACACCGTTCAGCACTTCCGCGGCGCTGGATTATTACACGTCGCACGGCGTGGCCGCCAACAAGATCGTGATGGGCATGCCGATCTACGGGCGCGCCTTCCAGAACACCGACGGGCCGGGCTCCCAGTTCAGCGGCGTCGGCGAGGGAACCTGGGAGAACGGCGTCTTCGACTACAAGAAGCTGCCGCTCGAGGGCGCCCAGGAGCACATCGATCAGGAGTCCGGGGCCAGCTACTGCTACAACCCGGCCACGCGCACCATGGTCACCTACGACACGGTGGAGATGGCGCGCCACAAGACCCAGTTCCTCAAGGACAAGGGGCTGGGCGGCGCCATGTGGTGGGAGAGCAGCGCGGATAAGGAGGGAGACCAGAGTCTGATCGGCAACGTGGTACATGTCCTCGGCGGGCCGAATAGTCTGGAGAGGAGGGAGAACTGCATTGTTCAGCCGGCGACCAAGTACGATAATTTGAAGCAAGGGTTTCCGAACGATAAATAGTTGGCTGGCTATCTAACATACAACCAGTGGGATAGAGCATGGTTCGAGCTATCTAGTTCAGTTCAAGATACCAACAAGAACGAAGAACAAATATTCTCATTGACCTCAGATTTCAACCCGCTTTCCAGTAAATGGCTTGAGATTATCAGTACACCTGTAAGTCATGGCTGAAGAAACCAAGTGGACATGTTTATATGCGTGCCGACGTCTATCTCCCTGCTTACCCACTGCTGCACAACGCCATCATGTTTGGACTGTTCCAATCCGTTGCGTGCCAAGAAGTCGGTGATAGTGCCATACGTCTCAGGCCATGTGTAATCCTGCAGGAGGTAGAGGTCAGCGTCCCGATAGTTGCGAGATGAGATGTGCGGGCCGTGCTCGACGGACAGAAGATTATTTTGTTCTTTTTCACATGGAGATGAGATGCGTAGGATTATCACTCACCAAGTTCAGACCATGTCCGCCACCGCTGATGATGCTGGCCTGGAAGGCAGTCGTGCAGGGGAAATACAGACGAGATATCTCCAACAAGTTCTCAGTGCTGTTGGGTGTGAGAGGAGCGTTACAGTCGCCGCCGCAGAAGACAATGTCGTGTTCTAGGGAAATCTTGAGTCAGTCTCGTTCTTGCTTTCAAACATTGTTTTCCACTCTGTTTCTATCACTTGATTCATGTACATGTAATACTCGTCATCGTCAAAGGTAGACTCAGTCAGGCTCACCTCCAGTAACGACCAGCACCGGCGCTTTGGTCTGACTTATTTCCATGGCCTTGTATCCGCCCGTTGCGACCTCACCAATCGCTAGCGTCTGGCCGGCCTCGAAAGCCGCATCCAGCATTTCGGGGTCAAATGTCCCTGGGGCGAAGAAGACAAAGTGCACCGCGACTTTATCGGCTTGCGCCAGGTACCCTCCAGGGTAACTCGCGAACCGCGGGATCGTGCGGGCCTGCACCAGGTGCAGCCCCGTCGTGGCCAGGGGCTGGAAGTCATCGACGTGGCTGAAGCCCGTCAGCACGAGGCCGTCGGAGGCGGCCGGGTCAATGACGGCCAGCGCGTTGGTGATGGATGACCCGAGTGAGTGCCCGACGTGGACGACCTTGCGGAACCCGTCGGGTCGGCCGATGTTGCTGATTGAGCCGTTGCGCGCGAGTCGTGTCAGCTCGTGCAGCGCCGCGACCTCGAGCGGCAGCTGGATCTCGCGGACAGGGTCGCCGCGCGAGGAGCCCGCGTGGCCGAGCCGGTCCCACGACAGTGTCGCGTAGCCGTGATCTAACGCGAAGTTGACGTAGCTGTAGTTGTGGCTGTGGAAGGGGAAGTCCCAGTAGCTGCCGTCGAAGCCGAAGCCGTGGGTCAGGATTTGGAGGACGTCTGGGGTCCCAGAGTCCGGCTCGCAGTAGACGGTCGACAAGTTGAACGTGCCGGAGACTGTGGCTATCTTGGGAGCGTCGGCCACCGTGGTGTTGCTCGCGGAGCTCGCATACCGTCCAGCCGCCAGAGTGCCGAGGAAGAAGTTGGTGACGTCGATGTTTGTTTCAAAGGACAGTGGCCCGAGGTTGGTGTTCTCGGCTGAGATGCTCACGGGGACTGTGATGTTCTTGCAATTACGTGCTGCTACCAAGGGTAGTGCCATGGCGGCGAGCGCCAAAGGTTTAAACATATACATGGTCGGCGTAAACTGATGAATGACGACTTGTGGTGATGTTATTCACATAATTGTGGTGGGTATCTGATCTGTACTTATACTTTCGAGAGGCAGCGCATGGCTGTCCAGGATGTCTACTTCTGCTTATGCCATGTCATGAACAGCACCAATATGGATTCTAGGACAGTTTGATACCCTGTCATTATGCCCTGTGTAACCACAATACCAAGAGACCTATTTCAAATAATTCTTATTTGAAATAACAGCCGCATTTCATACGTGGCAATGAATTCCACCGATTGGCTGTATTCCTTAATCAAAAGACCCATGGTCTGTAATCTCCAGCTGAGAGTATGTGACACTGTTTTGCATCGATATCAGGACAGTAAGCTGATCGATTTTCGTCGTTTCTGACTATTTCAAATACTTACCCAGAAATGTTGGTCATCCGCTGCGCGGCTTACTTCTCAGGCCCACCCATTGTATGCCCCTTGGAATGGGTACTTCCACATGATGCTAACCGTCAGCCGTTGCCGATACAGCCAATCAAATGGTGCATGTAATATAATATTTGCTGACACATGCCGGTGCATACTGATTATCCAACATGGGTAGGATAAGTCAGTGTGCGGTTGCTGTTGACATAAGTACAGCCGTTTGGCGCCCGCAACCAACCAGTTAATGGTTGAAACAGCTGTGGCTAGACTCAGAGATTCTTAGAATTTCCATAGAAGGAAGCTACGATAATGCAACTATACGCGTGCAACTACGTGATGGCTCTAAGTTGACGTCCCATTTATATGGCTACTACTTTTCGAATCCTGCAATGTGCAGCTTGCAGTTTGCAGTACAGTGAGAGAAGCTGTCTTGAGCACATGTATCTCCTCCTTTCCGAGGTTTACGCTATCGTGCACTGAATGTAGCATAACACTTCTGCTAAGTACTGCTATGTCGTGCTGGGCTTCTCTAGCTTTGATTCTCTTGCCTCGATTCGATTCCTCACTCAAGTCCTTAGTTTCAGAGCTAGGACGACCGGACCCTAGGTCTTCGGTTTCTTCTACGGGTCGAAGTCTTCTGGCTTTGTGAGTCTTCACCGCGACAGCCTTCCGCTGGCCTGGCATAACGAAAGCTATGGTCAAAGTCCAATTAACTTATTAAACGTTCGTAAGACCCCAGCAGAGAACACCTAAATTACGAAAGAGAGTATCGGCTGATTCGGTTCTTTAAGCCGTCCATGACTTGATATACCAAGGCTAAGTTGCCGCTTGACTTTGTTCCTGGCTGTTGTCCGCACCGCCGCAGACCTCATACTGCTCGCTAAGGTTTTGTCCTAACAGTAGGTTGCTAAGAAGATCATTTCAGTTGATAGCCACCGAGTCCAAGAACCAGAGAAGAATTGATATTGGCATGCAGAGCCGTGGCAAATGCTGGGTTGGTCGATGGCTGTTGGCCCGTGGTGATTAACCGTACCTACAGTACCTAGGTATTTTCTCATCCCAAACCCACTTCTTGGCTTATCCACCTAGATGAAATAGAGAGCTTCCATTGGGTATTCTTTGAAGAGCTGCGAAGCTAAGGATTAAGGTTTGCCCAGGCGGGAGGGTCTGACGGCAGTGATTTCCCACAAACGCCAAGTTAGTCAGTCACCTAACTACGCCCATAAGCGAATGGCCATAACCGAATAGGTTCTTTAGAATTTGAGGGTCTTGTCAATGCGTTTCTCCATAGAGTGCAACGGAATTTTCAGACTCTTGGTCAGTGTCAATAATGTGCAGAAATGAGCGTGGCGAAAGGATTCGCTCGATTGAACGGGGAGTAAAACCGTGGTTAAAATTCTAAGTCAAATTTCTTTCCTCGGGTCCGATAGGTCTATGGTCTCCACCGAAACGAGGGATGCTTCCACTCCAAGTTCTGGATCTCCTCATCCGACAAGTCAACAAATTCATCCTCGACGTTCATTCTGTCTCTCCGTCTATTATCCCACCTCATAAAGAACAGTACTGAGGATCCAATGATAACGATTGCACTGGAAGTTGCGAAGTTGAGACCATTTCCAATGTGATATTCGGGCCCATCCCATGACTGGAAAGCCCAAGTTGAGATTAGGCTTCCGATATTCCCAAAGAACATTGTAACAGCGATTGCCATGCTGCGCGCGGAATCGCTATTTACGTTGGCGGCCGCTTGCCCGTGACATAGGGCCCCCAAGGTGAAGGCCGAGCTTGCTATGAGAAATGTTGCGATGTACCGCGCAACCGAGTTCAGTGTGACTAAGAATATTAGGTAGCCTGCCATCACGGGTGTAACAAAGATGATAATGAAGATCTGTCGGGTTTTGAAGTGCCAGCTAAACCAACACACGGTTATGACGGATGCAGTACCAACGACATAAGGCGGAACAGTTAAGAGCTGTTGCTGTATGACAGTTTTGTCGGGAAATATAGTTTTGACAATGGTCGGGGCGAAGAAACCAAGGCCATTGACCGTAACGCTCTCGAGCATGAAGATTATGGCAGTGGCGATTGTTACAGGATTAGCCACACCCCGCCAAAGCTTCTTGGTGCTCATTTTGTCGATAGCATCGCCGGCATGTGGCCTCTCAGCCATGATGCGGCCAACGACTACGTGTTTCTCGGTTGGCGTCAGGAAATATGCAGTCTCCGGACGATCAGGGAGGACTGCCAGAGCCGCCAGACCGATGGCAACTGTGACTATTCCTTCAAGAACAAAGATTGTACGCCACGAACTCGCACCGAAGTTCCCGAAATGCTGAATCTTGAGAATGCCGGATGCTAGGAGACCTCCGATGGCTCCCGAAACAGCCGCCATAGAAATGTAGATAGAAAGACGAAAAGTCAGTTCTGCACGAGTATACCATCGTGACAAGTAATATGAAAGGCCAGGCATCAGGCCACACTCCGCGATGCCAAGAGCAAAGCGAGTACCAGCTAGCTGTGGGTAGTTCTGGACCCAACCGCTGGCGATAGAGACCAGACCAAACAGTACCGTGATCAATGGTAAGAACCATGCTGGTCCCATTTTCTTGCAAAGGATAACGGCCGGAATCTCAAATAGGATATAAGAGATGTAGAAAATGCTATTTACTGAGTTGAAGTCGTTGCCTTGCAAGCCAAGGTTCGACTCAAAGTCAGCGAGCCGGGCATTTCCGATGTTGGCGCGGTCGATGAAGCAAAAGAGAAACATCAGCGAGGCCATAGGAACAATAATCCAATCAGTCTTTCGTCGCGCCTGTGCTGCGACAATTTCTCTCAGTGGTGATTCGTTCTGACCAGAACTGGCCAGAGCGAGCCCTTCAGCTTCGCATGTTGCGTGCGCATCCGCCTTTTTGAGGCCGAGATCCATGGTAGTCTGAGACAGCTCGTACGATTCCCGTTGATGAACCTGTGTCTTTGGGAGCTGTGCGACAATCTTCTTATTTCGCCTGTGTACTGGGAATAAGAGTCGGTCAGTCAGCGAGACTGACCATGCATTAAAAGAAACAACTTTGGAAGTAGCCAACAGATATGGCCTTTTTAAGCGCAGTCTTCATGCTTGACAAGAGCTCGGCAAATGGAATGTCCACCGATGTTTCAATCTGCCGCGATTGGCATGATTAAGAACCCGCGGAGAATGGTGCCTTCCTGTACGGTGGGGGTCCGTTGCAACAACCCTAGTCAATTAATTCGGGGCGATCCGCAACCTGCTAGTGATGCTCAATTTAATGCCAAGAACATACTCAGTCCCTCACGACAAAGATGAACCAAGGGTTTCGTCACACCAGGGCTGCTGCTGCACGGCATGGCATGATCTCGGGGGAAATGGACAAAATGATTCCGAGGGTCAAGACCGACTTGGAGACCATTATCAAAATGCGAACTTCGTGCTTCTGAAGCTAGTGGAGAGGCCATATGTTTCGTCTCTTCTCATGTCTATATTATTTGGAAGAGTTGCTGATAGTAAAGTCAAGTCACTGGACATACTGTAGGCTAGGTTCGAAACACATGGGAATTGCATCACCGGAAAGCAACTTGATCAATCTTTCCGCCTGTCACTTAGATTGCTAATCGTCACTGCTTGTTGCTCCCACATGCAGTGAAGTAAGGGATCCAAGCTACGCCGCAACACTTGCTGTCTGTGTCCCTAAATTACACCTGCTTTACAACATGGATAAGTGTTCTCTGCAAGTGCTCTCTGTCTTTCAGCAATTTCCCCCCACCAAAACGTAATTCGTGACAAGAGTAACCGGAAAATATCCGGTATCAACCACCGCCGTCTTTCTTGTAACAATGACCCATTCTAGCACATATAGAGACTCAACTGAGCCCATTGAGACTGACGCTAACTTGGGTTTGCTAGTTGCAATTGAAACTCTCATAGACATCACATCGAGCCAATGGCCACTTTTCGTTGTCAGAGCAGTGAGTGAATCCTATCCCGGTTGGCGGAGTGCCTTCATTCGCAGTTTGTGCGCATAATTGACTAATTCTGAGAGTTGATTGCAATGCCAACCCAGATGACAATTTATGCATCACTGAGAATCGAACAACTAAATCGAGAGGAACTCGAGTTTCCAATACAAAATCGCCATGCCATGAAGCATCCAGATCACTTCGAACAATTACTGCCTGACAATAGACCCGTACCAACTGTGCAAGAGAAGGGACACCTAGAAATACTTGGAGCTCAGTTATTTTTGGGCGGATGCGAACCAATTGCCAACCAGTATCACTGTGCAATTATGTTCTCGTTATTTGAACGTCCCACGAGAGGGTATGACACGCCAAGAACATAATTTGCAATGTGTTGGAACTTCTTAGGCAAACTACTTTAATCTTCGAGTTTACGCCCTCCTGTAATATCGTACTGGTTTACATCTGCAGATGGTTCATCCGCAGGGTTGCAAGGAGCTCTTAACGCGCCAAACTTTCGTCGTATCCATTCTCCGCATGTCATTGGTGATTCCGCCTCTTCCCCGACGTTTCGGCTTATAAAAGGGCTGTCCAGTATTCGCAACGTCGTTGATTCACTGGGCCGTATTAGATAGGCCATGCTGTACCTTTCCTCCATGGGCTGACGTGGCAATGGGCCAACTCGATGGAGACAGCTTTTGAATAACCCGTTGGTCATTTTGGTCATGCAGTCTCCAATGTTCACAACGATATGCCTTTCTCGAGGTGCCACGTAATGCCACTTCGATTCTGACTGATTTTCTAGTATATAAGTGTCATCGAACGGTAGCACTTGCAATCCGGGTGTCGACGAAAGAACCATCGTCAGGCTTCCTAAGTCCGTATGCGCAGTCTGAGGTATCGGTGAATCAATCGATTGGCTGGCGGGGTATCTCAAGAGTCGCAACATAGTCGGGGAGGGCTCTTGAGGGGCATGGAAGTTCTCAAAACAACTGCCCGACTGGAGGCCAATACTTTCTGAAAGTGACCTGAAAATAGTCCGACTTGCGACGTCAAGGCCTTTGAGAAAAGCGGAGAGCATCTCCATATCAGAACCAGGAAGAGATGGACATGCCAACTGGCTTTGATCCAGCTCTAAAATTGCGTTGCGAGGAAGCTAGAATGCTACTTGAACAAATTGCTGCATGAAATGGCCGGGAGATTCACTTACAGCCCAACTTTCAAACCGATCTCGACTACCATCCTTTCCTACAATATTGCGTCCGATAGGTTTGTAGCCATTGATCTTGATTTCGGAGACCTTGTCCACATCAAACGAGTTCTTCGATACAAGGTCATACTCAAACAGTTTTTGGGCTAAACCATATGTATGTTGGACTTGACTCCACATCGAGTCGTATTCTGATTCTGAGAGATCAAGGTAGAAAAAGCCGTCCCTCACAGCTGCGTTATACAGTGTCTGTGATTCAACAACAGAGCCATTGCAGAGTTCTCGTAAGCTTACGGTTCTGAGATTGGCAGTTCTAACCGTGGGAGACATTTCTCCTATTCTGAGCGGGCGAGAAAAACTGGGATCTTTGGCGGACATAGTTGGAAAAGTCTAGATGAGCGATAACTATCCTAATAATGCACTGGAATGGTTTCCGCTTGTACTATTCCCTAATTATAACACTCCCAACCAGGCTCTGTTCCCGAGGTCAATTTCTGGTGGTTATGTATTGGAAACCTTGGCATGACCAGCTCAGTTCCCGAATATTGATGCCGATGAGGCTGCCTAAAACTCTCCTGCTTGCCCACTGTGACCTTTTGAGTTATGAAATAGTATTGGCGCAAACTCTAAAGGGCTGATGGCCTTTTTCAGAATGAGCTCCTGGGCCGCCGAGGGTAAGGTCCGTTACACACAGTCACGGCAAGCATAAAAGGAGCTCACACTTCGTTTTTTCTCTCTCTCTTTAATCCAGCATGCATTTAGAGTCAAACCACGAGCAGAAAATTTCCAGTATTGGCTTGGCTGTATTCGAAAGAAGAAAGTACCTGCCAAAAAGAATCCCGCTTGTCACAATCGTATGTTCCGAGTTAAGGAAGATGTGGAGACGGCACATACGAAATGACGCCTGACGGCTGCTTGGCAAGCATCAACATGGCAGTGCTTTATCAGGGAGATCTCGCACGGGTGGCATAATTCTTGCAAGGAATCAAGAACACGCTGCACCTCCGGACCAAGCTCAAGAATCTTAAATAATGAGGCATCATCATACTGCATTGTCCTGTTCCTGTTATTCTTTCCAAGGATTGAGACTGTGGAGTTGCAAATAACGGTTCTGGCAGATGAGAACGGACTTCGCGCCTTGCCGAACAATTTTTTTCCAATAGTAGGAAAGACAATGACTCCTCTTACAGATCAAGGTTGGACACAGAACCCCTTCATCACTGAAACCCCCCACCCCCCAAACCCCCCAAACCCCCTGTCGTAAATGAAGATAAGAAACAGACCGACGATAACCATCAAAGTACATGAAATTATTATTTCTCACGCTCCAGAGGTAACCAGCATTGCTATCCTTACAATCGGTAGTCATATACGATCAAATTTGTCTTACTTGCAGTACAGGTTCTAGGAGCGTCAAGTCTGGCTTATATCCTTGCCAACGATTTGAACTGTGCCTGCAAGAATAACTTCTCCATGAATGATGAAGCAAATAACTCGCTGGAGCCGCTGGGAGGTCAGAATTTGAGCATAATCCCCAGACAAGGCACGAGTTCTTATCTCTTGATTGCGCAAGGGGTGAGCTGGCTTTATTGCGCCGATAGCATGGCTCGCGTTGTTCATCACGAAATAATGCACCCCATCTTGCGACCACAGGCTTCCCCGGGAGTTGTCCTATGACACACTTATTACTATTTCGCTCGCGACTAGAAGATGTAGGTAAGTGTCGAAAAAAGCTTTAGACTTATAACGAAATGCATTGGATCCTTCGACCTTGGCTTTACTCTGACCTGGCACAATCCTGTCATCGCGGGGTCGTCTGGCGCAATGTGGGGCCGCTGCGCCGCTTCGTATGTTGTGCAAAGAGTCGATCGCAGATCGAGCGCAATATCATCTCAGCGGCGACGACATCGAAGTGACGCCATCTGACTGATACTCTCCGAGGGATGCGAAAGTAGAAGACCCCGTGCATATCGTGTCGCTCTCCCGAGACTCGCGCCAAAGGTCATAGAGGGTCAACCCTACTACCAACGGACAAATATGAGGGCAGCCACTTTCGTCGCTGCAACATGCGCAGGCGTATTGTGTGCTTCAGCTATTGGACACAATCAAGCACCACTCCACAATCCTTCATCAGTCGAGGCAAATGGGACATCGCCTCTTCTTGCACTGCATAAGAATCTGGTAGAAATAACATCGACCTCGGGATCAGAGCGGAATGCGTCAGATTTCTTGAAGGCTTATCTCCAACGCCATGGCTTTACCGTGGAGACTCAGGACGTGGAAGCCAACAGACAGAACGTCTATGCCTACCTGGGTAGTTCGCGGAGCACACGAGTCCTGGTCACTTCTCACATCGACACCGTGCCTCCGTACTGGCCGTATGAGCGAAAGGGCGACGAGATCTGGGGCCGCGGCTCAGTGGATGCGAAGGGCAGTGTAGCATCGCAGATCATCGCCGTGGAAGCGCTGATTAAAGATGACAAGATTGCCGAGGGTGATGTGGGCTTACTGTTTGTAGTAGGAGAAGAAGACAGCGGTATCGGGATGCAAACTGCCAACAAACTCGAGCTGTCGTGGGAGGCTGTCATCTTTGGTGAGCCGACCGAGCTCAAACTTGCGAGTGGCCATAAAGGCGGCATTGGCTTTACGATCAGAGCCAAGGGCAAGGCTGGCCATTCAGGGTATCCCGATGAAGGCAGAAATGCCATTGATTTGCTGGTTAACGGCCTTGCGGCCTTGCAGCAGCTCAGATTGCCAAGCAGTAGGGAGTTCGGCGAGACTACTCTAAACGTCGGACGAATCGAGGGGGGCGTAGCGGCCAATGTCATACCCGAAGACGCATCTGCGACAGCAATGGTCAGGATAGCAGCTGGAACACCGGCAAGGATTATGGGCTTGATCCAGCGTGCGGTTGCTGAGGTGTCCTATGACCTGAGCGTTGAGTTCAAAGCTGGACGCTCCCCAATCGCTATAGACACCGACATTGATGGTAAGACAAACACCCAAATGCACTACTACAGAAATCTGACGGGAACTAGGATTCGAAACAATCGTTGTGAGTTATGGTACAGATATTGGTAACCTGCAAGGTGACCACAAGAGATATTTGTACGGTCCAGGGACGATCTTGCTCGCTCATTCCGACCACGAGCACATCAAAATCAAGGATCTCGAAGATGCAGTTGAGGGGTACAAGGCCCTAATTACAAAGAATCTAGAGCGATCAGCGAAGCCGACCAACGTGTAAGCATAACCATAGTCTCTTCTGACGGTGGATGAATACATGCCACGGATGTTCAGAACCAACCATCACTTTTATGAATAGCATCTCTCGCCTAGCAACTTGGAGAACCACGTCTTGGTGTCTTGTCATTCACTTTTTCGGACAAGGAACCCGTAGGCCCAGCAGCGGTAGGTAGACAAGGGCGGACCGCATAACTTTTACTCCCTGCACGTGAGCCAACGCACAGAGGCCAACCACGCGAGCAAGTCTTGGCCTTGTTCAAACGAATTCCGAATTATGCAAGCGTGAATACCAGTGATTCAAGGTCAGTCTGTGATGTTGCTTCATCACACAACATAGAAAGGCCGGCGACGACTAGCCCTAGTGTTCACCCTAGTATAGAGACCCCAATACGTCGCCGACACTCAACAGATGACTAAGAAATTCAGCATCTTGGCGCAGCGGAAGCGTAAGACAACCTCGCAATGACTCTCTCACACACATTATCTAATAATAATTTAGGCGCCGGGCTCATATTCAAGACACCCGGAGGACGCTGGATCGAAACCAGCAGATGCTATCGCAGTCTCTCCACTTTCTCTTTTTACATTTTATTTTTTTGATTTTTTAGTCAGGGTGGGTGACGAGTCACTTGCTTGTCTAGAGTTTTACCACTACCTGGCTGGAAAGTTGTATCTTCAGTGCTGTTAACGGCCCGACTGACATCGCTTCACATGGTCTCCCATGTCAGGATATCTCATCTCGATTAGTATAGTGGTCAGTATGCCAGCTTGTCATCGACAGCGCGCTGGAGACCGGGGTTCAATTCCCCGATCGAGAGCTTTTTGCCGTCTGCTGTCTGGCTCGATGTGTTCTGCTGGGCGGCTTTTTCGCTTTTGCACCGATTGAGTCTCCCCCACGGTGCAGGATTTTCTAAATGGCGTATAACTCGTGTCTTTGTAGCGTGTACCTGTCTGACAGCCGCCTCCAGCTGACGCGTGCCAAAAGTTTTGCTCCTCTTTGGCTTTGGCCTGCTTGGTACCAACAACCCCACCACTCAGCTGATAAGCAGGCAGATAGCAGATAAGCCTGCTGATAACCAAAAATTTCTGGAACCGACAGAACGAGGACCAGTGCTGCCAAACTTTGGGAAGTGGGAATAGCATCAAGCTGTGGCCGGCTGCTGCAACACGCAACACACAACATCCCCATAACAGCACAGCACAGCAGGTCGTCCCGCCATGCCGAAGCCACGCTCGAAGAGGCAGGCCATCCGCGATGAGCGCAAGAAGAAGCGGGAAGATGCTGAGGTCGATTACGACACCGCCGACAAACCCGCCAAGCGACAGCGCATCGACGAAGCTGGCCATGCGAACAACGTGACGGACGATTATGCCACATACGAGGATGGCCCCCGAGAACCGTTCCAACATGCAGGGGCTGACCGGCCCGAGAAGGAGTTCTTTGGCTTGCTGTCGGATCAAGAGCAGGAGTACTTCCGTTCCGTCGACGAGCAGCTCGACATCGACGACTTCCCTTCCCAGGAGGAGCGCGATATGTACCTGGCCAATGTCTTCGTTGAGGCACAGGGCAAGGAGCTGAAGCTGGCGTGCAGTCAGTCCTGCTCCCGCCTTATGGAGCGCCTGATCCTTATGTCCAACTCTCGCCAAAAGAAGAAGCTGTTCGAACAATTCGCGTCGCATTTTCTCAACTTGATACAGCACCGATTCGCCAGCCATTGCTGCGAGACCCTTTTCTTGCAGTCCGCACCCGTGGTCACGCGAGAGTTGAGCGGAGAGCGGGACGATGAGCCAACCGAGGGAGAAGAACCAGACTCGCAGCCGCTTCCGTCAATGGAGGAGCTGTTCCTTCTCACGCTGGACGAGCTCGAAGGCCAATTGGGCTACCTTCTGACGGACCGGTTCGCCTCTCACACCCTCAGAGTCTTCCTGATCATTCTGTCGGGCCGGCCTTTGGAACAGTCTGCCACCAAGTCACTCATTCACAGCAAGAAGAAGGAGAAGATATCGGCGCCGTGGATGTCCGCTGCCACAACAGACCAAACCGGTGGCCTGCGTGCTGTGCCGTCATCTTTCACCGCTGCAGCCAAAAAGATCATCATCGACTCGACAGACGGCATGGATGCCACGGCCCTTCGAGTTCTCGCTTGCCATCCTACAGGGAATCCCGTTTTCCAACTTCTGCTCGAACTCGACATTGCCCTAAATCCCAAAGGAGAGGGCAAAGGCGAAGGCCAAACCGACGAAACCCCCACTGAACAGCGATTACTTTGGCGCTTGCTACCAGGAGCCCCTGCTTCTCTCAAGGAGTCGGGGTCACCCGCGTCGGAATTCATTAGTGCCATGACATACGACCCGATCGGGTCGCGGTTGCTCGAGACCCTGATCACGCATTGCCCTGGCAAGCTTTTCAAGGCAATGTTCAAGCACAACTTCCTGGACCGAATCCACAGTCTTGTGCGCAACGACATTGCATCTTACTCGGCAATTCGCATTCTCACCCGTGTCGGTAAGGAGGATTTGGTTGCATCTGTACACAAAATCCTCCCGGAGATGCCAAAGCTCGTGTCGTTGTCGAGGTTTAATGTCATCAAGACGCTGTTCGAGCGCTGTCAGGCTAGAGAAGCACAACCTGAGATAGCATCTCTGCTGAGAGCCTTCACGGCGGCTTGCGGGTCCGATAAGAAGCTTCTAGTACCCAAACTCTGCATACCCGAAAAGGAGGTCGATGCAGAGAAGCCAAAGCAACAATCACTTTCCAAGAACCAGTCGGCGCTCATATCACATGGCTCCCACCTAGCGACTACACTCTTGTCGATTCCCGGTGCGCCATCCAACGCAATCCAGACATCCTTACAATCTCTGTCGCCGGAGGCTCTGATGGGCCTTGCGACGTCATCGGCCCCTACAGCCCACGTCCTAACCGGCGCTTTCGCAACGTCTTCACAGAATAAGGCGTTCCACAAGGTCCTCGTCGCGTCTCTGATGCGCGACCTGATGACACTTGCCCAGTCCGAGCATGGCAGCAAAGTGCTTAGCGCGATCGTGTCGATGCCATCAAAGAGCGACGGCATCAACCTTCCCTTCCACCTGAAGGAGCAGATCATGAACGTGCTGGGCGAAAACGAGCAGGAGTTGCGTGACTCGTATGAGGGCCGCCGTGTCTGGAGGACGTGGAAGGGAGACATCTGGAAGACACGCCCCAGAGAGTGGATCGCGTGGGCCAAGGAGGTCGACGCTGAGGCCGTTCAGACCAAGGAGCCTATCTGGAAGAGGAAGGCCATGACAACGAATGGGAGCAACCCTAATTTTGTCAAGGTTGATGAGGAGGCAAGAAAACGCAAGAGGGGCGAGGAGACGGCAGAATGATATCCCTACTTCAAATCTAGAATGACTCGATTTTGAGTGTGGGATGTTATCAAATGCAACACTATGATATATCTACCTTTGTCCTGGAGTGATATTTCAGTGATCTCCTGAGATACGCATGTGGAACTCGCATAATTGACTACCGCGACTTAAATCTAACCCAATTGTTTGCCATGTCCGTCGCTTCGCGGCCGTTTTGTGTTCATGTGAGCCCGACTCGCAGCTGGAGGGTGCATGATGTAGGTTTATGATCACGCCTGCCTGAGGCCCTCTGGTAGGGTGGATTTGTAAACCCTTGTCACGCTTATGCGCATAACAACGACTCAGCCACCCAACAACATTCACGGCGCCTAGTTTAGGTTTCAGGTTGGCACAAGTGTTGCTGGTTAGATTCGTAGCACAAGTCTTCCTTCAATATAATCTCACAACTTGAGAACGGACATTCGAATTGAACTTGATCAGAAATGCCAGCCCACAACCCTGCCAGCTTGTCAGAGGACCCGACCGTTAACACCACCAACGACTCTACAAAAGACGTAACCAATGCGCCAACGGATAAGGCCAACGATGGCTCAACTATCCACGATACAGACGATTCTTCTGACATGAGGAAACGAATGCGTTCAGATGAGTTCATAGAACGTGTGCGGAAGCGCATGTGGAAGGAGTTGGACGATGACGCCGACGTCCCAAACCTCGACTACACCGAACAAGATCCCATCCAACGCTCGCGGTCACGAGTGCGAGAACATATGGAGCGGGCCTCAGCTCTCTTTTTCGTTGAGCTAGCACCACCATCGACGGCAAGAGGAGCTCGTTGCCAGTTTGTCGACTGCGACAAGAGAATCAAAGAAGGCGACTACAGGATTGCCGTGGTCCCGGGCATGAACAACGTGTACCAGAGTCCAGGCAAGTAAATCATTAGTCTATTTTTTGGCTTCGATACTCTATAAATAACTGTTTAAAAGACCTATACCATGTGAGCTGTTTTGAAAAATTGGTGGATTTCTCGAAGATCGAGTACATAAAGCGCCTTCAAGCACTGACCAGGGCAACTGTCTTTGCGCGTGGGCTGAAGCTCTCATCTATGACATGCGGCAACCATCTTCTAGATGGCGGAGCCGAGAGGCTTGTTTTGTACTGGATTGAATTCTATGCGCCGCCTGATTGCGCAGCGCGATGGAACTGAACAAACGCTGATGGACCCGAAACTAAGAGACCTGCTCAACAAAGCTGGTTCAGCTTCTTTCAAACCCGAGAAGCCGGATGGGATGACAGATTTCGAATATTTCAAGCTTTGTGGCCTCCTTACGACGATTGAGAGCGATGGAATCGAAGACAAGGAGGAATGGAACCTGATTGACCAGTTTGTTCCATTGTCATTCGATAAGCTTGAAGACTTGACTCAAACCGACAGCCTCAGTTCTATGCTACGAACGTGGAATCTCGCACAGGTACGATATTGTTGCCCTGCACAGGTCCTGGTATGCACTGAGGAAGGGCGGCTCACTGACGGGGGCAAAAGGTTACGAGCGGAAGTGGACGAGAAGGCTGCCAGAGCCATCAGGCGCCTCGGAAGTATTCCGATGCCGGACTTTCAATCAGCTCTCTTCGACCGGTACTACTCGAGACGCTGAAATGTTCGCCTAGGGTTTCGATGCAAGCTCTTCGATGATTTATATCTTGCAAATTAGGAGTATAAAGCAAAATACAGAATGCAGTTACTCTACATAATGATACATACGCTCTAATGTCACCACAGGCGGACTGAGGCTCTGCTCAAATATCCTGTAATACCGCGAAGATCTCAAACTGGGGAGGGGATGACAGCTCTCCCTACCGCTCTTGCGTTTGCTAATTTTATGAATGGGGTGTGGACCAACCCCCGCCTCGCGAGCTGCATTAGTTCATTGATAGAAATTGAGAGTTTATAAAAGGAAATTAGTTTTCTAGTTAGTTGTACCTAACGTGGTAACTCTTCATTGGCTGCGATAGCAAATTGGAGGTGGAGTCAGCAACACTAGGTAGGTGCTGTAATAAGCCTATTAACGCCGTTGTGCTGAGCTGACATCATGGCTCTTCCTTCTCAAATGAGGCTGCGTATGCACAGGTCGTTCTCTAAGGGTTATTATTAATGAGTAGATATTGAATGTAGTACTAATCTATTGCTTTCTCGGCCGAGTCTAGTCGGGTCGACGATCATGACTGAGCTAGCTCATCCGTAGCTGAGGTATCTACATGCAGGCGAACTAGCTCAGCCGCTGTAAACCTAACCTACAGGTCCCCGGACCAATATTGTCTCATCAGATGAGTTCTAGAGTGACAGAGGTTGCACCAGACGTTTGGCCAGGGTTACTGGTCACGTACAACGAAGGCAAGAGAAGGCACCAAGCCCGTCCACCAGGTAGGGCACCCAGGACTAGTCACAAGACGCCCTTGAAACCCACGCGATGTCCGTATAGCAAGGCCAAATACCCCCATTTTGCCCAGCACCTACCATAAATAAGAGGATTCCGATCTGGGTCGTCCATGCCAGCGTGACTTCAGTCATATATATATGAGAAGAACAAGAAACTTCCTGCCAGTAAAAAGACTGGCAGTTGTTAGGGTTCGCTGCCACCTCCAAATGAGATTGTCCTGGATTCAAAGCGCCCGGGGCAGCTGCAACACGCGGAGGGAATTTTATACAAAGCGCGCGTTTACCACCGTAACAAGTCAACGAGTCTCCCACGATCCACGTGGTAGTAGAGTTGGACTACACCGACCCCCCTAGCCACCCATAAGAGCACCAGCTAACGAAGTGTAGCTTGTTGTATCCGCACAAACGCGGAAAACAACACCTGGGTTCTTCCAGTCAATTTCGTATTGCACCGCAATCGTAGCCGAGGTAAAGTCCACTCAGCGATTGCAGAAGGTAATACAGAAACGACACCATAATCTGCCTTCAGCTACGCGTTCTCTCCAAGTTGAGGATTGATCTTCCAATAAAAACCAATATAGCCTGCAATGTGACTCTGAAGCTATGTGATGATTTTCGGCCAGCACCTGAAATGATACGATATATGCATAGTGCCAACGATTCGTGGTTGATCATGACCAGAACAGGTCTGGAGGCATGGCATTCAACGCTAGTGTAGTCCAAACGGTTTGGGCCGGGCCGTAAGGGGCGCCATTTCGAGCCTAGTCGCCCATATTATTATCAGCTGAACACTGCTCCAAGAGTGGCCGATATCCGACGCGCAGGCTCTTTCAGCTCCATTATTGGTGACAAGATAAGCTGACTTCGAGCTGAGCTCGCTGTCGATCTGCCAAATTGGATCTGGCCAAAAGCCAGTAACACTGGCCGTAACACTCCCAGGGTTCGCGCAGATCGCCTAGACGGTTTTACTTTTCCCTCTTGCTTGAGCGCATATAGGCCGCGGAAGATTGGCTCAAATATCCAGCATATCGCCTTGCGTGTCCGAGACAAGGCTTAGGGTAGTCACATCGCTATGTGTTTAAGTACCGAACTCAGACCGATAGCTCGCTCCCAGACTTATCCCGAATGGTAACGTGCTACGGAAGTGGGATGATTGAGCAGTGTAACGGGAGGGTTGGCGACTCTATGACTATCTCGACCTACAATTGACCTCTTGCTCGTGCTTAATAATTTGTACAATTGGGACAATTGATACTGTAGTATAAGAAAATCGAGAAGTGACGTATCGAAAAACGAAATCTCCTAAGTTGATCTTTCTCTTATTCTATCCACCATGTTAATTACTAGAAAAGCCGTGATAGGGAATCTGCCAACCTCCTTGAAATTTGGATTTACTTTCTAGATCACTATCTGTGCGCTTGTCTCTCTCTATGATTGGCCAACTTTGGAAGATGAAGCTGTAAACAGTACATGTGTCTCATTTCAGCGGCGCCGGACTGGTAGCTCCCAGATCCGCACGAGTCAGGGCTAGGTGCACATCTGTGCCCAGAACTACTGGGTACGGGGGATATAAGACCAGGCACCTCTACGACAGTCGAATTCACCATCAGTCTTCGTTCGTGACAGCTAATCCTACTTAGAATCCCACTTCATACCTCACTCTTCAGTTGCTCAATTACAAGATGTACGTGTCCCACTTGAGTGTTCAAGTGCAACTCGTTTCATAACACTTCATAGGTTGTCAAGCCGGTTCATCTACCTAATGGGTCTCTTCGCCACCTCGGGGGTAACTGCAGCATGGCCTCATGTTGAAGCTTGTTGCAATGCCTGGCCAGGTAACTGGAACGAATCTCGAGTGAAATGTTGCTTGCTGACGGGTATGTGCTGCAGGTGAGACCTGTGCCTACATTGCTGGCCACGCCCTAATTTCTGGCATATGCGAGAGCTCGTGCGAAAACGATAACTGTTCAAATACCCTCACCTGCCAACCTCGTCGCTGGACTCCGCACTGCGTTGGATGTGGTACCAAGAGTGGAAGGCGGGGCTACTCCGGCGATTATGGGCCAACTGCCATTTGAGTTCATAATTTTGACTCTAGAGTGCTGACTGAAGTGAAGCCCTTCTGGTTTCGAGAGATTCGATGCAGTCCTGTATTCATAGCATGGTCTGGCCACAATCACTGGGACCATATATGCTGATGAGATAACATTACCTCTCAACTCGTTTCTTGTCAATTGTTTGCCTAAGTTTGTTCCAACCTCATAATCCGGCAGTTTTTCATAGCATATCTTAAGTCCTTCACTCGATATAAGGCCCAACACCTTCCAAGAAATTGCAATCGTGGGATATCTTGTGAGGAAACCCCCTGTTCGAGATATGGGACGCCCATGAGCCCAGTTTCCAACTAAGAACTCTAATAAACGTCCAGAGGAACATCATGAAGATCTTCCAGCGTGAGTGATGTGTCACCCCTGTCCGGGTCGGCTTTCTGGACGTCTGCTGTTTCACTTGGACACCGGGACATCGACTTGCTAAATGCGTGACTCGGTCCCGTCATCACTCGAGTCCATCTTGCCAGTTGAAGTTGTATCTACGCAATGTCGCACTAACAATGGGGTTTGTACCGTGTAGCCAGTGGAGCAATGTGAGCTCTATATCAATCCCCCGGCGATGATATTCGCAGTTGATTGGACCTCGTCAATCTGCGGCTGGGATTAGACGGCAGCACGAGTTCACCGCACAATTTTATTTTTAAGCAAGAAGAATAATAAATCGAACTTGAAAGACATGTTTGGAAACGACTAATCAACGAATGGCCCGATTTTCCCTGCGTTGTAGGAGGAGACTACCTAGATTCTCAATTTGGTAATACTGCGGCTTTCGCGGATGGGTTGACAAGATTTCCTAACTTGGAAGGGGTTGGTCTTGGCATCCACCTCGAGGCTTCCGCCACCAATTTAAGATAACAAATTCCTACACGACCATCGCATTTGTCAATAATCAAAATGCTTCGGAGCTGACAAAGACATCCCGGAAAGGAAGGGGCTCCTCTTGGCATCGACAGTTGTAGACTTGATAGGGCTCAAGAAGAACCATACATAAGGTCGAGGTTGGAACCACTTGTAGAGAGATGTCTCACCATCAAACAAGAACTGCTTCATTTTATTAACAGCAGAACCCTCAATCCTTACACGTACCACTCCATCCAGAGAGCTTGTACCACACATAACACAATGGCCGCCCCTAGAAGCTCGTCCATCAACCTTGTCCTTGGAACTGCCAATGCAAGCCCCCCTAGCACCTTTGGGGCATTCTCAGAATACTGACACCTGTAAAAGATTGGAGACAAATCAAAAGATGGTATGGTTCGATACGATACTCCAGAAGAGGTCAACCATCTCCTCAAAGCTTTCCGTAAGCGAGGCTACAACCATCTCGACAGTGCACGTCTCTACGCCGCGCACGCCATTGGAACCTCCGAGCCCAGACTTGGTGCCGCCAAAGCGGGCGATACTTTCACGATCGATACAAAGGTCAACTCTAGTCGAGAAGGTGGCCACTCGAAGGCCAATATCCTCTCAGAAATCAATGACTCCCTGAAAGCTTTGAGGATGACGCAGGTCAACATTTTATATCTGCACCTGCCCGATCGCAAAACAGATATCAAAGAGACTTGCGAAGGGCTTGATCAAGCCTATAGAGAGGGTAAATTTAAGACGTGGGGAATCTGCAATATCTCTGCTTCTGAGGTCCAGAAGTTTATGGACGTGTGCGAGGAAAACGGCTTTGTCAAGCCTAGCGTGTATCAAGGACAGTACAATGCCATTGTCCGAGGTGCCGAGAAAGACCTTTTTCCACTGCTTCGCAAGTATGATATGCCGTTCTACGCATATAGTCCCGCTGCAGCTGGCTTCTTTGCTGGCAATCATAAGGAGGGACGCGAGGGCAGCCGCTTCGATCAGAAAGTTAGTCTCCTAAACATTGTCTCCCTACATCCCGACATGAGCAACACCTAGCTTACCAGTACCAGCTCTTGCTCGGCGGATTATACAGGAACTTTTATCTGAAGCCATCCATCATGGCTGCTACTGAGAAGGCTTTGCTGAGTGCCTCTAAACATGGAATTAGCGGACACGCCGCCGCTCTACGGTGGGTTGCCCACCATAGCACCCTGGAGCCTGAGCATGGCGACAGTATTGTCTTCGCTGCTTCCAGTCTAGCACAGCTCAATGACAACATCGACTTTTTCGAGGCAGGGCCGCTTCCGGCTGATGTAGTGGAGGCTTTGGAGGCTATCTATGGAGCCATTGGTGAAGATGAAGTATTGTATCATATGTGAGATGAAAGAGACTCTTTGGGGAGGGTGATGGTAGGAAGTGAATTATGTGGAGTTTAGTTCTTTACTAGGCCACATGAGGAAGGGGTAAGTCTTGGCATGGCTCCAGGGCAGTGTAAGAGGAGACGGATCGGGCGCAGTCTGAAGAGTCGCCTAGTCTCACCTAACCACTAGATCAATTGGAGGATCAATTGATTACAAATATCCCTTTACTCCGAGCTTGGAGGCTGACGTATTTCCCTTGACGGCGTCAACACAAATTATCTGTAAACCCTTTTCCGGTAATGATCCATTATTGAATCCAGTTTCTCCGATAGGTCATCAAAAATGGAGTTTGTGGTGGTGCAGCCCAATGCTGCAGTCTCGGCTGAGACAAAACAGCAGATCAACAAGCATATTGCTCGCACATCGCATAGGCGGTTACGGAATCTCCGTGTGAACCAGTATCAAAACAGTCTGCGCAGTAAGCCGTCGAAAGAGGTCACACAGTGCACTGTCACACGTGCACATACAATAGTTGAAGACGACCCGATCGTAGCGAGGCATCAAAAGATGCTGATATGGTCTCCGAAAACCGTCACGAGTTTTGTGCCGGCAACGAAGGACATGGTCCCTTTCGGGAAATTGCTAAGGAGGTCTGCGCCTAGAGAGCAGTATTTGCTACAGTATTGTGAGTTGCCTCATAAGTCAGCCTGTCTCGGAATGAGGCGAGTCATTAATGTCGAAGAGTAGATGCAAGTGTAGCTCTGCCGTATATCAACGCTAATTGTCCGATCGTGGACTCACTGGGCCAAGAACACAATTACTTCAGAACCAACTGGGTCTTCCTTGCATCGGAAGAGAATGAGTACTATAGAGGGTTTCTACTCTCCGCTTGCCGCCATTTGTCACTTGTTCAACAGAAGCACCAGTACGCCGATTTAGCGGTCGACTATAAACTGCAATATATCAGCGAGCAAAGAAAGAACGTCGCTGCCGGTGGTCCAGCGGCAGCTCGCAGTGCTATCACCATGGCGTTGGTATTGGGGTTTGACGAGGTAAGCAAGCAACACTATCCGATTTAAGCGGCAGTGAAGAAGTTTGCGCGACAGTAGCAGGGCTGACATGCATAGATCATGCTTGGTGACCTGAATATGGCATTCAAGCATATTCTCGGCGCTTCTGAGATCATTAAAGCAGCCGGGAGCCCAGAAGCTCTCGGGCTGAGCAAGTTCATCCGCTACGTCCTGTACTTTTGCCTGCATGGGAATCGTTTGTTAAGCTGGGAACCTCTTCTGTGTTGCAGCTCGTCATTTATGAAGCCGCATCTCGCAGGCCTCTTAATTAAGGATACCTGAAACCTTCGGTGGCGTTGAGATGCTGGGTAGCATTGAGACCCTGAAGTCTTGTTGAATAGTCATCCTATTCGTGGTAATCGGAGAACATGTGGCCCTACTTCTGACGAGAAATAGTTGTTCCTATTCATATGAAAGGAAGTGTACTGCATTTTATCGATTGTTACGATCGTTAGTTGGTACGTGATCCTTGATAACTTTGAGCAATGGCGTACCGCCTTGAGGTGGATTGTGGTGCGGTTCGCATCCTGACGCAGTATCGTGATTAGCTCGCTATGAGAAAAGGCTACCTCGTGTCCCAGTGTAATATAGTGAGGATAAAAAGCGGCGCGAGGTCCATCATACAGCAGGCTAAGGAGGCTCCAATCATTCATAACCACGAGCTCAGCCCCAAACAGTCATAGCGATGGTGTCACATCCCCAGAAACGAGATTGAGATGTGACCAAGCTACAGTATTCGGCACAGCGATGGCGTAAGTTTGAGTTCGCAGATGTAGTGGGTTGAAAGAACGAATCCATACAACAGGTCCAGTTTATTTATATACAACTTCTTCCAGTACTATTTGTACAGCTTGTTACCTAGAGTATGAGGGGAGTATGTAGTTGCCAGTTGGCACAGTGTGAGGGAGCATCTTTATTGTTTCTTTTGTCAATTTAGTACAGTACCTATAGTTAGCCACTATTTTCGTTCGGGGTCGGCTTCCGCATGAAGTAGCATTTAGGTTGACGAGCGCCGCCCTGATGGCCCGTTGCGCGCTAGTGAGTTCGTAGGCCTACACTACTTTAGACCCGCTATGAGTTATTCATGGAGGATGGGGCCGGGCCTGTCTCATAAAACACCAGAGTGGCAGACCAGGGGTTGAAGATATATACGAAGCGTGCAGCTCGAGATCATAGATCAGCGCTCCGCCCCATGCTTGGCCACCCACCAATCTGACGCGCGAAATTGCCAGAATCCTTAGCGAGCTGGAGCAGTGTGTTAGCATTGATGTGAGAATTGAGGGCAAATTGCGCTCTGCGACTTTTCTACTCAACGATGTTATAAAGAAGCCTGGCCCCTTCAGGGGAGGCTTTCGTCATCCAACTCGGTCTCCGCTTTAGGCCACGTTCACCCTCTTTTTCTACTCTCGCTCGTTCGTATTTTTCGCTCATTAACTGCAATATGAAGGTCCAATTCGCCGTCGGTCTCGCAGCGACCTTTACTGGTGCTTGGCAGCCCGCCGCGGCATTGCACTCCCCTAACATGGCTGCAGCCCCACGGCGGCCCGCGCGGGCTACTGGCACAGGTCGTCAGGGAGTTTTGCTTCCCGACACAGATGTAGCATTCGCGGCAGCTTTTGCAGAAACAGCCTCGGTTCAGGGAATTGCTACCACTGAAGAAGTCGATGGAGTATATGGCACGTGTCTCGTGGTACGTCGCGTCGCGCAAGCATTATCGACTCAAAGTACTGATTCCAACTGCCTAGGCCACTAACGCCACGATCTCCGACTGCGAAGCTGTCATCGACGATATTGCAGCAAACTCTGGGAACCTCTCAGTTGCGCCGGGGTTTTGTCTCAACTGGTGGGAAGGCGGCTGCCAAGGACGGGTGTGCGGGAAGAACGACCTTTATGAAGCGGATGCCCAGTCCGTCGCCAGCACGATGAAGGGGTCAATACTGGATACCTGCATTGCCAACGGGTTGACTGGCGTTGCTGCCGACTGCGCAGACTACAAGGGTAGCTGTGGGACTTATCGGCTCTTCCTGCAGACTTTCGCTGGGATCTAATAGAACGGCACTGACGAGGGCGGTCCGGGACGATTAATAGCTAATGAGTAATCTGAGTCAGCAGCTCGGACCCAGCCTCCAGCTCCGAAGTCCACTCATGTCAAAATGCTACTGGCTCCGTGTACCCTGTCTTGTGTGTGAGAGTGCCGAGGTCTGCAAGACGTGTTGGCAAGCGTATTGAGGTTTGTCTAGCTCTGCGTTGGTAGTCCTTCAGTCTAAGGTGACTGCTGGAACAATCGCCAGAGACGATATTATTTCGCTGCATAACGTTATGATGACAGCTGTAATAATTGCACCAAGGCAGACAATGACGTCAACAGTAGAGTGCGGTGGTAAATTCCATGCGTGATGCCCCTGATAATGATTGGCCTTTATTACCCGATATGCCTGAATGCAACGGCGGCAGGTAAAACTTCTACTGGCGTTGACGTTTCTCGTGGGGTCACCCCGACCACTCTCAAGCCATCATGGACACATTATATGACAACTAGTCCACTTGAGGTTCCCAATTTGAGCCTCTGCCATAATATTGGTCGTAGCTAGGGATGTATCTTAACGGTGTTCAACAACGACTCTTCTCACCTTTGTATTCACTACATAGACAGTCGACCCGATGTGAGCGATGCAATCCAACATCTGACGTAGAACGAGACCTCTGTATCAATCGACTGGTTTTGAATTGAGAGTTTTCCGCTAATCAAGGCCTGCTAAGATATACAGCAATGTCTTCGAGACTTCAATAACTTAGCAAAGAGCCGGCTAGAGGCAACCCTAACCAAATACATAGCACCAGAAAGGAAAATCAACATTTCATTAATTTCATCATAGTGTCGAACTAATGAACCCCTCTCTGTTTCTGTTCCTCCGAGACCACCATTTGGTGGAGCAGTAGTTGTTGAAAGAAAACCGCTATCATACTAGGTGCTTAGGCAGCAGCAGTTGATGCCGCAGCAGCGGTTGGTGCAGCTGCTGCGGCAGCGGCCTTGGAGCTTGCCTTGGCCTTCTTCTTTCCCTTCTTGTTCTTCTTGCCCTTGTTCTTCTTTGGAGAAGGACTGCGACTCTCGAGATCATCCGCATCTCGACGTACCGGAGTCTCTGGGGCAGTCTCTCGCTTTGCAGCGGCAGAAGTAGCCGCCGCAGCAGCAGCAGTGCCACTGGCCTTCGCCTTCTTCTTGCCCTTCTTGTTCTTCTTTCCCTTGTTTTTCTTGGGCTCTGGGATGGGGCTGCGGGCTTCGATATGATCATCATCATTACGAGCCTGCCAGTGTTAGACACTTATTATCTCCTCGGATATGCACACAATACGTACCTCAAGTTCAACAACCTCCATGGCAGGTGCCGCCATGGCAGGCACAGCCGCGGCGATTAGGGCACCCTCCAAATCTGTCAGTAACCACACAGGTCGGACACTCTCTGATTTGAGCTTACAGCATAGCGGAGCGACAGAGCCTGGGTAGCAGGTCCGGTGAAGCCGGCAACGGAGGCCGCTGCGATAAGCCCGGTGGTAAGGAGACGGATTGTAGTTGGGGTATGCATAGTGAAAGTTAAGTTCAAATTGTTTTGGAATGTGAAAGTAGCTGAATGACAGAAATGTAACGAGAAGTGATGTGAGTTGCAACCAGGCAATCAAAAGAGAAGAAGTGAATGATACGACTCTGATTATTAAGAATGATGGATATGAGAGTGACGAGCGTCCGCTGTTGTTTTCGTCGACAGCATGGCGGTATTTATATTTCTTGGCGCCCCTAACAGACACGGTTTCTGAGCAAAGACAACCCATTGCGAATTTGGCACTGGTTTCATGCGGAACCCAGCAACGTGCGCATACTTACAGACGGAATAGCTGGGATGAACAGTTGACGGGGTGCAAGTTTCAAAACCACCTGCCATCTTGTGACATGGACGCAACAGCCGACTATGGGACCTCGAGGCAGTGCCTTTCATTTCAAACCCAGCCGAGCCGATACCCGCCTCGAGAAGCATTTCAGATGCACCCAAGGCGCTCTTCCTTCGTAGATTATCATTAGTCCTTGCGGTGCCGCTTTCCCGGGGTATCACACGGTGGTGGTGGGGTGGGTTCTTGTTCCTTGGCACTTGGTGTTTCAAAGCTTGGCGTAGATCAATCTCTTGGCATCCGAAGTTTCAAGCTTGGCGCAGATCAGACACTTCGCGAACCACGTCCCAACTTTAAATTCACGAGGAGAAACCGATATGATTTCTTTCAATATATGTCAGATCCTCGGTTTGGGGTTATTGACTCGCCTACATCTGCACCCTGGCGCAATTGTAATGTAATCAGTACTCCACAGCTATTCATAGATCCCCCTCCTTACCCCGCGAAAGTGTTGTACATCCTACTTGTATGGAGTACAATATTAGTAACAACAAAGGCAATATTGACGCCCGCATTGACATCGTCAGGCGAGAAAAGATTGCTTGCCTGCATTGGTGTTCTTCTATGTTATTGCTACCCTTCGCATACCTCATTTTGGGAGAGCCCACACAAAATGATCGCATGATGAGAGAGTTATGCAGCAAGGCAATAGATTGTTGCCGTGCTCACTCATACAACCCACATGCACCAGATAACGGGCGATGTGGTGATGCATTCTGTCTTAATACCAGTAGCCTAGGTACAGATATTCTCCATATTGCCTGTGAACGATCCATTCTGGTCCAATTCTAGAGCACCGTGGAGGCAAAGACAGAGGATATTGTATCTAGATAAGTGGGTGGGTGCTACGTCTTGAACTAATCCAAAAGCAGCAACAAGCCTGCAGTACCTAACGAATGAACGAGGTAAAGCTTCAATCTTGAAAGAGAGTCATCGGTGGTATCCATTACACTATCCGCAATAATCCAACCACGTCTACGAAATCATACCGGGAAGCTTAGTAACCCCTGCAAAGGTTAGTGTATGATCATAGAAGTTTGAGATTTTCAGTATACATACAGCCGTCGGTCTGTTCGCCAACCATATCCTTGACGGTGCACTGGTTGGCCGTGGCCATGGCCTGCTTCTTGATGGACCCGCAGCCATCGTAGAAGCATTCGGACTTGTTCATAGCGCGCTGGAGCGAGTCGCCCTTCCAGCCGAACATGTAGTCGGCATGAGTGCCGTACCCGCTGCTGCCCTCGAAGCTCCAAACGAAGGGGTTGGGAGCGCCAGACGGCCAAAGGCTGTTGAACTTGGTGGTGTCCCAGACGGTCTCGTATGTCAATTGCGGCATGCGGACAGGGTGCGAAGAAGGGCAAGCGGGCGCATTGGTGAAGCCGTCATACTTGATAGTGTTGAACATGTGAGACTGGTGATCGGGGCTGTCCAGGTTCTTGCCATCCCAGCATCTACATACAGTCAACTGAAGCTCTCATTATATGTGAAAGAGATACTAACGCCGGGAAATGGTGAACAGTGAAGATGCCGGCGGGACAAGGCTTAAAATCGGTCAGTTAGTCAACAAAAATATGATTGACGGTGAAGCCTCTTATGACAAAAGAGGTTGAAGCGGCTGGCCCATATGTTCTTTTCTTACCTTGGTCGGGAAGTCGACCATTTCTGCACCTCTGTTAAGAAGGCTTTGAAGGCAGTTGTATCGCAACCCAATGTGGCCCTTTGCTTGAGCCAGAGTATCTGTGGTCGGGCTGCCAACAGTCATACGGAATCCCTACTGGCGATCAGATCCCAAAGCAACGAACTAGAGGCAAGCGATCTTACTGGAGGGAAAGCCGTGATATACTGGTGCTTTAGATCATCCGTGCTAAAGTCATGCTGAGTGTAGTAGATGGTCATTCCCCCTTTGGTACCTGATGCAAGAGCGGCATTGTTGGTGACCGGTACACGGTGATATGAGCCGTTGGTCGGGTGCTTGAAGTATAAAACGGCCGTCCAGTAGTTGGAAAAGTCCTCAGCCATCTCACAAGTAGTGCAGGTACCCCTCTCACCAACATCGCCCGTCATGGTGGCGTTGAAGGCATTTCCACCGACAATATGATGCAGATGGGCAGAGGGGTTCTTGCCCGGTTCGACAACAGGGTCGAGGCGTTGGATGGTCAGTGATGAACATCCAAAACGAAGTCCGGCCTGGACTTGCGCGATAAGGGCAACGATGACGACTGAGACTGACTTCATCTCGGTTGCGTGATCAAGTTTGACGGCGATGATATGCAGAAGCAGGCGAAGCAGCGGGCGTAACCTGGTGCCCGCCAACTCTTATAAATACGAGCCTCTCGGTTCAACCCATTGGAAAGAAGCATCGATCTTACTATGATTGGCCAGCTTCTAACTATCTGCGCCATCATAAATAGCGACGCTTTGTTCCCAACCTATTGCACCCCGAGGGAGTCGCAAGCTATCCTTGAACGGGACATATGGCGGCAATGATTGGCTCTTTGATAGATCGGCACCCATCCCTATGACCAGAACTAGTTTTGCCGGCGATATGGCGGATGAATTAGTATATGGACCAAGGCTGCCCGACCGCTTTAGTTTGGTGCGGTAGATACCCTGGGAGGCTGTGGGGTCACCGGCAAATGTATTTGGGTATATACCGATCGGTATACCCATCCGCATTGGCTCGTTCAACTGCTGTCCTGAACAAGCATCTAAGTCTCCTTGAAGCCAACTACTGTACCGGGAGATTTTGGTAAGCCAATAATCAAGAGTCAAAACTTGGCTGGTCATGAGCTGCACCATACCTCGATAAACCCTAGTGAAAATCGTTCGAAAGGATTAAGCTCTGGATGGTCGAGAAATGAGAAAAGCATTTACCAATATCAATGACTTCGACAAATCCTGTGACCAGCCTCATCTGAGGCCCTGTTATGTCATGACGCTATGTTCTGGGGCACTTTTGACAAATGAACCACGAAATGGTTCCGAAGTTCAAGACGTAAAAGACGACAGGGCATGTATTATGTCAAATGGCTTGTGAACAGTCCATTCAGGCTACTGTACGACGCCATTGCCTCATCGAATATTGCGTTGCCTCCTAGATTGGTTGTACAGAGTCGTCAGAGCTGTCGACCAAATCCTGCTATCAACCGCAAAGCAGATGGCCTTACCACACTACCTTGATTGGCCCTTTGCATTCCTTGCATCCGTGCCGCTACATCTCAAGAACCTATGATCCTGGAAGGTTTGGCATTGTTAGTCATGTTGAATTGTCTGGATTTCACCGGTAGAAAGTGATTTAAACCTAGTAGGAGATGTACCTTTGCAGAAAATGGTATCTGATCGCAGTGATTCTTTGCGCGCACCAGAAGTGACTTTGACCGCGATCTAACTTCTCTGCTTTTTCAGCGCTGTAGTCGCTTCCTCACAGGTGTGACATTTGTCAATCACTCCTCGAGGCACAGTGCCTCCATCTTGCTCGCCCGAAGGACACTGTCCGAAGCCCAAGCCCTGGCCCTTGACGATCGCGCAAGGAATCCGGGTTCCTGCGGCCTTGGTGGACGTGACCAGGTGGCTGGCGTAGAAGCACCAATTGGCTATGTAGACGACCTTGCACATGTTGTAGAGGTATGAGTGGCTCCTAATGTTGCAGTGCCTTAGGTGAATGCTTTGCAATTTCGTCTCGACGTCTGTTGATTTGGACGTCGAGGGCTAGTTGGAAAATGTTTGTGTACGGGTGGCAGATCCTGAAGAAGCTCCGTTGCTTGGGAAAGAACAATATTCCCAGCCTAGCAACGGATTGTGGTGAATTCTTAGCAAACGTACAATGGAGACGACGCGCCATTCAACTCACAAGTGCCCCAGGCAACCACGCGGCCCAACATATGAACTGTTACTTGGTAGATACGGACTTCATGGCGCAATCAAGCTGTATTTCAATGATCGTTGTTTCCCAGCACACTCATCACGCCAGAGTTGACACAACACTGAAGTGCAATGAGAAATTTCCACGGTGAAAACTAATGCCCGATGCGTACGCTGTACAATACAAAGACAGTCACTGATCACATAGTCAGATTCAATTGATCATCGGGGCCTGTTCGTCGCATGACTGGTCCCAAAAATGACCCTAAATCTATTTTTACACTCAAACCTTTAGGCTGGCTTCTGCCCTGAGATCGCGGCTGCTAGCTCCTACATGCATCGTGTAGGTACCATGAACCATGTTCCACTTCTGGGCCACGGTGTCCCACAGAGAGATCCATCCTTTTGACCTCAAAGAGCACAGAAGCCTCGCCGCCGGGCTGAAGAAGTATTTTTTCCAACCCGCGAAGCTGTCTTATAGGTTCGTTGGCAAGTTCGGGAAAAGTTACGTATAATTGTGCAACTTCAGCGCCCTCGAAAGGACCGGTATTGGCGATACTGGTCTGAACAGTTGCAACGATATCCCAAAGATCTTCACGACCGCCCACAGCAAGCTCACCCTCAGCATATCCGCCAAGTCGGCTTCCGGTCGCTTGGACGGTGATATTAGAAGCATATTCGAAAGTGGTATATGACAAGCCGTGTCCGAACTCCAATCTTGGCGCGATGTCTTGTGCGTCGAAGAACTTGTAGTCTATGGAGTTCCCTTCCGTGAAGTTCAGGCTTAGGCTCTCGGAGACACATGTACGACACTATAGAACGATTGGGAACGTGACTTCCGGTGGGAAACAAGAGCTGCATGACCTTCAATGCTTCAACGGAACATGACATCCCTGTCAGTCACGGAACGTATTCCGCGAAAGATCATGGCCATCGCTGCAGCATAGCGTAAGTCTTATATTGTTGATGAGCAAGTTTTTGTTTAAGAAACAAGGCGACTTGGGTTTTCCATTGTCAAGGCCAGACAGGAAAGATGCGTCGTCTCCATTTCCATATGTCCATGGAGACAAGTCCCCACTAAATAGACGTGGACCTGGGGGGTGCATGGCTGTTCAGGCTAGGTGCTGGCTACTTCAGCTTACTGTATATCGTCAACCACAGTGTTGGGAAAGATGAGCATATGCGTTGTAGCACGTGTGTGTCGCTAGTGGACTGTGAATAGTTGTCTACTATTCTGTGGCTGTCAATGGCTGTACATGTGCAATAGAATCAACGCTAGGCAATTGGTCTAGCGTGATGAATAAGACCTTGAGAGCAATTGATATGCAGTGAAGAAACCGAACAACTATCACCGTCTTTTGCTGAACAATTGACGGGCGGAAGCCGGGAATGGATTGAACGCGTACGTAGTCCATCGTGGTATACTACAGTGGAGTACATTCAATGCCTGCCCACTGAGTGCTAGCTTGGGCGGGTTTTCAGGCCCAACCCGCTGGGATACAACGGCGGCATTTGAGGGATTGCAGGCGCTAATGTCGAGGCCTACCATGCCCATCAGCTAGCAATCAGCGGCAGTCCTGTCCCGTGGGGAAGGCTGCGAATTTTGCAAGTTCAGTCCCACTTCCAGGAGGTAGTCGGTTGAGCAGTCGGCGGCCATTGACTGACTTTGATAGCTAACTTCCAAGTCGGACCACGTGCTTAAGAAGAGACGACTCGGAGCCTCTTAGACTAGGCTCGGTCCCGAATGGCACTGGTGGGGTAGGAAACGGACGAACTGAGAGGCCGCGCTGGTGGGGATTGTTGGTAAGCTCAGCACCCGCGATCAGAGGGTAGAACAACATTGCGGATGCTGTTGCAATCAGGCTAGACATCGGACGACGAGACCGACTGGTTCTGATGGGAAGTATTCCGTTGCAACTTGGGCAGGCCGCCTGGGTAGGGTTATCTGCAACAGACATGAGGGAAGTCAGCAGGGGGTCAAATCCTAAGTACAATCCAGGCGATGGTGCCTCGGCAAGTTGGGGATGCTTAAAAGCTTAAAAAGGTCCGGGGCGATTGTTTCGCATAGGTGTCAGCAACGCGCTGAGTCCCTGACGCGAGGAACAAACCCACGACACCAGTTCTCAGCAGATAAATCAGCATTCATCCATAATGGCCTCTTTCCTCAATGACACCAATGTGTCGTATTACACGGTTCGTACATTGCCCCACGCGGTCCCTGGCCGCCGGCTAATGACCTGTTGCAGATACCCGTAGCGCTGGGACTGGCGCTCTACCCGCGCGTGTACGCCGGGCTGTCTGGCCCGGGTAAGAAGTACTTCACGCCGCAGAACCCTCGCGCATTTGTAGACAATCTGGAGAAGACCGAGGCGCTTGACAAGAAGGTATGCGGAATCCCATTTTGATGATAGCCAGTGAGCCGGTATTGATGCATCGCAGCTGCGCCTGAGACTGATCCGCGCTGAGGCATGTGGCGCGAACGCGTTTGAGAACCTACCGCTATTCGCCGCCGCGGTGACCGCAGGCAATGCCGCCGGCCTGTCTGTGCAGGCGTTGAATTACCTCTCAGTTGGATACATCGTCAGCAGAATTGCCTACACCTGGGTCTACATATTCGGGCTGGGCGATCGCAACGTGCATCCTCTTGCTCGCACTGCTGTGTGGTCCGCCGCGATTGGATGCGTCATGACTCTGTTTGTCAAGGCCGGCCTGAAATTACAGCCTTGAAAACCTCACACTGCTGCTATGGAAGGCTGCATGCAGGGGTTGGTAGATGAGCGGCAGACGTAACGTGGTACCTCGCTGTTATGCTACTTCGGACTGCGATCATGTACATTGTTGTATACAGACGGGTATACAATTGGTTAACCCAACCACTCCTTAGCTGACCATTTGGGTGATATTTTCTTCGAGTATGGCCTCATCAACCTCCACTTGGCCCAAAGATAACGTATATATACCGGGTAGACAACCGTCTCCGACCCCAGCTCGCGTCGTCATCGCCTCGCATCCTGGCATCCCGCACAATGAATCAAATGGTAGGTTTGACGCAGCCCCATATAAGCACGACCTAGAACAAGGGGTACCGAAAGAAGTATTCCAAATGACTCGACCTCTCGGGGACCTTCCGCCTCTTTAAGGTCTGGTTCTCAAAACCACAACTGCCCAACAGTGAGCTTAAGGGGTGGAGATCTGAACCGGAGTGATGCAGGAGTTCTCTGATATTGGCGCCATCGCGGCTTTCAATCTATTCGATGGTTCTGTTGTTGGGACCCAACGGGCCACAGCCAAGAGCCAGGTCACCAAGACCTCTCCTGCCACAGCAAATCCTGGCTGCTCATTTCTCGTGTGATGAGACCCAGACAAAGCTGCGCTGGTGCTAGTGTTGTAGCGTAGTATTACCAAGCTTACGTGAGGATGTTCTCATTTCACCTTGGTTCAAGTTTGCACGCCAACCACCGTCAGCGAGGCAGTTAGAAGCGATGAAGATGCTCCTAAAAAGGGCTCCCGCATCGTCAAGCCTCGCGCAGCGGATTTTATGCCGATAATGTGTGATAGATGTCTGCAATGAATAGAGCACCGGCTGGGCGCAGACATCACTTGTAGAGGGATACGTGAGTTTCCAAACGTGATCGAAGAAGGCTAACCCATTCTTCACGGCCTTGCCCTGCGGGTACGGGTATTGCAGAGACGTTGACCTCGATAGTTTTGTCTTTGGACTTCAAGCCGTGGACAATCTGCAAATCGGACTTGGCAATACCAAGAGCCTATGTAGTATCAGCGGACAAATTATTCAGCCTCCCAGTCAATATTCCTTCTACGTACACTGCTCATGATACGAACGGTGGCTTTGTTAGCTTCACCGTCCTTTGGTTGCGCAGCTACATTGAGCTCAATGGCATCATCTGTGACGGCTTTCACCCCTTCGCGGAGTTTATCGACGTTTGGCTTAACTCTGCACCTGATGTGGAACAGATCAGATGTCTTCCCCTTGACGTTCTTTACGGCTGAAATGACTGCCCGGGTCGACATTTTGCGCTGCATGACGACGAAGACTGGCGAAATGTGAGGCTGGTGCTTTGTAGGTGGACCTCCCTCTCCACACAACTGAGCAGTCAGTGGGGCGTACCCCGGCAACCAGCTGGCGAGGACCTGGCAGCATATCTGAAGGGGCTTTCTGATATGATTTGGACTATGGTTTTGACTGAAAATGTATATTTGGCTCGAACGCTACTTCTGTGAACAAATACCACAGAAGCATGGGGCCGAAGCTGCTAATTCAACTCTGCCCAGAATAAGAATGTTTTCTATGCCAGACTGGACCTCCAAACAGTCTATCATTAACCTGCAATATTGAAGTGTTCTTGTGACGAAGACACATTCGAAAGAACAGAAGGTGGGAGGAACGCGAGAACCTGGCTTTTCGATTGCCGCCTTACTCTATAGTTTGACTTAATTCCGCAAGTGTCGCGTGCTGTTTAGGCGACGTTCCGTGTTGGCACGCGAATTGACAAAATCTGGGTATGCCAGGGTGAGTTCAACGTCACCCGAAACAATATGGTCCACGGCCTCGACACCCAACATGAAACTGTAAATAATTAGTGAGCGCGACTACGTCATAGAGAATGGTGCGTGAGTATCTTTACCTGTGGTCTTGATTTCCCACCTCATACTTCCAGGATCCGAACCTACCCCGTGAGAGGATATCCTTGTTCTTGAGGTAAGGCAGAATCTCGGCCAGCGCATCATTTCGCTCCAGACTTGGTGTGGGGTATCCGTGGTCAAATCGCCGCACATAAGTGCTCACAATCTCATCCTCAGGTTTCAGCATCTCGGTGTTTATGAGACCTTGAATACAGTCTTCAAGTAAAGTCTCATGGTTGACAGGCTTGTAAGACGACTCGGACACCTCAAGCATGATGGACCAGTATGGACCTGGTTGAGGTTTCGATGAGGAGGGCTTCTTGCCGTTGGCGAGTTGCTTGGTGGCCAACTGTGTTTCTCTCCCAGGCTGATTGTGAGGGGAGTAGTTGGAGAAGATCGTGGCTCGGTAGAAGGGGCAGTTATCCTCAACAAAGTAAAGCTTAAACGATTTTGTCAGTCGACATCAAAACATCGTAATATTGCCACAAGTCTTACCCAACACTTGTCTCCAATACGCTCAGGACGCTCTCCACGGATGCCAACACCAATCACGTTGGTTGAAGAGTAGAACAAGGGTTTGCACATTTCTTGAAGCTTGGCATCACCCATGGATTGAGCTAGGTGGTCGACAGCCATGGTTGACACGAGAGATCCATATTTGATGACGGTACCTGTAAGACTCAGCACACGAAGAATTCTTGAACCACATAGGTCGCTTACCATCTGACAACTGTACCTTCTTGGCATCCGCATCGACCTTGGTGACCTCGCCTTGTTTGCCGAATCTTGTGTTTCCCTTTTCGATCGTATCTGCTAAGGCGATCCAGATACCACCTGTCCCGCCACGGGCTGGAAAGCGGAATGTGGCATTGGGACCCCAACTTCCTGCGACCTTGTTGAGGATGACGTTCTTCGTCAGAAGCTTGACGTTGGGGGCCGCAACACGTTCTCCAAGCCACGTAGCGTTCATCTGCCCCTCCTGTCAACAGTGTGTCCCCTCGTTGCCGAACAAGTATGCATACCTTGGTCGTTGGGACAGCCCAGACTTTGAAGTTATAGGGCCGCATGAATATTTCGGTTAGGCGTTCTCCGACGTTCCTGACGTTCCACTCATCAAAGTCCTTTGGCTTGTCATTCGGCGACCTAGCCCGAGCGTCGAGAGCCGCATCAATCAAGCTCTCAAGACATTTTACCTGCTCGTCCTTAGGTAGCACAGCGATGTTATTCTGAAATGGGTATGGCACCCACTGTCCTTGGTATCGGACATAGGAAATGCGCTGGTGGGTGTACCAGTCCGAGTCCTGGGGCAATGCCTCGTTGAGACAATCATCAAAGTACTTATAATGGGAAAAGATCACATGACCGCCGACATCGTACAGCTACTATGGTTAGCAGAAGGTAATTAGAGACGAGGTTGTGGCCTACGAAGCCTTCTGGTGTGATATCCGTGGATGCCAGGCCGCCTGGCGTCTCGTTAGAATCGATGACGAGCCATGATACGGAGTTCTGGAAGGACCAAAATCAGCTTCTTGAGTAACTGTGATTAAGGGCGGTCGCGATTACCAATTGCTGGAGGCGCTTCGCAGCTCCGAGGCCCGTTGGACCAGCGCCAATTACAAGAACGTCCACCTCGCTGTTGGTTGGTTACTGAGCTGGTTGCGCACGGTGAGATGACAGACTAGACTACTCACATCTCTTTGCTTCCCATAGTGACTGGCAGCGATGACGCTCTGGATCTGTTTTCACGACTGTAAATGGGACAATTGGACAAGAGATCGATGAAGCTGAACTTGCAGTCCAGAGTGATGAAGAGGCGGTGCAATCGGGGATTGTGTGCGCAATCTCGGTTCCGCCAGTGCAATCACGGATAACCCCTGCATGTTGCACACTGACTTGCGGCACCAGCCAAAGTATCGAGCTCCAGTGTGCCACCCAGCTCGCTCAGACAACCAGGATTCAGCATGCCCAGCTGCACGGCGCTCCGCGTCGCACCCCAAATGTTTCAGATGGCAGCTTGGTTTGCTGGACACCTGAGCTTGAGACGCACATAATCTAGCTGTGCCGCACGTGCAGTAAGCACTAGCCAAGGGGGATATTTATCTATTGGAGGCTGTAGTGGATCTATTTAATGAATAGACAGATACTGAACCCACTCCAAGTAGTTGAAGACATTGATTCCGGTTTATAATCCATTTGATTTAATGCAAGGGTGCATCCTGAGACCGTGTACTCCACGCTTGTTGCCATACCTGCCGTCCACTTATTACCGTCCTTCCAGCACGTGCTTGCAACCCACCTAAGATGTTGCCGTTGACTCGGCCACTAGGATGCTGTTTATTTACTTCTTGTAATACATTGCTGTACCTACCATCTTGGGCTAATTACTCAGGCAAAGAGCTCGCACGTCAGATGGTGATACATCACAAATAATAATCAGCTTATTCATCAACAAGATCTCATCGTTCAGCATCGGAACATTACTTTGATAGTCTCGTTCGGGATGCGTGCTCAAAACTATAGGCTTTTCTCAACGGCGGCGCTGGTATGGCAACAACCCCGTCTATTAACTATCTTCAGTTTTTGTGTAAGTGCTATAATACTTTTATTTTCGACTAGGTCCATTGCACTCAAATTGTAGGAGTCAAGTCCATGTCGGCGAACCTACTGAGATCTCCAGAGTGGGCATAGTGTTAGCAAATCATCGGGATTGGCTACTCCGATTCATTTGGATTTCAAAGAAACCCAATGCTACAGCCAATCTCAAAGAAAACGTTAGCGCCCTAAATTGCCTTCAAGAGTACCGATGGCGAACCCTCTTCTCATTGCTCCGATCGCACTATTAAGCCCGCGAGGTAATGATGTCGTGCAGAGTCTACTCTGTTCAATCTCGTGGCAAATAATGCTCTAGGTTAGCATATCTATTTACCAGGGTACCCCACAGCCCCTACAATAGTGGGACATTTCCCGGGGAACCAACGGGTAAGGTGCCCCCGCTATACAACGTACGGTCTAGATCCATAGGGATGAAGTAATCAGAGCCAATTGATCTCAAACCAATGCCTGCTTATGCACCTACATAGTAGCAGCAATACAAAAATGTCTCCATCCAACCATCCCGACGTGGCCCCGGATTACGGTAAACCTGCATCTTCCAGCATTGTCACGGCCGCGTCATAGCCCACCCCATACACCCCATGAACTGGGGACGCCATACCCCAGAAATGGTTCTCTTCAGCTCATTTCACCCAATGGGACTTCTTTGGAAGCAGCCATTCCATCAATATCATATTAATCAGCGGACCACAAGACCCTGAAACGGTGCAACGGAAATTTTGACGGTCCCGTCTGGAACCGCTATGACTTTACGAAGCATTATGTGTTTGCTGATCATGGCGCCTTTGGCTGCCTCCGGTATGTGCAGCCACTTTCGGCTGTTCTAACACGCCATCAGCTGCTCGACCGTCTGTGTACTTAAAGTCCAGCCATCCTCTACATCAAGGGCCATATCCAAGAAAAATCACCTAGCGACTTATCTAGCCAAATCTCACGGAATCATGGATTCTAAGTACCACCAAGACGAGAAGGTTGGGTATAACCAATATTTCGTTGAGAAGAAAGACCTGAAATACCTGCCTCCGTATCTCCTCGATGTCCCAGAAACCAGGGAAGAGGTGATTTGTACAACGACAGGAACTTGGCCAACTTGGTTGGCTGGCCAATTCATCAGGTAAGAGGTGTAACTCCTCTTTTGACGTACCAGAAACACATGTGCAGGATCTAATCTACTGACAGGGTCGGGATTGGACGTGTGGTAATCCCCCTATCCGAAGATGGATCCAAGCCTGATGCTGTCCTTCAGCATTTTTTTGATGGCCTGAATCTTCTTCACAAGTTTCGAATGGAAGATGGCAAAGTCTTCTACAGGAGCAGATATACTGCCGAAGGAGTTGTCAGACGAGCTAAGAAGGAGGGGCGCCTCACTTCAATCATGACAGGGTTGGACGCGAATACCCCACTGTACCGCGCCCAGGACCCTTGCTCGGCGTTGCTTGGTATCAACCAGTCACTGTATCTTGAAGACGGAAAGTACGAGCCAGACGAGGTCAATATCAACGTCGTCCCTAGAAGAGGTATTCATTTACCTCAACCTCAGGGAACAAGAGGGGTTGACAGCCCCGAAACAGAAGAGGTGAGTTCTGCTGCCGACTGTGAGATTTATTCTTGGACGTGGTGTATCAGATCCGTTAGTTCACTGAAAGAGATGAGATTCTGACCTCAGGCATGACGATAGCTGCTAATTGGTACCGATTTCAACATGCTTCAAGTCTGCGACGCCAAGACTCTTGAGCCGAAGAGGCTACTCACACATGCAGTTATTGATCCTGAACTCAAGGGCGTTGGTATTTGTGCCCACCCCCCGAAAGACCGCAAAAGAGGCCAAACGTTCAATTATCTCATCAACCAAGAGACTGGAGTGATGTATGTCTTTGGCCTTGATATCCGAGCAAAGCCGGCTGCTCTCATGTGGAAGACTGCCTTGCCCTGCGCACCTTGCTATATACACTCCTTGGCCATGACTGAACGCTACGTCATATTCATCAGGAACGTAAGTTCTTGATGTACTGCGCATGTGCGCTTTCGAATAAGAGTGCTTACAGATTCATAGCCCATTCACATGGACGTGAGTGACATGTCCAAGGGTTTACAAGAGACGTGGTTGTACGAGCCAGATGTCCCGACTCAGTTCTTCGTGCTTGAAAAAGATACCGGCAAACAGTAAGGGCTCATGTCGGTAAGAGGATTTGTCTCCAAGCTGACAAGGCTTACAGCATCGCGACATACTCGGCTCCAAGCTTCATGTTTTTCCACTCGGTCAACGCGTATGACTACGTGGACGCGGATACAGGCGCGACAAACGTACACGTGGACTTGTGCTCTTACGAAGGAGGATATATCCCGTACCGCGAGTACAGCTTCAGTAACGTCATCGATCCGGCACGCCCTTTCAAGGACGGGACTTTGGTACGCTATGAGCTTGCCAGTGTTGACCATGCTTTGGCCACAATCTCCCGTCCGGGTCGTGCCACTGTTGCGGCCGCGATTCCTGGTGTACCATCAGAACTCCCACGCATCGCTAAGTCGGCATCAATGATGCCAGGATACCGCTATGTCTACTTCACAGCCGGCAATGGCGGTATGTCTCCTGGCACCCAAGTGCCGATCGGCCGGTTTGGTAATGGTTTAAAGACCGTACATGGCGCATTCTTCGGAAGTCTGGCTAAGAGTGACTGGCTTTCTGGCACATACAAGAGGTGGCAGCCGGGAAACGGGGAAAGCTGCCCTTGCGAGCCAGTCTTCATCGGCCGACCGGGTGCGACCGAAGAGGATGATGGTGTGGTGCTCACAATCGTGATCAATAGAGAGGGGACACAAAGCATCTTGGTGGCGTTAGATGGACAGACCTTCGAGGAGATAGCACGGGCTGATATGCCCCAGATATATGCCTTGGGTCCACACGGAACCTTCATCGAAGCCTGAAATTGTCAAAGAAAGCGACAGGAAGGAGCTAGTAGCATAGTTCCCGGAGCAGATATGACGGAGAGTAAACCTTTGTCAATATGATTTACTTGACCGCCCAGACCACTTGCTGCTGCCTCAAGCCAATCTTTGGTGGCGTTGGTATTCATGACAGGTCAGCCGCAGGCGCAGAGTGGAGAGTGGACTATTAAACCTGTATTGCTAGAGGCACAGACTTGGCGAGACCGGATAACTGCTGTAGTAGTTCAGTTTCACAGACACGACTTCAAAGTGTGCGTCATTGTTAATCGCCCAATGACAGTAGCCTCAGGCTGGCCGTTAGCCTCGTCAGCTAAAGCCAGGAGATATAGCGTCATGACGTCACATCCAGCCTACAACTAACCCTCAGAGCCAGTCTTACCAGCGTATAATAACTGCGGCATTCTCCTCCATATCTTTTCCGAATTTAGGAAATCCCAACACTGGAATTTTGAAAACGCTAGCCATAAACCCCATCATCACAATGTTTCTGCAGCTCCTTCACCTTGCCCAAGCCGGCCTGGCAGGCTACGGCGCGCAACAGTCCTACATCGCCATCACCAACCTGCAAAAGTACGAGGAGACATCAGAGAAGCTGGCGAAATACTCCAACGAGGCGGAAAGGCAGCTGCACAAGACGCGCACCACGCAGACGTCAGGCGCCCTGGCCATCGCCGTCTCGCTGCTGGCAGCGCTGTACCTGTTCTTCAAGGGCAGCTCCGGCGGCTCACTGTTCCGGATGTTGGCGTCACCTGCCATGTGCGGTGGCATCTACCTTGCGCGCGCACACATTCAGGACTTTTGGGCAGGAGGCAAGAGGGTCCCGCTGCCAAAGATGGAGGACTACAATGAAGCGCAGCGACGCACGGAAGAACTGCTTCAAGTGCTGGACTGGTTGATGTTCAGCTGGGCTGCTACAAGCCTGGTGGCCTTGTTTAAAGGGTACTAGCGGAACAGCATTCGACCCAAAACGGGAGAGATTATATTTCATGACGATATATGAATCGATGATGTATTGGATTCGACACAGAGTGTCCACTGGAATTATTAGTGCATAGAGAAATACGGGCGTTGATTTCATCAATAATAGACATACACAGGACATTTCATATACTATCCTCAACGTTTCTCGCCTCGGCATTGAAGTGGTCGCTTGACAGGAGTATTAAACCTACACGGTTATATTTCCTTGCGTTAAGTGAATAGAGTGTGCGTAAAACACGGGAGACCGCGGTCCATCTATATAAACATAGATGGAATGGAGTGATCCACATTCCTTCACAGCCCCATATTCTAACAAGAAGTCTCCGTGACTTGACAGGAGAAGTTGAATTAATTACAGGCTTTTGTCTGTTAAAGGCAGCCACCCTCAATGGTGTATAACCGCACCAGCTTGTCGCTCTAGTATCCTCAATACCGCTGGCCAGAAGTAGCTAGACGACGGCATCGTGTCCGTTCTTCGCGGCGTACCACAGCGGTGGATGTCCGTCCAAGTCCGTCACGTCGATATTAACGTCCTCCTAACCCAGAACCAGCTTGGCATGGCTTTGGGCCCCCCTCCTCCTTTTTCTTTTATAAGAACCCATGATAGCCGTGTCCGGCTATTCGCGTCGAGATCTTGCTCGCATTACTGCAAGGTCTCGAGCTGTATTTAGTAACATTCTTGGTAGCGGTGCCAGTACACCGGTTCGTTCAAAGCAGCCCTTACCATGATCGTATTGCGGGGCTCCTGAATTCACTGCCGCGATGGTGAAGGCCGGAAACGACTACACTGCGACCAGCAATGCTGCCGAGGTTGTATACATGGTGATCTGTTGGAGGCTGGCGCGGACAGGGTGCTGCTCGTCCAACATCTCGAGGGCAGCGATCTGCTCGCCCTCGAGCGGACAGATCCAGCCGACCGTTGAGTCATTGGGCGTTCGTGGCTCGGGCGTCATAACGGCCTCGCTCACCTCTCGTGGAGTAACTCGATATCGTCAAGAAGCATCGCGACCTAGAACTGAACTTGGGAGCAGGGAAACTAAGGAAATGGGCGGGCTAGGTATTTCAGGTGGACCGGCTACCTCCAGTACGCTTAGAAGCAGCCACACCAGCGGCGATTGGCAAGGCAGACTGCCGGCTGTGATAACCATCGTATAGTCATGGCGCCCTGATCGCGACTCATGCTTAGCCTTGTTGGATGAGGACGGGGAGCGGAGTGGCAAGTACATCTGGTAACGCTAGAGTTATGATGAACCTCGCAACTGGGTGGTGTAGAATCGCATGGAGCTTCGGGTTCATTTGGGGTGGTCCAGTATAATACTGTTGTTTCCGGGAATTGATCCCAGATGGACCGTCATGGGTACTACCCTGGTACCTAGGTCGCTTCACAATTCTGTAGATAGGTACATACCTATGTGGAATATAGGTGTGCAGAAAGCCTAAATACGCCATACTTTAGTGCTTCGCGTGCCGGGTAGGGACCTAACAGCGGAGCTGGTGGGGAAGAGTCCCCGGTAGCTTGGCCGGGAGCTAAGGCGTGAGGCTCTGTGAGCTTGGGCCCGTCTGATTTTCATCCATGCTTATCACCAACTTCCACGCATTCGACCCTCGTTTCGCGCCCATCGCTACACAGGCACCGAGTAATTCTGTGCGACCCCGGACCACCGCCGCGGTAAATCTGCTCGTATCATGACTTGGTAGGGCGTTGTGAATGCCTTCGTTCCTCACCCGCCGGCTTTGCACCACTCGTTTCACCCTGCAACGCCGGACGATGGCAACAACGTACCCCGGCGCTCCGAATGGCGCGCCGCACAATGGCAATGCCAACGGGCCTGCCACCAACACCCATACCGTTACGGCCCTGGGCAGATGGTCCATTCTGAACAAGCAGCTCCCAGGTACGGCCGTTTGCCATCTTGAGTTGAGGGCCTCCTTGGCATGCGAAACTGACATCTCCCGCTAGCTGCCGACGCCATCAAGGCCATCCACGTCTACGATTTCGACAACACCCTGTTCAAGACGCCTCTGCCGAACCCGAAGCTGTGGAATGGCCAGACACTCGGTAGCCTCGCGTCCCCGGACATCTTTATCAACGGCGGCTGGTGGCACGACTCGCGCATCCTGGCCGCGACCGGCGACGGCGTCGAGCGCGAGGAGCCCCGCGGCTGGGACGGCTGGTGGAACGAGAAGATTGTGCAGCTGGTCCAGCTGAGCATGGAACAAGACGACGCCCTGTCCGTTCTGCTCACCGGACGCTCGGAGCGTGGCTTCTCGGACATCCTTAAGCGCATAGTGGCGAGCAAGAAGCTGGACTTCGACATGGTCGGACTGAAGCCCGCCGTGGGACCCAACAGCGAGCGCATCACGAGCACCATGAACTTCAAGCAGCTCTTCCTCGAGTCGCTGATGGAGACGTACAAGAACGCCGAGGAGATTCGTGTTTACGAGGACCGCATCAGGCACGTCCAGGGATTCCGGAGCTTCTTCACAGATTACAACCGACGGCAGGAGGGATACGGCGGACAGAAGACGCGCGGTCCCATCACTGCCGAGGTCATCCACGTCGCCGAGATCTCAACCTTCCTGGACCCCGTCGTCGAGGTGGCAGAGATACAGCATCTCATCAACAGCCACAACGCTCTACTGCGCGCCAAGCCGTCGTCGCAACGGGGTGGCAAGGGCCAAGGGCCCTTGATCATCAAAAAGACGGTCTTCTTCACTAGTTACATGGTCGACAAGCCTGACACCAAGAAGCTGCTCAAGCTGGCCAACTTCCCCGCTGGAAGCGACCTCAAGGTACACGGCAACAACATTATGATTTGTCCGAGGCCATGTCCCCAGAGCATTCTCGATAAGGTGGGTGGCATGGGCGCCAAGCTGAAGTGGAGGGTGACTGGCACTGCTTGCTTCGAGAATAGTATCTGGGCAGCATCCGTCGAGCCCGTCCCCTCTAATGCCAAGTATCACACGGACAACCCGAGCCCGCTCGTTGTGCTTGCCCTCCGCAAGGGCGCGAGGCCCATGGACGCGGGCAAGATACAGAACTGGCAGCCTGTACCGCCCGAGAAGGCCCACGTGTTTGAGACTACCGTTGGCGAGAAGGTGCTGCTGCGCATCGAGCCTGAGGACCCCAGCGAAAACGCGTACGAGAGCCTGTTCGCGAACAAGGCGTCCAAGCGCAAGCACACCGGTGAGGAAGACGGCCAGCAGTCGCGTCCCCGCGATGGCAGTGGCAATTTCGCTAACTCTCGCGGAGACCGGGGCGGCTTTCACTCGGGCGGGCGCGGCGGACACGGGCGCGGCGGCTTCCACAAGTCGGGAGGTGGTAACAGCACCCCGAGCCGAGGATACCGCACAGGCCCACGCGGCGGAGGCCATCATAAGGGAGGCGGCCGCGGTGGACGTGGTGGAGGGCACAACTACCGGTCGTTGGACGACATGGGCAGCCAAGGCCAGGGTGGTTTCGGGGGCCCCAATGCGGCCATGTACAATGACAACTTTCCGTCGCTGCCCCAGGGCAATGCCGGCTTCGCCCCGCAAGGGCAGCAGCCTCCATCTGCCTCGTTCAACGCTTACCAACAGAACTTTCCCAACCAGGGCGGCGGCCCCGGTAGACCCATCGGAGGTGCGGGTGGTGGACCTCCAGGACCAGATCTGCAGAATCTCTACTAGAAGCAGTGATTCCGTCTGATGTCACGGTGAGGCATACATTTGCTCCTGCGACGGTCACTCTAGTTTTGTCATGATTTAGCATGACTGACGATTCACTCCAGGACATGGTGAAATTGCGACATCTGCAACTTGCCTTCCCTTCAGAGAAGAACGAGTTGATCGAGAGAACAGAACCATGGCTGTGGGGTGGTCATTGGGGCGCTGACCGCAACGTGTATACATAGATTGTGAGCGAGCTACATACCCTTGGTGCGCTTTTTCTTTTTGGTCTGCGCATGAATCTCAAAATGGCGTTCAAGGGAAAGGGGAAACGGAAAGGGAACAATTTGCTTTGCGGTATATGCGCCTGAAATTGCCCGCGGTCAGCCAAGGCACACACAGTATACCATCGAGGGTCACATGAAGGAGGCGGACTTCAGGGCAAACGTATATGATATACCGAACTGAAGCATCGTCATTCAGTTCTGGCCAGATCTGGCCATAATCAACAACCACAGCAGGGTGAAGAAATATATGCATGCATACCCAGCCCAAACCTGAAGGATAGCCTTTGGGTCGTCAATATCCTGTGAATCATTACGTATGCCTTATGTCCATACCTACGCCCGTCCCTGCGTACCTGTCCTCTAATTCTTGCAGAACCTGTCATTTAATTTCTCCCCGCTACCGCCTGTCCACTGGGCCCTCAGAATTCCATGCTCCCATCCTCCTCCCTCTCGCGCTTGACTCTAGGATCCCGCTCGTCCTTCATGAGCCCCACAACAAAACTACGGAAGTATTCCACATACGGCTTCAGGCTCGTCTTCTCCCAGTCCTGCATGCTCTTAGCCCCGGCCTCCTGCTTCACCTCAGCGCCGGCCTCGTCGCCGTCATTTTCGTCGTCGCCACCACCACCGCCAGACCAGCGGTCGATCTCGGCCAGCAGACCCTGCACCGTGGGCACGCCGAGGGGGCTGAAGGCGTCGAGGGCGTCGGGGTCGCGGGTGTCGATGGGGACGCAGACGCGGCCGGTGCCCGGGTGGACGACGAAGGGCGACTTGAGCAGATGGTTGAGCTTCTTGGAGACCTCGATGTCGAGGCGCGGGTACGTGTACTCGAGCACTATGTCCTGCTTGGCCTCGAGCAGCCGGCGCGGCGCGTCGGCCTGGTCCTTGGCCAGCCCGCCCGCCTTGGCCACGGCGTCGATGTCGGCCCACTTGGCCGTCGAGGCCCGCTCCGGCGAGCTCGCCCACTTGGCCCCCAGCGACGCGTTGAGGTTCTTGTCCGGCAGCAGCGCCAGCAGCTTGTCGGACCGCTCTTCCGACGCCCACGGGTCCTGCTCCGCGAGCACGTCAGTCTGGAAGTGTGGGGCGAGGATGTCGAGGGACCGGCTGTACCACGGAGTTAGCTATTTCAAAGTCACGAACTGGAGGGGGGATTCCTTTGATGGTGCGGTGTGGTTGTGCCAGTGAAGATGTTCAATTGGCTAGTCTGCAACTTACCTCAAATGCGGATGCAGTGGCCTCCGCAGATTGACCTTCTTGCCCCCCTGACTGCTTCCCTTGACGACCTCCAGATAGCCGGCAATGGCACGGCGTTTCTGATCGTCCATGGTGCGGGCCTTCTTGTCGCAGACCCAGGCGTGAGCGCCTCGCCTTCCCGAGTAGACCCACAGGATGTGACGGAAGCCAAAGTCCTCGCGGAGGGCGGCATCCAAGACCTTGATGGCCATGACCATGAAGCGCCAGCAGCTGTCGCAGATATTGGCCTTGTCGCAGCAGGTACGGATCTCGTCGTAGTCCGTCAGATCGATATCGAAGCACAGCTCCTTAGACAGGGGCTTGAAGGCGGCGCTGTTACGCAGGGTCTTGCGGTCGCGCGGGTTGGTGCTGTAGACGGGGCCGATCTCGAATCGCGAGGGCAGCAGGCGGAGCACGTCCTTGCGCAGCAGGTCGGCCGTCGGAAAGGATTGGTACCGCAGGTAGGCGTCGTTCTGCAGCGTGAAGGCGAACTCGCGGTGGCCAAAGTCGTTGGTCGGCGTCGGGCTGTGGTTCAGCCACTGGAACAGCTGCCGCCAGGGGAACAGGCGCTGGTAGAATGTGCGCATGAGCTCCGGGTCTGAGGCTGATAGCGAGGGGCCATTGTTCCTGGGGAAGAAGAGTCATGTCAGTCCCAACTGTCCCCAGAGGCAATCTTCTGTAAGTGCAGAGCGCGAGGAACGTACTCTGGCGATGACGGCGTTTCGGGCGAGCTACTCGACGGTGTCTTCTGCTCTGCGGGCCTCGAGCTCGGAAACTCGTCGTCTGAGTCTACATCTGCGAACAGTTCCTCCAGCTTGACCTCCTTCGACCCTTCTGCATTGGACGCATCTGTATCGGCTCCGGCCATTGCTACATCGTCGGGGTTGCCAGCACTGGCGGCCTGGCTGTCGCCGTTCTGGGCGGTCGCGTCGGTCATAGTCGAGTCTGTGCCATTCGGTGGCGTCGGGGCATCTGATGTGACCGAGTGTGGCATTGTGTGGACTGCGATCTGCCGGCGAGGTCGAGAAAGTTCTTGACGTTTTGCTCTACCGTCCTCTGGCTGATATCTTGACTCTCTGCATGCGAGGATGCGCTCAAGGTGGGATGTTTAATTGACGGACTAGCGTGACGCGATGGGGAGACGCGCTGCGCGTTGGGTGCTTAAAGTGGCGGCTAGGGGCACGCCGGGGGTGTCTGTTTCCAATGACAGGCCCGGCCGCGGGGCAGTTGGCCCCTGGTTGGCCTACTTATACCTGGCTGCATATCTAAGCAGTCTGTTTGAATCCGTTTCTGCCCTCTATTTTTCGCTCCCAGTCTCATAACACTCGTATAGTAATTTACCTCCTACGTCGATGAATGTCCCCCAAGCTACTAACTAAAATTAACTATTTGCCCGGCACCGCTAAGTTCGGGTGGGCAGTGCTGCTTGCGAAACGCCAGATAGGACCGTAGGCGCGAAGAAGCCACGAATCGAAATGAGGTCTCGTCTCTCCACGATGTCTAGTTTCTGGAATGAAATACCTATCGGTCCTCCCTCACTACACCAAGGCGAGGCAGGGGCACTAGGGAGCTCCCGACCCGGCAGGCCTCGGTGTCGGGTCATGGGCAGGACAATATTCTCTGTAGACGTCCCCAATGCGCAGGATGTGCCGTGTACACTGGACAGGGAAGTTGACGATACAGTGGTCATGGACGCCGCAGAACTTCCGGTCTGACCTCCGCACGGCGTCCACGCACTGCCACGGCCCGCGGTCCGGCCCAGAGTAAGCGACGACCGGCTCGCCGTTGAACCGGCAGTTGTGCTGGATGCAGAACCGGTAGCGGCAGATGCCCTCTCGCGGCGTGTCGTATCGATACTTGAGCGACTGGCACCCCTCCCACTCGCACTTGTGCAGCCGGCAGAACTCGTAGAACGGGATTGCCGGTGTCGTGCACCACGGGATGTGGCATTCCTCCGGCGCGTACCAGTGCCCGTTATGGTAGTAGCCCATGCGGCTGCTCATGTAAGGGTTCTTGCCTTTGGGATTGGCCAGGGCATCGTTCCTGTAGTTCCGGCCCGGTTGGTTAGGATTCATTTTGGACACACCGGGCAGAACTGTCGTTCAACAACTTCACTGCGAGAAACGTTGGGTATTTCAGGCGAGAGGTTTTGACCTCGGCTTCTGCCTTGGAAATATGCCTAGTTAATATACGTTCACCATCAGTGCAATGAAAAGCGTGATGTTGAACTGGAGTGGTGCTCCAGGACAGTGCTGTCCCAGAACGTCCACAGCAGCCAAAGTAGTTTTCAACGTCTCTCCCGACGAATCCAACGTACTTTGTCTAATGGGACCTGGCTGATCAGAGTGATGATTCCTCCTATAACGTGCACGATGAGGGTTGTCGGTCGCCAGAACGCAGGGTCCAATTATGGGGGTGAAAGGAGCGTTGTCTTATTGGAATCCACACGCGGCAAAGATAGCTATATAGGAAATAAAACGCAAAGCCACACCACGCCACAGGGCAAGCCACACCACACGAGCTCAATGTTAAATCTGCCAGCCTGTGATTTGGGCTTCCCCAGCACTTCTAGTTGACTTTTTGTGCTCTCGTCATTTTCAGGATCTCACTCCGTGATCTAAGCTACGCGGTGGCTAAGGCGTTATGAGAGTACCTGGCTGCAATCCACGAAACTATCACATTTGCGTAGAGTTGGGCTGCCATGACATTTTATTGTACAAGTCGCTTCCGTCCCACATCATCGTTCAGTGACAATCACATCTCCGCCACGGTTGTTCGCAATGGATTCTCTGTCACCCTCTCATCGCCCATGACGTATTGATCACATTTCGATGCCAATGGGATCCCAAGCTTGTAAAACTCATGCCCAGACCCGCGACCCATACCCCTAGGTTTACGGCCAAATTCGCCACCCTCGGGGGACCAAAACGTGAAATAGCACTTTCGGTCCTGGCATCTCTTCGACAGCTTGTGATGTAATATTTCTATTGGATTTGCCCAGCTTCCTTGAGATAGAACAATGTCTGTGAGGGTAACACTCTCCATGCTGTCCCCAAGCTTTCGGCAGAGGGTCTCCAGGTCGTTCTGGGTCATCGAAATGTCGGACAACGATAGTTGAACGAGACGCGAGGTATGGATGGTGCTGATGGTTGTACCTAGTGGGGAACTTACAATACTCATGGGCTGCGGCGCTGGAAGCCTGACAACAACCCTTTCCAGACGCGGCCCAGAGAGAATAGCGCCTAGGTATGCGTCAACAAAGTCCTGGCAACCCGGTGAGATGGGACCTTCTGCACGCCACTCTTTGTCGGCAAACAAAACGACTTCCAGCCTTCTAGATGCCGTCTGTAGGTTATTCCAGGATTCCGGGGTGACAATCTTGGGGCTCGTCCTCCGAGGGAAGCATTTGATTTGGATGAGAGTTGGAAGAACACCACATGCACCAATGCCAATGAGCACTTCCACCAGGATCCTGGCTGGCATGAGTTCGGCATCAGGGGTAAGCCTGGACTCAATTTCGCTCCACGTCTGTGTACCCTGGAGGAACTCTTGCAATTTTTCTCTGTCGTTGAGATACGTGCTGGGACCACTCGAGCCCCCGCAGCAGTACCAGGGCCACGAAAAACAGCTGTTGGGCCCGCCAAATTTCGGTTTATCAGTAAACCATATTCGTGTCATTTTGGGTAGTGCAGCGATCAGATTAACGACATCTGTCACAAACGAACCCTCCTTGAGTAAAGAAAGCTGCTCCTCATGCTTTCCACGATACGCCACGTAACTTTGGCCGATGATTCGCTGATACTGTACAACCCTTTCATCGCAATCTTGTAGGTTGATCGAGGGACTCAAGTACTCTCCCCAAGCCCGGTCAATCACAGCGTAGTTATCCGAGGCTTTCTTGTATTCCTCAAAAGGCTGTTTGCAGCATACGGGGCCTTCATAGACGCCAGGCTCCCATCCTTGGAGATAGTCGTCACACTCCAAGGCACACAGTTCTAGGGTTTCTTTGAAATGACTGGTGTACCGGTGCAGGTTGGTCGCGAGCTCCCTAGGACGATAACTCAGCTCCAGCTCTACTTCACGGACCCCGCTGGCAATAAGCGGGTTTTGCATGAGCTCGACTGCGCTGTCAACAGACTCCCGATCTAGCCGCACTCTCAACGTTTGACATAGTAAACGTGACGCAATCTGGTTGAACTGACGACATACAAGCCGTGAGTTCGCTATGACGGCTGCTTGCTGCTCACTAAGCTTACAATGATCGGCAACGCGGTCGAAGATGTCGTACAGTAACTCCTCGGGCAAGTCTGAAATGTGCATCTGCCGTATGCCTCTGCGCGACAAATCCATAGCTCTTCCACGCAGTTCTGTCTGCTCTTGTCTCAAAGCTTGCAACCCTGGGTGATTGAAGGATCGTTCCTTCTCCCTTGCTACCTGCTCAAGTGTACTGTTTGGAAGATGAACGTATTCTCCCAGTAACCTTTTCGCTACCATCTCTTCCGCTCTGTTGATAAAGGAAAGCTGTTGAAAGACCTCGGGGAGACCCCACGAACCGACGTTGTCAGCCAGAGGTACCGTCGATCCCACGACTGCGCGCGCGTTGCTCGGATTGGGTATCATATTGGAAAGGTGTGATTGGTAGTTCAAGCAGTCTTCATATCGAGTGTCAGATGCCAGCAGAACTTGGTTGCAGGATCGTTTTCGGTCCAGGTAGATATAGTGACGCTGGTGTGCGAAGCCCGCCTGGTTTAACCTTAACCCAGTCTTGTCCCATCAATTGTGCTCTTTGGACTTGTGCTAGTCTCCGAAAACTTTGCGCGCTTTGAATGACCCTTCGGAAAGCTGGGGTGCGGCTGTAGTCGTCGAGTTGTAGGGCTGGGCAACATTGAACGGGTAGGCGTTGTGCCTGAGACGTGCAAACATGCATTGACCCCACTCCAGCACTCAACCAATAGACACTCCACATTAACAATGCGCTTCAAGAACTTCCCGACCACCGGAATTGACTCAAAGCAGCACTCTCATTCTCACTTCCATACGGGAGCTTGTGCTATATCATAACTATGTGGGCCTTTAGATGGACTGTTACATGGAATGACACGTTTGTCTTCTCATTTCGCGCCTTACAAGAAGCGTTGCGGGAAGTGGGACCTGAGAGGTATTAGTTTCACTCACTTAGTGGTCTACTACCGAACCTAATAGTAACTCAGGATGCCGAGCTGCCGTATCTGATTCGGTCCAGGACGCGGCAATTCCCAATATATGAAATCACTATGCGTGTCTGCCTATTCCCAGGAGGACAGTACTCATAAGCACTCTAATGAGTGCTAGAACATTTGAACGTCGCAAAGCCCTTCCGGATTGCATCCGAAGAGCATGGTTCAGCACTAAGAACATAATCACTGATAGAACCCCGGCTTAAACCAGAGGAACCTAGCTGAGTAGATAGAACTGCATATTTGGTCGTTTATTTTATGTGAGACAAAATGTATCCCTTTGGGCTTCAGAGAAGATATCGGGATATCGCTGCTACGTACAGTTGTACGGCTGGCCTTGCGTGTGCCCTCTACATGTTGGGGGGTCACAACAGTGCAGCCTCGATAGTCCTTGCTCCAGACCAAGGTCCGTTATGAACTCAACATGGTAAAGATTTTGCACGTACCCCTCTTAATAGTCAAAGATAGTCGCTAGTATGAGCTCCATACTTGTACGTGGCATCTCGTACTTACGGTTTCCTTATCAGTATGTCGGATGCCCCCGGAAAAGAAAATTACTTCGGCCGGCACGCATTGCCGTGATAGATGTGGGTTTGATATTTGCCGTCCGCATAAATATCAAGATCAAGAGGATCTTCGAGCGCCAGAAAGTTACATTCCCAAGGGGTAAGTATAGCAGATTTTCTTAGATGAGTTGGCCTGATCGGTGTTTCTAGCATCACCAAGACCGTGATCGATGATTTACTTGAATACGTTCCAGGCTTTCACAACCGCGGCCTCATAGAGGCCAAATTTGGCAAATTGTTGAGGCGAAGGTGGACAAGGCATCGGACGTGAATGCGATAAGAGATGGTGATAAGGCGCGATAAAATACATAGTTACAATGGTGATCGAGCAACACCATCGACCAATGCAAGATACGAGGTAGTTGAGAACTGTGGTGCCACACCCCACATAATTGAAGAACCCGCAAGACAGGACCTGAGGGGGAGGAAATGAAAACCAGGCTCCACAAACGGCACTATTGCTAACTAACTACCTATCTACTTCTAGACTTCTGCTACCCTGGGATTGCACTGGCGGGCCGCAGCTGCTGGCTTTTGGGGATGCGGATGTCGCCATTCTCGTCATGTCACGGAGGGCCCATAGCTGTAGTGCCAAGAAGAGTCTAGCATGTAGTCCCGTCGTTAACCCCTCTCGGAGAGAAGCAGAACCAGATGCAGCCTTAGAAATGGGTATATGATGTTTGGCACCTAAACTACAGTCCGTCGGTAGCACATCGTCATTATTTTGGCCTAAAGCATATCCCATCTTCTCGACGACAATATTCTGGCCCCGCGAGTTGTCTGCACATGCTCCCTGTTACTGCAGACTGCATTCATATGAGGATGAGCCGCTGCTAGTGATTAGGGGTACACATTGCAAACGTTACGTCGGGTAACATGTCAGGTTTTAGTGCCCTACCCATGCTGAAGCAGTGCCGTGGTAGGACTAATCTGTCCAGGATCAACAATGGTAGACTAAAGTAGTGCCTAAGTTTTTTGTAGAGCGATCCCCCGGTGGCCAAGGTCTGATCTCCAAAAGCTAGTGGAAGGCTTGGCAGTTGCTGAAATTGGATGACACCGATGTGGGGGGAAGATTATTCGGAAAGCTTCTTAGGAGAGGCCCCTGGGTTCACTAGTAAGTAAAGCTGGTGTTCTGCAACAAAAGCATGCATGCCTTCATTCAACCCTGTTTAGCATTTCTGAAGCGGGTAGTCGAGGAGTTCCCAACGCAGATTGGAATGTGGGCCACGCCTGCCTATCCCTCGAGCGGCATACGACAACTTACGAAGCGCGGGTCCATCAGTACGCACGGATGCGCTTTAGGTTGACTGTCGTCGTGCGGATTTGGGGATCGTCCACCCTAAGGAAAAAGTGTCGACTCCAGCGCTGTTTTTATTTCGCTGAGCGACTCCGCAGCACATATTCGTACGCGTCCTCTTGAAGAATGTCGAAACGGCAAATCTGTAGGGCGAAAGGTGCAAGTCCGGCATCCTATTCATCCTAGGAGCCTGCCCCTTGGCATGGTTATAAGAAGACTAGTTTGGGGTTCGAAGCTTCCATATTCCGTGTCCAGCACTGGATCATCCTTCTTTTCGTCAAAGAGAGTTTTTATTCTCGAATCTATACCTGTGTCGACCTGGGATTCTTTGCCCCGTCTTGTTAAACAGAAAAACAACATGGCAGCCAACAGTAAAGGCGTCCCCTTGGCCTACTTTGAGCCACCCGACAGCCTCTTAGAGATGGACAATGAAGATTTTTATGGCCTTCTAGCCATTGGGGTCCTAGCCAGTGTGTCAGTTATCTTCACATTTACGTGTCTCAGCTTCCTCACATGGCGCATGATCAACTGGCGTTCTCACTATACCAGTGCTGTCACACGCAACCAGTCGGTAGTTCTTATATATCAGCTCATTCTTGCCGACTTCTTTCAATCCTTAGGGTTTATAATTTCCTTCCACTGGGCTTCGAGCCGTCGTATTATCGGACCTAACGGGGCCTGCTTCGCCCAGGGAATGCTCATCCAATTTGGCGATGTTTCTAGTGCATGCTTTGTGCTAGCAATTGCCGCGCATACCACCTACCAAGTCGTGTTATCTCGAATAGTATCATACCAGAACTTCATTTGTTCTATTATAGGTATCTGGGCCTTCGCGGTGGTTCTAGCTTGTCTCGCCCCCCTCACCGCTGGACGCTACGTATTTTTACGTGCTGGAATGTGGGTAAGTCGGACTGTCGTAGACAATTGTGACCTCTTCGAAATACTAATCTGGAACAAAGTGCTGGATCTCTTCAGAAAACGAGAGACTCCGTCTTCTGCTTCACTACCTTTGGATTTTCATTGTCCAGTTCGGTTCTATCGTTATATACATTACAGGATTCTGCTACCTTTTCCGTTCGAAACGACCCCAAGCAATCGGCATTAACAAAGGAAGCGATAAAGCTATCAGAAAAGCCGCGATCTCAATGCTTGCGTACGCCCTAGCTTATACTATTCTTACTCTCCCTCTAGCGTATGTGAATACCGAGTTTGTGCACTAATAATATTTCTAACGTTCTTCTACAGAGCCGGGCGAATGGCTGCTATGACGTCTGACACACTCCCGAAAAACTACTACCTTATCGCCGGTGGATTGTTTACATCCTGCGGATGGGTCGACACAGTTTTATATACGATAACGCGTCGGTCGCTCTTATTCAAAGAGCTCGATGCCTACAATGGTGACGCTTCAAGATATGGACGTTCAGATCGACAGGCCCGAAGGCAAGGTAGCGCGGAGAGTATCCTTGTAGGGGACGGATTTAGTCGTGGCGGAATCATGATGGACCGGACAGTTCACGTCGAACTTGATGACGTCTCGAGCAAAACAAGCATTGAGTACGAAAGAAAAGGATATACTGTCTCCGCCAAGGCGTACGCCAAGTAGTTCGGGAAATAATAAAGCAGGCTACACAATAAGACTGGACGGGCTTGAAGGTAGTTCTCATGGCTAGCCATGGCATGTATGTATTTAATGTAATTTTTAATGGCCAAGTCTCTCAATAGATTGCCTTATACCACTGCTAATGTCAAATGTAGTCGATATGGTTATCTGTCTCGCAACGTCTCCAGGGGCCAAAAGCAGCACTCTAGCACCCAGGACACAATAAGTCTAGCAGAGTGGCTAAATGACAGTGGTTTGGCGGAGAAAATTCATGATCGGAGGAACATGGCTGAGGGATAGGAATGGTGAATGAAAGCGATTAACAGAAAGAGTTGGTGTGGGAGGCTTTTGGCCGGTAGGGAATCAACAGAACGATCAAGAGAATATTTAGAATCTGATAATGGAGAACTAAGGCTCCGAGGGGATCGCGATATTCGTGAGTGCGGACATGAAACGGGTGACTGCTGTACTGCCATATGGTTTGCCAGTTGGAAGGGTCTAGCTTGCTCATTGTTAGAGATGCGCGTGTTAATGGCTTCATTCTCTTGACGTTGCAGCTCCAACATGTGAAGATCGATGGCCATGCCTGTCTATTCTACAACAATAGTCCAATTGCGAGCAATGAATGATTCGGCTGGTTCCTATGCGTCTGTGGGTCCAATGAATCATTTTGCGCCAGCAAGTAACTAGAAAGTCTCCACTAGTCTCCATGCGATGCCACCAGTCCAAGAAAGCGGCGTACAGCTGTGCCCTAGCAGCGGTAGCTTGCTCTTACTACCTAGGTCCATAACCAGGTACACAGTAAGTCAACCAAGCTGAATACTGGGATCATCCGGCGATTGTTCGTGTCCATTGATCACGATTCGGGCAAGTAATGGCCTAACGACACAATGAGGGGACACGCGGCGTGGATGAACTTTTCTTTCATTCTAAAATTGGGTCATGGAATTCTGGCTAGGTCTTGCACGGAGCCAACGTCTGGTAACGCTCCCTCATCCTATTGAGGGTTCCACTTATTATTACGCCTGCGACACCTCCCTATCCGATAATCGAAAACCTGTTCTAGCCGGAATTTTTTACGAGCAGTATATAGACTGGATTGCTACCTCGTTATGTCATGAATGAAAAGCAGAACCCGTTATATGTACTTCCCTTAGTGAGATCCGTGCTTGCTTGTTGTGGCTGGTACTTCGGCAGCCTTAAGGCTGCGCTGATATAGCTCTTCCTCTTCGGCAGCTTCGTCAGGGAGCAAGCTGTACTTGCGTAGCAATCTGCCCTTCCAGAATAGGACCGCGATGAGAACGCAGGAGAAAATAGTGATGAAGGCCGCGGTGCCCCACGCCCAGTTAACCCCTACTCGGACGGTCCACGGCGCATAGAAAAATTGAATGGCAACGCTAAACGCAATACGGTAGACGTTTAGGGCAGTCCCTACCTCCTGGGGATGGCTCTTGAAGACCTCGATGACGTAGTTGACTGCCGGCGAGATGCATGCCGTCGCACCGAAGACGATCATGGCTTCGGCTACGGCGAGAACCATGTAATGCAAGTGATAGTAAACGGCGGCACCGAACAGGCCAACCCCGATGGGCTCCACGACCAGCCCGGGGAACCATGCTGTGTGTAGTCGATACTCGGGATGCCACAGGCCGTGCCTTCGATGCTTGATCCACAGGGGCAGACGGTCGTTGATCAAGATGCCATAGGCGACTCCTATCAGCGCACCGACCCAGGCCGAGAAGTAGAAATAACCCGTGGCCTGCGAGGTAAACCCAAAGCCTTGTTCACTTGGTGGAGAATCGAGTATGATGGGCACTTGCACTCCCGCCATAATGAACCAAGCGTAATTGATCAGCGAGTATATGCCCGCGAGGATGCAGATCGGGCTGAAGGCGACCTTGGCGAGAACGCTATACGATGTTTTCTATACTGGTCAGAATCTTGTGCAAGAATTGGCAAGAATTAATGACACGAAAAGGCTTACAACATGGTTCATTTTCCCCGGCGCGACAACTCGTGTTCCGGGGAAGAATAAAACGAGACGTTTTTTGAGCCAAGTCTCGGGTACTCGGTTGGCAGAAGGCGGTCGGTTATTGACTCGATCCCAGCCCGTTTCATCACCGAGGAAGAAGAAGAGGACTGCAGATAATCCGTTCGCAGCAACGGTCCACCAGAAGCACACTGGCCAAGGATGGTATTGGACAATGAAAGCGGAGAAGGTTGGGCCAGCAACCGCTGATACCATGTAGATGGTAGAATAGATCGCAAAGGCCCTACCGCGCTGGTGGAGGAAGAAGATCTGGGCGATTACCCCCGCGGAGAATACCTGCACTGTACCCGTGAAGAGGCCTGCGATGGCGCGGGAGGCTGCGAAAGAGTTGAACGCGCCTGGTCCTGTGCTAAGGGACGACCATATTGAGGTTGCGACGACTGCAAGCTCGCTCCAGAAGCAGCATGACATAACACCGAAGACACGGACTGCGGCAACCAGGACGACTGGGCCGACCACTATACCTCCTAGTACGGCAGATATCTGGAAATATTAACATCCATTTTTTTTTGCAGTGCTTTCAACTCTTGCGTACCGAATAGGACGCCTGCTCAGGGGTAATACCAAAGTCCTGAGCCTGAACAGGCAGTGCCAGGACATTTGCCACTGCAGATGCGATACCGACAAAAGTGCCAAAGCACATGATGCCGAAGATGGCAATCTTCTTTGGCATTGGCCAGTTCTTGCATGTTATTAGTATCGCGCAGGTGAGAGGGCAGTGTGCATGCATACCAGAGGATCACGAGGGTCATCAGAAGGTTGCGGGACCCGTTCAATGCCGCCGGCCGAGTATTTGAGACCCGCCTTCTTCTCATTGCTGATGTCGCCGACCGCTTTGGTGGTATCGCTTGTGGCAGAAATGGTGCGGTCGACTTCATCTCCTCGGGCCTCTTCTACATGGTATGCGTGGGCAGACATCGTCGCTTATTCAAACCTGCGTCAAGACAGAGACTCGCACAATATGGCGATGAATGCAGGTTCGGTGAACAGCAACCAACAGGACATAATGGAGCCCTCTATTCTTGATATATCCTACAGTTGCGAGGGAGGCGTCAACGGGTCGTCGCATCGTTAAACCCGAGCGACGCTGTGCGGGCCCGTTAGCTGTACTCCGCACCATAGTTGAACTATAATGCGACAGCCCACAACCTGATTTGGTTCACGGCACGTCGATCAATGCACCGAGCCGCAGCCGACCTAGGTATACAAGTGGGGAGTCAATAACTTATCCCATTCCGTCCCAGTGGTGCTAATTGGTCTCGCATTATTATGCCGTACTTGGTATGTGGAGTCGTCGAATACATCTTCACGAAATCGATGAGATTCGAATTTTGGCCATTGCCAATTTTCAGGTGAAATATTATTATGACCGTGCTATACCACTTCCTAAAACAAGTGTAGATTACTAGCTACAAGGTCGATGAGCAAGAATTGTTGCTTGATGTCCATTTGATGAGGAGAACACGTGATTAGAGATGAATAATGTCGCGACCCGTTCATGTTCCGATAGAGCTATCAACCGTCCGTCCTATTTTTAAGGATGCACCGCTTGCTGGACTTGTGGATAAACCCGACACATCTCCTGGTAAAGTTCGGGGTGCTCGTTGTAGAGAACCATAGGCTCCCAGGCAGTTGCAACGAAAATGGTGTCAATACCGCTGCTGATTGGGGTCGTAAAGATGTTGCAGATTTGCAGACCAATGAGGAAAGCGAAAGCCACAACTACCGGTGTGAATGAGCCGTCGGCGTTGTATGCTGGGTGCGTGAACACGAGGTACAGATATGCCATCAGGGCGCAGGCGTATCCAACGAAGGTGGCACCCATGCTGAGGACGGGCCCAATCAGGCACTCATTAATAAGTGCATCGATACCGCGCTGTTTGATCATGTTCCAGGTATCCTTGGCTGCTGGGATGTAGGCCTTTCCGTACAAGGCGATGTAAGAGAAGGCATAGCGGTTGAGGAACTGTACCGCCCAGTCCAAGAGGCCAATGATACAACCCAGGACGCAAAACATGATGCTCGCAACAACATTTCCTTGGCCCGCCTCGCTTCGCTGGGCGACAGAGCATATTTGGCGTAAGAAGTTAATAATTGCCACAATCAAGCTACCAAAGCTGATGCTGCCAAAGCTGTAGGTCAAGGACCTCTTCAGAGCCCCGCGGGTCGCTCCTCTCGGCAGGTTGTTGGGGTGGAAGTACCAGGAGCCGTAAATGCCGGAAATGGTGGTGTGAATTGTGTTCTTCAGCCACTCAGAAATCCAGTACATGGCGAAGGTGATGAAGACAATCAAGCCTGTGACTTTGGCAGAGCTACAACCACCGCCACCTTGGCTGCAGGCTGGATTCAGGCCAGGCTCGTACTTGACGTAAACAGCGACGAATGTGACGCTGTACCAGGCTGCAAGAGCCGTGGCCAGCAGACCACCTAGGAAGCTCACAAGGTAGGTATGACCATACTTCTTGGACACGTCAATCGAGGTCTTGAGCATCAGGGCGCTGAAGGGGATGCGGGGGATCCATGTGATGAAGGCGAAGATCAGGAAGGCCACAAAAAGCAAGAAGACTATCCCACCGGAGTAGTAATGCCGAGCAAGCATGTAGATGGCCGTAACCAAGCCGAAGACGATGTTCAGAATGCCGGTAATCCAGATAAAGGCCTTGGGAAAGAGCCGGGCAAGCCAGACATAGACCCAGCTGAAGACAATGGCAATGCACAGGCAGAAGATGAACAAGACAATGGTATTGGTGTTGAGACCAACGGACTGAGCGCCATCGTAGATGCCGCCGCCATTGAAACGCTTGGTAGTTGCTATTCCCATGAGGTTAGTATGGGTTTAGTTCCAGGCAAGAGTCTCGGACCACAGCGCGTCGTAACTTTCATCAACCGAGGGACTAATTGAAGATGGGGAACACTAACCGTAACCGTGGATCGAGAGCCCAGAGACAGCGACGAAACCGAGAAAGACGATTATGAGCTATACTAAATGTCAGAATATATGCGCGTCGATGTTGAGGAACAACGGTGAAGTTGGGGAGTTGGTGCACGGACCAGGATACCAGCCCAGAGGTCATTCCACTTTGGTCGATCGACCTTGAAAGCTTGTTCAAACATGGGCTTCTCCCCGTTGTTCTGGTAGCCATTCTCGCCGTAGCCCTGCTGGGGAGGAGGCCCGGAGGGCTGCTGGTTGTACTGGCCTTGGCCGTACTGCTGTTGGCTGTATTGCTGCTGCTGCTGCTGGTCGTACTGCTGCTGGCCATACTGTTGCTGGCCATACTGTTGCTGGCCGTACTGCTGCTGATAATTCGGAGGAGCTGGCTGTCCGGCGTTGTAGTAGCCGCCTGCTTCTCCGCCCTGCGCGTTGTATGCCATCCCGGCAGATGGAGCTCTCAAGCTCTGGAGCTCTTGGCGGGGAAAGCCGAACCCTATTGATCCTGACAAGGGACGCTGGCAGGGACCCCTGGCGACTGTCAACAGCGATGGAACTGATGGATGGATCAAATCAACCAAATCCGACGATTGCGGGAAGGACGAGAGTGAAGAAGACGAGAGACGCCCCGACAATGTTTTGATTGAGTGGTGTGTGTCGCAAAAAGTCAATCAGCCGGTGCGGTGCTCAGTCGCTAGCTCGGCGGGCATGCGAGATGATCGAAGAGCGCTAAACCTTGTCCATCGTTCCAGCCCGACGCCTCAACACAAATCGCCAGCTCTAGCGCCGCCAATCTTGATGTCACCACTGCCTGCTAAAGCCTGGGCCTCCCATCTGCCCATAACTTACCATGCAGCATTGGATGGTTGGTCTGTTTGCCCAGCAGCCAGGTGCCGTTGCCCGTGGGCTGCCTCCTCGCCCTCCCTCGTTCAGGCTCTCTCCAACGGCAGCCGGCATGGACAGAGCGCGACACGTGCGACGAGCGACTTTGCATGCTGTAGATTTGTACCTGCCAAGCTTTTCCTAGACCTGGCTGTGATCCAGTTTGGCATTCCTCATTGGAGATCATCGTCCACGGCCTGAGCCAGGGTGGGACTGTACCTATTGGGGACTGCCGTTTGTGCCGTATATCACCTTTGGGGAGCCGCACTACCCGTGCTCGTGGGAATGAATGCCTTGAGGATTGCTTGCGGTGCCAAGGCCTGTCGCTTCATGATTCCCACAACGCTTTGAATAAATGGCACCAAGAGCTCACAATTCTGTCATCAGCTCGGGTTTATCGGAATAGCTGGCCTCCCCATTCTGCAGGCTAGTGCTATTGCTAGCTTGAGTTAGGCGGCCCCCTATATCACAGTAGCACGCTACATAACACAAACCACGATTCTGAAAACATCAGACCTATCACTCGCAATAAGGCTTCTATTTGATATCCGCTCAAGAACGCAGTAAATTCCATGAAAGCTGTCGAAGGTCTCCATACCACAGTTTGGCAAAGTATAATCGGGGCACACAAGGCTTGACGTTCTTGTGTAAACCGATTCGCACGTACCAACAGCGTCTGTAAGGAATACATGTCGTACGCAATACACGCTTATAGGCCGCGGGGGCGTGTAGGTGCTCTCTGTGGGAATGCGTGATGATACTTTGGTATAATGAACTCCCTCTTGACTATTTGAGAGCTTACCGCGAAGCAGTGGTTGGGGGGTTAATCGTAGTTGCAGAGTTGAACATCACTTTCGAATGTACTAGTCCAAAAGAATAGATAAAACTCCAGGAAACGACGAAGTGTGTCTAGCATTTCTTCGGGGCCACGCAACGACCACAGTAGTCACACGATGACGAGCAAGCTGTGAAGTCTTCCCCTTCATCGCTCCAACCAATTCCACCCACGCCTGAATCACCCGATTCCGAATCGGATGAAATAGCGTCAACATCACCCGGTGTCGCAATCCATCTGGCCTTTATGCCAGCAGAAAGCACATCTTCGACACCGGGGAGCTGCTGACGAATCTGCAGGCCTCTCACGCTGCCAAGCATGTGACAGACTTCAATCTTCTTGCCAGCGACGTCACATACTATGTCTTTGATTTGGTGGATGAGCGCAGCCAATCGTGAAAGCACTCTGACATTTTCCTTCTCCCATTCTAGAACTCTCTCGCGAACATCCCGTACCTCGATGTCGTCGAAGAGGCCGTCACGATGGTGGGCTAAGATGAAGTGATGCAACTGAGCAACCCACAGCCGCGGGAGCTCCTCGCTAGTCGTATCCTCGTCTTTCTTTCGAAAGGATCGCGTCTTCAGATCAAAAATCTGATGCTGAGGCACGCGAGCACCCCCTTCTTTCACTCGCAACCCTCCACCGATGCTTGGTGACTCAGTAGTGATAGATGCAGCGTTGAAAGCAGTCACCAACTTGTCGGAAGTCATGGGCGCCTGGACTTCGGCCCTTGTTGACCTTGCGCCCTTATTCTGGGCTCCGTCGGAAAGGTATCCGTCAGCTTCAAAGCGGACGAGACATCGCAGTCCCCCGAAGGAATAACGAAGCACCCGCTGATGCGAAGTCGATGTCTTTACGTCCGACTCCCAAGTTGTGTAAGCTTCAGGAAATGAATGTCCAAACCCTCGTACGTCTGGAATCTTCTCCGTTGGGGACTTTTCGCGGCGAACGAAGAAGACAGTCTCTCCAACTTTGTATACGAGCATGCGAAATGGCTTTTCTTCCCCACGTAGAAAACGGAGAAGGTTTCCAAGGGTGCTGCTACAAGCGACAAGATCGATGGCAGCACTGCCGCACGACTGTGGTGACTCCGTCAACGCGGCGACAATAGCTGGCTCCATCGGATGTTTCGGATAGCACGCAGCATTACGGTCACGTAAGTATTCGCCGCTGTCCTCGGCCAGCTTCTCAGGATGGATGAGTGGGGTCCATCGCGGAGGCAGGCCTGCAGATTGTTAGTCATTTTCTACAGTTGAAACAGCAGAAAAGGCCTAAAACTCTACCCGGAATGAGCATCTCAGGATCCGTGGTGCGAGTCCAGTTCCACGAGGCAATAACACTACAATTAGTGATGCACGCAGCAGGCTCAAAAGAAGCCGCGCTCCCCGTCAAATCGGTAGGTCTCAGTTCCTTGATTAGATCACCCAAAGGATGTTCAGGCATACTGGGGATATGTGTCCAGTGCCGATAGTTTCTTCCCCCACGTTGGCCTCCACGTTGACCTCCGCGTTGGCCTCCGCGTTGATAAGGGCGACTTCTGCCGTAAGAATACTGCATTTCAGTGAGCTGAATTTTTGTTTGAAGTGCAGGCAATGCAGAAATGATCAGTGAACAGATAAATATAGGGAGTATATCTTGCCAGGAGGTGTTGAGCGGGCACATTGTCAAAGAAATGCTTCAGCGTGTATGCCGTTCATCAAATGTGAAACTGATGTCTTTCGCCAATCACCTTGAACAGAAGGCACCAGAAATTCTCCTGCATGCCACGAAGCGAATCATGATTGAACCGTGCGGACTCGCCATTCTCGATCATTAAACTGGATGGGGGGTCGTGGTTCCTTGTTGGTGCCCGCTCAACAATAAGAAAAGCCTTACCGCATGGTGGGCCTCCCGCAGCCTGCAGTCGATACTGGTCGCAGCCCAACGAATAGAGTGCCTTATACACACCGACTCAGTACGGCGCAAATAGATACATTTGATATCAAATAACCAGGTGCCGGCTCGCGTTGAACTCGACATCTTTTGTTTTGAGTATATGTGACTTAATGAATCACGCCTGAATACCATTTTACCACAACTTGAATCCGACACCTCGCAATGACTTCAGAAGGCCAGGCTGCATGCACAATGAGTAGCGTAGGGCGTTCGGCAAGGCTGGTAAAAGTGTTCAAGGAAACAATCAGCGGAAGGCGTAAGATCACTGACATCAATGCCGCAAAACTGTTTTTAGAGGCAGTACAGACCCAAGAATCTCCAAGTGTCTGCGTTGAGACTATTCTGGCCAGTTCAGATGGCCTTGCCGCTGTGCGGAGCAGTGTTCGCGCGGATATTTCTTCACTTGCATATATACAAACATTCACACTTGGCTTCGTCCGATACCTCTCAGATCCCTCTATCAAAGTCTTGGCTGATGGCCAGTTTCTATGGCAAATCATTCTAGTATTAGCTGACCCGCCCGCGCTATGGACTACCCTTTGTGAGATTCACGAAAAGCTCGAAGATCATTACCTTTTCGCACTGGCTTGGCTAGCCCATGAACTTCTCACAGGCCCTCCTGACAAAGCACCAGACGTTCTACCTGGCGTTCAGACTCTACTATCAACTGGGAAGTTGCTGAACGCCAAATCTCACAAGACTCGAGAGTTATTCTACAAGATACAAAAAGTGGTCAACTCCAAGATCTCTCTAGTTTCGGTTGACAGAACGTTCTCCCCAGGTGGGCGGCATGATAATGACTTTCCCGACTTTCGACAGATCGCGGTGTACCCAACCACAGATGAGCTGCTCGCCACTCAGAAGCCATTCTACCTTCGAATGGCTGAAGTTTTCAGCGATGACAACTCCGATATTGCAAGCACTCACCTGGACAATCAATTCCGTCTGATGAGAGAGGATATGTTGGGTGAGATCCGCAATGACTTACTGGTTGCTACTGGCCAGAAGAAAGGACGGCGATCCGCTCAGAATCTCGGTGGTCTGATTCTCATTGGAGTCGAGACTGGCAACGAGAAACGGGGCCGGAAATGTTCTCTGTCGATGCACTGCAAGACAGGGCTTGAAGAACTGAACAGAATCCACCAAACACAACGCCGCCACTTTTTGACAGAACAGAAGGGTTACCTTAAGCACCAGTCTTTCGGCGCACTGCATTGTGGTCATGAGATCTATGGATTTGCCTTCCTCGAACGCGACATGGACTTACTCTGCAAGGAACCTCCAGTTGTATGTCTTCGGTTCACAGATAGTCGTTGTCTTGAGAGGGTGCTCCGCGCACTGGGGTCTCATGCAGCGGTTCAATATGCCGTTGTCGACACGCCTGTATTCGCCCATGAACCGGTCTTGGAAGGTCTGAAGGCCTTGACGGAACTTCCACTTGAAGAGGCTCTTGTACGCCCACCATCATCGCAGCAACCGCAAAGAATATGTGTCGCCGATGGATTGCAACACCTCGTCGATGGTTATGAATCCGCGGGTGCTAGTGGGCTCTGTATCCAGATAGGGGACAGGAAGGTGAAAGTAGATCAATCACAGATCAGCTCATTCCTGAGCGCTTTGAAGCAACAGATTTCACTCATACAAGGCCCTCCAGGTATGTGGCTAGTCAGGCTTCAGCTGTGTACGAACTTCACTGATCATTAAGCAGGAACTGGGAAATCCTTTGTAGGCTCGTGGATCGCGAAGGCCATGTTTGACCATTCGAACCTCCGAATCCTTGTCATCAGCTACACAAACCATGCTTTGGACCAGTTTCTTGAAGATTTGAATGACGTTGGTATTCCGAAGGAACACATGGTTAGGCTTGGCTCCAAGTCTACCGAGAGAACGGCTAGTATCCTATTGGCCAATCAATCCGACAGTCATAAACGCTCGTCAACGTCATGGCTCATCATCGACGACTTGAAGGCCGACAAAATAGAGTTGGAAGATCAACTTCAATCGGCGATATCAGATTTTGTAGATTTCAAAGTCTCCTTCGATGTACTGATGGAGTATCTTGAATTCTCTATGGACTTCGGACGATTCCATCAGGCATTCCAAGTCCCAAGAAGTCAGCATAGTTGGAAACGAGTCGGAAAAGGGGGGAAAGCAGTCAAACCTGACTACCTTCTTTCACGTTGGCTTCGAGGGGAGAATCCTGGGATATTTACGACGCAAGTCGCCGAGGATTGCGAAGTGGTTTGGGATATGAACCACACCCAGCGAACAGAACTGCATGCGGGATGGGTTCAGGACATGATGAAAGAGCGCGCCAATGTAGTGCAACAACTTGCACAGATGCACGACAATATACAGGAGAGGCTAGATGACCTCTATAGGGAACGGTATATCAACATTCTACGTTCCCGGCGCATTATCGGATGTACAACAACCTCTGCGGCCATGCAAAATAAGATTATACGGGCAGCCTTTCCAGACGTAGTCATCGTAGAGGAAGCCGGCGAGATTCGGGAGGCACATGTTCTGACTGCATTAGCACCATCGGTCAAACAGCTTATCCTGATTGGTGACCACAAACAACTTCGACCTAAGGTAGACAGCTATGCCTTGACGGTGGAGCAGGGCAGTGGCTACAACCTTAACATGTCAATGTTTGAGAGGCTGATTATCCAAGGGCACAGCCATACGACCCTAGTAAAGCAGCATCGAATGCATCCTGAAATCTCTGTATTTCCCCGCGGTCTAACCTACCCGGAATTACAGGATGGCGAAAAGACCGCTGGTCGCCCTGCCATTCGGGGCATACACGACAGAGTCATCTTTGTCAATCATGAGCATCCCGAAGTCGCATTTTCTGCCATCCGCGACAAGCGAGATCCCACAGCCAATTCTAGCAAGCAGAATGAGTTCGAGGCGGCAATGGTTCTAGGGATTGTCAAATACCTCGCACAACAAGGCTACGGCACAGACAAAATGGTTGTCCTTACTCCGTACCTGGGCCAGCTTCGCTTGCTGAGAGACAAGTTAGCGGGTGAAAATGACCCTGTCCTCAATGACCTCGATTCAGCATCTCTGATTCAGGCTGGTCTGATGACACAAGCAGCATCAAAGGTCGGGAAACGCCAACTTCGACTTTCAACTATTGGTTAGTCTCAAACGGAAATGATTGCGATTTTAGCTGATAGCAACAGACAACTACCAAGGTGAAGAAAGTGATATCACTATAGTATCCCTGACGCGAAGTAACACTCAAGGAGACATCGGTTTCATGTGTGCTCCAGAACGGCTGAACGTCATGATCACCCGAGCAAGAAACTGCCTTATCATGGTAGGAAACATGGACACATTCATGAGTAGCAAGAAAGGAAAGAACACCTGGTCTCGCTTCTTCGAAATGCTTAAGGAGCGAGAACACCTCTATGATGGCTTCCCGGTGAAATGTGAACGCCACCCGGAGGCCACCGCGACATTGACCCACCCGCAAGACTTCGACAAGTTTTGCCCGGATGGCGGATGCGCAGCGGCTTGGTAAGCTCATTGACCACTTTAGATTCCCAGCGACATCCTAGGGTATGTATCACTGACTAATGTCTTGAATTAGTGGTGCATCGCTGAAATGTGGTCGGCACAAGTGTCAGCGCCGTTGCCACAGAGTTACTGACCACTCTCAGATGGACTGCACCTTCTTAGTGGAGAAGACTTGTACAAGGCAGCATACCAGGAAGGTCTATTGCACAAGAAAGAACGAACCGTGTGACGCCTGTATTGCAGAGGATCTAGAGAATGAACGACGTATCAGGCGTGATCTTGATCTCGAGCGGAAGAGGCTGGCCAAGCAAGCGGTGTATAAGCAAGAGCTTCAGGAAATCCAAGACGAATTGGACCACCAGCGCCGTATCATCAAATACGCGAGGGAGGAAGAGGAACAGAGGAAGAATGTCGCCCAGCAGCGCCAAGACCTCAAAGCATTGCGGGAGGCTGCAGCTCGCACCCAGCAGATGAAAAAAGCTGAGAACGATAGAGCAAAGGCTGCGAAAGAGACGCCGCGCCAGAAGTCTGACACAACAAAAGACAATAGGACGGCAGGGATGGATAAAATTCCAAGCAACGCTCAAGAAAATTGGGACTATTGCAAGGAGTTTGAAGGTGCTCAGAACAAGCCGCTGGATGAGTTGATGGCCATGATTGGCCTCGAGGAAGTCAAGCTTGAGTTCCTTGAAATCAAAAACATGGTCGATACCAAGGTTAGTTGATACTTTGTGTCTTATTCAAGCGTCATGCTAATATGAGCTCAGATTCGGCAGAATGTCGAGTTTTCGAAACAGAGATACGGTTGTTCATTACTCGGCAATCCTGGAACGGGTACGTCGAAGATTCTCAGTCTGGCTTCGAAATTGCTTACTAACATTGATTTTCATTTAGGAAAGACCACAGTGGCGCGGCTGTACGCCCAGTTCTTAGGCTCCTTAGGAGTGATCCCAGGTTCTCAGTTCGAGGAGACCACCGGCTCCAAGCTAGCAAACATGGGGGTGTCCGGATGTCAAACCCTTGTTGATAACATGCTCAACGATGGAGGCGGCATCATATTCATCGACGAAGCATATCAATTGACGTCCGGCAATAGCCCTGGAGGTAACGCAGTTCTTGATTACCTACTGGCAGAAGTCGAAAACTTGACAGGAAAGATCGTCTTCGTTCTGGCCGGGTATGACAAGCAGATGGAGAACTTCTATGCCCATAACCCTGGTCTGCCTAGTCGCTTCCCAATTAGCATCAAGTTTGCTGATTACACCGACAAAGAGCTCCTCAATATCCTGATTTACAAGATCCACAAGAACTACAATGACTCAATGCAGTGCGAGGAGGGCATGTCTGGCCTGTTCGCTCGTATAGTAGCCCGAAGGATTGGACGTGGACGCGGTCGCGAGGGATTCGGCAATGCCCGTACTGTGGAAAACGTCCTCGACTCCATCACCAAACGCCAAGCCACCAGAATTGCAAAGGAACGCCGATCGAAGCTCAAGCCTGACGATTTCCTCCTCACTAAAGAAGACCTCATCGGCCCTAAGCCCTCTGAAGCCATAGCGAAGTCTGAGGGCTGGCGAAAGCTGAACGAGATGGTAGGGCTACGTGCAGTCAAGGAAGCAGTGAAGTCTCTCGTGGATAGCATACAGCAGAACTACGACCGCGAGCTTGCAGAACAGCCCCTGATCGAGTACTCGCTCAATAAAGTCTTCTTGGGTAACCCTGGAACCGGAAAGACAACGGTGGCTAAGCTGTACGGAAAGATCCTAGTCGACCTAGGACTACTATCAAAGGGAGAGGTAGTAGTGAAGAATCCGTCCGACTTCGTCGACTCGGTCATCGGCGGATCGGAGAAGCAGACCAAGGGCATCCTCGCATCGACGGCTGGAAAGGTCCTTGTAATTGACGAAGCATATGGCTTAGACGGAGGCAGTTCTGGATCTACGTCGTTCAAGGACCCCTATAAAGCCGCGGTCATCGACACAATTGTGGCAGAGGTGCAGTCTGTTCCATGGGACGACAGATGTGTTCTGTTGCTGGGGTATAAGGATCAAATGGAAGCTATGTTCCAGAATGTCAACCCAGGGCTCAGCCGTCGGTTTCCCATTGCGTCCGCCTTCAACTTCGAAGATTTCGACTCCGACCAACTGGCTCGGATTTTTGACATGAAGTTAAAACAGCATGGCTTTGGGGCTACAGGGGAAGCCAAGCAAGTCGCCATGGAGATCCTCGATCGTGCACGGAACCGACCCAACTTCGGCAATGCTGGTGAGATAGACATAATCCTCGACAGCACAAAGGCACGGCATCAGCAACGGTACTCGCGCGGGGACGCCAAGTCAACCGAGGTCCTTGAGGAGCTCGACTTTGACGAGAACTTCAATAGGGCGCAAAACGTGGGAACCAATGTCAAGAAGCTCTTTGAGAATACAGTGGGCACAGAAGATACTATTGCACTACTCGAAGGCTATCAAGACACGGTCCGCCGCCTAAAAGCGTATGGCATGGATCCCAAGGAGAACATACCATTCAACTTTTTATTCAAGGGCCCTCCTGGAACTGGCAAAACGACTACAGCTAAGAAGATGGGCAAGGTCTTCTACGACATGGGCTTCCTGGCCACTGCTGAAGTGGTTGAATGTTCTGCAAGTGACCTGGTGGCTCAGTACATCGGTCAAACTGGACCCAAAGTACGAGAGCTCCTAGACAAAGCCCTTGGGAAGGTCCTATTCATCGACGAAGCCTACCGGCTAGGTGAAGGCAACTTCGCCCAAGAGGCCATCGATGAGCTGGTGGATTCCGTAACTAAAGAGAGATACCTGAAGAAACTTGTCATCATCCTGGCGGGATACGATTCCGACATTGATCGCCTTATGTCTGTAAACCAAGGCCTCACTTCCAGATTCCCGGAGACAATCAACTTCCGGGCCCTTGAGCCAGACGAGTGTTTCTCTCTAATGACGAGTCTCCTTTCAGCTCAGAAGAAAACATTGAAGAAGAAGAAGATCACATTGGAGCTGTCAGTTCTCGAGTCGCCAGACCTCACTTTTCAGCAGCGTGTCACTACATTATTTTTCGAACTCTCGCGACAAGCTAGCTGGGCCAGTGCGCGGGACGTGAAGACACTGACAGTGGGCGTGTTTAACAAAACACTGAAAGCTCAGGGGGATACAACGACCAGGCAACTCTGCGTTACTGCAGATTCGATTATCACGGAGATGCAATCTCTTTATACGGAGCGACATTCTCGCGGCCAAGCGAAGGTTCCGTACACGAACAAAGATGCCCAGCCTCGACTATCATTCGCGTCTCGGCCCCCAAACCAGCATTCAATGAACACGTTGACATCGACTGAGGTCGCGCACACTGCACCGAAAGACGATGATAGAGAAGATACTACGGCTAAGCACGTAGAACCAAAAGAAACTAAGACCCAGAAATCACGTGAAAAGAATAGCCCGAAAGCTCGACGCGATGCTGGAGTCAGTGATGAGGTTTGGGAACAACTGCAAAGGGATTCGCAGGCTGCGAAAGAACGCGAAGAGAACTACCAGAAACTAAAGGAAGAGGCACGCAAGGCATCCGAGGCCGACAGAGACGAGATTGTCAAGAGACTCCTGGAGGAGGAGCGCCAGCGCCAAGAGGAGGCAGAGATGCAGAAGAAGCTGGATCAGATGGGCTTGTGCCCTATGGGTTACCGGTGGATCAGGCAGGCTACGGGTTATCGATGCGCCGGGGGCTCCCACTACTTCTCAAATGCCTGAAGAATGTCCCTGAACGGGACACGTGCTGAGACTAACGGTTTGTATGTAGTTTTGTGCCTGGTATAAGAAGAGATCTGAATTCTAGAGGATTGTGGCTATTTCGAATTGCCTAATAGTACTCTTCAGCCACCTTGCCATTTTCGAAACTTGGTGCGCGAGAGTCACAGTAGTCCCATCGCTGCTGGTATTCCCTCATCTGCGTTGACTTGTATTCAGCTACCCTATCGTCTAGAAGTAAGCTCCTCCCACTGCACACCAGACCACTCTTCCAAGTAGCCTGCTTCTCCCTCAGAGACCCCACGGGCCTGGCAGTCCGAGTCACAAACGGCGACAATGATGGTACCCCAGTCCATGCCCTCCAGGCTCAGTTCCTCTGCCTCCAGCTCGGCGATGGCATTGGGTGTCATCTGCACCTCGAACGTTCTCTTGCTGCCACAGTTGCCGCATCTCGGAATGCCCCGGTTGCCGCCAAGGGCCTCACCCACGGCGTCCGTCTTGGAGTAAAGCAGCGGCTGGCCACCGAATTCGTATCGTATCACCTGCTCTGGGTTCTGGGCGAGCCTGTCGGCGAATTTCTGAAAGTCGGCGTCCATCGAAGATTCAAAAACTTCACGGTCTTCTTTGCCGCCACCGGTTGAGTCGTCAATATCCATGCGCGCCGTAGCCTGCGATACAGGAGGTGGTGTAGGCTCCAGAGTTTCGTAGTCGGCATCAGCCAAGTAAGACACTGGATACGGTGCGGGCAGGTCTTTCTCTGCTGGCCAAGGCTCCGGTGGTGGCGGAGGATCGGACGCTACTTGAGTGTTGTTAAGGGATAGGGTTTCGGCGAAAGATTTGGGGAGGTCCTTGACAGCCTCATCCACGGACTTTACAGCGGCCTCCGCGCTGGAGCTTTCACTGGGTTCCGCTTCTGCTTTCGCCGGGCTGCTGAAAGGGTTGCTGGAAGTGGTGAAAGGGTTGCTCGCGGCCGAACTCGAAGTCGCAAACGGATTCGCAGAGCCAGAAGCAGAGCCGAGCCCCTTTGCGCCAAAGAGAGCCTCTCCTAGGTTGCTCTGAGGCTTCGGCGTCTCCTTTGGCACCGGCTTCTCTTCCCTGGCTTCCTTCTTTGCTCCAACAGCCTTGCTCCCTGGTGTGATGCGCACTCCCCTCAGGACACGGACGCTTCCTTCCCTCCTACGGCAGCTCTTCTTTTTGCAGGAGAAGACGTACAGCCGCCGTTCGTGGCCGGGAAATCGGTCGGGTAGCTCGCCGTTGAGTTGGAGCAGAAGGACCATGACGTCCTTGCACAGCTTGCATTTTGCCAGCGCCGAAGAGGGGGCAGCTGAGGGGTCCAGCCAGTCCTGCACGGTAGCCATGGTCAGTGACTCGCACTCCAGCTTGGTGGTCGCAGCCCAACATCGAGGGGTAGACTCACGGGCTGGCCTCCTAGTTTACTGATTGTGTCGTCGTCGGCATCTTTCGAAGCGTAACCAAGGAGGACGCTGGTTTCGGTGTACTCTGCCTGCTCATCGCCAGAAGAGTCGCTGTCATCGTCGTAGGGTGCCATGATGCGTTGTCCTTCTTCGCAGCAGCTTGGCGCCGGTGTTGACGGTCAACTTTTTTCTGCCACCATCCAAATATTTGGCGGGGGAGGGGCTTATCAGTCTTATCCAGTCTTGGGGCATCCTCGCTGTGGGGGAGTGGGCGCGGGCTTGGCATAATTTGTCCACGCCGCTTCAGTGAATCATCTTCACTTTGTCACAATCGTCGAAGAATACCAACTACTCGCCCAGTATCTACTTTAGTAGGTAGTTAGAAATTGCAGCTTGGCGCCTTACAGCAGTGCAAGTGCTCCGAGAAAAGCGTGCTGAGGGTTCCTGATCTGGGTTGGTCAAGTGTGTGGGTGACTTCGCCTCTACTCAATATCTTCCCAACTAACACCCGGTATTTGGGCACATACAACTACACACAATCCAATACTCCAATGCCAACTGCGATTATCATTATTCGTTCTATTTACCTGTTTGTAGAGACTGCCCATATCTGCGCATAGACGAATTCCAACGAACGTGTGAAGTCCCTACCATTTCACTGCGTCAGCTGCGACAACCTTCTTAGCAGACGGGTTAGCTCGTAGTCGAAGAAAGCAAATCATCCGCAGTTCGCCTGGCAGTAATGGCAACTGTGGATATCTGTTGCACGACAATGGTCAAGAGCCTTGTTGACCTGTCTCAGGACAACTTGTTGCTCGCCACATCATTGGCAATTTTGACCCGACCGAGCTAGAATGTCATGGATACTTTAAGTCTCGGTATTTGCGTTCCCACTCTGTTTCGGTTTTGTGCCTCTCCGTGATTGACAGATGATTTCATCCTTACGGTTGGTGACCGCGGTAGTCATTCTTCCTAAGGCTGCTAATGGTGGCGATGAAGCTGGAGTGATATAGTATAACACTAGATGGCCTCAAGTATATTAACGTGGGCTGCGTCATATATAACTAACGTGTTACTTAATTTATATCGTACCCTATTTATTTAAATATTTAAATTTATTTTAATAAAATATTAATAAAATCTTTATATTATTATTTATAATTTAAATTAATTATTATAAAAATAAATATTAACTTTAATATAATTTTTAAATTATTTTAAAATATTAAAAATAATTTTAAATAAAAATAATAAACGCGATATAAAAACTTTTTTAATAAAAATAAAAATAATATTTTTAATTAAAATATTTTAATTTATTTAAAAATTATAAACGAAATTAAATTAAATAAAAAAAATTTTTAAAAAATTAAAAATTATATAATAAAGTTTTTTTTAAAATAAAATTTTTATAATTTAAATTTTAATATATTTATTATATATAATTAATATTTATAAATAATTTTAATTTATAAATTTATTTAAAATTTAAAAATATAAAGATTTAATTAATTTAAATATATAAATATAATTTTATTATATATAAATATATTAATTTAAAAAAAGCTTTTTTATAACGTTTTAATTAAAATAAATAAATATTTTATAAATTTTAAACGTTTTATTAATAACGTAATAAATTAATAATAATATAATTAATATTAAATTATAATTTATAATAAAATAATAATAATAAATTTTATATTTTTGTTTATATTTTAATTTTTAATAT